ATCAAGAATACGATCATACACTCGATCAATCAGTACATAACCAGCTCAATTATCCGGCTTTTCAATACATGGACAGGTAATATCATTATTGTTATCTAATATATAAATAAATAAAGATATTATTATTAACAAAATGTTTTTATATATAATTTAGTTCATGCCATATCACCGATAATACTTTCAGATCTACTAACCTCATGGATATCAAATCCACAAACACTTGTGCTGCCGATTATCTGGAAGACGAAAACATGATCGGACAACAAGCACATGAAAAACATCTTCCTTTGTACCTTGACCCTAGTAATGTCACTCAACAATCCGGAACAATGCCACCGATTTCGCCAGTCTACCAACCCTGTCCGACCAGTTACTTTTCATTTCAGTCGCTTGGTAATAACAATGATAACAGTAACCACCCAAGCTACTCACCACTCTCCATACAATGCGTCCCGTCTACTCCATCATCTTCATATTCTTTACCACTTCACCCAACTTCCTTTGCAATCACACCAGCTTCAACACATACAGTACACACTGCAAATCAAGCATTCTATCATCCACCAACCAATACACCAGTTAACGACTATCCGTCTCCATTAGCCTGGCAATACACACCAATGTCAGAAATCATCTCTTCCTCCCAAGACAGCCTGTCTTCATCTTCATTTTCTTTCGACTCTTCTTCATCGTCCTCTTTCCTTCCACACACCTCAATCTCCTTATCCCACGAAGCCTATCCGCCTTACACAATCAGTGCCTCTAATCTTGATTTTGAACTTGCCATGCCACCGAAAAGGCGTGGACTTCTTTCAAGCTCAACAGCACCACTAACCACTATTAAAGCACAAGCACAAGCACAAGCACAGCCACAATCATTAACATCAGAACAAGTATCAGTATCAGCATCAGCATCAGCATCAACATCGCCATCAACATCAACTTCAGCATCAGTATCAGCATCAGCCTCAGAAGCACCACTAACAATAGCAGGATCAGCAGGAGCAGCAAGAGGATTATCAAAAGCTATCCAATCAAGAAAGAAGCGAGTCTATGCTCACCAGGAAAACGAGACGCCTGCACGAAACCTTATTTTAAAATCTGTGCCTGAAGACCCTACTTTGGACATTGACAAGGGATCCATGGACAGTACAAAGTAAGTGACAGTGTCTTTTACTCTTTATTTCTTCTTTCTTTCTACAATTATTACCATTATTTTCTGGGGGAGGGGGAGTGCTAAAGATCATTATTACATAAACACACACACACACACACATACACACAAAATACAAAGCAAAAGGCAAAACTATCTTTCCGTGCTTATGCGAGCAGGAAATTTATATGTATAAAAAGAGCAAAAGGAAAAAAAGGAAAAGGGGTGGTTGGTTGGTTGGTTGGTTGGTTACTTGGGGCGTGAAAATGCTTATGGAGAGTTCCAGTCAATACGGGGGATTTTCCACAGACACTATAGATAGACAAAAGCATGCACTTCGCATTGGCACATAGTATATACATACATACATACATACATACATACATACATATATATATATATATATATATATATATATATGGGAAAGAGAGAGAAAATAATAATAATAGCTGGGAGGGTGGCAAAAAAAAGACTTAAAAAAAGATGGCATCAAACAGGAGGCACAAAAGGAGAAGCCTATATAGTAATATATATATATATATGTGTGTGTGTGCCTATTAGTATATACACACATATAATTATGGGGATTCAACTGCAGTGTGTGGTTAACTATAGAACTGCTTGGAAACATATCTAACATTATGTACTATTTCTATTATTGTTAATTAGGGAACTACGGTTTCACATAGTCCTTGAAGGTGTGTTTTTTTTAGTTTAGTGCTTTTTCATATAGTACCTTTTAATGTAGTGTAGTGTAGTGTGGTGTAGTGTAGTGTGGTGTAATGTAATGTGTAGGTTTATGCATCTGTGTCACTAGAAGCCAAATAATAATAATAATAATAATAATAATGTACCAAGGACAGCAAAAGGGGAGAAAAAGGAAGAGATAAACGAGGGACTTGGCTGTAATGTGTCCCTTTGATACTTATCATATTATTCTGTTCTCTCTCTCTCTCTCTCTACCTTTATAATTATTATAATTATTATATTAGCACCTACAGCAGCTGCTCAAAAGACAGGTGACGAATCTTTAACCTATCTAAACCGTGGTCAATTGTATGCCATTCGACTGAACGATACATACAGCTCTGCCGGAAAGCTCACCAGCACATTTGCACTGACATTCCACAACCCAGCTCACCGCAAAGTAGCATCCAATTATTGGAAATTTTGGATGAGCCAACAGAGAGCCACTCATCATGCCCGAGCTGTCGAAATAGGTAAAATGATCAATCTAAAAAAACAAAAAAATCAAAATTTAACGTTGAGTTTCCTTGCATAATCCTTATTTATTTATCTATTTATCTCTTTATTCATTCATTTACGTAATTGAACTTAGACCTCGATCGATCTGTTGGAATTGTTAAAGTACAGGTGTCTGATTTTGACCGTGTCTCATTTGAATGGGATGGAAGTCAAGGTGCAACTCTCTATGTCCGACTCAACTGTCTTTCTACCGACTTTTCACGCATCAAAGGAGTCAAGGGAATTCCAATGAGGGCCCACATGGAAACAAAGATGAACTTTTCAGCACCCAGTCCCACCTTGGGCTATTACTCAAAGCCATGTGCCGAAGATTCTGACAGCCAATACGGTACTTACGACTATGTCGAGAGCTGCTTCTGCAAGATTAAATTGTTCAGAGACAAGGTAAAGCTTTATTATTTAGTATCAATATGTAACCTAGACAAATATACGAAATATTAATTACTTTTGGAATATTGTGTTCTATCAAAATAGGGTGCTGAACGCAAAATTAAAGATGATGCCAAGCAGATCAACAGGCATCTTGAAAAACTTTTCTGTAAGTAAAGAAGAACCTTGATATTTAGAATAATAATAATGATTAACACTTTAAATTTTAATTTGACTACACAGCAGAAGGAAACCACAAGACAAACCCACTGTGGAATATCTATAACCGAAGAGCAATTTCGCACAGTATATTCCAGTCCATTCCGTCTTCTCCTCTCGCAGAACCATTCAAAGATGAACCAGGGCATTTTGATATCTCTGACAGCCTGTTCACACCCCCATTGCTCATTGCAGCTCCATTTGACACCACATACCCATCATATACTGATGGCTTTACGGGAATTTCCTTGGAGAGTGCAATGAGAACCCACCCAGACGTCGATCTATTATCCGCCATGAACAGCAATAACCTTTCTTCAAATAGTATGCTCCCATGTCAAACAAGAGGTGAGAATAAGAAATGAAGCTTTCTTGATTCCTTGATACCAAATCTTTTTAAAAAATAATAATTCACAATAGAAAAATAGTATTTCTTGTAAATATATGTATACAATACATTATTAACCCTTTATTCTTTATATATATATATATAAAAAAAAGGAATCAACTTTTATGTCGACATCAAAACCACACAGCATCAATGCTTTCAGGCTTCTGCATCCAATTCTTCCTCGTCCTCCTCCTCAAACTCCAACTCCAACTCCTCTCAAGGAAAATCCCCTCGCTTACAAGCCCTTTATTTGCCCTCCCTCACCCTGAACGCCTTGATCAGCTGTCTGTCAGATAAGCTGTCACTACACCCAAGCCAAGTATCCGAAGTTCTCTGCGCCCGCTCACGTCGGCTCGACACAAACACCTTGTCTGGATGGTCCGAGAGACGCAAGCAAGACGAAGAAAGCTATATGCCCGTCACAGACTCTGTGCTGGTCCAGTACCTGTCGGATCATGCTGTAATGTTGGTAGAATGGGAAATTAAGCCAAATGGAACCGTTCGATTATTACTTCAGTTTTAAATCATTAGCATTGCTACCATTATTCTTATTCTTACTATCACTATCACTATCACTATTTTTATTTTTATTTTTATTCTTCTTAAATTATAATTTTTCCCAAACGCACGCACGCACGCACGCACGCACGCACGCACACACGCACGCACATTACGCTACGCTACGATACGATACACTACGATACGCTACGTTATGTTACGTTACGTTACATTACATATACTACCCTTTATTCACCCTTTTTCTTTCTTTCTTAAATATTTCTCCTAAAAAAAAAATTATGCGCAAACCCAGAAAAAAGCGTGTGGATTCACTGCCAAACTGATCAATGAAAAATGAAAAGGAAATTAATAAGAGAAAGCAAAAGAAAACACGGGCAGAAGATGGAAAGGAAGATACTTAATAAACTTGAACTCTCCTTCTCCTTCCCTTGTCTTCTTTCCTTTTCTTTTCCTTTCTATTATTTTTCTATCTCTATTTTACTTTTTACTTTATATATTGCCTTTTGCTTTTCTTTTCTATTCTATTCTATTATATTCTATTCTATTATTATCATTGTTTTAATTTCCCTAATTATGAATTTCGTAAATAAATGAAATATTGAATATTATAATAATAACAGAAAAGAATACGGAATTTTACATTATTGATAAAGATGTGTTTAATTTGGTTTTATTTGTTTGGTAAAAGTAAGGAAATGAAAGGGAAAAAGAAAAAGAAGATGTTATAGACAAAATCAAGAATGTACAATGAGGTGTATAAGAAAATGAAATTTAATGTGAATGTAGTGTACAAGGAAACACACAGATGAAAGGAGAGGAGTAAGAAGAATAAATAAATATAAGTAAAATTATAAGAAAATAGCAATAACAGTAGTAATAGTAATAAAGTCATCAAAGCATTTTCCTACTTATGTACAAGAAGAAGAATAAAGGGGAAAAAAAGGGAACTTTTTTTCTTTTTCTGCCATATAAAAATAAATATATAAATGGCTTGTGTATGTGTATATGCGTGTAAGAGGTAGAAAGAGAGAAAGAGCTTGTTGATATATCTTTGCCTTTGCCTTTGCCTTTGCCTTTGCCTTTTTACAAACCAAGTAATATATCGAATTCCTGATTCCCAGTCAATGGATCGTATTTAGAGTCTGTAGGTCCAAAGTTAAATACATCATTTAATCCAGTCATCCAGCCTAGTTCCTCTCCATCCTTGGGTGTCACCACAGACGAGGATCCATAGTCTTTCTCGCCTAAATGTTGCTCCTCATCACCCAGTAAATGTTCAATATCTGCCAAAGAAAACCGAGATGCTGTATCCGACAAACCGTCTGTTTCAATACCCTTCATAATATCAAAAACCGCATCATTGTTATTCTGCATCTCAGCATCGATAAACGGCGTAGTAGAAGTAGAAGTCAAGCTGCTTGGCTCAGAAACTAATGTCAATCAAGCATACATAAACAAAAAAGTGTTTGAAAAATTGAGTGGGTTTGATTCCTTAATATGCATCAATAGTTGTGTGTCTATACTGTTAAATACACGCACAATGATAATGATAATAATAAAGTTTTTAAAAAAAAGAAGACTTACAGGAATTCAAGACTTCACTATTATCCATGGCTACATTGACACTGGAATCTAAGCGCACTTTCTGTGAGGAGCTATCCAAATGCTCTTTATTCGAAAGTAATGCACCTTGCCTACAACTGTTATCATTGATAAATCCAGGTGGCTTTGCAGCACGAGATCTGTGTCGTTTGGCAGGAAGGCGTCGTGTAGTCTTTATGAATTCTTCCAGGGAATCATTAAACGGGTAATCACACTAAAACGATAATAAGAAAAAGAAAATACGTTGTATACAATTCGTGTATGTGTGTGTATGTCAGAGCTCATTTCTTTTTTCTTTTTGTTCTTGTTGTAGTTTCTTTCTTTTATAATCTATTATTCTAGATCTTGGATTTTTTATTCAGTCTCTTGAGGATTACTTGTACAATCTATTTATACAAGTGCGTATATATAATATTCTTACCTTTGTATCTGAGCACATTACAATTGAAGAATCTAGATGAATTCCAAATTCTTCAACAGGGGAAAAGCACAAAGGGCAAGATTTTCGAGATCGTTTATTGGTGGTCATGATGTACAATGGAAAAGAGACAAAGAGGTTGATAGAGAAAATGAAGAGAAAGAGAGGAAGTGTATTTAGACCACAAAAGATAAATAGATCGTGTCAGGTCTATAATATATATATTTTTTTTTTAATATTTTTTTTTTGGTAGGCTTCGTTGCGTATAATTAATACAGTGTACAAATAGTGTGTATCTCTGTGACAGGTCAAAGTGATTCACGCAGCAATAAAAAGTAATATATATTTATGTGTGTGTGTGTGTGAGTATGAAAAAGGGGAAAAATAGATTTTTGTAATAAGCAACACCGACTCTCTCTCTCTCTCTCTTTTTTTTTTTAAAAAATATATTTTCTTGACTGGTTTTCATGTTAAAACGCCGATTACATATTTAAATACCTACGTATCCGATAGCAATACTTTGACCAAAATTTTATTAATATGAGGTGCGACAATGATATCTTTATAATTATGATTATTATTTGCGCTTGATTATTCCTAGAAATGCAAATATAATCTCAAATACCAGAGTATTTTTTTTAAAAAAAAAGTCTTTTAAGCCCTAGATCAAAGATTTTTATTTTTTGCTTTTATACTTTTATGCTTTTAAATCAATTCAAGCCAATAATTTCTTTCAATTTAAACTCAAAAGTATAAATCTAAAAGTCTGAAAGACCTCTGAACACCCCTAAATTAAAGTTGGTATAAGTTGCGATTTAATATGTTTAATCACCACCTTCTGATATTAAATCTGAGACTTTAATTTGTCTCAGAAAAAAAGAAAGAAAGAAATATATCTATATAAAAAAAAAAGGGTGCGTACCCTTTTTATTTTATTTTTATAACTCCCAAGGCTTGAGAATTTTAAATCTTCTCTTTCTAATTGATTCCATTATTCAACCATGGCCACTGAAAATAAGAAAGCTCTTGTGTTCTCTATTTTGGAGTTCCTCCAAAAGTCTTGCAATGACAACACCATCAGTTCAGATGATGTTGAGGGCATTGAAGGTAAGATAATAATAATAGTAATAATAATAGTATTACAAATACGCGTACGTGCGAATTTATAATTCCCAATATATATATATATATATATATATATATATACATCTTTGATGCTGTTTAAATCTAACCTATAATAAATCTAGTTGCCATGCAATGCATCGGTGAGGCCTTTGGTGTAGACACCGAAGATGCTCAACAACAGGCTCTTTACAGCACCAAGCCTGCCAACCTTTTGTCTATCTTTGAGGTCTATCTCAAGACAAAGACCAAGTCAAAGGCACAGGTAAAATAATAATCTTTATATATATATATATATATATATATACAAATATCTGTACATGCATACACATGTATAGAGATTCTCAAAATTTAGACCATTTCTTCTTATTCTTTGTTATTTTATGGAAAAATTCTAATAATATGATTTTTTTTTCTTTTCGTTTCTTTTTATTCCCTTGTGTGACTATAGTCTCCTACCCCAGAACCAGTCAAATGTAAGTTTTCCTACAGTCTAAATCTGTTTGACATTTTACCAAAAAAAAAAAAAAACAAGGAAAAAAGAAAAAGAGATATAAAAGGGGGATGTTTTCTTTTTTGGAATCGAATTATTGATATTGATATTAATATTAAAATTATTCTTTTATTAATTTTAATATATATGATTTTTTTTTAGCTGTAATTATCATGACAAATTTGATCCGCTACTTCAAAAAAGAAAAGACGAGTCAAAAACATAGATATAGATGATTAATGGCGTGTGCGTGTGAATGGGTGTATATAGGTCGAGCTCTCTGAAGAGGATAAGAAAAAGGCAGAGGATTTCAAGGCAGCTGGTAACCGCAAGGTCGCTGAACGCAACTACCCTGAGGCCATCAACCTGTACACCCAGGCTATTGAAATTAACGGTAACCAGGCTGTGTACTATGCAAACAGGTAACAAAATAAAGAAGGAGAGAGAAAAGGACATATAAATGAATTGGAATAAATATATAAAAGCGTGGAACTTAGTAGACTCACATCTGGCTATTTGCTTCATTCTATTACTATTACTATTGTAGAGCTGCTGCTTACAGTCAGCAGGGTGAACACCAGAAGGCTGTAGATGATGCCAAGCAGGCCATCACAATTGATCCCAAGTACAGCAAGGCTTATAGCCGTATGGGTCACGCCTTGTTCTGCCAAAAGAAATATGCCGAGGCTGTCGAGGCCTATGAGAATGGTTTGACACTTGACCCCGAGAACCCCACCCTCAAATCTTCTCTCCAGACTGCCAAATCCAAGTTGGATTCGACTGCTGTTGATAGAACCGAGGGTTCAAGAAGCGTTCCATCTGCACCAGAGGGCATGCCCGATCTCAGCTCCATGTTAAACAACCCTGCCTTGATGGGTATGGCCCAACAGATGATGCAGTCTGGTGCATTGGGTGATATGATGAACAACCCAGAAATCGCTAGAATGTAAGAAAACTTGGTATATCTTATTAATATGGATGTGGAAGAAAGAAAGAAAAAAGAGAGAAGAGGAGGAGGGAATTGGGATGAAGAAAGTAGAAAGTAGAAATCAAACAACTACAGATACAACTAAAATTGTGTTTAACCATGTCTTTTTATATATATTATTTTTTTTTATTTTTATTAGGGCCCAGCAAATGATGGGTAATGGCGGTGCTGGTGGTTTGGCAGAGATGATGCGCAACCCAGAAATGATGAACATGTAAGAATTTTTGGCCGAGATTTAGAGAGAGGAATGCTTTGGCTGATTATTGTTATTATTATTATTATTATTATTATTATTATTATTATTATTATAGGGCTCGTCAATTCATGGGTGGAAATGGCGGAGGCAATGCTGGAGGCAATGGTGGAAACTAAGTAGTCGATCACGGTGCATTTTTCATATATATATATATAAAACATCCATAAAAACATATACACACGCCACACATCATACGCCACACAACGCAGACACATCACACACTATATTATACACACACATTCTCACTCACACACTTAAGCACTCGCTCAATCACTCAGTCAACCACTCGTTTGCACGTGTATATTTTAACGGGTGACTCGCAAATGAACAATACAAAGTGTCGCAGATTTGTATGTGTATGTTTATGTTTATGTGGGTGTGAGAGAGTAGAAACTCCATGCACAATGACAAGACAAGAAAGGATATTATTGGGACCAATAGAATAAGGACCTGAAAAATGTGCACAAAATATTGCAAGAGGTCATGGCTTTAAAAGAGAGCATCATGTTTCTTGTCACAAAGGAGAGAGACTTACTGTTTGTCCGTATGTCTGTCTGTTTGTTTGTCTTTCTGCCTGCCTGCCTGCCTGCCTGACTTTTCTTCTTCTTTTTCTCCTACTGAATTGACAACCACTTACCCAGTCGACATGTCTAATATGCACAATAGGTTGTAAGGCTTATTGCCATGACAACTGTCCTTTGTGTACGTGTTTACTCAAAGTCTAGTTTGATAGAAATGATAGGCACGTAAATTGTTTGATAATAATCTGTGTACAAAATCAAAGTAAATAATATCAAATAGTATCAAACACCTAGGGTAAAATGACTAAAAGAAGCATAAGACGACTTTTAAATAGAGACCGTTGACCATGTTTGTGACAGGGCTACATATAATACTATTCTCTCTTTCTCTCTCCTCTTTCTCACCTTTCATTATTCTGTGAGCTCATAATGCTGCACACTAGACATAACAACCATCAATATCAATATTGGTATTAGTATTATTAGTATTATTAGTATTTGGTTTTTACTCTTTAGACCTTGACAGTCTTAATTCTACACTTGCTTCTTGTGTGCTCCAAAAAAAGAAGCAAATGAATAAATGTGGATTCTTGAATCGTCCATTATTCGCTTCCAACCCATGTGCCTCCCCTCTTTAAACTTTCTTTTGTATACAGCGTATTGTGTGTATATGTATGTACAGTATGTATTTCACGGGGCTAGGAGGCTATCTGTACGATGTTGCAGAATTTTGGGCTTCTTTTCCACGTCTACCATATACTTTTTTTAAAAAAAGAAAAGTATACATGTTGATAAAGAGAATTGTCTAGGTAGAAAATTTTGGGTGACAAGACACAATCCTCCAAACGGAATATCAAAAAAAGAAGAAAAAATTATCCCGCAGGTTGCTAAACAGCAGAAAGAATGACCTCACAATCCCTGTTCTGTTCATATAAAGAAACAGAATCACAGCAGAAATATAGATATAATTCACAGTGATTTTCTCCCTCTTCTTCTTCTGTACTTGCTTCTCGCTAATCTCCTTCTCTGTGGGCGTGTTTTTCTTTCTATTAAAATTTGTAGCAAATCTTTCTAAAGAGAAAGAAAAAAAAAAGAAAAAATTGTAATAGCTAAGACATATATACACTTATACGAACACAACATCGAATTCACATCATCAGCAATGTCAGAAGTATGTCCAGACTATCGAGAGTAAGTTGTATTGTATATAATCAACAGATCGCTAGAAATATTAGTTCAAATTATAGATATTCCAAACTGTTTCATGGTCCAGCAAGCGGAGGTCCACTTGGTCTGGCATTTCAACGACCAATAGAAGCCTGTCGTCGATTCACTAGTGATATCATTAATACAGTTATTGAATCTGTTGCCTCCAAAGTAATGTAAAGAAAGAAGGGTCTATGCCTCTAGTTTATTTCATTTTATTCTATTATATTATATTGCTTTGATTTATATCAAGTTCAATTGAATTGCATCGAATTGATGTAAAAGTATTCTTCTTATTTGGAATTTGTTACTCAAAACCTGTCGAAACGTTCACTATGATACACAGATCACAGATCTCGACCTTGCCCGTCTATTTGTTAACGCCTTTCCTAACACGCTCGACACAACAATCTGGCAGACAGCATGTATGAACCAAACAAACTGTCTGCCACTTTCATTTATCATAACTGGGGACATCAATGCCATGTGGCTTCGAGACTCTGCAAACCAGCTCTTACCTTACCTTGACTATGTAAAAAAAGATGTTGGTCTTCAGAAATTATTCTTGGGGGCAATCTATATGCAGGCACATTTTATACAGCTGGACCCCTACGCAAATGCCTTTGACCAACCCTCCAACCTTGATCTTCTAAGCCGACCGCAGATGATGAAACGAGATGTTGAAAGAAAACAAGGAGGTAATACGAGAATTTAGCTGGTACAAAATAGCTAAATAGCTAAATAGCTAAATAGCTAAATAAATAAGCAAATAAACAAATAAAATACCTGATCTATGTTTGGGAGGAAAGTAGAAAGAAGATACAAATAAACAGCATTGGTCAACTAATAATCATCGCTCAAACAAGAACTCATAAAGATCTGCTTTTTTAGTGTTTGAACGCAAATGGGAGATTGATTCACTTGGATCTTTTCTTGGACTTTCGTACCGTTATTGGAACACAACGCAGGATGCTTCATTTACAAACTCCACTTCTTGGATTAATGCAGTTGAACTGATTATTCAAACACTCGTCGACGAGCAAACGCCAACCTACATATCCAACCGATTGCAAACACCCCATTACACTTTCCAACAGCAGACCAATAGACCAACAGAGACCCAGTTTATCAATGGGCGTGGAATGCCGGTAAAGTACACCGGGATGGTCAAAAGTCTTTTCAGACCGTCGGATGATGCAACTGTATACCCGTTCTTCGTTCCCGGGAATGCGATGCTTTCTGTGGAGCTTGCGAATCTATCAAACATGCTCCACAAAACAAAGCAGCATGACAAATTGGCCTTGCAGGCAAATCAGTTATCGCGTCAGATTAAGAAGGCTATCTACAAACATGCCATTGTTCATCATCCGGAATACGGCAGAGTTTTCGCATGTAAAGTTTGTTTGAGCTTATGATTATCATTTTATTATTCTTTTGGTTTAGACTTGTACACGCGCATGCATAAATACACACATACATATCCATACTTTTTTTTCTGTAGATGAGGTCGACGGATATGGTTCTTCATTGATTATGGATGACGCAAATGTACCCTCTCTTCTATCTTTAAGTTTATTAGGGTTTGTCGAACACGATAATCCAATCTATCAAAATACTCGAAGGCTTGTTCTATCTGACAGCAATCCATACTATTTCTCTGGACCCCGAGGATCTGGCATAGGTGGTCCACATGTAAGTCTATACACAAAACAAGCAGACAACCAAACAAAAAGTGTACTGAAATTTCGAGCATTATTCCCCTTTATTTTCAAATTTTGTATTTACTGCTTCTTGAAAAAAAAATCGACGTAGGTTGATCTGAATTATGCATGGCCTATGTCACAAATCGTTAGGATACTATCGTCTTCAAATGATACCGAAATATCTGAAGCTCTGTCTATAATCCTACACTCTACTGATGGAACTGGTCTTGTACACGAGTCATTTAATGTGAATCGAGACAGTAAGCTCAGAGCTATATATATATATATATTCTAACTGATATCTAGATGACACGCCTTATACTCGTTCTTGGTTTTCTTGGGCAAATGGTTTATTTGGCCAAGCAATCTTAAAAATTGCAAAGGAAAGACCTCATCTTATTTTTAGGAAATCTCAGCTTTCAACATTTCCTACCTCTTCATTCCCTTTAATTACCATCAGAGGTGGCCCAGCGAAGATAATGAACAGACAAGGATGATGTGCCAAGACAATCTGTACCTTTTGCATACCAAGTTTTATTAAGCACTTATTTCAACTGTAGTATCTTTCTTATACGTATACGTATATATGATATCTATATTTTACCATTGTAATATCTCATCCCACACATCTTTGATTATGTACTTGACTATCTTGTGTATATTTTAATACGGATTTTTTCCCAAGGGACCTGTTTCCAGAAAGTAAAAAAAATAAATAAAACTAATTTAATTAAATGATATAATAATTGTATAAATACATATACGTATTATTTAATTTGTCATACCTATCCAGACTTCTTCTATTTTTAAGAAAAACAAAGCTTCAAACACTGTCCAATATTCAAAATCTGGTTGAATAATTTGAAATCTGTGATCTATAAATCTATCATATAATTCAACCAAAGTAGTCCGGTTATTTTTTCAAATGAACCATATGATATTTAATTGAAATTCTGTCACAATCTCATGCTTTATCAAAGTCATTTATCAAAAGTCAGATTTATTTTAGAAGTTTAGATTGCACACATTCAACTATTTGTTTTTATTCATTCATTTATTTACTTATAATATATGATAACCCTTAATCGAAACTGATAGGCAACAGGGGAAGGTAATGAAAAAAGAGGCTTCTTCTAAAACATAAAGAAATGCAATATGTGGGTATAAATATATACTATTCAATTATTTGAATTATGTTTAAAGGAGAATAGAAATATAGAAAGAGAGAGAAAATAAGTGTTTTTACCTGAACTTTAGTATATCGTGTTTATAAGTTAAAGACTTGTAGACAAAAAATATGTTCATTTGTTCGTGAAGCCGCTAATGCTCTTGTTGGGCATGTTTTTGATGGACATTCTTTCGGCGTCTATGATAATGTTCTTCCTTTTTTTGATTCTCTTGTTCTTCTCTTCCTTCTCTTTCTATCACTTTCTCACTTTCTCTTTTCATATCTTTTTCTCTTTCTCTTTTTCTCTCTCGTTTCTTCTCTTTTTTCCTCTCGCTTATTCTCTCTATGTTCTTCTTCGTTGGTATTATACTGGTCTGCTCTACTTTCGAGGTGAAGTCCACTTTCTTATGCTCAAAATAAAAAGGGCTGGATATTATATCTTGCTGCGTTAGTCATGATTTCTATAAAACAGCATTATCCCCCACCCCACCTCCCTTCCTTCCCTACACACACACACACACACACACACACATGCACAAAAGAAAAGAAAAGAAAAGCAAACAGACGTGTACACATGCTTGTGTACGCGTGATTGTTTGCTATAAATTTGTTCTGACCTCTTATCACGTACCACCCAGTGCAAAGAGTGTCTAATACCAGACCGAGCCTCATGGCCTGGTACCAAAGAGAGCGCATAAATACTAGGTCATCCTTGTAGAATACCGATAGATGAGAAAGCGCGTGGAATATCTGTGGAGTGCATTCGGCGTAGCCTTGGAGAACATCGAGTGCACCCGGACCTTTGTAATCGAAAATATCAGTGGGGTGGAATCCGGTGGTAATATGAAAAAAGGCAGGGTTTGTGAGCCCCATTCTTTGGCGTAACAACTGCCCTGTGGGCCAGTGGATCACTCGAAAATATGTTTGGCTGTGGTTGTTGACAATACGCCCAGGGCCTAGATCAATAGGATTCTCCCAGAAATCAGTGCACTGAGATTTAGCTTCTGCCAATAGTTGTCTGAGAGAGTCTGATTTTGTTTTATTTGTCATTGGCAGTTGTCGTTTGCTGGCAAGTTCTTTGCAATCAGGAGGACTAATGACTGTGATGTGGAATTCATTTCCATCGCGCTGCTGACGATTCTGAATATAAGGAAATGGCAAACGAGTAGAGTCTTGACTACCAATAAAATCAATTTTTCGGCCTTTAAGACATAGGTAGGTATATGATGCTTTAAGTTGAAAATCCATTGGGTAGCAATGATGAAAAAATGGTAAATATGTATGAATTAGAGAATAAAAAGAAAATGAAAAAAAAAGGAATCTTGAATCGCCATTTTTTTCTCTCCCCCTCCCTTTATTATAGCTGTTGCAGTCCAAGTGACTGGTAAAACTGCGACGTTTCTCTTTTGTTAAACTGTAACCCAAAAAAAAGTCTCTAAAAGTGAAAAAGAAATAAGAGAGCTTGATTCAATTATCTTTTTAAAAAAAATATAACAACAATAATATGATTCCTGCAAAGCGTAAACCTAGTCATGCATCACCTGCCAAATCAGCTAAATCAGCATATTCACCTTCAGAAACCGAGCTCAGTACATCATTAACATCAACTATGCCTACATATGGCCGACCATTATCCACAGCCGCTGCAGCAGCTGCAGCCATCAAACGCACACCATCAACGGGATGGATGCCACGCCGAACAAGTGGTAGTACACCTACTCCAACACCCAGCTCACGCCAAGGTTCAGTCGACATTGATCGGGATGAAATTCCTGTACAAGTAGAAGAAGATGAAGAGCCTGCACCTGTAGATCCTAGTGTTCCACTTTCACAACCAGCACAAGATGTTGAAAATGAAGATGACGATGAGAACAAAGAGGAACTTGTGATGGATATGGATGCACACATGCAGGCACAAATGGAAAAAGCAAAAGAAGATATGAAGTAGGTAAAACTCTCATCTGTTTCTATCTAAATGAAGGTTCAAGTGGAGTTGCAGGAAAGTGGTGATTTAAAATCATGAATTTGTTTGTGTGTTTGGGTATATATTTTTTTCATAGGGTTCTACTAGAGAATTTTACAGGAGATCAACTTCATCGTTACGAGGGTTATCGTAGATCTGCTCTAAATCGAACAAACGTAAAGAGGGTAAGCAATAACAAGGTAAATCAGGTTAATACATCTTTAATTCATTTGGTACTTGTGTGCATGTATGTATATATATATTGCCACAGTTGGTCAGTCAAGTATTGAACCAGCAATGCTCGCAAACAATGGCATTTGTTGTTGCTGGCTTTTCAAAGGTGTATGTAGGAGAGATCATCGAGAAAGGTAAATCCAATAGATTGTGGACTCTTTGAATGTTTGGAGCCTATTTAACCTTTTCTTTCTCTCTTTTGTAATTATGCATTGCAAAAGCACGCGAAGTTATGGAAGAATGGGGTCATTCTGGTGCTATCAGACCCGAGCATTTGAGAGAAGCTCATCGCCGTTATAAGAAAGAGCGTGTCAAGAGTGCCTCGATTGGGAAGAAGCTTATCCAACGTTAAAATTTTCTTCAAAATATGCGAACTTCTTTGGGGGTAGTTAATTATACTCTATTAAAAGCCATTTATAGATAAAACTCAAACAAAAAAAAATGCCGGAATACTACATAAATTTATACTTGGCTTTCCAAAAATGGGCCAAAGGCAAACAACCGTTGACATAATATTAAAACGGCCAAAGCCTTTTTATTTTTCTTTCTATTTTTTTCTATCATCATCATCATCGTACCAAATACTCTTGAGACATTTGCTAAGATATTCTCATCTCTCTTTCTCTCTCTACTCTCTTTCTATTTTTCTATCTATTTCTCTTCAATTTTATAATCCGTAAAAAATAAAATAAGCAAAACAAATGGACCTTGATCTATTTCGACCGCACAGTCAACGTCGTTATGTCCAATCAACCCAAAGGGCTTTGAAGAAATGCTGCGGCTGCATTCATCTGCGGACAGGTGCATGGATTTCTTGTGTTCTGTGGGCAGTAAGTCAATAAAGGAATAACTGTCGCTATTTTTTTTGACTTTGTTTCTACTGTTGTTAGGGCTTTTCATTGTATTTTGCTATTATGTCTTTCCAGAATAAAAGTCGTATGTAAAAATAATATATATATATATATATTATTGCCTTGAGAAGTTCGAGCTAAACACTGTTTTGTACAGCATTTTTTTCTTACTTACCCAGCGGTCCTATCATGGCTTACGGAATTACCAATCTTGTGTTGACACTAGTGTCATTCTGGGGCCTATTTGCTATATTTTATGTACGATATTCCAAAATTGCTCTAGTCCCAATAATAGTCACTGACATGTCCATTCTTAGGATGAGCCAAATTTTCTTCGCCCCTTCTCGCATGCTACTTGGGTGGGCGTCATGGCTGTTCTGATTGACGGCTTTGTCAATGTCATTATTTTTATCACTGTCCACTCTGATTATCAAGACTGGTGTATTATTGAGTCTGGCAATTCACTTATCACGAAATTCAATAATGCAAATATCAACCTAACTATCCCAACTGAAATTAGAACCCTAGATCTTTACAACTGCGAAAAGTTGTGGGATAATGAAGTCAAGTTTAGCTTCATTGTTATTGTTTTTATGGTCGTAATCTATGTAAGGACAATTCTTTCATTGTGGACTATCCGGCTTCTAACAAATTTATGTCAGATCTACTGGGCAGCATGTATTCATTCATTGAGCCATAAAAGAGCAGCTATGCGCATTAAAGAGCGTAACATGATGGAGTACAACGGGCTCCTACCAGGTTCTCTTGGTCCCCCACCTCTTGGTCCTCCGCCTCTTGGTCCACAGCCGCTTGGACCGCCACCTATTATTCCTTTTGACCCAAACTCTAACGTCATCATTCTCAACAACACCAGGCCTCGAAAGCAAAAGACGTTCTCTTTACGCCACCTTAAACCACGTCGTAATAGTATCCACATAGAAACCAAGCTTGCACACGAAGCTCAGATCGACCGTTTACGGGACAGATATGCTAGAGATCAAGCTAGAGAGTCAAGCTTGTTTGGGTTCGATTTTAAGGTTGAGGATGGCCATGTGGTTGATATGGAACGTCCTTTACGGAAACCCGTACCTGTACTATCTTCCAACTTATAGCTTGCTAGGCAGATATTATTCTTACATATATACACATATATCCTTCATTCCCTCATTAAGTAATAAAATCATATAACATCAAAGCTATATATTCTGGACAGAGCTAAAATAATTCTATAAGCATGTGTGTAGGAGTAAACGTAGATCTCAGAAGGTTTAGTTTCTTGGAAGCATCTTATCGCATTATTTTGTTTTATTTGGCTTACTTGTAACACGACTTTTCTTTGTACTTTGTTTGCACTACGATGACTCTTTTTGACGTCGAGTGCATGCTGTTTAAATCCAAGAAATCAACACTCTGTATCGGCTCCCCGGACCGGACTAGGGCCACCAATCAGGTACAAAAAAAAAGCAAACTGTGGTTTGTGAACAATAGATCACATACAGACATACAGACATACATACATACATACATACATACATACATACATATATACACATCCCCACGCTATTCGTTTCATACACATGTATAATTGAACTCAATTGCAGCAAACCCAGCAGGGTACAAAACCATAAGACCTTTGGACTTTTGGAGTTTTAGTCGATCCCCGATTTCGCGTGAGAAATGTGCTTCAGGAACAAGAGAGCAAGGGAGGGTGCCTATCCTTTGTTCTGCTCTATTCTGTATTTGCTTGTACGAGTCTTTAATTACAATGCTCAAAATGACTCAAGTTTTAAGTTATCATTATCAATAGCATGTAAATGTGCGTTTACTGGTTGGCAGTGTATGCAGTTGTATACAACATTAATACGAGCCCTGATTGGTGCAGCTGCATAACCAAGATCCAGTAAAAAGGATATCAAAGAAGAGTCCGCTCGTTTATATACAACTGGATGTTCCTGATCTATCACTTCATTTAGATACTAATGCCCCGGTCTCACAAAAAGTCATAGTGGGTACTAGTAGCATATAAATTTTAATACATCCAAAGAAAATAAGAATCTGAGGAACAATGACTGTATTGGTCTCTTTGCGTGGGAAAGTTTTCAACATAGCTTTAACCCTTTGGTCCGGCTATGATTATCTCTTAATTGAGCGGTTATTCAAGTCGCTCTATCGGTGACTGAACGTGACTTTTCATCTTCCAATCTTCCCTTATATCTCCACAATTATTTATCCGTTTCTTCTTCCTTTCCTTACTCTTTAGACAACTTTAAGTATGTTCAACGCACGCTTATATTCGAGAATTCGCATCAATGCCCTGGCCCAGTCCAAGAGATTCAATGCAACTATCTCTAAGAACGCACCTTTAGATGTAAGATTCCAAATCAAGAAGTTTGCTCGTTTCTTTTAAAAGAAAATTGTAACACTCAACGCTCTCTTTCTCTCTTTCTTTGGTGATCTACATTTTATTACTAGGCTTCTAAGTTGAGCATCAAGACCGCAGATGTTGTTAAGCCTCTCGTAGCCAACAAGGATCTTGTATTCGGAAAGACCTTTACTGACCATATGTAAGTATCTCGAAATATCCCCAAATTGAAGAGTGAGTTTATTAAGCTTTTTTATTTATTTATTACTATTATCCAGGTTGACAGCCAAGTGGAACGAAGACAAAGGATGGTCTTCTCCTGAAGTCACCCCTTACGCTAAGCTCGAACTCGAGCCTTGTGCTGCTGTCTTCCACTACGGTTCAGAGGTAGGTTCCCCCCAAAAAACAGTATAGTATTACGGATTTAAAGGTGCTGATTTTATTGAAATTATATAGTGCTTTGAGGGTATGAAGGCATACAAGGATAAGAATGGTAAGATTCGCCTCTTCCGCCCTGATATGAACATGGCCCGTATGAACCGTTCTACTGCTCGTATTGCTCTTCCTGTAAGTAGACCTTCCTTTTTATTGATATTTAAGCATATATAATTTACTTAACAATTATTATTATATTTATATGTATATAAAAGCAATTCGATGGAGATGAGCTCATCAAGTGCATTGCCGAGTACTTGAAGACCGAGGAACGTTGGATCCCTTCTGAGCGTGGTTACTCTCTCTACCTCCGTCCCACTATGATCGGTACCCAAGAATCTCTGGGTGTCAATGCTCCTTCAGATGCTCTTTTGTTTGTTATTGCATGCCCTGTTGGTCCTTATTACAAGACTGGATTTGCTGCCGTAAAGCTGATGGCTACTACTGAATACGTTCGTGCATGGCCTCGTGGTACAGGTGATGCCAAGATTGGTGGAAACTATGCACCTGGCTTATTGCCCCAGCGTGTAGCTGCTAAGGCTGGTTACCAGCAGAACCTTTGGTTGTTTGGTGGTAAGAAGATCTAACTATATACGCTGAGATGAGAGATAGAGGGGCAGAGCAGGGCTTTAGACAAATAATAACAATATTATTTTGACTATTTATTAGAGGACCATCAGCTTACTGAGGTCGGTGCCATGAACCTCTTTACTATGATTAAGAACAAGCAGGGTGAGCTTGAGTTGATTACTCCTCCTCTTGATGGATCTATTCTTCCCGGTGTCACCCGTGATTCTATCCTTAGCTTGGCTAGAGAATGGAACGAATTCAAGGTTGTGGAGAGAAAGATTACTATGCCCGAGTTGAGAGATGCTTCCAAGGAAGGCCGTGTGGTTGAGGTGTTTGGTGCTGGCACTGCTTGCATCGTCAGCCCTGTCAAGACAATTTCCTACATGGGTGAAGATCTCAACATCCCACTTGATCCTAATGACTCTACTTCTCAGGCTGGTCCTTACACTAAGAGATTCAGTGAAGCTATTATGAACATCCAGTATGGAGAAGTAGAGCACCCATGGTCTGTGGTCATTAACTAAAAAAAAAAAGAAAGATTCTTGGATCTTACGTGACAGATAATATACTTTGTTTCTTTTATTCCCTTTTCCCACCCGCCTTTTTGTCTTGTTTTACTATACATACATAAAAACATACACACATATATACATACATACATATGTGTGTGTTTACACAAATATAATTATAAAGAGGAGTGACTTATTTTGGTTTGAATATCTATAGCGGTATTTATACTCGTTTATTCTTTATTTTTTCCTTTTGTTCTTCAACTGCCCTTGACACTTGTTCCATGTTCTCTTCTGCACGTTGAAGCATGGTTCCCAAGGTATCCATGTGTGCATCTAGCCTATTTTTCACTTCTCGAGATGCTTGTAATCGTTTTTCGATACTTTCTTCTGACGGGAAATTGTGCATTTCTGGGACCTCATAATCTAATTTACCCAACCATGCCCATACTGTCTCGCCTTGATCACTTGCCATAGGCTTTTGGGCAGCCTTTTTGTTGTCAGAGACACCTTGTGAGTACTGGTGAAGTCGCTTCTCAACCGTAGCAAGTTTGGATGCGATGTAAAAATTGATGAGCATCATAGTGCACATGCCAAATACAATCAATTGAGTCGTTGATGGTGCAGATAATTGTCTGATGTATCTGATCGCCTTATCCTTCCAGCCCAACACAGGTTCTTCGATATTCTTTGGTGTCTTTTTCAAGCGTCTCTTTTCCTTCTTCACCTTCCGTTTACGACGATCAGCCTTTGATAGACCAACGTGTTTTTGTTTTTCGGTGAAGCGTCGGAGAGCAGCTTCAAGATCTTTGTAATAAGTCATTTGACCATCAATGCAAGCCTTTTCTATCGTTGCTATGTAGATGTATATATATAGTAATCAGATAAAGATTTTTTATGAGTTTTAAGATATACCACAACTTACATTTCAACCAAGATGACTTTGTGAAATCTACAAGGACACTTACAAATACCCGAGTCTTTCCTTTCTCTGCCCAAGTAAGACATGTCCTTGTCTTGACACTAAATGCACCTCCCGATGGAACATCTGGAGTTTGTGTGGTAGTAATTTGAGTGACATAATCCTTAAAATCTTTGTGCATGATCTCTTCTGACAATAAACACCGGGTAGATTTGGGACCTGCGGAAGAATAAACTCGCTTATTAATTCATAGTTATACAAAAGAATAATGGAAATGTCCTTTTGTTGTTAAAGTGAGCTGTTTACCTATGGCACCATTCAATGGTTTTACATAGCTGATTTCTCGAACACGTTCTGCTCCTCCTTCCCCTTCTCCGTCCCCATTCCTCCATTCAGTAATCTGAATATCTAAGTAGCAAATCATTAAAATCCGATCTTTAGAACATACTATTTCTGGAAATAGCTACTTGACCAAATCTCCATACCTGTTGTTTTCTGGACATCGGCCAAGAATGTTTTTATAAAATCACCCTCATAAAGCAGCTGAAAAATCTTTTCCATAGGACAGTCAAAGATTTGGTCCATTACAATAACAGGATAATGACTGTTGTTCTTTCCGCATTCACATTCTGTCTTGTCCTGAACCTGAGCTGATTTTTCTGCCGGGGACGCTGGACGTGGACGTGGGCCTGCTTCAGATTGAGCTCTCTTTCTTGAAACTTCTTCTGGTGCCTTTTCTTTTAAAATTGGCAATGTAGATGCAGAAGATATCGATAGCTTAGGAGGTAGGCCTATATTTGTTGTTAAGCTTTCTAATTGTTTGTTTCTTGCTTAATAAAGATATACTTTTTTCCATGAGATTTATATCGTCGTCGTCATCATCATCGTCGTCGTCGTCGTCATCTGAGGATAATTCGCCACTAGATCCGATAGAGCTGCTACTGGAGAATGTGGATTCTGATGTATCACTTTCATAGTCAGTCTCAGATACTTTTTGACCTTCAATAGGTTGTTGTGGTGGTCTGACACATCTCCATACGTCGATCAATAAATCATAGGCTTGGTCTCTCGATAGAAAAGAGGCAAACGAATGCTAAAATACCAGTACAGAATTTACAACAGCAAAAATGAGGGTTTAATTATATTTAAAAGACCCTGATCCAATTCAACTTATTATACCTTTGCATGTAATGTCGATATTTGGATGGCATTTGGGATAATGATAGCTGTAGATCTCTTTTCAATCTCCACAATATCAGAAACCGCGATAACCAGCTAATAGAAATGAAGGATAATTAGATTTAAGCCACGCGCATTAAAGCAAAAAGAAAGAAGAAAAATGTATGTATGTATAGAAGAAGAAAAAACGTTTTACATTTGTCACCCAACCAAAGATGTTTGCGTTGAAACAAACATGATTCTCGGAAATATACATTCGACCTTGTAATAGGATTTCCTTTTGCAATGCACAGCCATAATCTATAGGCATCCCAATAATTCGATAGTTAATTAAGAGTATTATCAATAAAAAAAAAGCATTCAATACCTTCTATTAACATGTCTTGTTCTGGTACGCTGCGAAATAACGCATGAAAATCTGCATTTCTCTTGGCATTTGCCAAATCAACTCCACAACTCGAGGCAACAGATCCTACTGTCATATGAGTATTAACAACATTCAGATCGTCGCTTCGAGGCGGAGAATTGGATGAAGAAACAGCATCTTCATATGGGTCAACTGTGGACTGACTTGGTCCTCTAGATCTAGTTGTCTTTGCTGGCGGCAAAGGACCATCATCATCGTTGTCTTTAAAAGACACATCTGGTAAAGGCAAGGTTGGCAAGTTTGTGTTTTTAGCAGTAGCAACTACAGGCGTTGTTGCAGTCGTTGGGGCTGAAGTAAGGCCTGTACCAACAGTAGTCGCCACGGGTTTCTCGGGTACTGCGACAGGTGTATTTGTAGGTAAAGGTGCTTCTTGTCTTTGAGGGTTTGGGAAATGGTCCTGGAGAGAAAGTACGCCGAGAGATTCTGATGTCAATGGAGTTACAGGTGCTGAATCTAATGGAAGATGGAAAGCACCTTCAGAATTACGACGAGGTGAGGATGGCTCGGTGACAATCGTGATCTCTGTAGGTCTCTCGCCAGAGATTGTATTCGAATGTAGTCTACGGTTCGTGCTATCCATTTTTGCTTTGTTTGGTGTTTAAGATAACAAGAAATAGGAAGAGTAGAAGGGTAGAATAAACAGAAGTACAGAAAGAAAAATGCTGCATTTTAGGGAAATACGAGTGGGCCAATTTCCACAATTGGAAATTCTCTTGATAAACTAGTTGTAAATGTTTAAGCGGATCTTTTTATATACATATGTATCCATATGAAATTGTCTATATATTTTACTACACCGGATCACAATTGTGGTGTAAGTATTCTATAAACTTAATTTATTCTAAAGAATTTATGCGTAAATCTAAGCTTTGGAAGCGAGAACTTCATCGATTACTCTGACGAGCAGATCTGCAGGCGCGGTAGTAAAAAACGTGCTTGGATAGATCTTGCTTCTCCATCTAGGGTGAAGCAAGATGTGACAGCATCCTACATTGTGGGTTTCATAGCCCATCAATTCAATTGTTCCTTGAACATCAGGGTAAGGCAAAGCACCTGACGGGCTAAGAATAGGATATCCGGATGCTGGGTCCATCATATCGGCCCACATCCCCAGCCCTTTCAGTCGATTGGCAACTCGTTTACCCCAGTCAACAAACTATATAAATATATATATAAATATAAATATAAAGAAAACTTCAAAATGTATATTTTTAGCCTATTACCAAATCAAGTTTCTCATCCCTTTCACGGTTAATCTCTGGAGTACTGGCAGCCATGTCATGGAAGCACTTTTGGATTACAGGTACAACCAAGAGCTCTTTGCGTTGCTTTACTGACATATTAGGAAATATAGGTTCAAGCTCTTTTGAGAACCGAGGTGATGGCGAGTAGATTGCATATTCGAATTCGGATGAGTCATAGGTGAATCGAGTTGGTGGTTGAAGACAAGGTGATTTGTTGCGTGACATTCGAGGACAATCAAATCAATAGGAATGAAAAAAAATTGATGTTTATGTATATGTATGTATATATATATATATATATTTGTGAAGGGAAAGAAAAGAAAGAGATCAAATTAAAAAGGGGAGGAGAGTGACCTAGGTAATAAAGTTTTCAGTTTTTTTTTATCGGTGTCTTGGTGCTTCTTTAAATTCATAGAAATGAGGCGCCAGTTCAGCCAACCAGTCAGGGTCAATCACAGTCAAGTCATGCATATAGGCTTGGTTTGTCTCTACGACTTCATGAAACACGACGCATTTTGGATTACGATTAAATAGTACGGAATTAGGATGAATGCTCAACAGCACATTGTCTCGTACTGTTCTAAAATTCCCACTGCCATCGGGCTCTGCAATTGCTGCTTGTGAAAAGTAACCAGCCGTCAAGCACCGGCGAATAGCCTTGCTTGCATCTTCCCTACCCTGGTCGTTTGCAGGAAACTGACGGATGGCACTCACCAAAGGCACGTTGAAGCGTTTAAGATACCTAATAAGTTGTTGGCGGATACTGATGGCACGCGACAATGCTTTGAAGTTCAAGAGACGGTCATGGCACCACTTGCCAGACTTGTTACCCTTGTTTACAAACGCATTGTACACATTCAACAGACTGAGATGATCACCATCTTCCACCCAAAACTTGCGACGGGCTTCCATCACAAGTTCCTTTGGTAACCGTGACTGAACCCATATGTCCTGGACAGATAGCATGGCTGCAATTGTTACAATCTCCTCACTGCATTTAAACTCTCCTGACGCTAACAGGATCTTTCCAAGCATAGGATCAACCGGAAACTCGGCAAGCTGCTCACCAAGGGGTAGAGTAAGCTCTCCGACATCATTAATGGCTTTTAGTGAATATAACAGTTCAAGTGCACGGATCATGAGTTCTGCAGGGGGAGGTGTCAAAAAGTCAAATCGGAGAACATTTGCAATTCCAATCGCCTTCAGCTGCAGGATAACAGGTGCGAGGTTACTCCTGATTTTTGGTATAAGTATATCAATAATCACATATACGCTACATCTCAGTTTGTTTTACCGCTGGATTTCAGGAATGCTAGTATCTCGAAGACCACGGTAAGTTTCTTCGGTGTATAGCCGAAATGTCTTTCCAGGTCTCACACGTCCAGAGCGACCTGCACGTTGGAGAGCAGAAGCCTTGGAAACAGGTGTTACTACTAAAGCCTCCATGCCTGTCTTTGGATTGTAAGCGCGGACCTAAACGTGTGTTTGCTTTTTTTTAGAAACTCTTACTCTCAATAAATATATATACGTGTGTGTATTTATGTCGTCCTTACTTTGACAAACCCACAGTCAATCACGTATACAATATCTGGGAGTGTAACAGAAGCTTCTGCGATATTGGTCGAAACTATCACTTTTCTTGTGTTGTGAGGTGTGGGTTTAAAAACTGAAAGCTGCTCTTCTGCTGTTAGCCCAGCATACAAAGGCAATGGCATCAACTCCTTATACTTTGAAGGCAGTCTAATTGTAGTGTAAGATGATGCTTTTGTGGTTATATTTTCAACTTACGTCTTGGATCTCTCGTAAAGCTCGGATACAATTGTGTCTACTTCGTCCCGGCCAGTCATAAATATCAAGACATCTCCCGAAGGCTCCTGTTAAAGTCCCTTGGTCAATTAATACACCGTTAGTTGACATGAGATAAAAACAAACCTGTGTGTGAATATCAAATACGGTTTGGATGGCCTTTTCGACATAGTCGGACACAGGTTCATCTGTGTACATAATGTCCACTGGGTGCATACGGCCTTCTAATGAAATTATGGATGCTGTATCCTTGCTTTTATCCTTGGATGTATTGCGATTAAAAAATCGATAAAATGCTTCAGCATCCAGAGTAGCAGATGAGATTATCACCCGTAAATCAGGCCGGGTCTTTTGAATTCTGCAGATTTTCGTTAAATCGAGATTTCTTAATTGTACACCTTTTGAAATATCACTTACTTCTTTATAACACCTAACAATATATCTGTGTACAGACTACGTTCATGCGCTTCATCAATCATAATTACGCTGTACTTTGTAAGAAGGGGGTCGATCATTATCTCACGGAATAGCATTCCGTCTGTCATGTACTTGATACGAGTCTGGGACGATGTCTGATCATCGAATCGGATCAAATATCCAACCTCTCCACCCAAGCGACAATTTCTCTCTTCGCACACGCGTAGGGAAACCGATGTGGCAGCAATTCTACGTGGCTGATCATAGTACATTTAAGATCCCCACACTTGTAATTAGGATTCTAATTTTTTAATGGTAATTACCTGTGTGCAGGCTACTTGTTTGCCATTACGTGTCCATCCTGCTTCATCCAGATATTGTGGGATTTCTAAGTAGAATCTTTAAGTGAATTAACTTTCTACAGAGTACATTTTTAAAATGCAAATGATCTTACGGGTCGTTTTTCCAGATCCTGTCTGACCCACCACAATTACAGTCTGGAAAATTTCTACAAGATAAAGTAGTTCTTTACCTGTGTGTTTATTTTAGTATCATTAATCAGTAAAAATCCAAGTTATATATATTGCTGCACTCACGTAGCTTGAATACTGGAAGACGTTCTCGTTGTTGCTGAATGGACAAGTGGTGAAACTGGGCTTCTGCATGGGCAATTACGGTTGCATTCGTTTCATTCTCAGTATCACGATCGACAGCACTGCCTAAGAAAATAAGAGAGAATGAGCTTTGTGGATCAGTACTGGGGAACTTTTTGTAATGATTTGTATGTTATTATTATTACCAGGCGCAACAGTTCCAGGTTTCCAGAATGACATGGTGAACTTGTCCCTCTTTTCTTTTTTGGCAAGTTCAGTTGCTTGGTCTAATAAGATATTGTGATGCGGGTTATGAAACTTTTTCTCCAAAAATAATAAACTTGCTGGATTTTCCCAAAGAATGGGCGCTATTTTACATACAATTTAGTATTATTTTTTACATTATTAAACTAGCTTAATGCATATATAACTCTATTACATGCTCGTAATAGGCAGACAGTCTATTGTATTTTAACTATAGAAAAGGATAGTCTAGTGTACGAGAGCCTTATCAATACTTCTTTTAGCAGTTATTATTCTGCCAAGTTTGTCAACACGTGCCTCGTATATATACATATATCTAATAGGTATGTTACTTTTTTTTCAAGAGATCTTTGGAACTTGGACTTATACTTTCTTTTAATGCATCTACTATAATTTGAAGCATTCTTATTTTTCTATACGAATAAGATCTAATTTGAACAGATTCCAAGCCGGCAAAATTTAAGCTGTTAAAGATAGTCAAACTGAAAAGCTTAATAAATTTAACCAACGTATTGGCTATTCAGACATTTTAATCAAATACAAATACTATTTGTTCGAATTTGCTTATTTCATCTAACTTCACCTAAGATTATTTTTCGTTTTATTGACTAAATTTCTTTTATATTAAGCAAATATACTTATAGCTAGTACTGGTGACAAAGTTGAATTCACCCATCACAACAGTAATACCAGCAAAACTGCTGTAGATAAGTTCTTGTTTATGCAAATATAATTTCCAACAATGAGTCGATATTTACATCTTTAGCGCTAACATATTATACAAACAATAATAAGTATCCAATTTCTCGGATCTGCTTTAACATCAGAAAAAAAAATGCTACAGTACAAATATCACATTTTATCTTTGAAAACCCAAGACTTTTTCTTATTATTATTCCATAGAGCTAATAAAAATTTAAAGTATTGTATCAATCGACCAAATTATGTCTTGTGGAAATCAAATCTTGACTCTGTAGGATCCGCAATAATCAATTGTAATAAAATATCTGCCAGAATATATGGCTTACTAGAATAGCAACAGATGTGTTGCGTGTATAAAAGAAAGTTATGCCAATTTCACCATAAATGTTAATGTGCATGCTTTTTTTTAGACAGCTACAAAACCTGTGTGACAATCTCCGGGTTTTTGCTATGAAAGTCAACCGATTCTTTTATAATATAAAATATAAAATATTCTAGGCATCTTCTTGGTAAAGCGAGTTTACCTTTATGCAAAAAATGGGATATCACATTAATTATATCATTAAGATTGAAAAATATTAATTCGAGCCAGTATATATGAATTTACAAAATCTGGTGATAAGTGGTTCATGTTTAAACTCTGGGTTTGACTATTGAATTATATATATGTAAAATAAAGTAGGTACCTTAATCGTATAGATTCAAAATGCGTATAAAACCGAGAATATTACCGAACTTGAATGAGAAGTTCTATTTTTCTAATGCTAAAAATCGTGTAATAAAAATGCTTGGAATGAACACAAAGTTTCGACAACCCAAGTACAATAGTATAAAGAGAATAAATGTCTTTTTTAAAAAGACAAGCCGTTTTTAGGACTCCACTTGATTTTCAAAAGTGCATCGATCGCTTCAGGATCTGAGCAAGTGTGCCTGATATATAGAAAAACAAATCCGTACCTTATCGCTTACACTTGGAATTCATCTAGAATTTACAAAATTGGGAAATAGTATTTGGATAAGGCCTTGAGCTGATTCCTGCTGGTCAAATTGAATATATGCTTTCAATCCAAAGTATATTTGTGAGCTTTCCTAAGATATAGTATACTAACATTCGATACATTACTAAATAACGAGTATTAAAAAAACCAACAGTATTACACTGGTTTAGAACAAAGAAGAAATCCAATAGACTTACTTATCAGATAACTTCAAGGTGGAATAAGAAACGACACTTGCTGTTTCTATTGGTGCAAAGCAAGAATACTATTTATAACAAAGACATTGATATGTTTCTTATAAAATCTGGTTGGGCAGTAATGTAAATGCGGGTTTTGCAACAGCTGCAAAGAGAAAATGGCGATCGATTGTAACACCCTGGGATTTTGACTTTCTCTAGACAGATTGGAGAACAACGACTACAGCTTTCCTTCAGCATCGAAGTATCACACGGAGTTCTATTAGCACTTTCGTGTAACGAGTGAGAAAATAAAATTAGGCACCCCTATTTTCTTTTGCTTCTTGACAAAATTAGGCAACCTGTCTAGCCATTTAACATGGGAAATTCACAATCGATTGGACGTGTTGTCGAGGAAGGTGTCCAGATTTATCAAGCTGTTAAACAGCAACAACAACAACAGCAACAGCAACAGCAAAACCAACAAAACCAACAACATCAACAATATCAACAACATTCGTTCAATGGTTACCAACCTTCGGAATCACCTTACCATCAACCTGATTCAGGGGACGACGATTCTGAATATACTCGACTTCGAGAAATGGCCCACCAAGAGGCTGAAAAAAGAAACGACTGCTATGCAAGAAGCAAAGTAGCTTATCAAAACGGCGACGGTGGTCTAGGTACGCTTAAAGATATATTTTACCAATAAGCATGGCTCCTTACTTCATTGTACTATTTACACTGTCTAGCTAAACAGCTGTCTAACCAAGGCCATCAACATGACAATACTATGAATCGCTACAACAATCAAGCTGCTGATTATATCTATAAATGTAATTATATAACACAATATCATGTTTTAAAAAATGTGCCTTTTTTTTCTTAACATATGTCAATGGATAGTAAAAAATCAAGGGCGATCTCCAACCGAGATTGATCTTCATGGGTTGTTTGTAAAAGAAGCGTCGGCGCGAGTAGAAGAAGCCATTAAGCGGTGTGAGCGTGAGAACTATGATCATTTGATTATTATTGTTGGAAAAGGGCTTCACAGCACAGGTATTTTCTATTTTCTATTTTTATTATTTACAACAGATAAAGGTCAACCATTTTTTAAAAAATTATGACTGACAAAAAGAAATTGCACTTAGGCAATATTGCAAAACTGAAGCCTGCAATTTTGGACCTTGTAAAGCGCTATAATGTTCATGTTGAACCTAATAAGCCAAACCCAGGATGTCTTTTTGTTGAGTTTGGCAAGGGTACTGGAGACATGTCCTGGCTCGATCGCCTTTCAGACAAGATGGCTAGCAAGGAATGTACCATTATGTGAATTCCTATTCTTTTCTTCTTTCTCTCTTTCTTTCTAAATCTATGCCATAATTAAATCAAAGAACTACTATCATTCAAGTCAATTCGACAAAATGGCACAAGCCAAATCATTCACATAGCTATTGTAGCAAGCTTCTTAAAGCACAAACTTATTATCATTAAAAATACATTACATTGAAAATATCTATACGTATGAAAATGCTTAATATGATTTTTGAACTTCACAAGGATATCTCTTTATATTTTGGATAACGCGCATCCCTCTCAATTCCGTTATAGAGGCGGTCAATATGAGCGCATTTCCATCTTACATAACTTCTGGGAAAAGTGGTATCTCTAATCTCACGTTCCTCTTTTGCGTAAGAAGATCTGTCGGTACTTTCAATATCTGCGGCACGGCCCTGATTAAATCTAAAGGCTTTGAAATATGAGGTAATTTTTTCCTTTTCGTCATCCTTTAAAAATCTTGACCCTCCTTCTGTGGTTGCTGCAAGTTTCTTGACATTAAAATAGAGCCATATATCGTCAGTCATTTGTTTCTCATTTTTCTTGCTTCCAGTGGATACCGACCAGTCCTTAACCGAAATCGTGCTGTCATGTTGCGTTTTATTCAAAGTTTCTGCTCTATTGTCTTGACTGACAACCACGTAAAACACATTTTCCTTTGTAGACTCGTCTTTTCTATTTAACCTTTCAAAGGTTACTTGATGGAATAGCAGCTCTTTCAGCCGAGAGTGCTCCATGTTTATATTTATCTCTCTTTCACTAGATTTCAGTGGAGCTTGGACTTTGGCATACATCAATCGTACTTGGAAAAGCTGTCGGCAGCGGGTAGAGAGATAAAACAAAGCTTGAGATTGTATAGTACCATAGGATATCTCAAATTTTTCTAGATAATGAGGCTTCCAAGAGGATTCATCAGACTTTGAATAAGTAATGGTTCCTCCCTGAATGATGAGATTTTTCAGAGTTGGGCAATGATCTAGGACAACATGCAAAGGAATCAATCCTTGTTGGCTCTCTATTGTCAGTTTTTTTAGCTTAGAAAGGTAGCTGAGTCCGCCCAAGAAAGCTGCCGGTAACTTCGTATCTTTCCGAAGATAAAGAAAAAACTCAGAGACGTTCTTAAAGACTTGCGTGTCATTCTCGACAATCGAAAGATTAGTCAATGTGCCCTTTTCGGAATGATTTGGAGCGTAAACAAACTGGGAGATTTTGGCGCGCGTTTTTGAAATGAAGTTTATAAAGGCGGTTTGAAATTGAGGTCTCTCGATATCAGCTCTAAGCTTGGCTAAATAAAGACATTTAAATATGTGCTTTACATAAGGCCTTGACTCTATTCCTAGGTCGCGATATCTGTCAAATTTGTCTTGATCGAATCCAGCAATGCAATCAATGATAGCCAGATTTGGATATTTACAGCCCCAATAATACAACCATCCAAGATCTACCATGCTCACTTCAAATCTTACGGCTCTCATCCGGTAAGCCTTGGGTGTACTTTCCACTTTTGGTAAATCTTCTTTAGAAAGACTTTTAAACGCATGGCACATGACTAGCTCTTCAAGTACAGGCAACCGGGAGTGGATGGCTTCCAAGTCGTCAAGGTCACAAATGAATTTTTCTTTTGATCCGCCCTGAGAAAGGCCCAAATGTATGAGAGCAGGAATACAACTTAGGCCCGCTATAAAATCATTCTTGTATATATTATATCCATTCAAACTTAGCCTTAGGTGTGTCATGGATTTCCAGAACTTCCAGTAAGTATTGTTGCCAAAGCAGGTTGAGCTTAAGCTCCCACCGTCAATGTCTAATTTTTCTATCGATTGAAAGTGTTTTTGTAGCCATCGAATTAGTTTCGGTTGAGGGTCGTGTTGAATCCTTAGGTGTATAATCTTTACGAGAGGACAATACTGGGTTATATTTTCTGGGGAGGATGTAATGAATCGAATAAAAGCATTCAATGGGCGGCCTTCTTTTATTCTGACTCTGAACAACATGATTTTCATAAATGGAAAATGCCAAGCTTTGCACACTCTGGTACAGGCGAGTTTATCTCTTGTCGATATATGACTAGCTATGAGAGAAATAATCTCATATGGCAGTATTTTGTAACTCATAGAATTAAAGATAAGTAGATAATAGATGGTGTTTATGTGAGTATAAATGTATTTTCTTTTAAATATATACATACATATATATAGTCTCGAGAGAAATTTTAATAAGGAGCTGACAACTTCATAATTTAGCTACACAAAACAACTGCGTGCATTATAATATAAGCAATTCAAGCGGTTCTTTATGAGAGCTATGGTGAAGTCATCAGAATTTTCTTTAGGGTGCTGTAAATATAATGAACCTACACAAGCATATGAATAAAATTATAAATGACATTGTATCATATATTGTTCTACTAAACAGATCAGCACAATAGGCAAAACGGACAATAAGAAAGATGAAAAAGGATCTTTTCTTACAATAGATCCCTTCATATAAAGATATAGCAAATTCTCTTGTATATAGCTACATTTCAGCTTCTTCTTTTTTATACAAAAGTCGTTTCAAGAAAATATTAAATTAATTTAAGGTTTATAATAGTTTGTAGTTGTCAATTTATATACACCTTGTACCAAAACAAAATTTGGTCTTTGTATCACTCTAAAGATATTGGGAAATTTGGCTTTTTTTATATGAGAATAAAGACGCTTGATATATATCTATATAAAGTATCTTGTAATAAAAAGACCTTTTGAAAGTGGTCAAACTTTAAGTGTAACCAAAGTGAAATAATATCTAATGAAAATGGAGCTATAAAGTATCATAGGTTCAATGTCTTGCAGAGAGCTACGGTTAAAAGCCTGGTTATTTAGATATATCCTCCTTTTCGAACCCCAATTGAAATATTTTTTTTTAGCCAGTAGCCATATATTGTCTTACCATTACGGATACTCATAGAAATGGGATCATTGAATAATATTAGGAAGCTGTAATCGATAATGGCCAAGATTAGACGAGACATTCTTTACCATTTATTGGCGTATATACTTACCCCATAAATGTATGCTTTAACTATAGCCTAAACTATATTTTCTGGACTATTTTTACTAGAGATAACCAATACACAAATAATTTTTGGAAAATCAATGGATAAATATCACTTTGGGAACAGCTATTAAGGAATTAAACTCTTTCTTTCTTCCAAGTTATCTATTATATCATTCTTGTACGATTACAAACCAAAGAAGAAGAGAAAAGGTGTGGAACCATTGAAGAAGAACAAAATGCTGAGCCTCATGTAAGTACTATAGTTAGGGATCATACAAGTCTATCTTTTTTTTACAGGCAAAATCGTCATTCTGTTTCACTAGTGTGATTTAATATCATGGATACTTATTTGAAGTAAAAAAACAAACAATTGATCAATAAGAGTCATGAAATACTCTCTTGTATTTGATAAACATAGAAGCATAAATAGCTATAAATTACCTTGGAATTCAAGAAATAGTATTTTTGCATATTTGTCAATATGTTTAATTGTGGGACAAGATAGCTCTAAATCTATTTTCTAAACAGAAAAATAAAAGCAGGGATATCATTTTACACCCTTGGTGTCATCTTTATTTTTAAGCTAGAGACTAAATGTCACAGGTCCAACATAGAGTTTTTGCCAAGCATCATTGTTGTTTCTATGTAAGAATCTTAATTGTATCTGTATCTAGTTTTCATTGACACAAAAATAATAGTGACGTCTATCATATACCTTAAAAATCTATATAACGTAAAATAAATAAATAAAATAAGGCATGCAACATCCAAGATATCTATAAAGAAAAAACAATCGACAAACTCATGACCATCTACTCAAAAGAAATCAATAGGATGAGAAGCATCTATTATTCCGAGGTTTCATTGACGTTCTAATTAGTTACCTTTTTTTCGCGTTGTTTGTGGACCACAGTTTTCTAGAAGATTTAGCCACCCAGGAAGCAAGTTGTTTTATTCTAATATATATATTGTGTTTGATCTCGAGGTTGTCTCGCTCACAAAAAGGAATTTCTTTGACATTTTATACCGATCGCAGAGCCAGAAATAGTTAATTGTAACAATTGACCAGCCAATCACTTCGAAACTTCCGTATAAAGATGAATTTTGGATCATCTCCTTTTCTAATTGTTAGATAAATATTATAAATTCTTGGTATTCTTTTGTATAACATCTAGGCCGCAAAAATAGATTTTTTACAGCCTCACTATTTCTTTTTAAGCGAGGAATAAAAGTCTGTATCAATCATAAGACTTGAAGCTAAATACTCTTGTTGGGTTTAGTAAAGATCAAAAAACAATTACTGTTAAAGGTGTACAGAATAAGGGAAATTATTTAATGGCTTGGGTTATATTTCTGCTTATAGAGTATCCAACTATTTGATTAATTTGATAATCAAATAAATATATTCAAGTAACCCCAAGATTGCAAGAATCATTGGAAGGCCCTGTAGAAAAAGGAATGTTTAATGTTGATTAAAGAAACTTTTGGATTACAGAATACAAAACTTTACTGTACATGAAAGACGTACCAAATTCCAAAGCAGTTTGTGGTATGATATTTTAGAAATTCTATATTAATATATATATATATATATTAACTTATGTCAGCTCGAAGCTATACGAATTTCTTAATCTTATGTGCCTAAATACTCTTAGGAATACTAGCCAAAAGTATCTAGAGAAAGTTCTGTAAAATTAATTGGAAGAAAAATAATTTAGATGTTTGTAAGCAATAATATCCAAATATTTTAATCAACTAAGCTTTGTTTTTTACATATATAAAAATCTTGATGAAATTCCTTACAGTCTTTTAAAAGTGTACAGTATATAGCATTTCATTTCAAGTGCCTTTTGGGTACGTATTCTTACTAGGTTATATATAAGCCTCCGTTAAAGCTTTGAATATATAGCTTATTAACCAGAACTCTATGCCAACTGTAAACACCGTTTAGCCTCTTTATCATCACTTAAATAACTGGCTTTTAAAAACAATTTAGGCGGGTTATTGATACCTTTCTTTTCCCGTAAGAGATGAAAAAGACGGGATTAAATGATCAATATCTCTTATAGGCCAGTCGACTCCAATCTTGGAGGGAAAGCTCAGAAAAAGAGCACGGAAGTGACGTCATCACGCGAAGATCGACTGGAGCATTAAGACGATTGAATATTGCTGAACAGAAGATCTGCTTTTCCGCTATCCATACTCCCCTACCCTCATAACTATATTTCCTCCGTTCACTGTTAACGATAAATTTTAATAATAAAAAATGAGTCTAGAATCAAAAGCATTGTTGCCCGGACTTTTGGAAGAGGAAGCCAAATGTCAATTTACAAGGTTCACAAGCGAAGACGCTCTTAAGCTTGGTTTGGGGATCATCGATATTGCAAAGACCAATTTCACACGTCCTATTACAATTGATATTACACTTGCTGGTAACCAGCTCTTCCGCTATGCTATGGATGGTACTAGTCCAGATAATTCCCAATGGATCCAACGCAAAAGGTAGGCGCGTGATAATGAAACGATAAAGACATGGGGTAGTTTTTGACAGGCCTTTGTGCTCAGCAACACTGTATTGCGTTTCCGCCACTCGAGTTTCTATATGGGACAATATTGTGCTAGCCAAGGTGTCTCTTTTGGGCAAAAGTATTATGTGAGTTAAATAGATATTTGGCAAGATATCAATTCTGAATCTATTGTATATAGGTGAGCGAAACTGAGTACGCCTGCCATGGTGGTTCATTTCCGTTAATCATCAAAAACGTTGGTGTGGTTGGAACTATCACTGTATCTGGGCTTGCACAACAGGTAACATAGCAACGAATTCTTGATAGCGTAAAGCTTATCCAAGGCAAAAAATATTTGTAGGATGATCACAATCTGGTTGTAAAAGCTATTACGGAACATATCAAAACACAATGATGAATTTACAATTCTGTAAACACATGTATAATGCTACTTAGAAGTTAGTTTTTTCAAAGTACACTATAAAAACACATATTTTATATCTTTACAAGTCGAATGAAACTATTTATTCCCAATATACACTGTGTAAATCCCTCAAAATTTACACATGTTTTGATTCTAAAAGTGGCTACGATTGATTTAGCGTACACAGAATGGGAAATCAACTACATTATTATCCAATGGCTCAGGCTGCCACATAAGCGGATTCAGTGTAACCTGATTTTCTTTTGTCTGTCTTGCCCTTCAAAATGAGGCACAGTTGATATGACAATCTTTATTCATATAAAGTTTTTAATCCTTGACTACTTTTGTACGTTATTAGAGAATATATACATGTGCTCGAGTATTCTACCTATTTTGTATTTTTCTTATTATGTTTATTAAGGAGCGTTTTGGATCATGGACTCCCTTTCCGGGTAGTGGGACTGTAAGAAATCTAGACTAAACGTTTGTGCTTTATTAGATATCAATCTAATAAGTCTATTTTATATTGAATGGGTTACAAAATCAATGATATATAGAGGTAATATCGGGTTTTGATTGGCTATAAATCAGTTTCCTTTGGAAATATAAAAATATTGTTAAGCCATGAATCTCTTTTGTTTACTATTTATTGGGTGTAATATCATTACCATATTACTAAAGTAATTGTAAATGCAAAGTAAAATTAAACCCGGAATATAATAAGCCGAATTTCCATTAAATATTGGTTGGGAGCGTCCTGTCAAACTCACAAGATAAAACAAGAAGCCAAGTAGAAATACTCGCTTTTTTTTATATATTTTTTTTAGCCACCCAAAGTTTTTTAATAGATTTTTTTATATATAAGAAAATTCTTATAGAAAGTTTAGATTATTATGTGATTTTTATCATATCAAAGCTTTTTTTTTATGTCAGGAGGCTGAAGATCTAGTGTGTATGTGTATGTGTTTCAAAATAGTGATAAGAAACTCTTCAAGTACCAAAATATTAAATTCATAGATTCTTCTAAGAATTAAACGTTATATATGTATATAATCTTGAGTTTATCAAGGCTGGATAGTAGCTTTGGTGAACACCTTTTTAAACTGTTACTACATATTATTTGGAGTCGTTGCATTGTAATATAAAACCACGGCATTACGTTTTGAAGTCTTTAATTTAAGGTTTTCTCTCGCGTAATAGTTAGATACTATTGATCATATAATTAGCTAAAGTAAGAACAAAAGAAGGTAAAGAAAGGTAAACCAGACTTGATAGCAATGCTTTGTGCACACAACACTGCGAGTTGTTATACATTAAAAGGAGTTTCATTATATATATATAAGTTTAGGCTGTGTGAAACAGTTTTATAGCCTACAAATTGCAAAACAGACAAAGATCTGTTACTTGTTTTAAGGAATGGCTTGAGTAATTCAATATAGTACTTCATACTTCATTCTCTTGCCCTTAGAAATTCACGTATAAATGTACGATAGACTTTGCATAATGCCTAAAAGAAAGAAAGAAAGAAAAAGAGGCTTTACCCAGGTAACTTTCCATTAATCAGATCTATTTCTATATTTAGTTTCTCTCGCACCTTTTTAAGCATCGGATAATCCTGGTAACACGACAACCGTCCTGCCAAAACTTTTTTCTTGTTTTTACCTGATTAAGCTGTGCCCTGGAAATTGCAATATTCTTGTTGGAAGCATCCCACACGGACATCCAATACAAACCCAACCCACAATGTTAACAGAGATACACTCGTATAGCTATACTAGGCTATTATTATTTTTTATGCTCAACGGCAACATAAAAAAAATTAAATAAAGGTTAAAAGCTCGAACTAAACATCTTCTTTCTTATTCGCGTTTACTAAACATGAATTTCAGAAGTGAATCACCCCCTCCAACTTCTCCACTACATGAACATCTCCATCCTCCACAATACTTTGCATGGATTCCTGCCATCTGTACCTACAAACGCTTCCCTCGATATGTGGCTGCAGTTCTAGGATTAATATTTTTCTTACTATGGACATCCTTTGTATTGTTTAATACAAATAAGCAAAGCCAGGCAATAAATCCTTTAGCGAGCACAATACAAGAAATCGATGGATCATGGCGATCACCTCATCTACAAGGTAACACCAGCAATCTTATTAATAATCTCATTCTGATCATTCTCGTAGATCCTAATGGGAAAAGTGCAACCGAAAATGGAACACAGCTTCCCTTTTTACAAGCTCTACAAACATTCTCTGTCCAAGGCCACAGCGCACCAGCATTACTAACTCTAACTGCCCAGGTTACGCCTACACCAGCATCAATCACTGCCGTACTTACGATCAATTCAACAAATTCTCTTACATCCCAAATCAACTCCATTCTTGCTCAGACAGTTCATGTAGACCACATCTGGATTACCGCACCATCATCAATCGTACCAGCTGTTCAAAACGAGGTCGATAATTACTCTTCTGGTGTGTCCATCATGGTTTTTTCTGTAGATCCCTCTACAAGCTTTCCACCCGGTAGTGCTGGACACACCCCTTGGTTGAGTGTTTTATCCGATATCAAAACCGACTACACATGGGTAGTCCAGCAAGATGCCACACTCGACACACGTGCTCTAGCATGGGTATACAATGTCCTCCAGACAGATATTTACCAGAATGCTTTGGTCGGCACCCAGGGAAGTCTTTTGCCTGTACATAAAGATCGTTCTTCTTCCTTGTCCTGTGTTCCTGACCAGGCACGATCGCTCGATCGTACTCAGGCAGTAGACATGATTCACGGCTCATGGCTTTTACGTCACTCCTGGATTCCTGCCCTTGCTGCTTCCGTTCATCCAGACACACTTGGATTCCCTCTCGATTACCACATCAGTCAATCTCTTTTGCACAGTGCTGCCATTCCATCAATTGTTTTACCAGATCCTTACCATACATCAGATAACTCCCAGACATGCGAGCACATCCTGACAGAGTTTGAGTCGGAAAATCTGTGGAGAAAATCGCTTGGTCAGCGTATGCATCTGCTCGATCAATATACCCAGCAAACAGTTCTATTCTTAGTCGACGGTCCCATTCAAGCCGCAGCCCTTCAACCTTTAATCTGCCGCTTCCCTGACGTGGTCCATGTTGCTGTAACCGGCAAAGCAGGCCAGTTATCAGGCGAAACACTCGCTGAAACACTTGCCAAAGACGGGTGTTCCGCGACTGTCCACGATCTTAATGTCGATCACACGGATAGGCTGTCGATTGATCTCACCACCCGATTGGCTCGCTATATGTCTTTGCTTCGTCCGCGAGTAGTGCTACATGTGAGAGATACAATTTTTGACGAGAACCTTCAGATTCTCGAACGTGTAGATAAGACCACCGTCATTAGCCTTCCTTCGCTTGAGATTGAGCATGCTCTCTGGATCGCTGACCTTTCGCTCGAAGCCTTACAACGTAAATATTAGCGAACTAGATGGCGAACTTATTAATAATTTATTTCTTATTTATTTTTTCAGAATGGCATAAAATTCAGATGGATATTATCATCATCACCGACAGACGTTCTCAATCACTGCACCGTCTTCTTGAATCCGCAAATGACGCCAATTATCTCGGAGACCAAGTCGGCCTGGTTATACACATGGAACAAACAGCAGATGAAACAACTCATGAGCTTGTCAATGATTATACTTGGAGACAGGGATCCAAGACTTTGCGCCATCGCATCCAGAAAGGCGGACTTATGCCCGCTATCGTCGAATCTTGGTACCCAAATAACAACCACAATTATGCCGTCTTGCTCGAGGACGATATTGAAGTCTCTCCTCTATTCTATTGCTGGGCTAAATATACTATTCTCAAGTATCGTTATGAACAATCTAGCCCTCACTTGTACGGAATCAGTCTTTATTCTCCCACAACCCTCGAACTTCTACCCGAGGGACGACGTCCGTTCCATCTCCAGGAAGCTATTGCCGGTTATCCTGCCAACATTCCATACCTAAGCCAGGTACCCTGTAGTTGGGGTGCTGTTTATTTCCCTGAGCATTGGCGTGAATTTCACAGTTATTTGACTGGCAGACTCGAAGATCTCGCTCTCCCTGTCAGTCAATACAACATTACTGTGCCCAACTGCCGCTCCGAACATTGGTCTAAATCATGGAAAAAGTATTACATTGAGCTGGCTTATTTGCGTGCATATGTAATGCTATATCCGAACTACAAAGATTTTGAATCGTTTTCAACCAATCATCTTGAAATTGGTACCCACATAAAAACAGTCAACAGCAAGTCCAAGCTTGATTCATTCCAAGTATCTCTTATGATAAACGACACTCTTTTGGAGCAGCTACCTAACCACAGGTTGCCAATCTATGACTCTTTGCCTACACTCACGCTCTGGGGTAAATTGATGTCGCACGAAGAGATGGACCATATTGCTGCAGAGTGGCACAAGTCAATATCTGCCTGCCCTCGAGATCCTCTTTCATATGACACCCAAGATATCCTGTGTCCTTTTCCTGGGGGTCCTACTCCAATTGTTCCAGTATCTATTTATCGGAAGAAGCCAAAGACTACAAAAAGAGCTACATCCACGCCATCTGTATCATTGTCGCCATAATTCATTAATTCATCTTCCTTAGACCTTGTAATGCAAATTTTTACTATTACTGCATTTATGTTCATATTATTCAATTACATTAACCCATTAATAAAAACAGCAATGTATAAACTCACACACATACACACAAGTATATTTATTATGATCTTAGAATTATTTATATATATAGCTATATAATTATCTGTGGAATGATCTTTAGTTTTATAATATATAAAATACATATACAAACTCCAATATTTCAATAAGCATGGTAAACACACGTAAATATATAGCATATATTCATCATATAAGTATATCAACTCGAGAATGTGGAAGTAAATTATGATTGCATGTTTCATAAACATTTAAAGTTGCACGTTGGTCATGATTATCCACTCACCCCCGCCTTGTCAAAGACAGCTTCGAATTCTTCAAAATCAATAAGTCCATCTTGGTTTTTATCAGCCTCGTCCATCATTCGGTTCATTTGTCTCAGATCAATATCATGTTTTTCGCATGCTTCCTTGAGGGCAGTGCGCGTAATACCGTGTTTTTCTGATCCAGCGAGAAGGTGAAATGCATTTCTGGTATCTTCAGACGCATCCAAATACGCTATGATCCGTCGAACATGATCTAATGTTACAGTCCTTTGTTTAATGCGGTCCACCAAAGCCAACAAATCGACTGTAGATTCATTCGAGTGTCCTGTCTGTTTTAGAACACTCGATAAGCCCTCCAGGTCAATAAGACCCTTGTTTTCTTTGTCCTGATTTTTGAAAGCTTTAGAAGACAATAAGAACCTTATCCCAACCAATGACTCTTTTTACCTTGATCCAAATCCATACTTGTAGTTTCAAGAAACTAGCAAAAAGCAAATATAAGACAAAAGAACACACAATCTAATAAGGTCAAGACAGAGAGAAATGAATGAAAGAAGGAGAAAAGCGAAAGAAGAGAAAGGATGAAAGAATGAATTAAAGGGAAAAAAAAGCAAGCCCCGCCCAAGACCCCCCGGATAGACAAGAATACGTCATTTTTATTTTATTTTTCAGTGTTTTCGAGCTTCTTTTCAACCTATTCCTTCATTATGTCCGAGAACAAGATTCAGAGCGAAGACCTTTTGGCACACAAGGTAAACGCTTCTACATTCCGATTATCGAACAAGACAACTGACCTTATTTTCGTCATAACAAGTGGGATCGCGTAATCTCCAACTTTGTGGTCAAGACTGGCTTAGGTTTGAGTGTTGGAATTGTCGCATCGGCCTTGTTGTTCAAGAGTAAGCATCGGCCTTTAATGTTATATAATAATCGAGGGTCTATAATACTTGAACATCAATGTATTTAATTATTCACGCTATTTTTCTTTCTTTCCATTTTTGTTTGTTTTGCAGAGCGTACATGGCCTATTGCTATCAGTACCGGATGGGGTTTCGGTGCCGCCTATGCTGATGCCGAGGTAAGAAAACGCGATTGGAAATGTTTGGTTGAATCAGTGATGTTAAAAATTTCTTTTTTTTTGAATTTTTTTTAGCGTGTGTTCCATCCTCATCATGTACCCGGTGTTGAGTTCCATAAGGAAGAACCCTCTGTTTAGACTTTATTAAAAAACAAAACAAAAACAAAAAAGTAACACCAAGAAGACGACTGTTGGCTATATTTACACACATACACACACACATCAACTTGGCTTAATGTGGCAGATTTTTTCTGCTTATATATTGTGGAAGAAGGGAAATTTGTTTTATTGACTTATCGACAGGGTCACCTCAACCCCCAGCCATACACATTATCTGGGTGTATCTGTATCTGTATATGTTTGTGTGTAGTTTGTACCAAATTGAATTAACATTATTGTCACATGACATACTGTATATTGATGGGTTGTAAGAATCTTTTAGAAATGTTCATGGATTTCACTACAATAGAGCAATTGTTGCTAATCAGAAGAGTTTATTTCTGCTATAATAGATACTTTGAGCAAGGACATATATATATACGGATAACTCAAATACTAAATATTTCGCTACATATCTACTATGCATTTTCAATTATAAATGGTACATTTAAATTAGTTAAAAACTTGTCTACATTATTTTGGACCTTTAAAGGAAGGTTCAATTATCTCTATAGTATCTTTACAGTTGAATTGAAATATATTCGTATAACCTACTTGCTTATACATATACCTTCAATATACTTGTACTTAATAATTCAAAAAATTAAATAAAGTTGTTTATACAATTTATACCAGAAGAATAACCAAAAGATATATATATTTTTTTAATTTAATTCTAAAAAATAATCTTAACAGAATATAATATTGAAATTCTGGTAAGTAAATCTGTAATATCTGCATGAGTGTGTGTGTTCATATTACACACTTATATAAATATGTATATATCCATATCCATATACATCTATATTTATCTACTAGGGGTTCTTGGGAGAGAATCAACTCTTAAAATCGACATTTTTTTCTCTCTTTTTTGTTCTTCTTTGTTCTGCCTTCCAATTTCGCTGTTTTGGTCATCATTGGTTGGTTATTTCCGTTTACCAGTCACTGGACAATTTCTAAGTTACTATACTCCAATTCTGTTCAAAGTTGTCTTCTCTTTATCGTCCTAATGCAAAAAAACATGACCCCAACGCAGCTCCAGCAGCTCCAGCAGCAGCGCATGGCCATGTATGCAATGCAATCCTCAGCACGGCTACAGCCGACACAATTCCAACCAGTACCTCATCTATACACGTCTATGCCTCCCCCGGGTATGGCACCACACGCACCTGATCTTGCTGGTTGGAATGACCCTAATCGTGCAGTTCCTAATAATCGGATGCCGTCTTTTCGTCTCACTGCTCATCCATCAGCTGCAGCTCCACCACGAATGGGCCAGCAATTTGCTGGTCAGCCAGCCGGCGTACGACCGCCAATGACTGTCGTTCCACATGTTGAAACAACCCCCGTTCACACACCTGTCCAGAAACGTAATCTAGCACTATATCGAGAACGTGACAATACATACCAAGAAACACTTAATATTCAGCACAAACGACACATTGATCTCGCTCAAGAAAAGAAGCGAGACATTGAGCTTGCAGGAGCAGAGCGAAGAGCAAAAACCCAGCACGGACCCATTGTAGGTTTTGGTCCAGGTTACAATGGCCATGGTAATGGAACAACAGGAGGTCAGACACGAATTGTTTATCCCCAGCAGCGCAAAAGAATGAGACATGCGCGCGAGTTTCGCTTGTAAGTCTTAATACTAAACATGTGTGTGAGCGAATAAATGTAGTTAATGCACAATATGTTTTATTTTCAGTGCCCTGGAAGAAATGACAGAGCAGGCAGAGAAAGAAGATGCCTTGGTACCTATCCGTATCGACCTGGAAATTGATGGATACAAGCTCAGAGATACATTTACATGGAATTTGAATGGTAACGCGTTCAGTTAGATCTGTATTTTTCTTACTGATGTATTGCTCAATTCCAGAGACATTGGTGACACCCGAGCAATTTGCAAATGTACTGTGTGAGGATTTACGTTTGCCAGCAGCATCTTTTGCACCTCAGATTACACGTACACTCCGGGATCAGATCCAAGACTATTATCTTCACAATGCAAGTATGGTTACCAAAGACGACTCCGACCAGGAGAAGGAAGAAGTGGCCGAAAGAAATGAAAATGAAGTAGCAGTAAAGAAAGAAGAGGAACCAGAAGATGAAAAGAAAGTCAAGAGTAGAGAATTACGAATGTTAATCAGAGTAAGTTGTACATGCACAAAAATGATCCTTGTGATAAAAAAGAAGGGGAAAAAAGAAAAATTCAAAATTCAAAATTCAAAATGAAAATTTATTATTGTGCGTGTTAGCTGGACATCACGGTAGGTAACCGTGCATTGCTGGATCAATTTGAATGGGATATTAGCTGTCAGCGCAACTCCCCGGAAGCATTCGCTCAGGTTATGTCAACAGAGTTGGGCCTGGGAGGCGAATTCAAGTAAGCTTGAGTGGAGTGGGTTGGGTAACCTTTGATTGATCGAGAATTGGCTACAGGACGGCTATTGCACATTCGATTCGTGAGCAGATATATGTGTATATCAAATCGCTTTTACTTGTGGGACATGAATTTAACGACTCGCCTGTCACCGACGACGATCTGAAGCACAGCTTTTTGCCTGTACTAAAATCAATTATACGTGAAGGAGAACAAGTCGAGCGTTTTACACCAGCATTGCTTGAACTGACAGACGCAGAAGTAGAAAAGATAGAGAAAGATCGTATGAGAGAGGCCAGGTAAAGGTGTTTTCTATTATTTCTGATTATTGAAAGGGCAAAAGGACGTGTATTTTAGTGTATTGAATTGAATGTGTGTGTGTGTGTTTCTTTTTTCTTTTAGACGTAAACGACGTCAAACACGCGGTAGACGTGGTATTCTCTTACCCGACCGTGAACCAATAAAGACCAACAGAACTGTCTATGCCATTCCACCCGATCATGACATGACAGACGAACAATTTATTACCAGCATCTCCAACCCTCCTCGTGCACCTGTATCTGATGTTACAATGCATTCTCAGCGACGCAGTGCTATGCGCGCTCGTATCAACATAGCAGCTGAGGCAGCAGGAAACCAAACCACCCATCCTAGTCAAAGTATGCAAAGTGTCATCTCACTTCATTCAACTAACCGGGCGGATCACACACGACCTCATCCAAGTAAGCCTTCTTTTGTGCGCCAAGATATTTTGAATAAATATATAAATAACAAACAATGTTTCTAGGCGGTTAATAAAGCTTTAAATTATTGTCCCGTTGATTTTCAACGATAAACTTGTATTCTTAACAAGTATCTTGTTCTTAAATCAAGGTAAAAAATTGCCATTTTGTCGTTTTCCCATATTGTTTCTTTACCCAGAACTCAATGTTTTCTCTAGATCTCTTTGGTTTCTTTTTTTTATTCTCCTTGAACGGGATCTAGTATATACACTGTCACTCCTTTCTCTCTCTCTCTTTCCCTCACTTCCTTCCTCTTTCTCCTTTTCTCTACCATTCCTTTCTCCCTTCCTTCTATCTTTCTACCATAAAGCAAACTTGCATGCTACACGTCTAATTCATTAAAGAAAAAGAAAAAAAAGAAAAAAAGAAACTTAAAAAGGTGTTATATACAGAGTGTTCGCTGTCCTTTTATTATTTTTTATTATTTTTATTGTTTTGTGATTATCCTTGTAGTAAATTCTCTACCATTGACTGGCATTCCTCTGCACTTAGGTACTCGGAATTCTGAATTGCATTACATACTGTAATAGTGTCCTTTACCGTGTTTGCATTCACCCAAACCCGACCATTCATACCAACCGCAAGTTCAAAAGGCATCTCATCACCCAACAATTTCAAGACAGGTGTCTCTGGGTTCAATAGTCTATGAAGCAATTATTATTATTATTGTTATTGTTATTTTTAAAAAAAAGACAATGATAGTTGTTTTCTTTCTTACCTTCGACATAATCCTAAAGAACATGTGAATACATGACCGCCCTTCATTTCACCGAAACCATCAGCCTTTCCAGTAGTAGGGTTTACACACTCAAGTTCTGCTTCCATATCTGGGTTGGCCATAGAGACACGACAGTAGACCAGCGAGCGGTTGACAAGATTAGGTCTGTTGCGCTTTGTTGCGCCTTCAAAAGCCAATACAGGCAACACAGCTGAATGAGCAGTTCCAATGTCGACTCTGTAAAATTCAGCCAGACGAGCTGTTACTGTGCCCAGAACGGAATCACCTGCGGCAGCAATGTACTATTATTTTTCTCGTGAATATCACGGTCTGGGTATACAGAATCTGTCCTCAATCAATTTAAAGATTTACCCGCTTTTGATTACTCTCGATCCACCATCGGTTACCGACTTCCAAATGACGTAAGATACCAGCCTTGACAGCCACGATATTCTCTCCCTCCTGTCTCAGACCAGGACCAAGAATAATAGACTCTTCGGAAGATGCAGAATCAGTGTTAATGGGAATAATGTCACCTGGAAGGACAACTTGGTCGGGTTGATCGACTATCATTGTGTTGTGTTGGAGAGGGGAAAGAAAATTAGTGCATCGATTGTTGAAGATTGAGGAGCATCCATTTTTTTAGGACTGCTTTTCAATGCAATTTCAGCCAAAAAAAAGTAGAGGGGGAGAAGCAGAACGATCGAGAATATAAAGCACATACGAAAGGAAACAATTCCTTCATTTTATGTGGATAAGCTTGAGTCTAATTGAGTATTCTCTTGATGTCAGTAAATAAATAGCTGATTTTATTATTAGGGGTGCAAATGTTCAATTATCTACTATTGTCTTATAAAATTCAACCTTTTAATTGATTAATTAAAGTATACTGCCACTAATGACACAAAATTATTACTTAAAGTTTATATATAAAAAGCAGACGATCATACGCATCTACCACATAAACCTTTGAGAGGATCCTGGCTCGCTGGCCCATTCAAAAGTTCGATTAAAGAACATATACAGTGTAGCAAGGTTGATGATCGAATAAAAGGCAATGGCTAGGTAGGTGCGTTTCAGTTGGGGTTGGAAATGAACAGCATAAAAAAGAAAAGGAACGATAAAATAACGAAACTCCAGAAGAGGAGACGGTACAAGAGTCAAGACGAGAGTAAAGACGTATCCGATTACATGCAAGACGGACACATATGGTACTTTTTTTTGCAAGAAAGAACAAGAAGAAAGGGGGGTTTTTTTATTAGTGTTAGTTATATCTATAGTGAAAGTTCTAAACTTTAGTTTGTGTGTATGTTTACTGACTTACCAATTGCTGCAATATTTAACTTTACGCTTAGTAAATAAAATGGCGTCAGGATGTATCGCACAGACCAGTGACGACGATAGATGTTTTTCCAAATATAAAATGTATAATGTCGGTTATCACTCAGTAAGAATGGATGCTCGTACCTTAAAAAATAATAATTAAAGTTAAGGTTACAAGATTTATACACAAATCTTCAATAAACCACAAACTCCTACGTGAATTTATGTACGGTATACAAAGAGAGCACAAGTCCTATAAAGTACATGGCTAATCTGCACGTTCAATGCAAAAAGAAAAGTCAATATCTCGAGTAATATTTCTTTTTTAAATGCTGGTGTAAGTAACCAATAGACTTACTGTTTAGGTTTCGTTAAAGTCATAAGAACCTCTGAGATATTCTTGATGTTTAATATCCAAGGAGCCATAAAGAAGGACAGGAACGAGGAAAAGTAAAACAGTTGAGGAACGTTATACCCTGCCAGATGGTTCGAACGATCGCCTTTGAAAAAAAAAAGAATCAAATTGAATATTGTCAGATCTTTCTGAATATTGTTGCGAATATGTAATTTACTTGATTACCTAGTACAATTCCCCCATTCCATACCAAGAAACCAGCAAATCCAGTCAAGGCTATACCAAAAACCAATACATTTGGTAAAATAGTAGGAATATTATACAATGTATTTACAACAAGACTTTTGACGGAGCATACAATATCTCCTTTTTGAATTACAAGGTTAATAAAATAAAATCAAAGTCCAAATTTCTCAATCACTTCCATTGGCCCCCCTTACCAAATTGAGTGACATTGGAAAAAGTTGGGTTATACACAGCTGTAGTTTCCTTGCTTTTCTTGCTTGCGTCTTCGAGAGTTTGAATGATGACAAGCACCATAAAAAACAAAACCCAAATGATATTAGTCTGGCGAAATGTTACGGAAACAATCCCAGCCTAGAAATTATAATTATTCCTGTTAACTGGATTATCTGATTATCATATTTTTCTTTTTGGTTTTGATCTTCATACAGTTCCTGCTGCCCAGTAATGTCTTTTGTTCACCAGAAGATACGACAATAAGACAAAAAAAGTCGATCCTGTATCTGTATAATATAGCCCATTAAAGAAGAAGAGGACCGGAAACCAAACCAAGGCAAGAGCATAACGAGAACGGATAGCCGGTGATGTCGGGTGTAGGCAGCCGATCAAGGAATCAATTACAAATAAGAGACCGAGAGAAAAGAAAATGTTGGTCATACGCAGAGCACTTGGAGTACAACCATCCACACCAACCGCTGTTGACAAGATACTAAATCCGCGGCTAATGATATAACTAATATATATATAATTTGTTTAATTTTAATTTATATTCTCTTTTCAAGTAAATACAAAATACACTTACAGGCCAGGAGGTGTAGTTAGTTTGGGATCCCAACTGGCATAATCTCCCATACAATATCTTTGAGCTTGTGGGACATGGAATATCTCGTCCTTGGATAAGAAAAAAAAAAGGCGTGTCACATCTATGTTGGTTTGAAGCTTTCGATCTCCTTTTATTTTATCTACCATATATGGTTTAGAAACATAGTTCCTAACTTTCGACGACTCCCATGCGAGCGCCACCGAGTGGAGTGCCAGCGCAAAGACGTCCATAAGACAAGGCAAGAGGAAGAAGAAGAACAAAGGGCGGCCGTTCATTTCAATCTCAGGTTCATCAATTGATTAGGAGCCACGTTTGTCTGTCCAACAAGCAAGCCGTCTTGCGATTGGATCCAAACAAAAGCCGCGCTCTTGCTTATTCTGCTCCCGCCTTTATTTTATTTTCTATCACTTTCTCTCCATCTCGCGGGTAGTTTCGATCGCTCCATCCCCCTGTTGTTTTTTTTGTTAACCCGCGTTTCCTGCCTCTCTCTCTCTCTCTCTCTCTCTCTTTCCATCTGAACAATGAGCTCCACGGAACACCATCCCGCTTTCGACTCCCTGACACCTTCTGCCAAGCTTGCACTCCTGCACGCCCAGACTGCTGCTCCTCAGGACGCGTCTGTAGAAGAGACTATGGTCCCTAGTGCGAATGACCCGGTTGTAACAACAGACTTTTCCGAGCCTTTGATTGCAGGAGATTACCCTACACCCATCAGTAAGCCCGCGGTTATCAAGAAGGAGAAGAAGAAGGATGACAAGCTGGACCTGGCATCCGAGTCGGCCTTCCCATCCCTCTCGTCCGGCTCATCTCGCGCACCAATTACTTCTGGCTGGTCCGCCGCTGCAGTCTCGCGTGTCAAGACCCAGCCAGTTACCCGCTCAATGGGTCGTGCACCTGCCTCGAACGCTGCTAAAAAGTCTACTGTCCCCCACATCACTGATGTTCTTGAGTTGCCCGCCAACCAGCAGACCGCTAACCAGCCAGTCAAGCCTCTTGGCTTTAAGAGCAATTCAGATGTGATTCAGCAGGTCATCAACAAGACCGGAACCACCATAATTGCTTCCACAAACCGTTCAGGAACCACCACATTCCTCATTCAGGGTACTCCCGCTGACACCGAAAAGGCAAAAAGAGAGCTTATTGCTGGTTTGGTAGTTAAGGTAAGGAAAAAGAAGAAGAAAAAAGAATATTTTATATGTTTTACGTATTGATGAGATTGGCTTTCTTTTATTTTTATTTTCTGACTTTTTTCTGCTTCTTCTATTCTCTCTCTCTTGCTTTGGTTTTATTCTTTATGTCGTGTAGCGTACAGCTGAAGTGGCTGTTCCTTCGTCAACCCGCCGATTCATCATTGGCGCCAAGGGCAAGACTCTTCAAATGATCGAGGCCAAGTCTGGCACACGCATCAACATTCCCCCCCGCAAAGAAGAGGATGAGCTTAATGAGGAGAACGATGAGGAAATGGTCAATGTGACCATTGTGGGCGATGCCGCCGGCATCAAGATTGCACAGGCCGAGATTGAAGCCATCGTTGGTGACAAGGTAAAAATAATAATAAAAGACTTTATATATATATACATATGATAAGTTTGCTATTATTGAGAAAACAATATCATTAACACTTTTTGTACCTTCATTATTATTTTTACGTTTTAGACTGCCAAGCAAACCATCAAGTTGGAAAACTTCCATTACAAGTATCACCTTTTGTTGGCTGGCCCTCAGAACGGTGCCTTGAAGTCGATCGAAGAAACCCTAGGCGTCAAGGTCCAAACACCCCCTATTGTGACCGGTTATGATGTGCTTGTCGAAGGAAAAGTGAGAGATAATGCATTCGTTCTCTCTGGCGACAAAGAGAAAGTCCAGCAAGCCAAGCAGATTCTGGAAGATCGTTATAATTCTTTGGAGAAAGACACAAAGACTGTCAACCTCAGTGTCTCCAAGCGCCAACACAAGTATCTTATTGGAAAGAACGGCTCTACTCTTCGTGAGATCTTTGACAAGTCTGGTAAATACTAAAACGAGAATATATACACATGTGTAAAGAATTATAAAAAAGAGAAAGGGGGAAGGTTAAAGAGGCAGGACAAAGGGAAATTTATCATATGAATTGATTACTTATCTTTTATATCTCTATATTAGGCTGCAGTGTTGAGCTTCCCGCTTCCACTGATGCTTCTGAGGAAGTCACCATTCGTGGTCACAACGACTGTATCATCAACGGTCTTACTGCCGTCTTGGAGAAATCTAACGCTGTCCATGTTGCTGTTCTTGACATTCCCAGCATCTTCACCTCAGTCCCTAACCCCCAGCAACATTCCAAGAATGTACTCAAGTACATTGTTAAGAGCGGACATTTGAAGAAGATTGAGCAGGATCATGACGTTGAGATCAGTGTACCTCGCGCTGATGCCCTTGGCAAGTCTGTTCCCCTCGAATTCGTCAGTAAGGTTGAGAAGAATGGTGTGTCTGCATACCAGGATGGTTTCATTATTTTCCAGAACTTGGTCCCTGCTCTCTTCTCGACTGTCAAGGTTGAACCCCATTTGTATCACTACATCTCCGTCCGTCATGGCAAGCAGCTTCAGCGCATCAAGGCTCGCTATTCAGTCGCCATCTTAGTGCCTGATAACGAAAACGAAGAAATTCTTATCGTCTATGAGGGCAAGGAAGGTGATGACCAAGAAACCAAGCTTTCCGAAGCAAAGGAGGCTCTTGATGCTGTTACTGCCGAAATCAAGAAGATTGCTTCTGACTCTGTAAGTTTAAGGAAGAGAAAATAAAAAGAAGTGTGCGGGTTTTCAAGTTTTTCTTTTCTCTTCCTTCTTTTACTAATATTTTTTATGTATATAATCTTAGTCTGATTATATTAGCAACAGTATTACCATTCCTGCCAAGTTCCACCGTGCTATTCTTGGTCCCAAGGGTACTACTTTGAACGCCATTTTGGGTGAAGATTCCACTGTTGTTGTGCGTTTCGGTGGTGCTAACGAGGATGAGGTTATCATTCGTGGTACATCTAGCGAGGTTAAGCGTACAATTGAAGAGCTCAACAAGGTTCATAATGAAGCCAAGTATGACGACGTAAGTATATATATATAATAAAGGAAATGAATGGATATTTAGAGAGAGACAGAGAGAGAAATGAATAAAATACAGTTGACTGATTGATTAAATGCTTATACTATTTTTGATATTCCTATAGTTCTCCAACTCTTACACTGCCGAATTTGAGATTCCTGTAGCTTTCTCTCCCCATGTTATCGGCAAGTCCGGAAGCAACATTAACAAGCTGAAGGATGATCTTGGTGTTAGAATTGACATCAGTGACCCCAACAAGTCTGAGAATGGCGAAACCATTGTCAAGTCCAAGAAGAAGAACGACCAAAAGGTCAAGATCATTATCAACGGTATCAAAACCAATGTAGAGGCAGCTAAGGAACGCATCTCAGCAATGGTTAGCAACTTGGCTGATCAGGTTACTCTGAGCCTGAGTGTTCCCAAGGAATTCCACCGTTTCTTGATCGGTCCCAGCGGCAGATTCGTCAAGAAGTTGGAAGACAAATACAACGTCTATATCAAATTCCCCAAATCGTTCTCAACAGAGACTGAGGATCCTGATGTTATCACAATTCGTGGTCGCAAGAAGGAGGCCAGTGCTGCCAAGGACGAGCTGTTTGAGCTTTACGAATATGAGAAGGACGAACAAATCAAGCGAAAAGAGCGTGACGCTCGTTTTGCAGAAGAGAGAAAGAAGCGCGAGGCTGATGCAGCAGCAAGGGCCGAGGCAGCAACAGCAAAGGCCGAGGCAGCAGCAGCAAAGACAGCAGCAGCAGAGGTCGAGGCTGAAAAGTCTACCTAAAAATGATAATAATAATTCCCACCACCGCCTCTCTCTCTCTCACACACACACATACACACACACATACACACACATACACCATCTAGTACAATCCAAAAAACACAAAAAAAAGAGAGAAGAAGAAGAAAGAAAATCCCTTCCACCCCACTACCTACCCATCAAATCCATCTTGTTTTTTTTTATATGAAGGTGCGAATGACGCTTCGTCCGCATTTGTAACTAATCCTTTAGACGAATCTCTTCTCAATTCAAAAAAAAATACAAAAAGAAAAATTAAGAAATTTTAATTGAAAGAAGAAGAAGAAGAAAAAAAGCCATGGAGCCAAAACCACATATCTTGGGCTCAAACAAAATAAACACCAAAAAGATTTGCTTTATTATTATTATTATTATTATTATTATTATTCTTATTGTTGTGTGTAGAATATATGTAATATATTTGTGCAAGATACTTTTATAAATGAAATAGAAATCTATACCTGAATCGGTTTTTTTTTCTCGAAAGACCATTTCTTGTACGGGATCCTAGTTTTGAAAAGTTGAAAAGCTAATGATAAAAATCTATGAGGACAGACTCGCTTCTTTTGTCTGCCGGATATCCTGCTGCACCAGACGTTTTCACTAATTTCCAAAAGGCTTGGGCATCAATCGGAATTGGCTTGTTTTGGACACTGTATACAGGAGGAGGGAAAAAAACCGATAGCCCCTATGGTCTGTATACTTGACCAGAAGGAATGGTCATATTTTATTCTTGCAAAGAACGAAACTTCTTTCTGCCCAGTGTATGTACAAAAGGAATATCTTGAAGCTAGCGGTAGACATACCCTTTTGAGACAACTTTTGAAGTCATATGTCCCGTGATGTATACTTTTTTATGTACTTCTTCCGAAAGAAAGTGAAGCCATTTGAAGAAAAGATGAGGTTGAGCATAAAGCGTTTTAAAGTCGCATGCAGCAGGCTGATAAGTAGACCAAAGAGTAAGTAACCTTTCGGCAGTCTCCCTGTTCTGCGTGGCATTGGGAACAGATGAGGGCTATTGAGGATCCGAGCCTTTTTTTTTTCATGATATACATAATATGTCAAAGCCTTCTTTGAAGCAATTAGGAGCTCTTTGCAGTAATTAATTGAATTCTTTTCTGACACAGTCTTTAAAAAATAACGTAAACATCTTCGCTCGTAGTTATCATGCATATAATTTTTAGCCAAAGTTTCGCATTGTTTGGCAGCTATATTCAGAGCACTAGAGTATTCAAGGACGTCTTGATAACAGACTGGTCAGTTCTTTCGTCTGACTCACATGAAGACTCGTTCTCCTTTCTGTTGGAACACAGCTTGCATGTTGACCATGGATGAGTGGTTGGACTGCAAGAAGGTTGCCGTTTTTCTATATCGCCTTTACTTTTTTCAATTCTAAATTGTATCAAAACATCCTTCTTATCTATCTTCTTTTGAATTTTTTGAGATGTTTTTGGCCTTGATGAGTGAGCTTCCTCTGGGTCTGTAGTATTAAAAAATAAACCAATAGTTAAATAACTGAATATTATTAGTATATAATATATCTTACTTGTCTGTTCCGTATGTTGGGATTTTAATCTTCATCAATAAAATACACATAAAGCCCCAATTCAAAGTTGCTCTTTATTGGTTTTGCAAAGACTTCAATGTTGATAAGGCATATACGTGTTATATAATATAGTTTTGACGAGCAGAACATCGACAGGGAAGGACGAAAAGAGGAAACAATCGACAATGCGAGCGCATCTCTTAGAGCTGGAGTCAACGACTAGAATGTTTTAACACAAGAGACCATTTTTACTTTTTGCTCTCTTTTTTAAAGTATTTTACCCTTTTTGATGATTCCAATGACATTATCTTCATTTCGGTAACATCCACAAAAGAGATAGTGAACTAGATAAGTTTGATTCGCCTGAATTAATTTTCCTTTTTCCAAAATAGGTAAGCTAAATTTCTGAAAATTAATTTTGATTCGCCCAAAAAAAAATGAAAGTGTCTCACTCTCAAGTTGAAAAACTATATTTCTTCCTTTAATTTTGTATTCATTTGCATAAATTGACTTGATTCTATATAAGATAAAAAAAATGTACTCAAAATAGTCTATATATTTAATACAAAAAAGTACACCTTACCTGTCTAACCTAGTCAGCCAAGAGATAATTTGTTTAATAAAAAAGCACATATTTCATAGGATAAAGCCAGATATCTTTTACAAGAATTTCTCACTCAATGATTCAAGCCAACACACATATAATGTACCCCAATTATCTTTTTTTTTTTACTTTCATTCCTTTCAATTACACACAAAGTATTTGCAGAATGAAACACAAGATACCCATTTCTTTTTCAATCCAATTCCTTTGAATGGATAAAGTCAATAATATAAAAAACCACAGCCAAAAAACTGAAATATACATATATATTTGATTTGTAGAGTTTGTTTTGATTTTTTTACTTGAGGGGAACAAATCTGGAAGAGTGGGTGGCACCAATACCGGGGCGACCGTGCTTAACAGGCTTGTAAGAGATAGAGAACTCAGCAAGGTAGTGAGCGGTCATCTCAGGCTTGATTTCAACCTGGTTGAAGGTCTTGCCGTTGTAGACGCCGACAACAGAGCCGATCATCTCGGGAACAATGATCATGTCACGGAGATGGGTCTTGACGGTAGCGGGCTTCTCGCCGGGGGTAGCCTCCTTCTTGGCGTTGCGGAGCTTCTTGATGAGGCCCATGTGCTTACGCTTAAGACCACGCTGGAATCTTCTACGGGCACGGGAGTGGACGAGAGCCATGAACTGCTCAGAGGACAAGTCCAAGAGCTGCTCGAGGTCAATGCCGCGGTAGGTGAACTTGCGGAAGGTTCTCTTTCTGAGATTAGTCTGCTCCTGGTCAGCCTGTGGTGATGGTCATGAAGTTAATAGGTTTGCTTTTTTTATAATTGACAAATATATAAATATATATATATAAATCGAAAATGTCCAACAGAAGAAGAAAATGTCGATAAGATTGAACCGATTTTTTTTTTAAAAAAATATATCCTGATCGTTATCATCCATTCATCCTCTTTCTCTCTGGGTGTGTGTGTATACACGACAATCAATGGATGTGTTGTATAGTAGGTGGGAGGGCTTACGTACCATGTTGGAAAAAGGGAGGAAGCATTAGATTGCTCGCCTTGGTAGGGTTGAAGAATCCGGGACTGGTCGCCGGACCTTGTGGGGGCCGGTTATCCCGCTCCCATCCTCCTCTTAATCCGTTCTTTTGTTCGACCATTTTCCTGTGTCTGGCTCGGGCCACCCTCCAAAGCGGATACCGAATATCTTGTCTTATAATGTTGACATCATTTGCCTGTGTGTATGTATGTATGTATGTATGTATGTGTATGTGTGCCTGATTCTTAGTTATTCAAACACGTCGCTTTTTTCTCTCGTGCACGTTTTCTTGAAATAAAGGCAAACGTACCAATTGATCGGACATCATGGAATCTTGTAAATTATTGATTTATAAAGAGAATTAGACGTTCCAAAAAAGTCTACTAGTTATTTTGTAAAAGCTCTTAAATATAAACATGTTTCCCAACTCTCCACATCTATCGATTGAGCCAAAGGTTTTCGAGAAAATCAAAACCATCCTTGTATGCTCATTTTATCGAAAGTCATTTATGTCAATTACGGCCCAACATGCAAGTTTAGAAGGCATGGATATATACATATTTAATATTATTTATTTGGTTGTCTTTCACTGAGAAAACCTGTTTGGTAATTGGATTATACCTCCACAGCACTGGATCCATGCCTGAATAATAGGCACGAGCAAAGTAGGCTGAAATGGTATTATGATAAAATATATTTGATGCTGATTCAGTAGAAAAAAGGGGACCCATTATTTAGTTAAATGTGTCTGTTTTATGGAGGCTGCTAATTATCAATGAATCAAAGACGTTGGCAATAGAAATGGTAATTATAACAAAATGCGCGTTATGCAACACAAGTACACACTTGGTCAGGACTCTGTTATCTTTTGAGGTTGCTTTATTTTTATTCTCTTTTATATATGGAATGGGATGAGTATTTCTATAGAGTATTAAATAGATATTATCGACAAAGACAAAGTGCATTGGTCAGTTGGCCATGTAATTTTGATTCTTTAAAGACTAATTTGACAATCATCGAAAGATATTCTGTCGGTCTAACAAGAGGACAGTGTACTATATATTATAATAGTTTCTGTAATACTTGGGGCAAGTAAAGGATGAGGTATTGTTATCAGCTTTTACAGGATCTGTAATTCAGTCCCATAAAACATCTTTTGTAATATTATGCTTAGATAAAATATGGGAAAAATATTTAAATCAACTGCATCAAAATTGAAAATAGCTTTGACACATATGTATCTTCTTATTGAGATCATACAGTCTACATAATGAGTTAAATAGAATGAACTTTCGGCGTTATACATTATGACACATATGAGGTTTCTATTATTAATAGATAACCAAAAATGATATTACAAAAAACAATAGGTAATTTGCTCAGCAATACAAATCTAGAGCTTAACAAACAATTTCCCTAATTTGGTCATAATGCTTTGTAGCGGGCAAATGTGCTTGCGTATACTTTGTATAATTTTGGAAGAGAAAGAAATGGAAGAAAAAGGAAAAAAGAAGAGTACGTTGCTATATATGGTTTTCCACCTTTTCAAATGATCTGATTCTTATCTTTTGTTCGTGTTCACGTTAATTATTGAATACATTCGTAAAATTTATTTCCGTTTTCTTTGTTAAATATTTCCGAAAACAAATAAATTAACCTTTAGTGCTTTGTGGACAATGAGTAATAGATTACCCGAAAAAAAGGCTCAGTTACAGGTATTACAAATTGCTGTACCCATAAAGAATAAGGAAAAAGAGGGAAGAAAAATTAAGTATAAATTGATAATCCAAAAGACTGTTTATAGTGTCAGTATCATTTTCATTCTACAAGCATCTTACTACAAATCAAACAATAAAACATGGCTCACCTCAGAGAACTCGGCAAGACTGGTGTATTGGTGTCTTCTATTGGACTTGGTTGCATGGGGTAAATGATACATATACTAAATCACTGCCTTAAACCAACTTTCATATAAAGCCTGTTAACATTTTAATTATAGAATGAGTGAGTTTTATGGCCCTACAAACGATGAAGAGAATATCAAGACACTTGAGCGTTCAATCGAGATAGGGTATGTATACAAACATATATATGTATTTACTGAACCTTATTCGTGTATTCATACAGATCAACATTCTGGGATACTGCCGATATGTACGGAATCGACTCTCACAACGAGCGTCTACTATCTCATGTATTAAAAACCCAGAGAGACAAGATCTTCTTGGCTACGAAGTTTGGCCACATTCGTACTAAGGATGGAGAATTTACTGGCATAAGTGGCTCGCCTGAGCACGTCAGAGAAGCATTTGAGAAAAGTCAAAAGAGACTTGGTGTTGATGTGATCGATCTGTATTATCAGCATCGCGTGGATCCTAATACGTAAGCCCTTTCTTTCTTTATTTCTGGATTTCAAATGTATCCAAATATACTAACTTCTTTTCAAGTCCTATTGAAGATACCGTCGGAGCAATGGCTGAACTTGTCAGGGAGGGCCGTGTTCGTTTCCTTGGTAAGCAGTTAGTAGTAAGATATAGACAAAGCTACCTCGATATCTCACAGTAAGCTTGCTAAAAAAAATATATCAGGCCTATCTGAATGTTCTGCAGCCACCCTTCGTCGTGCTCACAAGGTGCATCCAATCGCCGCTATTCAAGTTGAATACTCCCCTTGGTCTTTGGATATCGAAAATAATGGATTGCTTGATACAGCTCGTGAATTAGGTGTATCTGTTGTTGCCTAGTAAGTGCAGAAATCTAGAAATCTAGATATATGATATTAAAATATGATGGAAATTCAAATCACAGTTCTCCTCTTGGTCGTGGTTTCTTGACTGGTGCTATCAAAAGTCTTGATGACCTTGACATAACCGATTTTAGACGCGCATTCCCTCGCTTCTCTCCTGAGAACTTTGGTAAAAACCTTGAGTTGGTTGATGGAATTACTAAGCTTGCTACCAAGAAGGGTGTTGCTCCCAGTCAATATGTGCTAGCATGGATCCTTGCTCAAGGTCCCGAATTTATTGTCATTCCTGGCACTAAAAAAATCAAGTATCTCGAGGAAAATTTCAAGGCTGGAGGCATCGTGCTGTCAAAAGAAGAGTTGGCTGAGATGAGACATTTAATTGACAATGCTGATACTGCAGGAAAACGATATCTTCCTCAACACCTTAAAACTGTGAATATTTAGAGCAATATTGTAAAATTTATTAATATACAAGTACATAATTAAATAAATAAATATCCACTTACTTTTGTACATATATATATATGTATGTGTGTGTGTATGTGTGTATTAGTATACAGGCACACCAACAGGCATCATAAGTTCTATATTCCACCAAATCAAAAGGGAAGCATCTCGATATCCCATATGCTAGCTTATCCACTTTCACTTAATAACGCTGCACAAAAAGGACTTTCATAAAAGAGAATCAATATTATGTGAATCAATGTGTAGCAAGCCAGTCGCTGTTCTTTTTTCAAATATGTACAATAACAAATAAATAAGGAAAGCTAAAACTGAAAGGTAAAAAAAAATAGCAGCGATTGTCGATTGAGAATAATAGGCGCCTAGCGCGATACCCCAGTGAATGTAGCCTGAAGGATATATACAAGCTAAGTAACTGAAAATTCTCATGTGTAATGCTTAAATACGCCGAATGACGTATCATTTGCTTTGAATTCTACCTGCTTTGAATATCTTGACTTTAAATCTCAAAGATAATTAACATCACCAAAAGCAATAAATAAATAAATAACAAAGAATTAAGACACCCAAGACAAGCCAAAACCAAACAAAAATTGTAAGGTACAATAAGCGTTGTGGAGATTTTTTTTTGCTTTATTTTTTCCCTTGGTATTTGAATCTCACAGCCATTGAGGGTGCTGAATTTTTGTATTTCTATTTTTCTTTCCAATTACATATAATCTATATTTAAAGTCAGGCTAAGTGCTTTCTTAAAAAATAATCTTAATGTTAACATCCAAAACTCTGGGATTCCTTAGGATTAAAGCACCAATAGATCAATAGTCAAAGTAAAACGAATACGCTTGGCAAGAAGGAAATATTCTATTATTTAATAAAAAGAGAGGGGCATTAATACTAAGTGGTCTTTTTTTCTCTATGATAAGAATGCCATAAAATGACGATATTTCTCTTTGTAAAGTATAAAATTTCGCTAAAGTAACTGCTTTACTTTTTTTGTAGATATCATCGCAACACAGCATTAACTGTATATTTCAATAAAGCACTAGGTGCTTGTTACTATAGAGTCACCGTTACTTTTGTCAATTAAGCAACTCTAGTTCATAAAAAATATTGTTATTGGCATTGAATAAGCTGAAGGTGTAACTAAACTTTTTTTGTTCAAATCGATAGCAAAATCCCCAGTATATTATTTTTCTTTATTAAACATATCAACTATATATATATATATCTATATTTGCTTTATTTTCTGCTGTTTACTTATGGCTCAATATTGCTTTGAATTATATGTAGTTTTATGTCCTAGTGACTGTTAGGTTCCTTTTGTGTCTACTTGTACTGACAAAATAAATATATAAAAAAACGTTTTTTTGTACCTTTGAGCAAAAAGCGCACAGACCAGTTAAGAGTAACCTACAAATCGCCGTTATAGAATTATGTACTCCATCTTTAGTTATTGCTACACCGATCAAAGCTAAACTCTTCATTATTCTTTTTACTTCATTGCTTCTTTGCTTTGCCTTACTTTACTTCACTTTGCAAAATCGCTTTTATAAGTAACTTTATTAAATATTATTAGCCTCCCCTTCTGTCGTAAAACAGTTACACAACCTCAGTAAAAGGAATATACAGTCATATCACGTTTGCTCTGACGTGGACATCTAGGACTGACAAAAAGCGCAGTCCTAAACTTTAATCGCAGATGAAAACTTTTCGATTACATATAGAACCCCTCCAACGCGCGTCGTTTGTTTTCTCCTTGAGCAACAACAGTCCCGGTTTCATAGTGAGGCGTCTCTTGCGACCGTTGCAGGGAGATTCTTCCATGCTACAAGCATCGGAAAGTGAAAGTTGTTACTCGCCAGCTCAGTTAATTCTGAGAAGTCGTGGGGCATGGTCTCTTTTCTTTTGGAAAGACTACTGTGTACATCGCATCGCCAATGTGGAATCATGATGCTGGGGGGAGGGAGGTCTAACCTGTGGTGAGATGTGCTGGCTCTTCACTGCTAACCTGACTGAACTCTTTAACGGCTGACGGTGAAGCTACTGGTAGTCGAATGAGCTGGACCTTATCACCTAGTGGTAAGTTCTCTGGCGAGTTCGCACCCACATTACTCGGTGACGAGATGTGGGGCTGGATGAACGGGTGCTTTCCGTTGGTTTGCCACCATTCCAGCACCTCCTTCGCTACCAAGTCAGGTTTACGTCCTGAAGGAGATTGAGCCGCGTAATGCGGGGACAAAGAACTTGGTGTCATGCTTTTTATTCTTTTACTCATGTAAAAGAACATTAAGTGAAATTCAATCAAATAGAATAAAATAGCTTCTTTATGTATATCTTTAAATAAATAAATAAAGTCTTTTTTAACTAGTATCGTCTCCAATAAAAAAAACACGCTTTTAAACTTTTTTTTTTTACTTGATTGAAGAAGTTAATGTTGTAATTAGGAGGGCTCATTTATAAGAAAAAATTAATCTAGTCGAATAAATCTGAAAAGAAATGAAGTAAAAATGTAGTTTAATGTAATATAATATCTGTGCTCTTATCCTTGTGTCGATCACCGTGTTTAACTGTAGAGGCTATTGTTGTCTGTAGATTATATAAGGATAAAGGCAGAATAATTCTTGAGATTTTCGATGGCACGAAATATATATTGGTGAATTTGGCTAATCTTGATGGACATTGTAAATAAGATTATTTGAATGAGAGAAATAAAAAGCAATAGGTCAAAGGCAAAAATAAAAATAAAGAGAGATGAGAGGTGAGAGAGAATAAAGAAATGCGTGTTTGAAAGGGAGACCAAAATGGCGTGGTGAATCAAATACACAAGTAATGCCCTTGTTGTATTTACACAGACTTTGCACAAAAAAGTTTAATTTGGATGTATTTATGAAACAAGCATTATTATCTACAATTTTTTTGTACTTTGTATATTAGTGAATGTCTGTTGCTCTCAATCCTTTATTGAACATACACCAACATACGCGTGCAATTATATGCACAGTGCAAATTATGATCTGAATCCAAATAGGAAGAGTGAGCAAGTATTGATACATTACAGAATATACATCCTTTAATATTTTGTTTAAGTATAATTCGCCAAAGATGTACAAACAGCTTTTATATTACAGTCCTTAAAGGCACTCTCAAGCAAAGAAAAATAATAAGTTAATTATGATATGATAGATCTTATCCAACGGTGTTTGTTTTGTTGCTCATCCCAGTAAATTTATAAATAGTAACGTAGCTGTAGAAACGGCCCGAAGTAGCTAAATATCTCTTTTTATTTGTCTTTCAATAAAATTATCATTTTATCTGTATTCATTTTATTGGCATGGAGTTGGACATTCACACCACACAACCAACCCACCGTGTGTCAGCCTGTAGTAGTTCTCTTGTGACATAGTAGATGACGATATTATTTTCCAAGCCTTTTTAACCTTAACCGTAATTGTGACTCTTCTGTATATAACTTAAATAGAATTTCTTTGGATACCGTTGGAATTGTATCCTTACTATTACTCGTGCTAACATTAGATATGAAGCGCCGCATTCTCTCCCTATGTCGCAAATACACTGCTCGTATCCCTAATTGTGCCTGCAACGAACCTGAGGCTTCCGATGCTGCTAGAATGAATTATGTATCGACCACCAACCCGCCCAAAGTGCTTGAGATCCCTTTTGAGATCCTTATCTTGATTGCTTCTAATTTCAATGAATATGATATGAAGCATTTTAGCATGGTAACTACCGTATTATTACCATATATCGATATCTAAATACTCCATAGACCTGTAGCAAATTTAGGCTATTTAGTCTAGATCAGGATGTCTGGAAAGTCATGTAAAATGCTCAGTTTACTTCTGACGAAGATACTACTCCTTAATCTGATATAAACTCATTGTGGAAACAAAAGTATCTACAAAAGGTATGAATATATGTCGTTGTTTTTCATTCGTCTCCTCATCATACGATTTAAAAGAACATCCTTGATATATCCCCCACCTGTTTAACGGTTTGGATATTACTTATGCTTTTATTTTGTAATGCTGATTTGTATAGCTCTTTTAAGAATTTCGGCTGTAAATGATATGTGTATAATACACATGGATTCCCATTATTGGGAGCCTATAAAAACAGAATCTAGCATTTACGGTCATGTAGCCAGACTAAATTTCGTGTGTTGGCTCAGTGTAAATATCTTTTTATTACAGTCAAATTCTAAAGAGAAAGAACCAACGAAAGATCGAAAGAGAAAGGAAAGGGAAAGGGAGAATAACAATAGCATGGTATCCTCCACTTTTTAAGATTTTCGGAAACTTTGAATCTGTTCCTTCAGGAACATACAAAATTCAATGGAGAATACGCGTCACTAAATCTATTATAAATCATGGCATGTTTAAATTCAGAGTTTCTTTAAAGGTAAAGAAGAAGAAAGAATAGAGAATATTGTCATTGTTATTATTTAAAGCATCTGTTTCTGTAAAAGCTGTGCGGGAGCTTATATATTATGTCGTTTTATATAGTCGTTTCCTGAAGAATCTCCCGTAACTGATGAGACACGTTTGATGCCTAGAAAGTTTTACACCGATCCTTCGATAGTTCGTCGTGGTTGGCTAGTCCTTACCATACCAGGAACAATTGGTATAGACAAGAAGCTCGGGTTTTCAAAGGTTTACATTGTACACAATGATATAAGCTCATCATGGAAAAGTGGCCTGGTAAAGTAAAAGATGAAAAGAGATGGAATCACTTACTTTATTTTTCTGTTCAATTTTTTTTAATGTTGTTATGATTATGATACTGATAATAATTCCAACAACTTATTTGGTTATTTGATTACTTTGGTCTTTCTTTAAATAGGAAATTGATTGGGCTCGGCTTGTTCCCGTATCTCATGCAAAAGATTATGATGACGCCAAGCTGTACGTCAAAATGAACCAGGACAACCACATGTATTCTGTGCACAAGGATTCAGATCTTGGAAATATCTACAAAGAATTTTGAACTTATTAGAGAACCCGTTGTCAAGTGAAAATTTAGAATTTTCACTCACTTTTGCTTTACGCGGCGATTGAAATTCCAATGAAAAGATGAAAAAATTTTACTGAGGGAGGCCATTTAGTGATGAAATGGAGTGAAAAATTGGGAGTTTTCTAGTTTTTCACTCCATTTCATCACCAAGTTTTTATTAAGAGTTGAGTTTATTTTTCCACCTTCTAACATAAATCTAATATAGTCAAGAGTCTTCTCTATCTATCTACTTAAGAGAATAAGTCTTGGAAAGCCAAGTTTATTAAGATGTATCTATCTTATGTTTGTCACAGTACTTATGTTTTCATCAACTGTGGTTGAGTTTTTTCTTTTTTTTTTGATTGGGTTTCACTAATAATTCTTTTTTAGCAGTCTTTGAAAATATCACATCCCAACAAGTTCTCTATTATCTGCTACAAAAAACAGCAATCAAAATTGGTAGATTATTACCATTTGTACCCATATTGTATTTTTTTTATAAATATTTATTCTAGACTCTACAGATCTTCTTTCTTTTATAGTTAACAGCCTCTTCCTCCTTCTTCTTTATACCAACACCCTAATATATTGATACAAAACGTTCCACTTGAAAATAATTATATGCAAATTCTTGTTATTATTTTAGTATTGAATGAATGCAGTATGCATGTATGTATATGTATATGTATATGTATTTAATAATAATAATCATAATGTATATATATATATATATATATTATAGAAGAAGAAGAAATAAAGCCTCCTCTTTTTCCCTTCTTTTTCAAGAATATAATTTCGATGCAAAATATTATTATTTTTGGCTTTTTTTTAATATTTTTTTTTGACTTCCATGATTAATATTTATATATATTTATATATAATTGTTATTATAATTATAATTTTTTCTGTTTTTCCTTTTTAAACTTTTTGTTTTTGTTTCTCTTACTGCTCCAAGAAGAAGAAGTTTCCGCTCAATTTCTGTTCCTGATCTAATTGAGAATCAAGCTTGTTGATTCTGGGACGGAAGTTGGTAGGGTCACGACGGAAGGTGATTTGGAGTGATGCCAAGAACTTGTTCATACCCGACAAGAGAGACTGGGGGGAGTTTGCGACGGCGTGGACAGAGGGAGTACCGTCATAGACAATGACACGGTCAGCAAGGTAAGTAGCCATGATGAAATCGTGCTCGACAATGAAGGCTGTGCGCTTAAAGTGAACAATGAAACGCTTGATGACCTTGGCGGCAATAATACGCTGCTCTGAATCGAGATAGGCAGAAGGCTCATCGATAAGGTAAATATCGGCGGGCTGTCCGAGTGCAAGCACAATGGCCACACGCTGCAATTCACCACCAGACAAATGGGTGACTTCCTGATCAATGATACCCTCGATGCTCATGGGCTTCACGACGTCGGTCTGGAACTGTGGGTTGAGGAAGGCAGCCTTGATCTTCTTGATGAAGAGCATGCGGACAGTTCCCTTGAACTTAGGACTGATCTTCTGGGGCTTGAAGGACACGTTGAGCTCGGGGACCTTCTTGCCATTATCAGGAGCAAGACGGCCGGCAAGCATCTGGATGAAGGTAGTCTTACCGGTACCGTTCTGACCCAACATGACAACAATCTCAGAGTCTGTGAATTCACCAGGGCGAACATCGAGCTTGAAGTCTCCAAGAGTCTTGGAAAGAGCAGGGTACTTGTAGTCTCTCTGCTTGTCGACTGTGGTATCATCTGCAACCTCAGCAATCTTGAAAGTCAAGGATTCCTCACGGAAACGCAAGTTCTCGGTACGAATGTTACCATCCAAGAAAATGTTGATACCTATAATATTTGAGTAATCAATTGATTAATATGAGAGCTTTAACCAGGTATTTTATGTATTCGGTACATGATGATTATTTTCAGCCATCAGTTAGCATTTCTTACCATCACGAACTGATGCAGGGAGAGTAACAACACCATAGACAGAGGGTACACCGTAAAGAATACAGACGTAATCAGACAAGTAATCCAATACGGACAAATCGTGCTCAACAACGATAACATAGCTAAAAAGAAGAACATTTCATTATTATTCAAGTACACACACGCACATACATACATATTTATATACCATCGTATACACCACATACACCAGCTAACCAACTTCAAAAAACTATCCCTCTCTCTCTCTTTCACTATAGAACTTACGTTTCGGGGGAAATCAAGCCACGGATAACTCGGGCAGCATTCAAACGCTGCTTGACATCCAAGTATGAAGAAGGCTCATCGAACATATAACTATAAAATACAAATCAATTAACAAATTATCAAGGTTTTTTTTTGCATGATAGATATTATGTTTCGCCCCTCCCCCCCTCAGAAAGAATGTTTTATATATACATTTTTTGTTTCAAATATCTACATACACCATAAAACAAACAACAACAAATAAAATCCAACTCACACATGGGCTTGCTGGACACAAACAACACCAATAGCAAAACGCTGCAATTCACCACCAGACAATTGACCAACTTCACGGGTCAAAACTTCCTGGAGATCTAAATATTATATATGTATGTAAGTAATCAAAGTTTGATAATAATGATAAATCTAATATATACATATTCTCTCTCTCTCTCCCTTTTCACATATCATTAAATTTAAATTTAAATTATATATTGTGTACCTAAAGCATCGATGATATCGTCGAGGTTGTTGCGTTCAAGTTTGTCATCGAGCAAAGCGCCAACCTTGCCACTGACAACCTTGGGGATATGATCGACGTACTGGGGCTTAATAATAGCCTATGAACAATTAAAAGCACAAAAAAAACAAATTCAATTATTCATCCAAGCATTTATATATAATATATATCATTTTTGCCATTTTCTTTTTACTCCTTATTTTTCCCCCTTATATATATTTCTCTTTTTTGTATAATAAATTATCTCTAAATTGTTGTTACAACTACTATCATTATTTGTAATGATCCAGATCAATTTAGATCAACCCATATCAAATCAGATCAAATCAGATCAAAGCAAATGTTATTTACCTTCAAGTTATCTTCAAGAATCTTGGTAAAGTAGTTCTGCAATTCTGATCCACGGAAGTACTTAAGGATATCTTGCCAGTCGGGGGGATTGTCGTAGCGACCGAGGTTAGGCTTCATCTTTCCGGAGAGAATCTTCAGGGCAGTGGACTTTCCGATACCGTTGGTACCGACAAGACCGAGTACCTGGCCAGGACGTGGGACGGGTAAACGATGGAGCTTGAAGGAGTTTGCAGAATAACGATGGGTGACTTCGCTCTCGAGATTGGTGGGCAAGTTGATGATGTGAATGGCATCAAAGGGACATTTTTTGGGGCAGATACCACAACCGATGCAAAGGGATTCTGAAATGTAGGCAATCTTGGAAGTAGGTTCGACTTCAATACAGAACTTGCCTATAAGATAATAAAAATGTATATTTGAAACAATAAAGACGATTAGTTTATTAATTAATTGATTGATTAATTGATTGATTTTATATATATATATATATATATATAACGAGTCTGTCTGCCTGTATGTTTTTATACTGTTTTTCTCCTGCTTATTGAATATTGCCAACTTTACCCATTCTGTTTACAGGGCAAGACTTTTTACTGTTTAATATATATATATATATATATAAAGGGGGATGAACAAGACATTAGTATTCATTCAAATAATAATATTACAACATAATACTATTACTAGTAGCACTGTTTTGACTTTTTTTTTCGTTTTTTCGTTTGCAATCTTCGTTTGGTTTTCAATTGACTTACCATTCCTGTCTACACTTCTTGGGTTTGCACTTGTCGGCATTGATAATGGCAATACGAGTCAATTTGTCACTCATTTTAATATATTAAATATATATATATATATAATATGAAAGTTTTGTTCTTTTTTGTTCTTCTTTTTGTTGTTCTGGTCTACAAAAATGGCTTTTTCTTCCTTTAATATAAAAGAGAAAAAAAGGGGAGTTTATGTATAGAGAAAGAGAGAGAGAGAAAAAAGAGAAAAAGAGGAGGGGGTGGGAGATCGCTTAGAGAATAAGAAAAGTGCGGAAAACAAGCGTAACTCTTTTTCAACCTTTTTTTCTATTTTTTTACTTTCTTGTTTTTTTTTGCGAGGTTCGAAAAAATAAATAAATAATATACATATATAAATAAAAAAAATTGGACGGGATTTGATGTCATGTCGTGACTGCTTTTATTGGTTGAAATCCACATCTGGATGTCAAAGGTTACAATAAGAAATAAGTATTCAATGTGTGTGAGTGTGTGTGGCGGGGGAAGAACAAGCCTAGAAATTTCTGTATATCATATATTTTATTTATTTATTTATTTATTTATTTTATTTTTCTCTCTCTCTCTTTTGTTCTTTATTTCATTCTTACAATAAAACCAAAATGTTCCAACGCATTGCAAACTTCTGGCTGTCTTCATTTGTCACCGAGCGTCTGTTGGCCAGTCCTCTCTTCCACCGCATGGCTGCAAAGACCCATCAGCATGTCTCTACTGTTACTGAGAAAGGTAAATTAGATAATAAATATATTTATATTTTAACCTCTTAATGTACAACATTTGTAATGACTTGTATTTAATATTAATAATAGGTACCAAGACCGGCAGTGAATTCATGAAAGCCTTTAAGGAGAACTTGGAAAAGGAAGCCAGAAATGCCAGAAAGTAAAAGAAAGAAGAAGCTTGTTCAACAAACACAAAACAAACTATAGCCTTTTTATTTATTTATTTTTGCTTTCAAAAGGGCACCCAGTTTTATTTTATTTTTTCTTAAAGAAGTTTAAAATTATATATACATATACACACTGCACACTACACACTAAATCAAACATCCTCTTTTACTCCACATTTGTACCATTTCTTCTTTCTTACCACTAATATTGTTCTTTCTGTACTTTTATCTATTCAAATTAGCTTTAGAATAAAAGGAAGAAAAAAAATGAACAATCATATTAATATTACTCATCTTACCCACCCAATTCTCTGCAATTATTTCGATTAAACTTATACTTGTAATAAATAAACTATTTTTTTATTTATTTTATATATATAAATATTATGCTTGTGTGTATATACACATGGAAACATGTTATAAACAAGAAATATATATATGTAAAAGAGAGGAAAGGAAATCGTGAGGGTGAGATTGTGAATGTATGATGAGAGAATAAGATAATAATAATAATAATAAAGCAGAATGAAACGAAGCAAAACAAAGCAAAATAAAATAAAAAAGTAAAGAGGTAAAGGAAGGTAAGAAAAGGGAAATATGTCAATATACAAATGTATGTCTGTGTCTGTGGTGGGTGTGTTTGTGAATATGCAAAAGAGAGTAGGTTAAATATCAGTACTAACAAGAACAGCAGTGAATTTAAACAATAGAATCTTCGACTGCTTGTTCCATAGCAATGGCTCGTTCAAGTTTTCTGGCTCGTGTGTATTCTAGTACTGAACGCATGATTAAGAACCAACCGAGGATCAATAATATGCTTGATTCAATACTAGAATCCTGTGCATTTTGTGCTGAATCATCGGGTACATCACCGTCACCAGTAGTCACTATTTGATCAATTAAGTATTTAATTTAATTTTTTTAAAAAAAAAAGACAAACTATAGATTGTTATACTTACTGTTATTAAGATAGCTTGAATATGTGACCATAGTCAAACCTAATCCTGCAAGAGATCCTTGCTACAAGCATTTTAAAAAAATCAGTATTATATTTATATATGTATAATACAGTACAATAATATTCAACTCAATTAAATCCAATTGAGCTGAATTATATTATGAATTACCTTGGTTGCATGTGAGGTGTGAACCATGTAGGTGAGCAGAAATCCAAAGATCTGGAAAGCGTATGAAATAGCGAAATTCAAAAAGAAGTGAAAAAAATCTCCAACTGGAATTCCCTCAACCAGGATCATGTCTCCAATAGGAATCGGTACAATTGTAGTGTACCGATAAGGTGGAACCCGATCTGCTGTAGCAACATCATAAGTCTAAAAAACAATATGTATATATATATATATATTATATATTATATATTTTATATATGCATTAAAATGAGTAATGAGTAATGAGTATAAAATATATTTATATAAAAATAATACTATTCTTATCTTGTCTTGGTTTGAATTATATATATATATATTTTAATAATTATATTTGGTTGGTCAACTTACAGGTGGTGCTTCTTCTACAGAATTAGCCTCAGATTCAGGCTTAGCAGACAGATTACAAAACACTCCATCAGTAGTCGTCATTTGTCTGGCAGTAGATGGCATGGCTGTATTAAGTGATTGGGTCTCAGAGCTCATGTCAATCGAAACTGAATCTTCAAAACTGGCATCCAAATCGACTTGTTGCTGCTGCAGTAGTTGACGTCGTTCTTGGTCTTCTTGGTCTTCCTGTTCTTCGTCATTGTCGTCATCGCAAGAGACTTGAATTTTTAAGGTGGAGTCAACGGCAGATACATCACTTGAGCTTGAAGCTTGAACATCCCAAGGCTGATCAGATTTCGTAGTGGATGTTAAGTTGGTAAGGTCAGAAGTTGGAATCTATTAACAAACGCGACCAAGATAAGTAAAGTAAAGAAAATTAATAAATCTAAAGTTGATATATAGATGTATAATAATTTAAATATATATATATAATCTGTTGAATTATCACATATATATATACTTCTTGAAATAACTAATTAACTATCTAATCAATTGATGAATTTTAATAGCTAATCGAATGGATATAGAGTTTATCTAGAATTATATAGTATTTCTGGTATAATATTTACTTTGTTATAGGTGGTCATTAGAGAAAATGTAACGGCTTTTATAAAGTGAGTAAAGAATTCAGAAGAAAGAAGAACGAGATAAGTCCAAGCAAGTTGTGCTATGAAATAAATACGAAATTAAAGATGGGTTTCTTTTTTTTTGTAAGGAAGTATGAAACGCAAGTCAATCTCCAAAAAAAGGTATTTAACTGACGCAAAAAGAAACTATTAAAACCCAGACAAAGCTGTCAATTCGTTCACAGAAAATAGAGACCTTGTGAAACATTGGGGGTACTCAGCCAGTTTGATCGATCAAATTCTTGCGTGAATCTTAGCCAATGATCTCCATTTGTAGTTGAGGACACCAAAAGACAAAAGTACAAAATTCGTACAAAATTCTTAGATTTTATAGCATATATAGAACAACCTTTTGCACATTCTGATTTATTCTTTGAACCTATATACGCCTAGACTTTCGAAGAAGCCAAGCGTTCTTTCATTTGACTCAAGATCTGGCAATACATTGTCAACCTTGTGTATGTATCTATTTGCTTTAAGGGATTTTTCAAGCTTCTTCACGGCAGCCATCTGCTCCAACTTTACGTTAACTTCCTTTTTGATTACTTCTAAAATATCTTTAATAAGCTCGTCTATACTTGCTATAAAGACTCTACCAGTGTTTTTTTTCACGATAAATTCACTGATTTTACGCGATTTCTTCAAGGCATCAATTGTTTGTTGCTTTGTACTATATTTTGGAATGTAAGATGGAGAGAAAGAAGTATTATATGACTTTGTCGCCAATAAATTCTATGATCTATTAAGGAGAAAGATAAAAACAGTATCGTATTGCATATAAAAAAGTAATGATTCAGCCAATCAGAGAGCCGTACGTTTTTCGATCAAATTTTGATCGAAATTTGATCGAAAGTTGATCTTTCAAAAAGACGATCAAATTTTGATCGTCGCTACTACAATTTTAGTCCAATAATATTGAGCTTTGAATTTAAAGTTTGATCAATCAATCTGGCTGAGTATCCCCATTGTAAAACTTTTAGAGGAGTTTAAATTATCCTTATAAAGAAATCTGGGCGTGAAAAACGCAAATGTTTGATAAACTTTCTCAAAAGTTTGCCAAACTTGAAAGAAATTTGAAAAACATTGTAAGACATGATAGACCAATCATGTTGTATTATTTTTTGTTGTTAAATTGACGATAAGGTTAAGCGTGAAAATATTAATAGATGTAATTTTTAACGTATGCGTGTAAGAATATAAGCATCCCTTCAGTATACTTTTCTTTACTTATTTTTTTCACTATTTTTTCTAATAAAGGTATTAGTAATATTCCCGCCCTAACATAATATCAAAAAAAAATGACTTTTTTTTAATAAAAGTTAACGAATCCCTCGTTAGCTTGATTATATGAAGCAGCGTTCGTGAGTTTAGTCTACTACTTTTCCGACAGGCAATGATTACCAAATGTATATTTTTTGTTTGTAGAGAGCTTTGTGCTCAAGAGGGTTGGTGAGCCTCCATTGCTGCGAAGCAAAAGAAGACACCACGGCTTTTGTTTTGAATTTTATTTGTTATATGATGTTTTTTGAGAGCTTTGTATTTTCTAAATAAGAGATGGGGAGAGCCCAAGAAGGCACATCTAGTAGCCATGTCTTCCCAAAGGAGATAGAACAGATCTGAAGGCTTCTAGGTTCTACCAGGGAGATAGACCTAAAGTCAAATAGGAAACAATGGGGAGATGGATGAAGAGAATAACCGGGAAGGTGGGTTTAAAGAGTGACCAAGAGGATGGGTGGGGACATAGAGGTGGACCGTTACATATTGACTAACTCTTCACACTATCTTCCCCGACCAAAGTGAGATATGTGCGAAAGAGCTGTGCCTGGCACATTTTAAGCAAATCATGCATGTAAACCGACCCTTGAATGTTACCCTATTCCAGCATATCTTCTTGGCGTCAGTTCAGCAAAAATCAATATTGGAAAAACGCTTCCGACCAGCCACGAACTCGACGAAGCAGATTGAGGGTTGGATCAACAGCTGTAACGCGTGGGGTGAACGTACAGCAATGAAGTCAAATGGCAAAAGATTGGAAGGCCGATGGCTGTGGGTGTTTCTGGACAAACATTTGGGAATCAACGTTACCGAGGACCTGGTCAAATACGAGCAACACTGTCGTCACCATCCGATGACAACAATTGGATATGCAAGAAAATCTAAAGGCAAAGAACGTATTAACACTAGATGCAACCTTCTGAGCGAAATGATCCATCGTCTGCGCACGAGGAGCTTATGCACCAAAGTGTACATATCATCATGTTGCGATGCAAAGGAAACTATAAACATCACTTGGCATTGGTCAAGAACTGTGATGGGGATATGACAAGCTACATATCCGTTTGGCAGTCATCGATTTTGCCGGGTTAAGCACAGAACCAAATGATATTCGTGCATTCATCAGGTAAAGTAGACGTATGATGAGGCTATCAGTGGATAAAATTAGCTTATTTGATACTGAAAAATCTCTTTTTAAATATATAGAATCATGGAAAGCACCTATAGCATTAATTCATTCATAAATTTCCTTATTTCTTCACATTACGTACTTCTTTACTCATGTTTCTCTTTTCTTTCTTTTTTCTTACTGTTTATCTTGCTTTAATGCTTTGGTGCTTTAATGCGTTCATGGTTTTATATAATATTTATAATAGTTTATGTATATATGACATTTAAAACAAGAAATTATTATCTGTTTTGTCCAAAACCAAAATTAATGTCCACGTTTCACGGCAATGTTACACTCAATGGAGAAATTAATAGGCGTTCACATAGTTGTGGTCGACCGATTTTTAACGGTCGACCGCCTTAATTTTCTTTACTGTTTATAGTAGCTTCTGAAATTGAAAACAAGAGTCACTCGAGGTTAGTTTCACATAATATTTGTATTTTACTAAAATACCCCCTAATAAACTTTTATTTTTCTATCTATTTACAAACATGAATAACAGTAATAATAGTCAGTTCAAAGGCTTCAAAAAATGAACTTTACTGATTTTTTTAATAACAACCTTTTCTTTATCAGAAATGCCTAAAAAATAAGAGCAATATGCAGATGATGTAAATAATTAAGTGCTTTAAGACTTCAGCAAAAAAGTAGACAAAGACTCGTCAGCTTAAAAAGATGTCGTCGATTAAATATTCTATAAAAGGAGCGATTTTTAGTGCATCCCCTGTCTTTTGCTGGGGATGCACTTAAATTTGTTGCCCATTTTTGGAATAAATTTTTTGCCTAAAATTGGGAAAAAAAACCGGTCGACCGACGAAAAAAATCGGTCGACCGCAACTATGTGAACGCCTAATGCAATCAAATAATGATTTTTTATTTATTTTTATACACGTCTTCACATAGGAAAGCGTGAACAAAATGGTTGGATACAAACATGTTAAGTTGAGTGGAGTTAAAAGATGCGTAATGGTCTGAACACAAAGGTAATAAAAGTAGAAATAGAAATATACAGCTAAATAGCTTTAAAGAGGTTCAATATTAAATAAATAGAAATAGGCTTAGAAGAGGGTCTAAGCTGATTTATCCTAGTGCATACGCATGTATACAAACATTTAAATATCCTACTTTTTTATTTTATATAATATTCTGTATGGTTTCCATAACAACCACATTTTTTAAAGCGACAATAGTGAATCAAAGGGTGCCTTTATTGTTGTTGTTTTTGTTATTATTATTTTGAATTTATTGAATATATAGATAAAAGAGTATGGAGCAAAAAAGTAATTTATCATATTATTTTTATGTACAGGAAGAAATAAATAAGTAAAAGTATATATCTACTCTTCAGTGGTCTGAACTGGTCCTTTATAGTTCTTTCGACCAGAGATAAACCAGAAACACAAGGCAAAGATCGATACCGCACCTATCATCAAACTTGCCCAATTCATGGTCTCTGCCTCCACAGGGTGATAAGAGGGAACACACAAAATAACACCAAAGAACAAAATCCAAAATACACTCAAGATGTTTAATGGGATACTCCAGCCATGGAGATTAAAAGGACCCTATTGGATTAATGATATCAATAAACTATTAAAATATATTATTCTCAATAATACTTATAAATAGTTACCTTGGGCATATCCTTTCGAGTCCAAATCAAGCGGCAAACGAGAGGAAGACCATATGAGATATTAATACAAATTACTGCAGTGCTCATAATAGCTTTCCAATAAATCATGGTTCCAAAAGACTGCAGATTATTAAAGTATATAAAGCAAAACACAAAATAAGTAAAAAAAAAGGTATATACAATTACAACTTACAGGCATAATGACAATAATAGAAATCGCCATTTGTAAAATTAGGGCACGAACAGGAATATGGTTATCTGACAATTGATAAAGCGATCTGTGAAAAGGAACACAGCCATCACGAGCAAGGGCCCAAAAGAGGTGGCCAGTGGCAAGAATTGAGTTGCACAACGAGCCAAACTGGGCTACTAGCAAAATCACCAAAAAGAACGCAGTCAGGGGTTTAGAAGTCGATCGCAAAAAGAATGTGGCAATCGGCATAGGAGACTCAAGAAGCTCATCCACGTCTTGGATAGAGAACAGGACCGCAATAATAAGCACAAATCCTTGTACGATTGCACTTCCAATACATAGAATAATTCCACGCGGTGCTGCAACCTCGGCGTTCTTGGTTCCTTCAACAATCTGAGCACCACCTACACAAATAAAAATAACGATAATAATAACAATAATAATAATAATGATCGATAGATAAGTAGGTGAGTAATTGGATAGAAATGCTGGTAAAAAAAAAATCAAAATAATCATCAAAAGGACTTTACATTCATATCCAACCAATGTCCAACCGGCTTGGAGAAGTCCAAGGAAAAATACAAGTCCCAAGTTGTCATAACCAGTGCCATTCATGAATTCAGTAAAAACCCACTTTGCAGAGGTGTGGGTTGGGGCCATGACTGATGATTAAAATAAAGATATGCACATATGCATAGATACATACAAATGTTTAATATCTACCTTTATACACCTTTATACACCTTACCAGGAACAGTAATAACAACAATGATAGTACCAATAAAAACCCAAAATACTAATCAAAGTACCAATAAGATATATGTAAATAGAGATATAAAAGTATTAAATTATATTCTGTTAGCATTGATAGTATTGATAACGTTCTTTTCTTTCTTACCCATGAACTTGTTGAGATAGGTACTGAATTTCATTCCAAGGCAGTTGTAACCAGTAGCAAGAACAAACATACCACAGTAAAGACCAACAAATGCGCCTTGAGATGTGATTTGAGTCTCCAGATAAAGATTAGCAATACCTAGAATAAAAGATGTTTTTATATATAAGAATTAATAAGCAAATAAATAACATCTATATGTGGGTATATATAAGTGTATGATCCTACCATAAATAAAATCTGTTGCAGACCAAGCGAGTGTCATGTTGGCCGTAATTAAACCAGTCAAGTAAAGGTAACCACTGATCCATGCCATGACTATATATATATACATAAATTCATATTTAGAATACCAATATCAGGTCAAGGGATAATGTGATTATATATACAAATTATCACCACTACAAGATCTCAAGCTCAAATTCAAACTTACAAGGAGCCCATTTCTTGTTACTGAGCATGTAACACCAAGAATAAATTCCACCCGCCAGCGGGTAAGCTGAAATGACCTCAGCCATAGACAATCCAATACATGCAACAAAAGGAACTACAACAACCCTAAATACATATACATATAACATATACATAGATGCCCATTAGTTTTTGATTTTGTTTAATTGTCAATTTTAAAAAAGAATATCTTTATATATATATATATATATTTGCTTTTCACTTACCATCCCCAGAAAAGAGAACTCGGGCCACCCGCACTTAGACATCCACCAAAACCAACTAGCCTTTAAAACGTTCACAAAAAGAAGATAATGTCAGAAATGCACAGAAATACCCACATACATGTCTACATTTATTATCTAATTAAATGCCTTGCTACTATTACTATTGCTTGTTTATTGCTTACCAATTGGGCAAGACAGCCATTGTGGAGAAAGAAAAGCCAGCCTGGACAAAAAGACTGATTTCTCGCTTGAACTCTTGCTTGTAACCAAGATCTCTGAGTCTTTGAGCATCACGATCAAGACCATTAGATTCAATATGTTCGGCTGAAGCCTGTTTATCACTAGTTGATTTCAATACCTAATACATGTTTGTTAGCTGTTGTTGCCTTTTTTTGCGCATCTTTTAATAATAGAACATTATTATAACGGTAGCCGTAACTGTAACTGTGGCTGTAATAAAGCTAACTTTGAAGAATATATTGATATTAATATTGATATTTACAGTTGCAGTTGCAGTCGCAGTCGCAGTTGTAGAGGTGCTGGTTTTCTCCACCATATTATTTTGTCTTGTTTGGAGAATGTCAAGCTTAAAGTTGCTTGATAATATAAAGAAAAAGAGAAAGAGAAAAAAAAGTAATGACAAGGTAAAGGAAAATCTCTAGCTTATATATATATATATATATATATGTGTGTGTGTGTGTGTTTCCAAGGAAAATAAGAATGATAGTGATAGTGGTAATACTCCTTATAATATTGATAGTTTTATCATTGTAATTCCCATCATATACCATAGCATCACATTACTTGGTCTCTCTCTTCCTTCCTTTCTTCTTTTTATGGTCTATAACTTTGTCACAAGGGACAACCTTACTGAATTCTGATATCTTGTGTGCCTTTGGTTCTTACAAAGCTAAAAAAAATGAAGAACAAAAGAGGAACCAAAAAAAAAATGTATATTAGAGAGGCGATAAAAGTTAGTAGAGTAAAACTATGAAAAGATGACAAACACTTCAAGGGTTGATTGGCGTTGTCTTTGAAATGGGCTTTTTTGTACCAGGTAAACTTCAGATAATTTACATATGGGTGTGTGTGTGCGTTTAGAAGATATAGTTCCTGGGAAGTAGAATAAAGTTCTGGTTGTAGTAAGTTTGAAAGTCGATAAGCGTGGAATGAAGTAACCAAGATAACCTAATCTCACTCTAGTCTCCTTGTGCTGTATATCTTTGAGTATATCATTTTAGGTTAACTATTATATTCTCATTGTACAGACAACATCAAATGATATTACACATACCGTTAGCCAAGTGTCAAAAGAACAAAGAGTCTCACCTCAAATACACATACATATATAGCATATATTCTACCCTTATTATTATTTCTCACATCTCTTTTGTAATATTTTGCGTGGACTGTTACACTTGTTGCGCAAAAGCTTTAATATGTCATATAGATTGTGTGTGTGAATTAAAAAAGAAATGAGATCTAGATTTTTTTGTGTGTGTGTTTTTCACTGTCGATAATACTCCACATATAATAAGTTACTTCATCTTCACATTATTATTATCACTATTATAGCTATATTTCAAAAGCTATATCTTTCTCGGTTCTAATTAGGCACTGTATCAATTTTACATGCTAATATATCTATTATCATATTGCAATGCATTTGATTTAGAATGTACTTTACAATGAAAGGCGGTTGATGTTTTATCCCAATAATTACACATACATACACATGTATATATAAAAATATATGTGTATAAAACGTACTCGGTACAAACAATTCACACGAATCTACAAAGCCAATCTTGTATTCAATAAAAAGATAATTACAAGAATAAGAGAATGACCGGTGTACAAGGCCACACAAGATCGGATAGTTTCTTGGCAAAATAATGTCCTTTTTTTAAAAAATATTAATAATAATAATAAAATTTTATACTATTATTTCGTTTTGAGGATTAACAATGTATTATCTTTGGTTTATATATCTCTCTGTCTCTTTCATTCTTACAAGATTAACTGCTTATCTCTTTTGTACCGAACCGCAATTCCGAATGATAAGTGTATCTTTCTCTGCTCTTATATTTAATCTCTTTATCTTCATTTTCTCAGATTACTAGATTATGTACAGTAATATCTCTATTTATTTATTTATTTATTTAAGTAATTAATTAATTATCTATCTATCTATCTATCTACCTTTATCTTTCTCTCTCTCTCTCTTTCTCTATGTATATAATGCTTTTTACTTCTTATTCTTATTCCCCTTTTGCCCATCGTTTTACTTTTGAGACGGCTAGGTTTGTGTTGAGCAATACACGACAAAATACTACATAACACGTGGATATCGGTATGGGTATAGAGTGAAATATCATGTAATATATTCAAAATAAAAGAGTAAAAAGCTCTTTTTTACAAGCCCTTGACATTTCTTGTATCTTTATAACTTATTACTTGAATATGTAGATATATATATATGTATGATATCCTGTACCTTATACCTCAGAACTTTACTGAGACTCATAAGCACATGTCTTTTTTTTTCTTTGGATAAATTATTCTTGGCTGTATAAAATTGTCATATATATTTATCCTTCCACCAAGACAGTTCCATTCTTATGAGCGAAAGAAAGACAAAAAGAAGGAAATGGCTAAAAATGTCATGGCTATTTGATCTTCAAGCTTATAAAGAAATCCGATATATATATATCATATTATAATGTGCTGTTCTTATTCAAACAATCGAGGAACATTTAAAAAATCGTAGAAAAAATCATTACTGTTATTTTTTGAGCCAAAACGTTTTTCCGCTATATCCGCCACTTTCCTAAATCTCGCTTGACAGATTCCCTTTTTTGAATATTTTCTCCCTCTCCCTCTCTATTTTTTCTTTTTTACTTAAAAAATTGAGCATGTCAAAATAATAATAATAATGACCACCCCAAATTAAAAATATGTTCAAAACAATTATGAGGAACATTTACTATTGTTGCTATTGCTGTTGATGTGATTATTTTAGTTGGGCTCACTAGTAAGCTACAAATTCAGATAACCAGAATATATGTTATGTATACAGATTATCAATTATACAAGCTTGGTTTATTGATTGATTCATATAATTATGAAATAAAAAGAATGGCATAAAATATTGGGATATAAACAAGAAAATAGTACATAATACATAATAAATTAATGAATTAATGAATTAAAGGATTAGAGAGAAGCAATGTTGACAACCTGCTTGCCAAAGTTCTTGCCCTTCAATACATCAATCAAGGCCTGGGGAGCAGACTCGATTCCCTCGGCAGCAGTCTCACGGTACTGGATAACACCATCCTTGAGCCACTGGGTGACATCCTTGCGGAAATCTGCCTCCATCTCGGGGTGCTCGCCAACAATGAAACCCTCGATTCTCAAGCGCTTGCTGACAATCTGAATAAGGTTGTGAATAGGCTCGGGGTTTGTGGTGTTGTACTGGGAGATCATACCACAGCAGACGATACGGCCAAAGTTGTTGGAGTGGTTGATCACATTCTCGAGCATCTTGCCACCGACATTCTCAAAGTAAATGTCAATACCGTTGGGACAAAGCTCGGTCAACTTAGCATTAGTGTCCTCGGTCTTGTAGTTGAAAGCGCCATCGAAACCAATCTCCTTGAGGTAGGCAACCTTTTCATCCGAACCAGCCGAACCAACGACGTGGAGACCAAGCACCTTGCCGATCTGGCCAACCAACTGACCAACAGCGCCAGACGCAGCAGAGACATAAAGAGTCTCCCCCTTCTTGGGCTTACCGAACTTGATCAGACCAACATAGGCAGTCATACCTGGCATACCGAGGACACCAATGTAGTTGGACAACGGAAGACCAGACTCACGGGCCTCGTTGCGAGGAGTGAAAAGGAAGGCGAGCTGGGCAGGAACGTGGGTGTATTCGGCAAAATGTCCAATGCCATAGACAATGTCATCGACCTTGAACTTGTCATTGTTGGATTTGACAATTACACCAACAGTGTGGCCAGCCATGGGCTTGTCAAGATCAAATGCAGGAGAGTAAGACTTGGTTCCAGCAGCGCGCATACGGCCGCGCATGTAAGGGTCGACAGAAAGAGTCAGGGTCTTGACAATGTAGTGGTTTTCGGGAAGTTCAGCCTCGAGATCAATTGTGTCATGCTTGATTGTCATGTGCTCTCCAACCTCGGGGAAGGTTGTAGGAATCTTGGAGAAGATGATTTGAGTGTTGGAAACCATATTGATTCAATAAAGAAGTGATGAAGTGTAGATCAAAAAAAAAACAAAATTCACAACATAGGCTTCCCTTTTATAGACTGAATAGACATATCACAACTCCGATATTGCATTTAAGCTGACAACGAGAAAAAGGATGGATTATTAATCAATTAGCATTGACATATTGTTGGCATAAAGTAAAAAAAGGAAATTAAGCCAGGTATTAGTCTAGAAGATTCAATTAAGAAAAACCGAAAAGACATGTATATACAAAAAATAGTATTTTGTATTAAATACAAGAAGTACACAAGTGTGTTAAAGACATGTGAATTTGCTCTTTCTCTTTTTTTTTTGGTACTTTTTTGGTTGAAATTGTACTTCTTTAAATTATAATAAAAATTTTTAAAAAAAAAATTAAAAAATTAAAAATAATAATATTTCTACAAACCAAATCTATACACTTTGACTAACAGAATAAATAAATAAAGTCTTTCAATTGAAAAAGTGTATAAATGTAATTAATTCAATAATTAAACCCCACCAAGAGGTTCCGTCATGGGGGTTTAAATGAGTGTAGGAGAGTTTTTTTTTCAATTATTGTTTTGGTCTATCTCATTATATTATATTAAATTGTCAATTGCCAGAAGTTGAAGTATATCGATGCTCCAGCATTAGTGTAACTAAGATATAATACAGATATATTATATATACATGTATATCATATTATTCAAAGGACAAAGAGATACTACAGCAAAAAAATACTATTATCAAAATCAGATCCTTTTTAAACAGGTTAAAACACTTCCAGAAAACGCTTTTATCCAATAATTTAACGATATTGAAATAGCAAAAGCACTGTATATTTTGGGCACTTGAACATAAACAAAACAAAAAATTGACATGCAAACAAACTCTATAAATTAATCAACTGTATTAGCCAGAATTTATCAGAATCCCACTTCACTCCATGCAATTCAGTGAAAATGTGTCTCGTTCATGACATTCATACCTTACTACTCAACATATTCTATTCCTATCAGCTTATCTTTAAGGTCTATAATATAAAAGCTGTTTGTACATCTTTGGCGAATTATTCTTAAACAAAATATTAAAGGATGTATATTCTGTAATGTATCAATACTTGCTCACTCTTCCTATTTGGATTCAGATCATAATTTGCACTGTGCATATAATTGCACGCGTATGTTGGTGTATGTTCAATAAAGGATTGAGAGCAACAGACATTCACTAATATACAAAGTACAAAAAAATTGTAGATAATAATGCTTGTTTCATAAATACATCCAAATTAAACTTTTTTGTGCAAAGTCTGTGTAAATACAACAAGGGCATTACTTGTGTATTTGATTCACCACGCCATTTTGGTCTCCCTTTCAAACACGCATTTCTTTATTCTCTCTCACCTCTCATCTCTCTTTATTTTTATTTTTGCCTTTGACCTATTGCTTTTTATTTCTCTCATTCAAATAATCTTATTTACAATGTCCATCAAGATTAGCCAAATTCACCAATATATATTTCGTGCCATCGAAAATCTCAAGAATTATTCTGCCTTTATCCTTATATAATCTACAGACAACAATAGCCTCTACAGTTAAACACGGTGATCGACACAAGGATAAGAGCACAGATATTATATTACATTAAACTACATTTTTACTTCATTTCTTTTCAGATTTATTCGACTAGATTAATTTTTTCTTATAAATGAGCCCTCCTAATTACAACATTAACTTCTTCAATCAAGTAAAAAAAAAAAAGTTTAAAAGCGTGTTTTTTTTATTGGAGACGATACTAGTTAAAAAAGACTTTATTTATTTATTTAAAGATATACATAAAGAAGCTATTTTATTCTATTTGATTGAATTTCACTTAATGTTCTTTTACATGAGTAAAAGAATAAAAAGCATGACACCAAGTTCTTTGTCCCCGCATTACGCGGCTCAATCTCCTTCAGGACGTAAACCTGACTTGGTAGCGAAGGAGGTGCTGGAATGGTGGCAAACCAACGGAAAGCACCCGTTCATCCAGCCCCACATCTCGTCACCGAGTAATGTGGGTGCGAACTCGCCAGAGAACTTACCACTAGGTGATAAGGTCCAGCTCATTCGACTACCAGTAGCTTCACCGTCAGCCGTTAAAGAGTTCAGTCAGGTTAGCAGTGAAGAGCCAGCACATCTCACCACAGGTTAGACCTCCCTCCCCCCAGCATCATGATTCCACATTGGCGATGCGATGTACACAGTAGTCTTTCCAAAAGAAAAGAGACCATGCCCCACGACTTCTCAGAATTAACTGAGCTGGCGAGTAACAACTTTCACTTTCCGATGCTTGTAGCATGGAAGAATCTCCCTGCAACGGTCGCAAGAGACGCCTCACTATGAAACCGGGACTGTTGTTGCTCAAGGAGAAAACAAACGACGCGCGTTGGAGGGGTTCTATATGTAATCGAAAAGTTTTCATCTGCGATTAAAGTTTAGGACTGCGCTTTTTGTCAGTCCTAGATGTCCACGTCAGAGCAAACGTGATATGACTGTATATTCCTTTTACTGAGGTTGTGTAACTGTTTTACGACAGAAGGGGAGGCTAATAATATTTAATAAAGTTACTTATAAAAGCGATTTTGCAAAGTGAAGTAAAGTAAGGCAAAGCAAAGAAGCAATGAAGTAAAAAGAATAATGAAGAGTTTAGCTTTGATCGGTGTAGCAATAACTAAAGATGGAGTACATAATTCTATAACGGCGATTTGTAGGTTACTCTTAACTGGTCTGTGCGCTTTTTGCTCAAAGGTACAAAAAAACGTTTTTTTATATATTTATTTTGTCAGTACAAGTAGACACAAAAGGAACCTAACAGTCACTAGGACATAAAACTACATATAATTCAAAGCAATATTGAGCCATAAGTAAACAGCAGAAAATAAAGCAAATATAGATATATATATATATAGTTGATATGTTTAATAAAGAAAAATAATATACTGGGGATTTTGCTATCGATTTGAACAAAAAAAGTTTAGTTACACCTTCAGCTTATTCAATGCCAATAACAATATTTTTTATGAACTAGAGTTGCTTAATTGACAAAAGTAACGGTGACTCTATAGTAACAAGCACCTAGTGCTTTATTGAAATATACAGTTAATGCTGTGTTGCGATGATATCTACAAAAAAAGTAAAGCAGTTACTTTAGCGAAATTTTATACTTTACAAAGAGAAATATCGTCATTTTATGGCATTCTTATCATAGAGAAAAAAAGACCACTTAGTATTAATGCCCCTCTCTTTTTATTAAATAATAGAATATTTCCTTCTTGCCAAGCGTATTCGTTTTACTTTGACTATTGATCTATTGGTGCTTTAATCCTAAGGAATCCCAGAGTTTTGGATGTTAACATTAAGATTATTTTTTAAAAAAGCACTTAGCCTGACTTGCCTTATATAAAATTATTCACAAACTATTTTTCTTATCACAGTTATCAAATCCAATAAAATATTCTTACTAATTTCTTCAAAATATAAAGATTTCCTTTACAACAAATCAAACCTTCCTATAAAGAACTGTGAATAGGTATATGACTTAAGTACATTTTTGCTATACCAAGCTTTTGGAAGCTTAATTTAAACATGTTCTTAAATGCACTAGGCTCTACTTTACTCCTATTCATTCAGCACCCTATGGACAGCAGATCCACAATTCACGATAGTAACCGATTGGTTTTGGCCCAAAAATATGGATTACTGCTATCAAAAATTTATAAAAGTGTATACTGAAATTGATAATAATGGAGAATATATATACTATTCTTGTAGTGCATCGAAAAATATATCGTTGGTAACTTTTATGCCCGATTTTTTCTTGAATAGCAATGGTTCTATGAGACAAATTTAGATAGTGGTGAACATTTCAATAATAGTCAAAGTCTTTTCTTGATAAATTATGTCACAAAGAGAGGTCACAAATTAATAGAAGACTGAAGGCGGCCATCCTATTCCATTAGACAAAGAAATAATAATTGGCTTATATTTAGATAGCCTTCTATATATTCAGTAAGCATGAAGCTTTTGGGTGGAATACCGATGTTTGGAGAGACTGTTTCTTTTGGCTTCAACTACAATCCATTCATACAATAATTAGAGAATGAGTATTCTATTGTATTGAGAAAGAGCATAAAGAAGATCATCAAGGTCTTTCAGCAGTAAAAGAGAAGTTCTATAATGATATAAATGCAAGAGCATAACTAGAATATATATATATATATATATATATATATGCATATTGAAAATACAAGCAAGTTTGATCAATAATCTTTTATATTGGAGCATTAACAATCTTGTTGGCTATCAAATAATAGACGTTATTAAAGTACTATAAATACATCTTGACAAATATACATATTATTAAACATATATTTATGTCAAAATAAAGACACCCACTCAGTAAAAAAAAAAGGCATTTCTTCATTCATTCTCTTCACAACTAAAAATAGCGAGTATAAAACTCAGTCAGATTATAAGCCGCTAGAAAAAAAGGCCCTGTCAGTGTAACGCGGATCTCATGCAAACAAAGCAAAATACTATATCGCGAGCTTGAGTTGCACCAACTATCCTATTCACAAAATAAAGTATACAGCTTATGTAAAGTAGGTATGTCCTTGGGTAATGAGGAGTCTACATGAGGATAACTTGAAAGCAGGGAATCAGGGAAGCAAGGAAGCAATGAAGCAAAGAAAAAAAACAGGCATTTATCGGAGAAGTGTGCTGAGTAGGGAAACTATCCCAACTTAATACCCTTTCATAATAAGAATAAAAATAACACCAAACGTTATCCAGGCTTTTGGAATAAACTTCCCAATAAATCATTAGTGACCAAATTATTCTTTCTTTTACAAACTTTGGTGTGTTCTGTTACTGATAGTATAGTATTAAAAAGTATACTTAAAGAATTTTCTAAAGGCGACGCCAATGTATAAGCTACATACATACATACACCATGCCTTCTTATGAAGGTGTATATCGTAAAGGTATTCTTAATTAAAGATCTTTGTCTCGGTCTTCTTCAACTTCAAATTTTTGACATTTGAAATCAAAACAAAAATAAGATGCGTTCGAAAGATAAGGTCAGTTTATCAGTCCACCCCTCCATTCTCCTTCTTCTCCTGTATATTAAAAAAAAATGTCGGATATTTACTGCTAAAATATCAGAATCAACGTCTGGAAGATTAGCTACGAGTATGGTCAAAAGAACGATAATATGGAAGACATGAGATAAACTCTGTTGCATTCATCATTCTATACGCCCAAATTTGGGTCTCAAAACATTATATCTCAAAGTCCAGTGCTCAAATCCAATTGAAGTGCTCATTCCCCTCACAGATACCATAAATGGTTGCGAATCATTAGGTGTGTATTTCAACTCCTGCTAATTAGGCGCACGCCCAACAAAAAAAAACTACCATGACGGAACCTCTTGGTGGGGTTTAATTATTGAATTAATTACATTTATACACTTTTTCAATTGAAAGACTTTATTTATTTATTTTGTTAGTCAAAGTGTATAGATTTGGTTTGTAGAAATATTATTATTTTTAATTTTTTAATTTTTTTTTTAAAAATTTTTATTATAATTTAAAGAAGTACAATTTCAACCAAAAAAGTACCAAAAAAAAAAGAGAAAGAGCAAATTCACATGTCTTTAACACACTTGTGTACTTCTTGTATTTAATACAAAATACTATTTTTTGTATATACATGTCTTTTCGGTTTTTCTTAATTGAATCTTCTAGACTAATACCTGGCTTAATTTCCTTTTTTTACTTTATGCCAACAATATGTCAATGCTAATTGATTAATAATCCATCCTTTTTCTCGTTGTCAGCTTAAATGCAATATCGGAGTTGTGATATGTCTATTCAGTCTATAAAAGGGAAGCCTATGTTGTGAATTTTGTTTTTTTTTGATCTACACTTCATCACTTCTTTATTGAATCAATATGGTTTCCAACACTCAAATCATCTTCTCCAAGATTCCTACAACCTTCCCCGAGGTTGGAGAGCACATGACAATCAAGCATGACACAATTGATCTCGAGGCTGAACTTCCCGAAAACCACTACATTGTCAAGACCCTGACTCTTTCTGTCGACCCTTACATGCGCGGCCGTATGCGCGCTGCTGGAACCAAGTCTTACTCTCCTGCATTTGATCTTGACAAGCCCATGGCTGGCCACACTGTTGGTGTAATTGTCAAATCCAACAATGACAAGTTCAAGGTCGATGACATTGTCTATGGCATTGGACATTTTGCCGAATACACCCACGTTCCTGCCCAGCTCGCCTTCCTTTTCACTCCTCGCAACGAGGCCCGTGAGTCTGGTCTTCCGTTGTCCAACTACATTGGTGTCCTCGGTATGCCAGGTATGACTGCCTATGTTGGTCTGATCAAGTTCGGTAAGCCCAAGAAGGGGGAGACTCTTTATGTCTCTGCTGCGTCTGGCGCTGTTGGTCAGTTGGTTGGCCAGATCGGCAAGGTGCTTGGTCTCCACGTCGTTGGTTCGGCTGGTTCGGATGAAAAGGTTGCCTACCTCAAGGAGATTGGTTTCGATGGCGCTTTCAACTACAAGACCGAGGACACTAATGCTAAGTTGACCGAGCTTTGTCCCAACGGTATTGACATTTACTTTGAGAATGTCGGTGGCAAGATGCTCGAGAATGTGATCAACCACTCCAACAACTTTGGCCGTATCGTCTGCTGTGGTATGATCTCCCAGTACAACACCACAAACCCCGAGCCTATTCACAACCTTATTCAGATTGTCAGCAAGCGCTTGAGAATCGAGGGTTTCATTGTTGGCGAGCACCCCGAGATGGAGGCAGATTTCCGCAAGGATGTCACCCAGTGGCTCAAGGATGGTGTTATCCAGTACCGCGAGACTGCTGCCGAGGGAATCGAGTCTGCTCCCCAGGCCTTGATTGATGTATTGAAGGGCAAGAACTTTGGCAAGCAGGTTGTCAACATTGCTTCTCTCTAATCCTTTAATTCATTAATTCATTAATTTATTATGTATTATGTACTATTTTCTTGTTTATATCCCAATATTTTATGCCATTCTTTTTATTTCATAATTATATGAATCAATCAATAAACCAAGCTTGTATCATTTATCATTGATAATGTGTGGGTGTAGATATACTCTTATTTGAAAATGTCTGTTTTTTTAATAGCGAAAGCAGTGACACCAAGAAGTAATTACTGGGATGGTCTTTATCTGGTAATGGTATCAGCTCATGCCGAAGTATGTGTTTATTCAACAATCGTTAAATACCAATTTCCCCTCTTGTTTTTTTCTCTTATATTAGTAAAACTCCCTATTTAACCCGCAATTTCCCAGTCTTTCTTAAATCGAGTTTTTCGAAATTATCAAGAAATATTTATTAATTACTTACAAGCAATATAATTAGATTATTCAAGTTTATATTTTTTCTTCTTAGCCTTTTTTTTGACAACCAGTTCAAAGTCGTGTATATGCCGTAAGAATATGCTCATAATAGCAATGCTAACATATTTATATAAAAAACCTTAAAATATACTGCATAATATTGCACACAACGATGTGTCAAAAAAAAAAGTAGAATGAGAGTTTATTTTACTAGTAAAGTTATATAAAATAATTGAATACTTATAAAGAAGTATTTTTTTATTTACTAAGCCAAGGTACAAACTTATCTAGTGCTAAAATGAAATCATTGACTATTAATCATTGGTTTATTGTGAGGAGAGAGAGAGAATAAATTAAACAAAGGTTTGTCCATATAAATGTATCATATAAAATACCTATACAGAATTACACGGCTAATTTAACGATCCTGCTGCCTATGGATCGATGAATTTATAATCCAAAGGAGATAGTACGAAATGGAAATAAGAAAAAAAAATATTTAGCTAGTTCTATACAACGCCGTTTGCATGTATAAATGTGAGGAAAAACATAAAAAGAGAAAGCACCGAAAATACAAATGCTATGTGGATGAAAAAATGCAGAAGAAATATATTAACAACGTATATATTTACTTTTAAAACGAACTTTGGTCTACAGGCACACTCTCTTTATCTTCCGTGTATATTCTCATTTATATTGCCTTATTTTTTTTTGGCGCTGTGCCAGGTATAGGCAAGACAACGAGAGAGAAAAGGTTTTTTTTATTGAGACGCCAACATGTTAGAATGCAGTCCCAAATAGACTTCGACTAAATGTCGCGGTAATGATGAATATTTGGTCATTAATATAAATACTTCTAGTTGCCCTGAGAGATATAATAAAGGGTATCGGGAGAAAGAGCAAAAAAAAGAAAAATGCCGGAATTAACCGGTAAGTGACAATCTCCAAGCAACGATTGTCAAACCAGATGTGGTGCAAGAAATTCTTAAGAGAGAGAGAGGGTCCTATTATAAAAGAGATGATAGTGTATCCAGATATTATGCAAACTAATATAAAAAATCAATGTGTATACTGTTTATGGTTTGAAATAGATACTGAGAGGGTATCTTTACAAGGCACTGGACTGTATGACTGAGAAAGTATCTGAGACCAGGGCGCCTGTAAGATTAGAAGCGGGGAGAAGGAAAGGTGGGGAAGCTTCCCAGACGGAATTTGGCGGTAATTGAAGGACCAGACCAGGTTGAAGGTGAACCTCGATAGGAAGAAAGGTAGGCCAGATGAACACTAGGTTAATGTATATAACCGTGTTACAGATAAAGTAATACTTATTCATAAACTTCGAAACTCAAAAAGCTAATAATGTTTTTTCTTTGTTTCTGAAAAAAAAAAGTATTTCAAATCGCCAAGATTTTTGCAAGTGCGAATCAAAAACATCCTTTCAATACAGCAATTACTTTGAGAAAGCACGCTTTTGATGCCAAAAAAATGTGATTTGAATTATTCAGCAAAAAGTCACTAATGTATCTTCTGATAGTGGGGTAAAATACGAAGAATGTTGAAGAAATAGGTGATGAAAAAGATGAACGAGAAAGGGAGCAACGACGAAGTAAAGGGTTCACTAAATAAGAATGTAGATCGTAATATATGCTTTGATAATTATGCACATACATTTGACAATAGATACAGAACAACAATTGCTAAAAAAAAGGGATTTGACTGTCCATAAATATTTTGTTTTCTGTTTATTCAACCCTATACTTTACATGAGTGGATAAGACTTTCAACTCGGTCTACTTTAAAAGAAAAGGCCTTAACAATCCAGTTTGGTTTTCATTTGGATCTTTAAAGATAATTAAGTTGTCGAATACCTTATTTGGAGATATATATATAAGAAATACTTGGAAAACAATAAATAGTCGAGAAGGCACAAGGTACCGAATGTTTATACACCTAAAGATCTGATAAAACTTGATAAGTGCAGAAACACCACCTCTCTGGTGTCTTTTAACTGTGGCGAAATGTAACCTTTAAACTAAACAAAGAAAGAAAGAAACGTATATTGATTCGGATGTTAGCTCTCCTCCTAGTTTTCCTGATAACTCACCAAGATCACCAGCTCAAAGGCCTGTCGTAGATACTTGCTTTTTTGCACTAGCATACAAAAGAACATGAACAGAAAATTCCAATTTCTATTTCCTTATTACTATCTTCTTTCTAGATCTAGCATTTATAATTTTATTACTGCTTTCCATTCAAGGCAATTTACTGAGGATCTTTTTTTTTAAAAAAAAATAAAAAAAAATTGTGCTCTGTACTCAAATCTGCGTTTTAATAAGTCAAAGATATACATTCGGGATTTGATTTTTTATGGAATAATTTTTATTTTTTTCTGGTATCTCACGTCATTTTGGATAGTGAAGATGTGTGACCATACTAATCTGTTATATCTTTATCAAATTCATTACAAAATTAATAAAAGAAAAAAAAAACAATACAAATTTAATTCGGGTCTTAATAGCAGCATTTTATTGAGGTCTTTAGTGAATACAGATAATAATGGCTCAAAGTCACAATAAAAGGTCTAAACTTTGAAAAGTAAGTAAGAGAGTAATAAGTAACCAAGCAACCAACTATATATATATATATAGGTAAATAGGAAATAAAAAATTAACGCTATTAGAGAAAACACGGGTATTTACAGCAGTAAGAAAAAAAAATGTGTAGAGGCAGACCATAATTTAAACTTTAAGATTATCCTTTTTGCCATTTGTATGTCGTGCAAGGCGAGTAAGTGAATAGTAGCGCCTCACCGGCAATAGATATGCCACGAGGCCTTTGTGGCGCAACTAAAAAGTCTTAGGGAAAGAGATTCTTATATATTCTTTTGACAGATTATATTTCGAGCTAGAATAATAAGGCGCAATTAAAGGACTCTTTGACACAATAGATTATGACTGAGTAAGTTAAGCCTTCTGTATTATTGTACCATGGAAAATCGGCTTGGAAATGGCGCCACAGGAACCAATTTAGACTTCATATCAGGCCAAGAAATAATAAAATATTAAAATAAAATAATAATAGTAAAAATAAAAAAAGGACCACTTTTTATGATTATTGTTGTTATTGGCATTATTATTCCGGTTCCACCCTTGTCTCTGAGGACCCTGCCTTTTTGTTTCTTATGACACAGAATCACAGATATTTATTTTCGATATAGCGTACTGTAAGAAATGCACTTCTTCTTTTTATAAGATGGCTGGAAATTTTGGGTATTCCAAATAACCGATAAAGCTGTCCCATAGATTCCTTGTTTTCTCCAGCTATTCGATATTACTATATGTGTAACATATGGAGAAATGTTTAAGAGAACCAATTCCCATGGGCACGTATTGGCTAATTATTGAACCGCCCCTTCATTGTGTGTTTTTTCTTTTTGGTGTGTGTGTGGGTGTGTGTGTGTGTCTTGAACACTTGTATTTTTCAAGGGTTTCGCTTGTACTTTTACCTTTTTTTTTTCTTTATTGAAAAATCAAAATCGAATCAAATACCAACACAAGCCAAGATGGATCAACAAGCGAACGATAATCATCCGTCCGGGTTTTACTCTACACTTTACCTCAAAACTCGCTTACCACCAACTACTCGAAACCCTTCACAGCCACCCTTGTTGGCACCGACACCACTCTCACGTGGATCCCGTTGGAGCCCTCCTATCTATGCACCTTCTCCAACACAAACAGATGAACGTACGCAACATAACCAGCGCTCCCAACAACACCCCCAGCAGCACCCCCAGCAGCACCCCCAGCAGCACCCGCAACAACACCCCCAGCAGCACCCACAACAACATCAACAACAACACCCACAACAACATCAACAACAACACCCACAACAACACCAACAACACTACCAACAGCACCATCACCAACAACAGCAACAACACCATCACCAACAACAGCAGCAGCAACAAGAGCAACAAGAGCAACATCAAAATCATCAAAACCAACGACAACAGCAACACTCTGTTTTACCACCTCCAGTTCCAACAAGTAAAATTGCCTCAAAAAAGAATACGGTATCAACGGCCTCTCGGAGAACACGGATCACTCGTGCCTGTGAGTATTAGGCCTTAATCTCAAAAAACCGGTTTAGCTAATTATATTATTTTAACCATATAATTTTGGTTGGCTTTTTGGATTAGGTGATACCTGCCGGCGAAAGAAAATAAAGTATGTGACAAGAATGATCATCAAAAAACACACCCACAAAAAAAAGTGCTTCAACAAATTATTGATCTTCTTACTGTGTTTTCTAGGTGCGATGTGGATTCTATGCAGCCATGCTCAACCTGCAAGCAATACGGGTGGGAATGTACCTTTCACGATGTAAGCATATCCTACAGACTGATCTATAGTTTTGATCCAACCTATTCAGTCTACTGATCGTTGTATTCTATTGTAAAAATAAAATAAATTCTAGACAGCCAAAAAAAGAGGACCACCAAAAGGGTAAGTTGTAGATATATCTATAAATATAAATATAAATATGTACATGTACATGTGCGTAAATTGTATGGTTGGGATAAGTAGCTCATTTGTCTCGGCAGATACATCGAATCTCTTGAAGCAAGACTCCGATCAATGGAGCGCCTATTAGAAACCATACAGCCAGAAGATGAGGCGCGTACTCAAAAGAAAAGAAAGACATCACAATCCGACCAATCAGAACAGTCGGAACGTTCAGTAGAACCACCCGAATCATCAGCTTCACCCACTCCACCAAACGAGTTTGAGGATTCTCCTAAAAGCACACATTTAATGGAGACTCATCTACCATCTCAACATTTGGACGGTCAAAGCAAAGTCGTGCGCTACCTGGGAAGCTCGTCAGGCTATTATTTAATGGGTGATATAATGACAAAAGCAGAAAGAAAGAGCATTGAGGGTATCAAGGTGTCTGTTGTCAAAGGCGAAGGAGAATCAGTGGATGGTGTCTTTACATTTCCTACAGACCAGGGAACAGTCCATCTTCGGAAGATGAACGGCTATGATGATGATATGCTAATGACAAGAAATGCCACTGATGCTGAACATGCTATTCAAGTAGCCCTTGACGAAGAAAATACTAGTGACAAAATTGCACCACGATCACTTATTGTAGCTCTTGTACACCGGTAAATAAATACATATATTTTACTGGTTAGCGAAGATCAACTTTTACTAAATGGTAGAATTAGGTACTTTTCATTGAATCACCCAATCCTGGCTATTTTGGATAAAGAAGAATTCATGGACGCCTTTGAAGGAAGAACATCTCCACCCCCTCCACCGCTTTTAGTTTATGCTGTTTGTACATACACATGTTCCTACACTCCCTTAGGCGACTCAATCTTTAAGGACGCTGGAGTAGAGCAGTCTGTTGTCATGAAGGCCTTCTTAGAAAACTCCAGTGAGCTAGTCCGGAAAGAATTCTTGACTCCAAGATTACCCACTATTCAAGCATTTATCCTTCTCTGTGCCTTTCCCTCGCATTCCACAGAGTCTTACCGTATCTGGATACGGGCAGGAATGGCCGTAAGGATGGTAAGAAAAAGAATATAACCAAATATGTTATTCTGCTGATAATAATAAGCGATATTTAATATCATTAATTCTGTAGGCACAAGAGCTCGGTCTTCATCGTGCACTTACTGTTTTCTCCCTTCCAAGGAAAAGAATGGAACTTTACAAGAGAATCTGGTATAGTGTTTATGTCACCGATCGCTGGTGCTGCGCAGTAATGAGCCGACCTCTGGCAATTTCTGACTCTGACTGCGACATTGATCTGCCTTCACTTGGCGGAGAAACAGACGACAACGAAGATTATAGCATCTTTGTAAACTTTATCAAGCTTTCCTCTATCTTGGGCGAAGTTCTGAGGAGAATATATTCTCCTAAAGCCAAATCGATTAATTTAGTAGAGTCGACTATCATTTCCACTGTCCAAACATTGCAACAGATGTTGACCGAGTGGTTCGATCAGCTTCCTGACAATTGTAAAATTACCAGCGAAGATTTAATACGGTTACGCCAGTCGCCTGAAAACACAAAGAAACTCACTGAAGGAGGACCTCTGATGTTGTGCTACTACGCCATTACTATGCTATTACACAGAAATTTCATCTTGACTGAAAACGAAGAATCACCTATATCCATTCAATCAGACTCTGTCCGACGTTGCAAAGAAGCTGCGGCTCGTGTAATTGACATTGCATGTATTATTCCAAGGATGGACATTGTTAATTTTGGCTGGAATTTTGCAGGTATATAAAGTGTATTTATATCTATATAGATAGAGCTTAATAAACATATTAAGCTTTTGAGGTTATAGCATGTCAAACTCATCATATTTCTTTTTTTTTTAAAAAAAAACAGTTTTTTCAGTGTTCCAGGCTACTCTGATCCACATATATTACTCCACAAGTGAAGACTCTGTTGTTGCAGAAGAAGCGCGCACATACATGAGACGTGGTATCGATCAATGCATTACACCACTTAGTGAGTTAATGCTTCACGAACCTCATACGAAGCACATGGTGGATGCACTGGTCCGCATGATGGCCAATGGTCAAACTTTAACAAAGGAAGGGGAACCTAAAAACTCAAAATCACAAAATGCGATAATTGCTGATAATGACTCATCCAATCCAACCACTGAATCAAACGCATATCCATCCGATCTGGATACCAACTCCAACAACTTGACTGAAGATACCACAAGACGAGCAAATAATTCCCAATCTGAAAACTCGACTGACGTTTGTGCGTCTTTGCTACCATGTCAGTATTCTCTTAACAATTCTGGGGCTCACACAAATGACAGAGTGGGTGGTTTTGATTGGCAATGTAAGATTTCTTTGATCTGGGAATATAAATCCACTGTGCTGTTACATATATGTTCTGACTTTGTTTTGATGTGCATATCTGTTTATGTCTTTGTTTCTTTTTTTTTTTGTGTGTGTAGCATGGGACAACTTCTTCTTTGAATGGTCAAACATGGCGACGCCTTAATTTATGACTTACAAAACATAATTTGCAAATCATTTCCTAATAAGCAGTCATTGTAATTGTAAATAGAATTATACTTCTTCAAGATAAAGATATTTAAACGAGATCAAGTTTTCTCTTCTTTTCTTTCTTTATCAAATACATATATATATACATATACTCTTTATATCCAAAATAAAATAAACCGGCAAATAATATGGTTAACTCTACGCGCCAAACAGCAGGCCAAAAGGGAGGTCATACAAAAGTAGTTCGTCAAGTTACAAAATCTCGCTCTGGAAAGGTCATTGAGGAGACAGAGACAGTTGAGAAACATAGTTACGATAATGGAAAAGTGAGTTTTGACCAAACCAAACCAAACCAAATCAAATCAAATCAAATAAAGGCATAAAATAATAATAATAATAAATTGTTTTTTTTTTAAAAAATAAAATAAAATAAAAGAAAACCATCACAACTACTACTACCACTACCAAGAGAGCTCAATCCTCGTCCAAAGGAAAAGAAACCGACGGTGATAATAGTCGCGTCACTTCAAAGGAGATTGAAGAATTAGGTCCAAAGGATTCAGATGATACCCATAGTAAGTTAAAATGATCCATACAATATAACATCCAACTGATTTTCTTGTAGCTACAACAATAACCACAGTCGAAACTCATGAGGTCACAGAAGAAGAAGAGGAGGAGGAGGAGGAGGAGGAGGAACAAGAAGAAGAAGAAGAAGAAGAAGATGATGATGATGAGGACAGCTGGGAAGATGATGAAATTACGTTGGAGGTCAAGGATGAATTCTTAGGAAACGAACCTTCCTATTTTGAACTTTCAAACTGTAAGTAGCAATGCTTTAAATAAAAGAAAAAGACATTATCTAACTTTCTATTTATTGTAGGTCAAGGAAAAAAGCGCGCCCTTTTGGTCGGTATCAACTACATTGGTAGTGAAAATGCCCTCAATGGTACGGTATAGACTATTATTTACAGCAATTATCTGTTATCTTTAACTTTATTTTCTTCCTTCCATTTAGGTTGTATTAGTGATGTCTTAAAGATGAAGAAGTTCTTGATGAAGTCGTATGGCTTTCGAGAGGTATAATGTTCAATTAATAATGTTAATATCCCATATCTCTGACATTTATATTGCTTAGTGTGATATAACCGTCTTAAGAGATGATTCTGAGGATCCTGATCTCATGCCCACTTATGGAAACATCCGGACAGCCATGGGAGAACTGTGTAGAGATAGCCAGCCTAACGATTCGTGAGTATAGAGTATACCATTTAGAGTGAGGCTTTATTAATTACCCGTATTCCTTTTTCCTTTTTCTTTTATATTAGGTTCTTCTTCCATTACAGTGGACATGGAGGCAGTGTAAGCTACTATTGAAAACACTATGCTTATATCAAACCCTTTTCTCCTTCTTTCTAACATTTGAATTGCTATAGATCCCGGATGAGAGCGGCGATGAAGTTGACGGAATGGACGAATGTATATTCCCTTGCGATTGTGATGAAGGATACATCATTATAGACGATGTAAGGCTCTTGTAAAAAAAACAATGTTTAAAGAATATTATTGACCTCCAAAGCCTGTTAGCTTATGCATGATCTCATGGTCAGACCATTGTGTGAAGGCTCCCGTCTTACAGCCTTGTTCGACAGTTGCCACTCTGGAACTGTTCTTGATCTTCCCTACATCTATTCATCCAAGGGTCACGTCAAGAAGAAGAGCTTGTTCAGACAGGCCAGTGCTGGTCTATTTGATATTACTTCTAAGCACAAGGGTGGTGCCCTCAAGCTGCTGTCATCATTTATGGATCTTGGTCAGGATCTAATCAAAACGCGCGAAGTCGAATCTTTCCACCGCGAGTTAAATACTTCTGCAGCAGATGTTATTATGTTCTCAGGGTAATTCATATAACACCAAATATGTTCCGATATTCAACTAAATATATACATATATATATATATATATATATCTCCTGATCACAGTTGCGAAGACCATGAATTTTCAACAGATGCCAGTGTATCAAATGAGTCAGTTGGTGCCGTAAGCTATGCTTTCATGAGTAAGTTGTCTATATAAAATATGCGATATTATCTTTTTTTAATAGATATATTAACATTGCTTTTACTTTTACCTTTTTTCTTTTAAAAAAAGGAACATTGACCGAAAAACCTGACCAGACTTACCAGGAGCTGTTACAAAATATTCGCAAGATGACAGTTCTTAAATATGACCAGAATCCTCAGTTGAGCAGTTCTCATCCTATTGATCTTAAGAAAAAATTCATCTGTTAATACTAGTACGTCTAGCTTACATTTACCTCATACACATTACAATAAACATACTCTTATTACTATTACTATTATTCTCTAAGAAATAACCCCAAGTAAAATAAAGGGAAACGTATACTAGAAATTTTCGAGTACCTAAAATTTGATGGGTAAACTCATCAATTTCCTCTTCAGGAAATACAACTATTGGGATTCAGATTTGGTAAAATTGTAGATCTTGATCATGTAATGTAACACTATTGTAACACCAGTGACTACATTTGTATACTGTCCTACATTGTAAGAATTTATACTTCATTTTAGTTTTAGTTTAATTTGACTTGGACTTGGACTCTTTCAGAAATGGTGTTTTGGTATGGTGCCTAATTCAACAGTCTCCTAGGCCCAAAGGTCTGCTTAATTCCAGAGGACTAACTTGGAATACTATTGAGAGAAATACTTTGGTATCATTGGGTTGGTCAAAAGTTTTCTCAATTTTGACAAATAAAGAGAGTCATAAAATATTCTCACGTCTTGAAAACAAGCTGGGATGAGAACAATACATACATATCCATATATGTATAAACGTTTGCTCTGTAAATGTAACTGCAAAGATAATTTCTCATCTTATTGAATTTCTTTTAGTATTATCTTCTTATGGAAATTAGAGCAATGGTAGGGACTTTTGCGTTCCAATGACACAGGAGTAGTTTAAATAACTAACAAAATATAGTGTACTATTATTACAATAATTGATATATGCAGATCCATGTTGGCGGTTCTGTATATATTTTTAACAAAATTGTCTATAAATGTTAATAGAGAAATTTGCACGTACAAATATGGCCTTTTTTCACTCTATCAGAAACCATCTCCTTGGAACTGTTCACAATATATTTGGCTGAAATAAGATTTACCAATGAGAAATAGAAAAAAATGAACAACATCCTAAAGTCAGACCATAGACAGAAATATAACTTTAAACGTTTTGAATTAAAGTTATTACCCCAAGTAATATCATGCCCATAAAGCTAACCAAGATAAATGCTGATAATCAAATGGCCGCGGAAACCTCTACAAGATGAGAAACTTACTTCTCAACTGACGAATAAGATTGATTTTATTCTTATTATTTTCAAGAAGTGACATTTAAAGGAAAACGAGAAAGAGAAAGCTTATTTTAAGCATATCTTTTAAAGATTTTGCTTTTGTCCTCAGACCTATACTCATTCGTGTTAATTTTTATTTTATTCATTTGACAGGTTGAAAGAATGTGTGTTAACTCGAACCAGCCGTTAAAATATGTCCTTTGACAAACTACAATTCCACCAGTCTTCTAGTCAAGTTTTTGATTTTCTTAAAATTTCAGCCACAATAGAAGCCACTTTTACTTTTGTGATATACATAAATATATACATAAAAGCGTATATTGTCCTATCCAGGGTTAATTGTGAGTATAAATTCCCAAAAATGAGTTGTTCCGTCTCTTGTTACATAACCTAGCTCACACATGTTCGCGAGACACAAGGTAACTTCTTCGAATGTTAAGACTACAAGATTTTCCTAATGAGCTTGTACCTGGGAACCCTTTTTTTTAGGGTGTTGAGTTTTTTTTATATTTTCTATTTTATAATACATCATATGTGCAAGTTATGAATTAATAAGCATTGACTGTAAACTAGTACTCGCAAACTGTGAAGTAGTACTTGTTAAATATCAAGTAGTACTTGCAAACGAGTTGAAAAAAGGCTAGCTTGCAATTCTTTCATTTATATGGCTAAGCCAGCTTATATAGTAAATTTCCAAAGAACAATCTTTTTTAAAACTATAACTAGAATTAAATCCAACTAATTGTAGCTACATAAAAGCAGGCCTCTTTCTTTCTTTCTTCTTTACTCAATTCATGCTCATATATCAGTAAAGATGCAAATCGAAGCCACCTACAGTCCTACAGATCTCAATCGCCAGCAATTGAAAAAGAGCATGCACTCTAAAGCAAATTATTGCGAGCCTCTTATTAAAAATATAAATGAAATGACAGGTTATGGCTTGATTGACATAACAGTAAGTAAAAATAACCTTTACAAAACACAGAAATATTACTATAATATCTTCTAATACTCTGTCATTTTTTGGTAAAAAGAACTTTTACCCTTCTGTCCACTATGGTACCAAAGGAGCACTTCCTATATTTGAAATAAAATCCAAGGAAGAGATGCAAATGGACGACGAAGACGATGAAGACGAGGACGATGATGATGAAGATGAAGAAGACGAAGGCGAAGAAGGCGACGAAGGGGATGAAGGAGATGAAGGCGAGGAAGAAGATGAAGATGAGGGAGGAGGCTTTGGATTTAGTTGGTTTGGAGGAGGGGACAAAGGAGACGAAGAGGAAGATGAAGAAGATGGTGAAGGAGGTGAAGACGGGGAAGGTGAAGCAGAAGCAGAAGAGGAAGAGGAAGAGGAGGAAGGAGCAGAAGAAGATGGTGCAGCAAAGAAGAAGAAAGCTACAAGAAGAGCGAGAAAAAGAGATGCTAAAGGAACATCTACCTTAAAAACTACCGAAGAAGTCAAAGAAAAGCTTACCTCTAAAGCTACCAAGGGAGATAAAGAAAAACCTGCCTCCAAGGCTGATAAAAATACGAAAGAAGAACCTGCCTCCAAAGCTAATGAGGAAGCTAAAGAAAAACCGGCCTCCAAACCTACCAAAAAGGCTTCTCCAGATTACAAGCTTTCTAACTGTAAGGATTAAATAATCTTAGAAGCATTTTTATTCTAACTCTTGATATATACTTAGGCCAAGTAAATAAGCGTGCTCTATTAGTTGGTATCAACTATTATGGATACGAGAATGAACTTTATGGTTAGGTCCAGAACTATTCAAAAGCTTGTTTCTAGATTCTAATATTCTTCTTGATAGATTCGATAAAAAATGCCCTTAATATGCAGTCATTGCTGATAAATACTTATGGCTTTAATGAGGTATTTTTCTTTAGGAACATTGATGGTATAGGTCTGTACTGACCAAGTTATTTTAGAGGGATATAACTCTTCTAAGAGATGACTCTAAAAACCCTGATTTTATGCCTACACACAATAATATTCGGAGATGTATGGCAAAACTGTGCCAAAACAGTCTAAAAGACGAGTCGTAAGTGAGAAGAAAAATAAAAAAAATACTGCTCTGTACTTAACATATCGATCATTTCTATAGACTCTTCTTCTATTTCAGCGGATATGGTGGCAATGTATGTCAATGTAAATCTTACACCAGCCAAATAAAAGTACTTACATTCTGTTTTGGAAAATTGTAGCAGGAGGACCTTGACGGAGATGAATTGGATGGAAAGGACGAGTTCATATGTCCATGCGATACAGAGAAGAAAGGACCTATCATAGATGATGTAAGATATATTCGAATTGCAAAGACAAAAGAAAGTTTACCATATTTTTGTTGATAGGATATGTATGATCTCATGGTCAAGCCATTGTGTGCAGGAGCACGTTTGACAGCTGTCTTTGACTGCTCAAACTCAGGAACTGCACTTGACCTTTCATATATCTACTCGTCTGATGGTCAAATTAAGGAAAATAGCTCTATGAAAGAGGAAGAGAAAAATGTCTTTAGAATGTTGGCTCACAGACGTACTGCGATCAAGCTCTTCTCATCTTTCATGGGAATTGAAAAAAGTAGCACCAAAACAAATGTAAAAACCGCATTAAACCTCAGATCGACGAAATCACCTGCGGATGTTGTTATGTTCTCGGGGTAACTATAATGTCTCTCAATATATCTTGTCATAAGAACTCAAGAATATGTTTTATAACAAGGGATTTGATTCTAGATACAGTAGACATAATGCCTCAGTGGATGACGATGTCTCTGAAAAAGCAATTGGTGCATTGAGCAATGGTTTTATTAGTAAGTCAATCTTAAGAACATGAAAAATAAAATCTTTTGACTGACATCTTGTAACTCTTGTTTAAAGATGCCTTAAAACAGAATCCTAAGCAAACATACAAGGAACTTTTGCAAAGTGTTCAGCATAATATGCCACATCAATATAAACAATCTCCTCTTGTAAGCAGCAATCACCCAATTGATTTCAACCAAGTATTCTTTTGTTAATGCTTGTAATGCAATACATCCACATATATATTATATATACAAATATACCACATATAACCTTTATTTTTTTATTTTACATAAAAAGGCAAAATAAATATAACAGATCTAGTCTTTAAGTTGAAAAGATCAAAGGCCATTATTTCAGCATAGTTTGGCTTAAAAAGGTGAAATGAAATTTGGCGTCCAGATCTGGAAATTGCTTGAATTAGAAGAAAGAAGTGTAGTACATACTGCGGTTTGAAACTGACTGACCTTGCTGCAAAAACTTGCTCGTTATGTGCGACACAGAAAATAACCTTAATAAAAAACAGGAAATATTTTATTAGAAAGAAGTATATCGGATCAACGATTAAATAGTGTAATTAGCCTTAGGCCTGGGGGAACCTAAGATTCCTTAAATAAATACAGTCAGCTACTCTAGCTAGTAATAGATCGCCTTCAAGAGAGATGCAAGAAACATTGGATTTTCTTTAATACAAACATATTATTCTATAAAAATGAATATTGTCATACCAGGTAATATCCACCCTGGACATGCTATCTACTAAATTTGCCTAATCTATTATATACTGAAGCACCCCCAAACAGTGTGCGTCTTGAATATCATTCCTTGCGCTACAAACGTTTACCTTATAACTCAGTACATGTATGAGCTTTATATTCTATAGCACAAAGTTGAGGCTAGTAAAACATGCAAACCTTTTGAGGTTTTCTTCTTCTTTCACTTATTTGTAGTAAGAGACTGTAAAAGATAATAATACATTTGTGCAATATATAGTTCTCTTTACACTTACTTAATAGATCTACCTGCAATACTGAGTATGTATAAATACTAGCAATATTATGTATATAAGCTAGTAGAGGACACAAGGCTATGTAACAGCGCTTTTACTTACATTCTACCGAGCCTACGAATTTCCTTTACCATAAAACTCGTTTATGAGTTCCTATTTCACTGTACTTGCTTTCAGAACAGTTTCACAAATGATTTGATCCAATTTTTTGATATTATGAATCAGAATCTGACTGTTATTACACATCTATAATGCATTTGATTGTGTACTCACTCTTCCGTGAAACCTAGTTAGGTAGTACTGCATGTAGTACAATTAAATCCTACAAGGCAAAGAAGAGCATTCAATAAGAGGAGCAAATCCTCTGCAACCTTAAATTACACGGGACTTTATTGTCTATGCCAAGTTTATAACAGGTATTTAATCTCTATCGTACATATATACACTGATGATTTGTCTGGCCTGGTCCAATTTGGTTGCTACGTTACTCAAGAAGCTAAGCCCAGCTTGTGGTCACATAGCTGGCATGTTTGTGTTTGTGTACTGTAAGACATGCAGGTTGGATGCTCTTATATTACGTTATTGTGTACAGTTCCATTTATTCTAAAGCTCGATTAGACGTTGCTACGATATTTTCTTTTAAAATTTACAGTCAGAATGGTTACAAAGTGAAAAATGGTATTTAAATAAAATTTTGCTTTCATTTCTTCTTCTTTTTTTTTATTGTTTATTATTTCTGATATTTAAAGCTTATATTAATTAATACTATGTCTTCAGCAACCCGTGAAGTAACTCCCTTGAAGGAAGGTCAGACCAAAACCATTCGCCGGGTTACTCAGTCTCGCTTGGGAGATGTTATCGAAGAAGTCGAAGTAGTTGAAGAGCATAAATGTGCTAACGGAAAAGTATGTGTGCATAATTAACTTATAAATACGTGTATTGCAGTGCTTTATTAACATACGTATGTATGTATTCTTTTGTTTTATTTTCAGATAACTATCACTACCACTACAACCACCTCCACCAAGAAGGCTCCTGCCGCAGTCGAGGCGAAAGAGATCGAGAAAAACGAAGAGGAAAAGAAGGAAGAAGAAGATGACGATGATAAGTATCTTTCTTCTGAGGAGCATGAAGAGGTTGAACAAAAACCTACGACTCAAACTCAAGGTAAAATAAATAGGGTATTATTTTCTAAAGATATCTGTGCGGAATGCAATCATCTGAGAGGGGAGGGGAGGGGAAGGTGGTCGTATGGATCACATCCATTTCTTCTGGTAAAAGTTGAAGGTTATATTAACGAAATTATAGTTACGCCAGCTGTTGCTACTACAGAAACCACCGCCGTCGCCACGACTACTACAGTGGCAGCAGCCTCTGCTGAAGAAGCTGTAGTTTCAACTACCACTGTTACAGAGACAACCGTCACAGAGGCTGCCGTTGTAGCAACGCCTGTAGCAGAGACTCCTGTTGTGACCACTACTGTTACCGAAACTATCGTTGTGGAAGCTGCTGCTGTGACAACGCCTGCTGCCGATGCAACCGCAGTAACAACTACTGTTACCGAGACTACTGTTACCGAGGCTGCTACTGCTGAAACCACTACTGAAACCACTACTGAAACCACTACTGAAGAAAGTGAAGCCACACCAAATGAAGAAACTTCCGAAGAAACCACAGAGCCAGAGAAAGAGCAACCTCCCTATTTCGAGATTTCTAGCTGTAAGTCCTAGAGTGTTAATCTGTATATAAATACCTAACTAACAATGTTTTTCAGCCCGAGGAAAGAAGAGAGCACTCTTAGTTGGCGTCAACTACTACGGTACAATGAGCGAACTTTCTGGTGAGTAAAATTAAAGAGTTATATTTTTCTTAAAGAAGCGGAGGGAGTCCTAATATCTGTTGTTGTTGTTGTTAGGCTGTATTAGTGATGTCTTGAAAATGAAGACATTTTTGATGAGTTTCCATGGTTTCAGAGATGTATGAGTCAGAAGTTAACAAGATGATAGAGAAAGTAATACTGACATTGATACCTATTTAGTCGGACATCATTCTCTTGACCGATGATACAAAGGATCCATTCCTTATGCCTACAAACCACAACATTCGTAAGGCTATGGGAGAAATGTGCAGAGACAGCCAGTTAAACGACTCGTGAGTTGAGACATAATATTATATTAATATGTGTATTAACACATGTGGCTTTGTAGTTTCTTCTTCCACTTCAGCGGACACGGTGGAAATGTAAGTTTTTTTCTTTTAGGAAATATACATGGTGTGTAAAATAAGTATTGACTTATAATTGTTATTTTACCCTAGGTTGACGACACTAATGGTGATGAAATCGACGGAAAGGATGAGACCATCTGCCCTTGCGACTATTCATATGAGGGTGAAATTATAGACGATGTAAGTCTTCCTTATAAATTTTGGTGTATAGTATTTCTGACTTCGGTTCTATTAGGACATGTATGATCTTATGGTCAGACCATTGTGCGAAGGAGCTCGCCTTACAGCTGTTTTCGACAGCTGTCACTCCGGAACTGCACTCGATCTTCCTTACGTATACTCTCCCGAGGGTAACATTAAGTCAAAGAGTTTAGTCAGACAAGCTGGAGAAGGACTTTTGGGAATTTCTACAACTCACAAAGGCGGAGCAATGAGCTTAATATCCTCATTCATGGGACTTGGCCAAGAGATGATCAAGACTCGTCAAATTGAAGCACATCAACGTGAATTAAATACCTCACCAGCTACTGTTATCATGTTCTCAGGGTAATTAACGGGACTCATAAATATGTATACGATCATAGCTAAAACTTCATGTATTACATTTTAGATGTGACGACCATGAATATTCTAGAGTTGCTACTGTTTCCAATGAGTCAATAGGCGCAGTAAGCTACGCATTTATCAGTAAGTTCGGTGTGAGTAGTCCAAAAAACATTTTGGCTAATGTACCTCTTTTCAAATTTCTAAAGGAGCCCTCACCGAGAAGCCAGATCAGACTTACCTAGAGCTATTGAAGAACGTCCGAAAGATGACTGTACTCAAATACGACCAGACACCACAATTAAGCACTTCGCATCCCATTGATCTTAACCAGAGATTCATTTGTTAATATAATCAGCATATCAAATACATATTCATTCAATATATACATAATTACTCAATATATACCTTTATTTACCAAAAGAATTATGCTTCTCTAGAACTAAAAAGGATTAGTTGGCCGGGACCCAATTCTTCAAGCCTTGAAATGTATTATGCAAAACGTTTAACTGTCCTTATTTTAAATTGGGATGGGGAACTATACAGTGCTCAAACTACTCTTCTCCTTCTTGTGTGTCTGTTTGTCTTAAATGAGCTTTGATTCCGTACAAGACCAATATTGGTTTCCTGATGTCATTTCAAGCCTATTACGCACAAAGGCTTATGGAACTCCTCATTTCGTCAGAAATATAAAAGTAGCATAGATAAGGATGTACATGGGCGTAATTATATCCTAACACAGGAAATACCTTTAAAAGTCAAGATCTAATTTTGGTATCAGATCAAGAAATTTGGTCAAAAAATTCTTCACTGCAATCATACCAGGTTTTTGTGCTTCATTCTTTATTTTTATTTTTATTTTTATTTTTGGGATACAAGTATATCTAAGTTCAAAGAAAACCCCCAATTCTGGTTATTCGAGCACATTTTTAGTGGGTTATTATTTAAGCTAGAAAGAGCATAGAAGATAGATTATACACTAATTTAATTAATGTTTCCAAAATAAAATAAAATAAAAGCAATTTGCTATTTTATTTTTAAAGTGGGTAAAGTGTGTGAAAGTCCTAAATTGACCAGCAATACAAATAGAAAAATAGTCTTCCTACTTCAAATCTGAACAAATTATAGCAGCAGAAATATTGCAAGTGTTTTGAGGTTTTAAAGACAATGTATTTTCTTCAAAAAAATTGTACTCTTTTGAGCACAATCATGATCAATAACTAAAAGATCAATTATATCTAAAAAAAGTGCTCGTAATTTTCTATGATTGATATTCATTTATATTCTGTATGTGCGAAAAGTTGAAGCAAGCATCTCTTAAAAGATCGAGCGAACATTTTACAATCACCGCAAATAACTGTGCTAAATATTAATCCTTTACTTGTACACCCAAGGTCATATATGGCACCAAGTCTGTAATACGTTTATAAGACACACGCACAAATGTGTCCCACTTTAGATAATTCCTTCTTTTGTACTACTTTGATGACCTTCAGTTCTAAGAAGTACTACCAAGAAAAAATTAACAACAAAGATGTCCAACTTTTTGGATTCCAATATCAGTCTAAGTTTCAGTATACTATAAGCCCTATACTGTACAACAAGTGTTTTTTTTTTTTATTTTTGGTGTCTCATTCCTATGAATCTAGGTATTTTATATATATATATACTTCTACATCAAAAACAACTCTGTCCTATGTTTAACATTAACATTTCTCTTATTTATATATTTCCTAATTAACAACTACGGCGATAACTACAAACGGAATTAAGCCATTCACAAAAAATAAGAGAATTTAAATAAAATTGTTATTTCGACAGCTTCTTCTTTTGCGTTAATCACCTCTGATACCTAAAATTAATATCAATACCATGTCTGGAGCAAAGCGCGACACAACCCCTTTGAAGGAAGGCCAGACCAAAATCATTCGCCGTGTTACTCAATCTCGTACCGGGGACATTATCAAAGAAGTCGAAGTAGTCGAAGAGCATAAATGCATTAATGGAAAGGTGTGTTTGGTTTACAAAAGTATCAATAAATGCAAAAAAAGCTATTAATATCAATATTAATGTTTGGGTATATCTTTTATTTTTTAGATCATTATTACTACCACCACAACTACTACTACCAAGAAAGCTCCTGCCGCAGTAGAAGCCCCAAAACTTGATCCAGTCCCTTCTAATGTTACTCAAGGTAGGAAATAAACAAGAGCGTACACTTGTATGATCTTTTTTTTTAATAATATTTAAATACTATGTTATCTTAACATGTTCCTCTAACACATTTGTAACTGTATAGTCACAACAACTGCAACACAACAGGCTGTAGGAGTCAGTCCTCAAGGTGTTTCAGTTACAGAAGCCGTGACTGCCACTGCCACTACCACTAACACAGCTACGGCTACGGCTACAACTACAGCTGTAGCCACACCCACACCCGCTGTAACCACTACTGTTACAGAGACCATCACTTCTGATGTTCCCGCTACCACTCCTCCTATTGCAGCCACACCTGTTGTGACTACTACTGTCAGTGAGACTATCACCTCGGGTGTGCCTGCTACCACTCCTCCTGTGGCTACCACACCTGTTGTGACAACTACTGTTACAGAAACAATTAACTCTGATGTTCCTGTTGTCACTCCTCCTGCGGCTGCCACGCCTGTTGTGACAACCACTGTTACAGAAACCATTACCTCTGATGTCCCTGCTGTCACTTCTCCTGCACCTGCTGTGGCTGCTGTGGCTGCTACACCTGTTGTAACTACTACCGTTACAGAGACTATTACCTCTGATACCCCTGCTGTTGTTACCTCTGTTGCTGCTACACCTGTAGTGACCACTACCGTTACCGAAACTATTACTACAAACGCTACTGTTGCAGAAACAGCCACAGTAGAAGCTGCGACTACAGAGACCACTACCGAGACACAAGCTGAAGAAACTAAAGAGGAGGAAAAAGAAGCTGAGCCAGAAAAGGTGCAACCTCCATATTTCGAAATTTCCAACTGTAAGGAAGGCAGCCTCGATATATGAAAGAATCCAATCTTAATATTAATAATATTTCTAGTCAGAGGAAAGAGACGAGCATTGATTATCGGCATTAACTACATCAATGGTGGCGGACAGCTTAGTGGTAAGGATATAGACTATATTCAAGCTTATTGACAACAAATCTAATATTATTATTTTTTCTTTGTTAGGCTGTATCAATGATGCAATTAATATCAAGAAATTCTTGGTGAACTTCTATGGTTACAGAGAGGTAATAAAGACGGCAAATAAACGTAATTTTTGAGTGATATTAATATCAATGGTACATAGTCTGACATAATCCTCATGACTGATGATACAACGGATCCATACCTCATGCCTACAAACCACAACATTCGTAAAGCCATGGCAGAGATGTGCCGAGATAGTCAGTTAAACGACTGGTAAGTGAATATATGCTAGTTTATCTTAATTGTGGGCTTAAACTAACTTGGAGCATATTTAGCTTCTTCTTCCATTACAGTGGACATGGTGGACATGTAAGATTCTAAGGGAGATAAAGGGTGTAGAGCGTGATTATTAACGTCTTATTATGTTGACACAGGTGGATGACACTAATGGTGATGAAGTCGATGGAAAGGATGAAACCATTTGTCCTTCTGATTACCAGATAGAAGGTCAAATTATAGACGACGTAAGTTCTTGTCTTGTGAACTTTGCTGCATTGTATAGTATATCTGACCTCGGTTCTATTAGGACATGTATGATCTTTTGGTCAGACCATTGTGCGTAGGATCTCGGCTTACGGCTGTGTTTGACAGTTGCCATTCGGGAACTGCACTTGATCTTCCTTACATATATTCTCCTGAGGGACACATTAAGACAAAGAGCTTAATAAGACAAGCTGGAGAAGGACTTTTGGGGATTTCTACAAGTCACAAAGGTGGAGCAATGAACTTGATATCTTCATTCATGGAACTTGGCCAAGAGATGATCAAGACTCGTCAAATCGAAGCACACCATCGTGAATTAAATACTTCGTTAGCTGATGTTATCATGTTCTCAGGGTAATTTATAGGGTTCGGAGACCATATAGAAGCATACCTAACATATTTTGGATTGTATTTTATTGTAGATGTGATGACCATGAATACTCCTGTGATGCGGTTGTATCGAACGAGGCAACAGGTGCTATGAGCTATGCTTTAATTCGTAAGTATTCTATAGATCGCCTACAAAGAGACTACCTTTTTTTTTCTTAAAAAAAATGTATACATATTTTTTTTATATAGGAACCTTGAGCGAAAACCCAGACCAGACATACCAAGAGCTTTTGAAGAACGTCCGAAAGATGACTGTACTCAAATACGACCAAACCCCTCAATTGAGCAGCTCGCACCCTATTGATCTTTCCAAGAAGTTTATTTGCTAATATAAACAGCATGTCTTGTATAGTCTGATTAAATAAAAATGAGTATTTGAGTAAAATGTCAGTATATTATACCTATATTAAAAACCATAAAATATATCATAAACGTCCATTTTAATAATTCCCCTTACAAGAATATATGTGTATATTTTTAAGAACTTGTAATATAGTGAATACATAAAATCAAACATAACTTCAGTTGGCTATGATCAGTTATGACACAGTACATAAAGTATTCTTTTGTTTTCATAATTCATATGCAATAAACCAAATTCTTTTTCTTAGATTAATGAAGCTCTTGACCCGAGCACTGCAGGATTTACTATATTGACATTTTTATTATCATCTTTGTAAGTTTTTTTTTGGGGGAATTTCAGTCAATTATTTTATAAAGTAGTCGGCAAAGGGCACTTTATGAATTTTCCAAAGGTCAAGTATAGATAAATAATCAAAACGATTAGACCTTGTTAAATAGAGTGCCTATGGGCTATATACCCAACAATACATACATACATACATACATACATACATACATACATACGTGCATAGACCATTAATTGTTTGATTTATAGTCGCAGCATATGGTCAGGAGAATTCTCATTGTTGAATACAAATAAAAGATAAAGCTCTTATTATATGTTATTTTTGGGGGGAAGTTCATTGTTTGATAGGAGTATATATCATTGGGATTTTAGACTATCTAAGGCAGAGATGAAATCAGATACTTGATGCTTGATAATTAAAGACCACTATATTTCTTCTTATTAGCTTATTAAAAGGAGGCCCTATATCCTTTTAACAGAATACTTTATATATTTATAGTCATATTAATAAATGTGCATTTTTTTGTTCATATTCATATTCATATTTATATATTAATATTAATATCATTTTGTTGCTGTTGTTTATATATATATATAAAAAAAGGGAATTTGAAAAAAGGGTGTTTCAAAATTAGAGTGATGTAAAATCTGTGTTGTAACACAATAGTCAATGCAACGAATTATTTAAAGTGAATGTAAGAGAGAGTTTAAGAGAGAAGACTATTTAAAATATATATATATATAGATAGATAGATATAGGTGTGTTTGTGTTTGTATGTGCGTGTACTTTGATTTGATCCTTTTCTTTCTTTAAAGTAGGGACGTATCAACGTTGGCTCTCAGGGGAATCAATTGTTTTCGAATTTCTTGGAGTTCTTCTATACGAAGTGTAATATTTCTCGAAAGAGATTGTTTCCTCTTAAGATTCTTTATGGGGACCCCTTGGTCTTGGTGTCTGTACCTACGTGAGTTGAGAGGATACAACCACGAGACGCCGTCGTCTGAAGCAGGAGGAATATCTGCCACGTTATACAAAGATCTCATCCTTGGCGACCCTCTGAAAGCACAGAATTAAACAAATAAGCATTACACCCAAGAAGCAACATTATGTAGAAAATAAATAAATCAATTTGTAATCGAATCCATACAAAGATGTAATTACCCTTGGGCTCAAAATATCCAAGAAGCTCAGATTAAAACTCATTTTTTTTTACCTCTTCTTTATCAGATCCGTTTTTCTTTTGGCTTTGGGTTCATCAATTTCTAATTGGACCTTGAGGTCACGACCCTGGCGTCTTTGAGCCACGGCTTTAATTGCTTCCCACACAATGCTGGGTATCTCTTGTGTTCTCCAAGCAATCATCTCCAATTGAACGAGACCTTGACATCTATGCAAGATCTCGACCATGTTATTCTGAGATCTCTTCTCAATTGTTTCAGGTGTTTCTTCAGGAGATTCATTCTCAAGTTGGTCCATAGGTGTTCTTCGCTGTTGGAAATGTGTGTCTTGGGTAGGAACAGACGGTACTGCTCTGACGGAAAGGTGTTTTATCTGGCTCGCATGGGCAGCTATAACATCAAGCGTGCGCGGAGTATCACAACGAATAGAAAGATCCCGCAACTGCCGACCAAAGCAGGCAATCAGATTACACAGACTCTCCTCCCGAACCTGCTGTAAAGACACTGAAAGAGAAGTGATGTCTGGACAATTCCGTCCAAGTACAGATACTGCATAATCGTTTGCAGTAAATGTCCTATTGTGGTTTGCTCCTAGATTGGCACACAGGAGACGAGGAAGAGCGCAAAATAATTCTAGGATCGCAGGCTCGCTAAAGTCGGTCCAAAACAAAGTCAAGCAAGTTGTTTTTTGAAAGATGTGTTCAGATGATGATTGTAGCTGGGGTTGAAGAGAGCGTGCTGTTAAAAGCATAGCAGGCCTTAGATGGGTACTCATCCTGTGGCTACTCGATACAATAAGATGGCAATAACGGAACTGGATACTTTCAACGAGGGGTAATACTGCCGCAAGCTGTCTTACGTTCTCCACTGGTAATGCATCGAAATCAACAAATATCAGGGTATGTATACTTGTTAACTTGCTCAAGAGAGTTTTCAAGTCTTTAGTGAGTGAGTACCCGGTACCCTGTCTGCATATTATTGTTAGTGTTCTGGTGTAGCGTTCGACAATATCCTTGAGATAGAGATTCCTGGTTAAGCCAACGTCTAACTGTTGAATGGGGATTCGCAATCCTAGTTGGAGATGACTATAGAGTACTGGTAGGCAGGTGTAATAACTGGCTTTCGAAACTAGACTAAGTTTGGCAATGGAATGACGAGGAAGCATTCCAAGTACATGGTGAATAAGTTCAGTTGGTAAGCCCAGCAACATATGAAAGTCTTCAAAAAAATTGAAATAAATAGATAAATATATATAAATAAATAATATATATATATTTAAATATAAATATAAATAAAAGTTCACAAAATGGGGAGTGAAAGGAAAGAATTGAAATAAGTATGTGGCGTCTTTCTTTTTGTTGGCGTCAGAGATCCCCTTCATCCCACATGTGATCTCATTAATTACTTAAATATTTAAAAATGAACCCTATTAAACTAGCTCTCTTTCTCATCTTATTTTATATATTTTAATCCTCACTTTAAACTCTTCTAGCACCAGACTTTCTTGTACAAAAGCCATGTATCTGTAACTAGATAAAGCTTAGTCAATTCAAAGAGATATATACATATATATATATACTTGGCTTGTTCAATTCTTTCTCAAGACTCTATAAATTAATTATCTCAATTAACCCTATACTTCCCTAGGATTTTTTTTTAAAAAAAAGGCTTTGAAAAAACGAAACTTTTCCAATTGATACACAAAATTATGAAACTTCCTTAGATCTTGATTGTTATTAATATTTCCTTGTAAGAATAAGAAAAAAGAAATAGGCTTTCTATAATGTGATATATTTGTGTGATACAAGATACACAGCGTTTGTGTGTGTGTGCATTATTAACAGTGTACTTTATGCATACCAATAGATATCTTCTTGAGATAGGAATATTTCGAAATCGATCAAACTTTCTACAAGACGCTGCGTATGATTGTCTGCATCTACTAATAGTCCGTATAAACCTCTTACATACTTTAATTCAATTATAAATTTTACTGAGGAATTCGGAAGATTTCCTTTTCTTCTTTTAATGGAATTAAGTTTCAAAATAGCTAGAAATATAGCTAGAAATCTTTGTCCTTGAAACCTATAATCAATCAACACCAAAACAATAAATTCATTAAATCAAATTCAAGCCATACTAGCTAGAAACAAAGACAGGACCTTTTTTTTTTGAAGGAGCCTCCTTATTTGTCGTATATGTTTGAGGGAATACATATATTTGACAGGGTGTAACCGGACCCCCATAAGAACAAATCATTTGTCTAGCCTCTTTAAAATGTGGGAACACCAAATATCAAAATCGAAACATTTAACGCACACACATTTAATCGATATCTTTCATAAATCACTTGATAAAGTAGCTGTAATCAGATTTGATTGTACGAATCCATGCACAAAATTTCAACCACTTATTATATATATAATGTACGTGAGCTTGAGTTTAAGAATATATTCAGTACTAGACAATTAAAGCTAATAATTTTCCCTCTGTTTAAGCCATAGAATCAATTGACATGTATAAATAGTGCTCTGAAAACTAAAGAGACTTAAAGGAGTAATAACGTTTAGTTTGACAGGAAACATCGTAAGATAAACTTGATCACCATCAATGATAAGAAAAAATCTTATTCAACAAATGTGTGGTTTAAGCTTACACCGTGGTAAATTCTTACTTTACATTACTTTAGAGTCAATAACTATGAATGAATTGGATCACTTTTGTCGTTATTTTTGGCATCGTACTTGTTAAAATGAAATTACAATCATAGAAAAAGATTATACCATTCTGTTCATCATTGTACTCGATATACAAGTGAATCTCTCCTTTAAAATCAATCGTCTTGAATTAATAAACACACATACACACTGTTGTTACAAACGTGTATTAGTCGTAGCTTTTTGAACCCGATTATTAAAAGAATCTAGTGAAGCAAGCTATTGAATTGGACAAGCTATATTAACTGTATTAATTAATATGTTATACTAAAAAGAGCTACTCTCTTACTTTTACTTTTACTTTCTACTTTTGCTGCTGCTTCTACTTCTACTTGTATTTCTCTCTTGTCCAATGAGAAACAGAGTGGTAAAAGGCGGGTTAGGTTGAAAATGTGACTTTATGTTCCCACAACAGCAAAGAAATACGGAGGATTGAAATTGAAACATAAAAAAAAATGTGGAAAGTAAGTACTGGTTGACCAAAGCTCCCACCTTAGAAACCACCCTCAGAACCTTGAAAATAAATAAATAAATAAGAACTTTGACAAAATCTCACCCTCAGAACAGCCCCTCCTTTATATATATATCATAACGATTCATTAATATACACTTTACGTATAATACATTATATGTACTCATCTTATAAACGTATAGTCAAAGCTCTGTGTTGTGATAATGATAAAATAATAATAATATACAGTTACCATATATCACTATATCGAGCAACAAGTGTGTTTTTGAAACATAATCATTTTGGAAAGGATAATTTGTCTATTATCTTGACAGTATAATGAGAAACAATTCTTATTATACAAACAGCGGTGAATGGTAGACCTGTTGATAGAATAGACCTAATGTTGCTGAAACGAAGAATGTAAGGCATCCAAAAATAACACTACACTTTGATTCCGTTTTATATCGAATTGCGTCAATTGTATTCATCAAATATTTATGTAGTGTATTTATCACTTTTCAGAGGACTCGATGCTAATATCCCTTTGTATCTTGATTATAATGCACTTTGCTTGTAGAGATATGCCCTTCTTCTCAGAACTGTTGTCCTTGTCGTCTTTGTTAAGTTAAACATAGTTATTAGAATGATCAAATGCTTTAAGAAATAAAACATTATTTACAATGTTGCATTTTTGATAAATGTCATTATTTTTAATAACACTATGGGCTAAATAATCACAAAACCTGCAATGTTCACGGTACGAATGATTTTTCTGCAATATACAGCTTTATTGCCGGACATTTAAACGATAGTGTCTGGTGGTGGAAATATCGATATTGGTATTTTTACATATGCTGATGTCTCCATGAATATTGGTCTGTTGTTGGTCAAACAAGCACTGAGCATGAGCAATTAACTTTCTACACAACTTTACTTAGTAGAAAAAAAATGAAAAATTTCATTTTTTTTTTAGATGTTGCTCTGAGGAAAAGTGGGTATCCAAAATGGACTTTTTGGTGCAAATAGCCAATTTTATTAGCAAATGGTTTTTTAAGAGTGAAAAAATGGGATGTTTTGATCAATATTTAAGCAATCAATGTCAAATAAAGTTTATATGGTGGATTTAAATTTGCTCTACTATGTTACTTAAGCATTTAAAGACACCTGGCTAAGCCAATTTTGACTTATAGTTGATTCTCTATATTTAATTGGCTATTTTGATCAGAATGATCCTTTTCATTAATGAATCATTGATATTATAACCAAGGACCTACTGAATGTCTATAAAGGTTCTTATACACTTGATTCAGCCCCCTAACTCTAACGAAATATGCCAAAATGTGGTTAAGCTGGTCTAGATGCTTGTTTCTTATTTATTATTCTATCAACCTATGGTTGCGTTTTCTTTTAATTGAAACTTGAAAAAATAGAACCGGCCAACAAGACATATATCCAAACATATGCTACTCAGAAATAAAACTCTTATCATCAATGAAAGGATGGGTAGGTTAAGAAAGAAATAATAAAAAGCCAATCCTTTTTCTTCTTCTGAATCTGTTCTACTGCACGCACAATACTTCAGGGTTCTTGTACTTAATAAAATCGATTTTCTGCTGAGGCTGAGAATAACAACTTCCCTAGTTCTCATTCTTTAAGTTGTTGATTTATAGCTTTCAACAAACTTCATGGTATTCCCATACCTTTCTTCATTGGTACCTTTGGCATCCACGATTGTTTGAGGGCACTTTGCTATCCACGTCTTCAAAGCGCCTTTTTTTTTTATTTGTTTTAATTCTTGAATTCCAACAACAACTTTTTTTTTGTAATGGCGTGGAAGTGTATTGCATACATTTTAGAGTGTTTAATATTCTTAAGTAATGTTGAATACCAGTATTACACACACTTGCCAGTGTATCCAAGAGCTCTATCTCACATCTGATAGACTGTTTTAGAAACCCTCTGGCTATTCGAAATAGTGATTGAGCTATGAGATCCTTCCGGAAATTGTTTTCTAATAAACATGTTTGCTGCCATATCATAAAAAACTGACAATGGAGTAAATGGGTGGGGCTCATTGACTTCAAAAGGAGTACTATTTGTGTTGACTAAATAGCTCTTTCCCCAATACTCGCATGATAGAGATAAAGCACAAATATTGTGGTAGCGAGGTCTATCGCTTGTACTTATTCTTATCGTTTGAGTGTTACATATAAGCAAAACAGAAAATGCTGTATATATATAATACGCCATAATACAATAATAAGCAGCTGGTTCAAATACAAAAGTATAGGCTTGTATATCGCATCATATCAAAGACCGTCATCCTATTCTGCGCTGCCAACTTTATAAGCGTCTCAATTGACATTCTGTAAAGTTTCTGCAATTATATTCTTCATGTCAAGATGTTTCAGAACGAATTTGCTCATTTACTCGGAGCCATATTCACTAAAGGTACTCTGTACAGCAGTAAGTCTCCTACTTAAATTAGGTAATGTTAGCCTTTCAACCAAATGAAATGCATGACATTAAACTAACCTTGAGAAATCATGAAAACATGAGATGATCGTAATGTAGTTGTAGCATAACTGTATAGATGAAAAAAAATTACTGTGTTTTTCTAGGCCTTATGGACTGTGACAAATCTATTTTATTAAAAGCACAATCTTCTCAATCCAATTGGCAGTGGAAGAAAACTAGCCAATCAGAGTTGTTTGAACTTTTATTTTGAACTTTTCAGTCTGTCCACACCAAATGAAAAGATATATATATACACTTTCTGGAAAGCAAGTTCGCCCAGGGCGAGAACAAAATTCAGGTTGTACAAAACATAAATTCGTGCTGGTGAAAAATCATTTCACCTGGTGATGAAAGCAAAATCCCTGTCTGTTTTTTTCCCCATTTACGAATCCAATCCAACCGCTCTTGAATCTTTTCTTCGCTATTCCAATCTTTGGGTTGAAGTCGAGCTTTCTTGAGAGACAAATTGCAGTATTGTTTTACAAAATCAAACAAAGTAGTTTTAGATACTTTTAATTCGGTAAACATTTGCTTTAACTTCTTCATTACTTCGTCCAGGACGATGGAAGGATTCTCATCAATGCACTCGAGAATAGCTTTTTTGTGTTCGTCATGGAGAATACGTGGACGGTCAGTCTTTTTCTGTTTCTCAAAGATACTGTCAGAACCCTTCTCATATTGTTTAGCCCATTTTTGTGCTGTATGAACATGAATCCCAAGCTGGGTTGCAGCAGCAGCCGCACTCAAACACCTCTAAAACAACAGCTTGAAAAACCTCACTTTGTCCTGATCAGAATAGCGTGTATAGTTTTGTTTCACTGAAGCTTCCCTCATAGTAACATCACCATTAGGTTTTGCCTCCTTTTCTACCTGCATTGCATCTATCCTTTTCTCGCTCTCCAGAGGCAGTTGAGATAAATATTGTGTATGAGAGCTCAATGTTTCAAGACGAAACTGTTCTTCATGAACAATATAATCCATTGGTTCAGATCTGTCATACTCGTCGACGACAGAACATTTCCCATTTTCAAACAAGAATTGAATGTTCATAATCTGTGATTTCTAGTGAAAAAGAAATTTGGTGTGTTCTTTTATATCTGAAGTTGACAAGGCTTGTCGTACAAAATATATTTGTTTTTGGACTGATAATCGATAAACTCAACAACAATACATGTGTGTGAAATAGAATAAGGCTAAGAATAAAAAATAAAAAAAAAACACTTATTTAGTGTGGAGAATAAGCCAGATTTCTGGTCATTTCTAGTCAATGTATTTCTGTAACACGAATGAAATACCAGGAATTGAACACCAAAAAAAAAGGTAATAAAATAGGATATTTGAAATATGTTTCAATTATTCTTGTTAATTTTTATATTTATTGTATGTCTTGGCAGTGAATAAGATAATCAGAATAGTAAGGATATGTTATTTTCCACTTTATTCTGTCTTAGGGTCGATTGAAATAAAATGCCCAAGTTGTATATGGGGGTAGGTATAATGATTTTGATTCTAATACAAAGTTAATTCAACCTTTGATCCCTGGTTCCAAAGACCCTACTGTAAATATAAGATTAAATACAAAAGGGGGGTTTGGAAGGATAGAGTAGCGTAGTAAGCGAATAGAAAGAGTAGATATTGTTGTGATAAATAATTAGATATATAAAATTGATTTGTTTGCTTTAATTTACAACATCGAATGATATATGTAAAAATAATCAAGACTATAACTTTTAGAGGTCTGGTGTTTATTTGTTTATTAAGTAATAATAATAATTTGCACTAAGAAACATATACATATTGAATTTATTCTATTAGCCTTACATACAGGTAAGGTACGCAGGTACACTTATTCACTGACTCACTCTCATGTTGGCATACAAACCTATATATATATATATATAAAAACATAAAGAACTCTCCCAAAAAAAGAAATCTAGTGAAACAAAGCAATCAATCAATCAATCAATTATCATAATTATATTATTTTATATGATATATTAAAAAAGCGACCCCTTACATATTTCTACCTTTACTTTTACTTCTTTTCTTTGGTCTCTTTATATAGAGCTATATCCTAGTATGGAACATTTAGAATGACAGAAAAGCCGGTGTATATCTTGTCTTGGTAAGCAAGTATGTTTATATATATAATTATTATCATTCAATACAAACGAATGATTTGAGAAAGAGAGGTAGTTTGGTGACGTACATTGTGGTTAATATTAATACCAAAATAATAAATAATAAATAATAAAAATGATGCCAAGAAATTTGAGAGCTTAACCTTGTTACCATCATATGTCACTTCTGGACTTCTTTTCCAAGTCAGCAGATAAAGAAGTGTTTTAAACTTGTTGACGGCTATAATAGTTCAATATATATAAAGCTGCTTCTTTATTATATTATGGCACTCAAGTCTACACATAATATATTTTTGTGTATATAGCCTTTATTTTACTTACTTATTTTAAAAGAGCGAGAACAAAATTGCCAAGCTTGTCTTGACAAAAAAATTGTTATTACTTTTGGTATTGTTGTTTTTGCTGTTGTTATCATTTTTCTTGCTTTCACTTTTTGGTTTAGAATGCGGGACAGTGTAACGACTGTTATGCGTGTGTGTAAACATATTCACCAATTAGATACAACTGATCGGCCCTGGCGTGATCTACTGTGTCATGGATAAAATAAGGATTAATTTGATATAAAACATATAAATAAATTTGTCTATATATATATATTACATATAAAAAAGCAGATAATAAAGTAAAATAAGAAGAAGGAAAGAAAGGAACTATTGCGATTGGATACACTATATTTATTCACACTTTTCTTCCTCTTAATCCAAAAATAAAGCTATTAAAAATAGCTACATTTACAAATACGTTTCACGTTCTTATTGTAGCAAACAAAAATATAATTTGTATATATAGATGTTAAAGAACCTGCCTCTAGACCCTATGTTGTATCTACATTCTTACTTGAATAAATATAAGACAAATCTTTATTCTATTACAGTGACCATATAAATTTGCGTCGAGTTAAAGAACAGCAGCATACTTTTACAAAATCAATCCACTCCATAAAAACTATATGCGCTTTTCTGTATAACTCAGAATAATCGCCTCTTTAACCGGGAACTTTATTTAATCCCATCCAGAGATAGAAGAAAAAGAAGAAGAGGAGGAGGAGCAAATGGGAATTATTATTTTTTTTAAAAAAAAAGTCTGTCTAGCCCCTTGAAAAAATATATAAAATAATACGGAAATTCTATGCTGTCAATAAATAAATAATTAAGTTAGTTATTGATGTCATTATTCACGTTGGATGTAATCCTTATAAATTTTGAGCAAGTCCAATCTCAGCGAGGAACCTCTTGAAAAAGGTTCTTAAGAAGCTCTAAAAGTCTAATGTTTCACTACGAGGGCTATATAAATATTCATAGTACTGTGTATGATAAGATGATTGATTGTCCATATAAAAAAAAAATTAAGGGTGCAAAAAATTAATGAATGGAGAAATCCGCTAATTTAATTTTTATTTCTGACATTTAATATAATTCAAACTACGATACTTGATCATAGCAAATCAATACAAATTTACATTATATATTATATATATATTATGTATATATATATATACATATATATAGTTAAATAAATAAAAAGCGCAATTTTTTCTTTTCATAGGCACTAACAAAAATTATTCATTTCATTTCATTATTAGATTTGATTTGATTTGATTTGATTTTCGCTTGTAATCAAATATAGATATTATGTTGTACAAGGGTTTGTTTCCAAAATAAAAATAAAATATCGGAATATATATAGATATATATAGATATATATATATATATCTTTGTGTTTGTAATGAGTCTTGTTGAATTTTGATTATAATCTAAGCCAAATGAAAAAAGAAGAAGAAGAAGAGGAAGAAGAGATAATAGAATGAGAATTAAGCCTGGACAAATGAGGGAAATAATGGGTGGGAGATCGGCATGTGAAGGGTGCCTATAATGGAGAGAAAAGGAAGCAAAAATAGTAAGGGGGAAAATATATTGTAAAGAGATTCTTTTTCTTTTTGAGCTACACTATCTCTCTCTATATATATACATCACACACAAACACACAAAATATACCCTTTTGATTTTTCTCTCTCACATGTGTCTAAAAGACAAACCAAGAAACCATAGAAAAATCAATCATATTAGCAATTAACATTCATTAAATTTCCCAGCCCTATATTTCTTTTGCTTTCTCTTTTTTCTTTTCTTTTGCTTCTCTTTCCTTTCCTCCCCTTTTTTTTTCATTACTCAAACCACAACCTACAGCTTTAACAGCCTTAAGAGCTTTAACAACTTCAACAAATAAGAAATGACTATGATGGCCGTACAGTCAAACTTCCAAGACACAATCATGCCCGGTGCAGCCTTATTACCGACCGTGGGTGAATCCCAATCGTACTACTTTTATCAAAAGCTCAGTCTCTCACAGTCACCAACCACCTCAAAATACGAATCCCAAAAACAAATAGTCCCACCTGTTCCTCGAGATCATCCGTAAGCTTCCTATATATTACTTTCCTTTGATGAAAAAAAAATTGATCAAGAATCCGCCTTTCTTTATCTTAACACACCACAATATTAAATAAAAAAAAATATGTAAAACTAATTCATTTATTTCCAATCTTCTTATTTTATTCACAAAGAAGAGCGCCGCTCAATTCTCCTCTATCGCCGATCCGCACCCAGAAACGACCCGACGAATCAGGCGTTTCATCACCGGCCGATCATCCCTTTGCCGGATCAGATCTAACCAATGCAGAATATCATCATCATTATGAACAACAACAACAACAAGATCAACACTTATCGGTCCAGCCAGTAAACCGAAGAGAACGTAAAGTCAGTTTCAATGAACAAGTTGTTGTTGTCTGCACAGTTATCCAAACAGACGAAGACGACGAATCAGAAGACGACGACGAAGAAGATTATTACTACCATGACCCCAATGATGACTTTACCGACCATTATCACGAAGAATATCCACGCCACAATGACTACAATGACACCGACGACACTGACATCAATACCAATAACAATACCAACATAAACATCAACAATCACAACTATAATCACAACCAAGGACACCAAAGTTACCAAGGTTACCAAGGTCACCAAGGTTACCAAGGTTACCAGACTGAACAAGTCAACAACCACAACAGCCATCCTCTTCCTCCTCCTCTTCCCCCTCATCCTCATACTCACTACAACCAAAATCAAAATCAAACTCAAACTCAAAATCATCAAAATCATAATCAAGGTTTTGTGGGTGGAAGTGAATCAGATGATGAAGAGGCCGCAAGTTACCGGAAAAAGGTGCAACCTGTTATTCCACCTATCAGTGCCAACAACCCGATCATAAACAACTACAGTCGAGAAATAAGTACTTGTGGATATCAACCCATGGCGGGAGGCTTTCCACAGTCTGACCACGAAGGTTCGGCAGGAAAGAAGAAATTTGGTATCAAAATGACCATGCTCGTCAAACGAATCGGTCGACACCTCAAACAGCAGCCAGGTCATCACAGTAGCCATGACCAACCAAAATAATAAAAAACAACAACAAAAATAATAATAATTAATAATAATTATAATTATAATAATAATAATAATAATAATAATAATAGCTCACTATCTTATTTTTATAGTATATATTATATATGTATATACTATCACTCTCCACACCACACCACTTTACTCCATACCACTTTACTCCACTCCATTTTACTTTACCCTATTCCACTCTTGTTATCTTTGTTTGTTTGTTTGTTTGCTTTCTTTCTTTCTTTTCGCTTTTGATCTCTTTATCTGTCTACCCCTCCCCTTTTTTTTCAAAATATTAATAATAATAATAATAATATTTCTACACCCAATTCTCTTGAACCAAAAACAAATCAAATACAAAGGTGTTATATATTATTTTATTTTATTTTATTTTTATTCATTATTATAGTTTTTTAAACTGCTTAAAAATGGAATCTGTATACCAAATACACGATTGACTACATATTCACCTAATCTTAGTGCCATTTGGGTGGCTTGAATGGTAACTGATTTCGATGACTTGTCCTTATTACTTTGAATGATCTCATAGTCCAAATTGATAAGCATATTGTGTCGAGAATACTTGATCTTGTGAGAAACAGGCACCAGGCGCACCCAGTCAAGTTCCTAAAAAAAAGAGTATTAATAAATGAATAGAATAGAATAGAATCATTAGTATCATTTGTTTGCCTATTTGTTTGTGTTTAAGAAAGAAAGAAAGGGAAGGAAAGAACAAATGAAAGATATTACTGTAGTATAGATGTGTCTATGAGCATGACTATGACTATGACTATGACTATGACTATGATTATGGTTATGGTTATGATTATTTTGACTTTACCAGTCCAGACTTCCATTGCCCAGACTTCTTCTCATGTGAGAGCCTGACATCAGTAAATCCAAAGCTGTCATTTATTTTCAAGTGTTCCGGTAATGTGGCGATCATCCAAGATCCTCCCTTCATTTCTTTTTGTCTATAAAATCGATCTGGTGTGGTATATTTGATTATAGGAGTCTCTAGTGGTTTTCCATTTTTCTGTACGCACATTTAAGTATATTGTATATCATTGTCATTAGTATAATTTAAAGAAAACAAACAAAAAAATACAAAGAATGTTTCAAAAAATAATAATAATAATTTTTTTTTCAATTACCTCCAAGGATGCTGTAAAATCAAGAGGTTCGTTCCATTGAGCAGATGAAGTAACTCGCATTCGCCACTGGATTTGATATACACCTGGAGGAACACGCTTTATTATGCCATTGACCTGATTTTTATTTTTATTTGTTTTTGTTTTGTTTTTGTTAGATTTTTAGGTTTTGGTTTTGTAAGGAAAAAAGAAAAGAAAGTACGAGGAGGTGAAGGGGGGGTAAAAGGAAAGGAAGGGAAAGGAAGGAGATCACGCATGTTTAGAATTCATCGAGAGTTGCGTTTCCTTTTATTACACTATTACTTATTGTCACTTTTTATTATAACTATTTTGATTATTATTTTGCCAATATAACAAGTACAAGTACAATAGCAATAGCAATAGCAATAGTAATAGTAATACTGATAGGTAATTTGGACAAATTTACTTACATCTAACCAACAGACAGAACCTAGTTTGGCTGTGTGTCCATAGCAACTTTCTCTTGTTTGTATAATCTCCCAATAAGGAGCATTATTGTGTGCAATAGACATATCCTGTGCAGCCGATAATCGTAAAAGGGCTACATAGATTATATGAATTACATTAATTCATATAAATGATGTCTTGATAATCAAGGAATAAGGAATAAGATAATGATATGTATATATTACCTTTTTCAAGGTAAAGATCCTTCCATGAGAAATTGATCTGAGAGGAATCTACGGTCTTGAATTGAATGAATCGAGTTTTGAACATTCCCTTCCAAACATCTTGGTTTTGAGTCAATAGTTTGAAGTAGTGACAGGTCTTGTAAATCCAAAAAAATAAAATAAAAAAAAATTAAGAGAAAAGGCAACCGTTGAGAATTTATTTCTGATAATATTTATATGATTTAATTTGATTTGATTTAATATATATATATATATTTAATAGAACACACCCCACCAAGATGCTGTATGTCATATTCTGTAAGGTTAGACATGATCTCGCAGTGTATTTCACAAGGTAATTCGAATATTCTGGGCATTTCGTTTTCGTGATATGGCTGGGCAATTTGGTTGTTTGGTAGTTAGTAGTCGACTGTAACAAACAAGGTATATAAGGATAAAGGATAAAAATTGGGCTGTTTTCCCTCCGTTATTGGAGTCGTAGGGTTATTGTTATTTCTACTTGGTATAGGTAAGAAGAGCAACAAGGATCTTGAACAAGAATTTTAAGAAAAAAATAAGATAAAATAAAATTCAAAACAAATAAATAAATAAAAAAATAAATAAATAAAAAAAAAGAATCCGATGAATTAAATAGCTTTTTCTTTTTTTTCTTTTATGGCTGTGTATGTGTATGTGTATGTAGATGTGTATGTAGATGTGTATTACAGGTATTTATATATCTATTTACATTTTGAAACAAACCCTCATCACATGTGAACATTAAAATTTTACCTCTACTTTACTTTTTTTTTTACCTTTAGCTTTACATCAGAAATAGCCCTATAAAGTCTCTTTCTCTCTTGCGCACATAGTTATTTTTAATAATAAACAAATAGTGATATCGGCAGTAAACACAATATTGGAATGCCTGTGTCACAGCTACCTCTTTTATATAGCAACCTATCTATTTCCATGGATACGGTCATATCCATGACAACGCCTATCTCTGCTCATCTTGGATTACTTCGGCAGCTTACTACATATTGTCTTATTTAATAGAAGCCCTCACATAATACAAAACTTCTTTTTTTCTTAATGCTAAAAGAGGAGGAACGAGAACAAGAACAAAAAAGAGGCATATATATATATATAAAGAAATTAAAGGGGGCTGATATAATATAATAAACTATATTGATTTTCTGTATAAGTATATCTATTTCTGTATGTCTGTATAAGTATATCTATTTCTGTATGTCTGTATATGTACATACATACGTACGCACGTATAAATGTGCCTCTCTCTCTCTCTCTCTTTCTTTTTATATGTGTATGTGTTTGTGCTTGTGTCTGTGTCTATTGCTATGGCTATGTCTGTGCCTGTGCCTGTGCCTGTACTTGTGCCTCTGCTGATATGTATGCCTTTCTTTCTCTTGTATTCTTATTAATATAATCCTACCTCAAAATTGACACAACAATAAAGGGATTTTATTTATTTAGGGCTCAGGATTGATCCCACCCTTCCAACCCCTCTTTCTCCCCCTCTTTCTACCCTTTCTTCACCCTCCTCATATCATGTTACACAGAGAGCCACAATACACTACACTACACACACACATATATATATATATATATTGGAACCAGAGAATACTATTTATCTCGCTATTTTATTATTATTTTTATTATTATTTTTGTAGCCGCGACATTCTATCCTATCCTATCCTATCCTATTCTATCCTACTTTATTTTTATTTGATTTACTTCATTAACAATCATGTCTACTGCACCTCGTTTCCAAGCATTCCAGAGCATGGCTGGTGCAATCGTCCGGGAACAAACTATAGAAGAACGTTACGGGATTCCCGAGAATTTTCTAGAGGTTGAGGTCAGAAACCCTCATACTCATGGTAAGCTCATCTTCATCTTCATCTTGACATAAAGCTTGATAAAATAAAATAAAAGTTTAAAGTAGATATTATAAATAATAATAAATAAATAAACATTTATTATCATTATAATTATGAGTATGAGTATGAGTTATTATACGAGGGGGTGTTATAGGGATATATAAATATATATCTATTTATCTATTTATTTATTTATTTATTTTTGTTACTGTTATTGTTGTTATTGTTATGGTTACGGCTATGGTTGTACTTGCACTTGTACGTGTACTTTTACTTGTGCTTGTATTTATGCCTATTGCCTGTACTTGTATTCCTGCTTGTATTCCTACTTGTGCTTGGGTCTACACATATAACTATACATCTACCTTTACCTTGACATAATATATATATATATGTATATATATACAAATATACATATAATGTTTAAAAGGTTTTGGACGCAAGCTATATACAGATTATGAAATTGTCTGCAGGGTAAAGTATATACTTTTTTTTGTTTTTTTGTTTTTTTTTTTACTTAATCTTTAAATGTAAACAATTAAGGGACAAAACTTTAAAACAAAATTATAATCTTAATTAATATTTAATATATAATCTATATCTATATCTATATTAGACAAATATACCAGCATTCAAAATGAAGCAATCCTTGGTCCGTAGACGCTACAGAGATTTCGAATGGTTCAGGGACGTCTTGGAACGTGAATCAACACGAGTGACCATTCCTTCTCTTCCCGGAAAGGTCTTTACCAATCGTTTCTCCGATGATGTGATTGAGCAGCGTCGTGAAGGATTAGAACGGTTTTTGCAAATGTAAGGAAAAGGAAAAAAAAAGAGGCTTTAGAAAACATAGTATATTTTGCAAGACCTTTTTCTTTTCTTTTCTTTTCCTTTTACTTGTGTATGTATGTGTATACTCATTTCTTTGGTTGATGTAATAGTGTGGCAGGACATCCTCTTTTACAGACCGGCAGCAAGGTCCTTGTTGCATTCATTCAAGATCCAAACTTTTCTCGTGAAGCATATCAGTACTAGATAAAGAAGAAGAAGAAAAAGAAAAAAAAAGAAAAATTCTTATGTACCCATCCTCCTCCCCCCTCTTTCCCAAGCTCTTCATTCAAATACATTCAATTCTTTATTACTGCTACTATATAATAATAATACTTTTAACAGCAACATTTAGTATTAGTATTAGTTTTAGTATTAGTATTGGCATTTATTTTTTGTTTTATTTCAAGCATTATTTATCCTTCTAATATCATCTTCGGTTTCTTGGATCATGGTCAATAAGTCAAAGTAAGCAGAGCACAATGTACGAAATTCAGGTCCCATTGAATGATATTCCTCGATTTGTTTGTTTGCAAACGATAGCTCTGCCTGAACGTCTTGATGTTGTTTTTCAAGCGCATTTCTAATCATCAAAACATTTAATTTATTTATATTTATTTTTTAAAAATAAGAAGGATTATACCTGAGAGATTCAAGAGCTGGAACCATTGTTTTGTCATAGGTAGTCAATAAGACAGATATGTGCAGTATTCTATGTAATAGTATTAGTATTAGTATTAGTATTAGTATTAGTATTAGTATATTCTCTCTCTTTTATTATTAACATTATATGCATATACTTGCTTTGTTTTTAATATAATACTATCAACCATAACTCCCAGGTGCTCGTCATAAACTGTGTTCATCTCTTTTTCATGCTTCAGTCTAAATTCTTCCATGATCGACCAGGTTGTGTCCAGAACTTCCAACATGAGCTACTTTATTTGAATTATAATTATTATTATTTTAAAAAAAAATGATCAAAAAATAAAGAATAAGAAGCTGTAATAGATTCATACACACAAGCATGCAGATGCATATGCAGATGCACATGCAGAAATATACGCATATTTCAAATGTATGCTTTTTTTTTAAAGGAAAAAAAAAGAGTAGTAATAATCATAATCATAATCATAATAAAATCTTGAGCACTTACTTCAATACATTCCACAACTAGTCTTGTCAATTTAATTCTTCCGAGTGGCATATCAAACCTTCTCTGTTGCAGCCCATTCTTTATTTTCTCTACAGTAGATCGCAATGATTCTGCATCTACTGCAGCCACACCAAGTCTATGTCTTGTTTCAGAAACTGGGCCTTTACATACATACATATATATGCGTGCGCGTGTGTCAGTACATAAATGATCTCTCAACTGCTTACTCTATTCTTCTTTATTTATTTGAACACTCACCTAACTTATCTCCCATCACAAAGCTCTCTACATTGGAATACTTTCTCAATATCCCGTCCTCTACTTTTTGAATCAATTCTTCTCTTTCACTCTAGTAATATATGAAATATGTGTAATTTGTAAATTCAAATATTTCATCACACTGAAAATGTATGTATACACTATACACCACACGCTTGAATTCACTCACAGGCAATATTGTCGATAAGCCAGTAGATCCTTTTATAGTCTGGCCCTCTGTAGTATTTGACAAGGTTGACAACAGCTTTTTAATAAACTGATTATTTGTTGTAAAGAGCTCGAATCCCTAGTTATATATATATATATATACATATATATATTATGATCATTTGTTTATCATAATAATAATAATAATAATAATCAACAAGAGGTTCTTATTTTATTTTATTCTATTTTGTAAAGGTCTCTTACAAAGTCATAGAGTGGGTGACTAGGATCATCATAGATGTCTCGTATCTCTTGTAAAATTAGATCCGCTTCCCAGTCGTGATCGCTTTGTAACTAAATCACGTTGGATCAATACATTTACTCACACACTACACGCATCTGTATATATATATATATATATATACATTACAAAAGAAAGAAGAAAAAAATGTGCGAGTGTGCAATTATATATAAGGATGTCTCACTTGTTTAATTTCATTAATAAGCGATTGACTTGCAAAGCTATTAGTAAAGTGATCACGTTTTATTCTTTCAACTATAGATAATGATGGTGGTGCCATTGTTAATGAGGTACATTCTTTTTAATCTTCTGAGCCATTCTCTTTCTATATATATATATATATTTATATGATGTATACATTAATTTTTCTTTAAACTTGTCAGTCACGTATTATGTACCTGAGGAATGCATTATTTAATTGGCAGAAAAGAACCAATAAATAATTCTTATTAATTTTATCGTGTAACCTATGTGGTTAAAAAGAAAGAAAGAACAAAAACGTGTATTTAACAAAAAAAAACATATCTCTTTTTTCTTCCTCTTCTTTGCACCTGAACCAGAAACCAATCTCCCCCCCCCCTAACCTTCCGCAAAGGAGTTATGGTATCAAGGGAAGTTGTGCAAATGATAAAATATTAAACCTATCATTTAATAAAGAAAGAAATACAAAGGTTGCAATATATTGTTTCTTTTTCTCGTGTACTATCCCATTCTGGTGTCATAAACCGCTAATATTAGGGGGACGACATTTTCAGGATGGGGCACTACCTTTTTGATGGGAAACGTTGTTTTGATTTTACCGGACCACAAATTGTGACTTGCTGTCCGGTATCAAATAATTATATCTGGTCCCTAAGGATTCATACTTATCATAATAAAGATACTTTTATACAAGGCAGGATAATAGCTTTTTCTACGCTTCTTTCCTCTATTTAATTATGTCTTTTCCTTCTCCACTCATGCGTATTAGCTCACTAAATTGCTCCCAAACTTTGTGCATTCATCAAACTGTCTCCAGGCATATACCTCTCCTTCTTTAGGAGGCACGACCTGTTTTTGGGCAAAATGATAATAAAAAATCTTCTCATATAAAAAAATAGCTTTGACTAAATATAAAAGCGTTGTTTTATATGTATAATTCTATACTTAAAGTTTTATACTATATGTAATAAATTAACTGATATATATATAGAATAATAAAAAACTATCTAACATGTTACTTCAAGACATTATATCCTAATAGAAAATGTCGTGCCCTACCCTGGAAACGTCGTCCCCCAAAAGTCACGACTTTTCATATCTTGCCTATCGAAAAAATACCTTATAAAATTTGAAATTTCTTTACTAAATACTTTATTAGGCTTATAATATCCTTTAATGTAATAAACATTACCTTTTGTTAATACTTATTTAAGATAAACACTAATAAAAACTGCTAAATCTTCTTCAGAAAAGAAAAACAAAGTCGCAAAAATGTCTGAGAATACATATAGTATTAATTAATTTTGCATATAAAAAAGTATATCTGATAATTGTAGAATAAATGTAGTTTACATTAAAAAAAATATATATTAGATAAAGTGACAGCTACTTAGAGTCATAATTAATAGTTAAACACTAATAAGTTTACTTCTTACTATAATTATGATATAATATTATAAGGCAAAGAAGCAAAAATAGAATCAACTTATTATACAAAAATGGTAACTAAAATCGAGTATTTGTAAGATATAAGATTTATTTGGCTCCCGTCAACAAATCACATACCTGTGGCTGCTAATGAGTCATATTTTCACGATTTAACTTGAGACATAAATCATATGTTTTCATTTTGTGTGATTTAAGTGGAAAAGATTATAATCCATATAATTTGCATTTTTTCAAAAACTTTCATAATGGATATAAAGGTAATGAAGCCTTTTATGCCTAAGAAAGTTTGCATAGAAGTTAAGCGAATATATATTTATAAAATCCATGTTTTTATTTATTCTGTAAAAACTCTTTCTATCATTTCCTTACAACATGTACATGAGATATTTTATCAAAAATACAAAAAAATGAAAAATATTCATATAAGACCAAAAAAAGTTTTTAATTACATATATTCAGATAACATATGAATCCAGTAAAAGTTTCATAGAAAACAAATGAGAAAAAAGTGATTCTACAAGCAAATACAATATTTTATTTTATTGAAAAAAAGCAAATTTTTGAGATATTACGTTAGTTTTCTCATGATCGACCCTTTCAATTCAACTAAAAATCCTAGAACCCATACATATATCTATACACTACTTGGATCCAAAGTTATAGAGAGCCAAGACTTGAATTGATGAAATAAATAGATACAAATGCATAATATAACATATTCGAAGATAGTTTGGCTCTATCTGTGTAACACCACCCGACATTTATGCTTTTTAATTCGCTGGATATATGTGTAACTCGTAGGGTAAAGTACTTCCCACGAATGATTTCTATGAAAAAACAGAGCGGAGAGTCATTTAACCCACAAGTGATAGATAGCTTATGTTGACGCAAAGAAACAGATTGATAAGATTTATAAAGGTAAAAAAAAAGATTATGTTATAGTGAGATCAACATGTTCCTCTTGATCGGAAAGAAAAGAGAACATCGCATTTCTACGATCATACTTATTGAACTCTTTAAACTTGTTCCAGTAAGTATCAAAGTTGTCGGGAATCTGGTTTCTGACACAACCCAAAAAGAATAACACAGGAATGGTTGGCCATTTCCTTGAGACATTGCGGGAGAGGTGTACTGTTGTCCAGTGGTTATTGTTAACACGATTGAAAATCAGAGGTTGTTGATGTTTTGATATGTTTTTGGGAAGGGTGAAGGGAAGGAACGATACGGAAGGGGTGTTGGGGTTGTCTGAGTAGACGCAGACTGGTCGCTTATAGGTGTCCGCAGCTAGTTGAGCACAGTCGGATGTGCTAAACCACATACTGGCATCTAAACACGCTGGGATGAAGTTGGAGTTGGAGTTGGAGTTGGAGTTGGTGATGCAGAGATCAGAACCATGCTTTATAATGTCTTCTAATTGCTTGACATCGGTTCCAAACGTGCTGGCGTAAATGCTGCTGTATTTTGGAAGGGTAGCAAGCATATATCTTTTCACAAGAGGGAACTTTTCTTGATCTTTATAGATCAAATGGGCAAGGACCCGAAAACCACACCATCCATCAGCAGTAGGGTTAAACCCACCCTTAACGTCATCGACTATCTCATGAGAGACAGGAAAACCGGGCTGGAATTTAACCCTCTTGCCAACAGAGGTGCGATAGTCATATTGGTAATCTTCTTGAGCTGTAGCGGGTCTTTTAAACCCTATTTCTTTTGTGGCATCGACTAAAGAGCATATAAGTATACAACGATATTTCTCTTTATGGATTCAATTACACTGAAAAATGAGAAAGAATATTACCTGGGTCGAGAGGCTCTTGTTTTATTTTTTTGTTTTGTTTTTGGTGGCATCGACTAAAAAGCATATTAGTATAAGGTTAGATTCCTTTTCATGAATTCAATTACACTATAAAATAAAAGCACATATTACCTGGGTCGAGAGGCTCTTTTTTAATTTGTTTTATTTTGTTTTTGGTAGCATCGACTAAAAAATGTATGTAAATATATGACAAGATTCTTTTTCATAAACTCAATTATATGTAAAATAAAAAAGCATCTTACTTAGGTCGAGAGGCTCTTTTTTGCTTTTGTTTTGTTTTTTGTTGTTTTTCGTTTTTTGTGTAGCTGCAGGCTTTCCCTCCCTCATTTTAGCTCTCAGTCTAACCATTGCCTTAAGGCCAGCCTAGTATTTCAAGATACATATTAATACTTTGTTATGTTATTTTTTTTATCTTACATGACCAGACGAAACACTGATCTTCCTCCAGTTTGCCCGACCAAAGTCTTTGGGAAGGTATTTGGGACGTGCACCACCCTTTCTTCTGCCAGGATATTTAATTTTTTCTGGGGCTTGAAAGTTAATCGAAGGGTGCCCAGTTTTGCCTTCGAATTCAGAAGTAACCTTCTTGATCTTTTGAAGGAGGTTGGCCACTTGCTGGCTGCCCTCACAAGAGCGGAAAAGAGCCTCAAGCTTTACAATCTCTTGCATCCACTCTTCTGGCCTCTCGGCAATTACGTGCGCTGTACAACTTTCTTCGAAAGATGTCTCTTTTAGAACAGGGTTTATGATCCATCTTTCTAGAACATCATCAAGAGTGAGCTCCCTTCCAGCTGGCAGCAAGTGTTTGCAGGGCAAGCCGAACTCAAACCTGTTTTTGCAATGACAAAATTCATTGTCTCTATTAATCAATCAAAGTTCTTGATTAATAACAAGCAATACTCTCTTAGAGACTTTCATAAAAAGCCTGGAAAGCTGCTTGTTGCAGCCAACCAAGACATCAACAGTTGTCGATTCCCTGATTTTTATAGCACTGAAGTCTCTTTTGAGCCTGTCTATATAGGAGTTGACAGCTTCAAATGCAAGCCCCAAAGACGAAATTGCTGATATCCCTCTTTTCAAAGCTTGGTGTGCGCTCTCGACTCTCTGGGTAGTTGTACACCCAAAATGCATTTGCTGGCTGGTCAGGTATCCTGCCCACTTCTCCTGGCACTTTATCCATCTTTCGGCAAAGTAAACCGATGCATCTACCTTGGACCCTCCTTCGTCTACTTCGCAACCAGAAGATACTGCATTGAACTTCATCAACGCAACCTCGAAATCCCTTCTGGTACTGCTGTGAATCATGGAGTTCACATACTCCATAAGGACCTCTTTCTCTGCAACTGACTTGAGTTTTCCAGCGAAGGCTTTCTCAACGCTATTCAACATATGCCAGTAGCATAGTAATTTGACATTTTTTGGGAATACAATGTCAAGTGCATTCATTAAGGCCATACATTTGTCTGTTACAAATAGAGAACTGCTTTTCTTATTCTCAAAAACAAGTGCCTTGAGCTGCTCAAGGAACCAAACGTAGGTCTCCTGTTTCTCATTCGAAACCCAGGCGAAGGCAATGAGAAACGATTTAAGAGTGTCTCCCCCGAGGTTATGGACACCTTCCACGCATACAAGAGGCATTTCCAAATTATTGGTTGAGTAGGTGGCATCGACGGCCATGACTTCTGGGAAGCGACGGGCTCTTTCTAGTATCTTTGGGTGCGAGAAAAATACTCTTTCAAGAGATCCATATTTGCCGGCGTCATAGCGTACAAGATATCCCTTAGCTTCCATGGTTTTAACGAGTTCAGTACCTGCATCCTGAGAAGTGGAAGCAGTAGCACGAGCAAAAGCAGCATTGATATTGTTGATGTCATTCACATACAACTTATGGCTGACATTATCCTCTTTATTGATCGCCTTTTGGATCTCACGAGTCTTGGTTTTGGTCTCAACAAGCTTCATAATTTCCCTAGCATCATCGACAGTAACCTTTGACAAACGACCTTTCAAGGTAGATTCCAGGCAGTCATCATCAAGAGGGTGATTGTGGTAGCTTTCAATCTCATTGGTGGCTTTCAAAAGAAGATATCCTTTAGCGGCCTTCTTGTATGATATTTTCAAGAGATAGGGGCATCCAGTCTTTCCACTAGACGGAATTCTCTTGCGTTCGCTGTCTTCAATTTTCCGCGTGTTCTTATAATGACCGCCCTTGGCACACTTCAAATACACTCGAGTTGGTTTACTATCTCTAGTTACAAGTGCAAAATTGTTGGCAAGTGCATATTCCTGCATCTTTGAAATTGCCATTGTCATGTCACTGTAACCATTAACTGGTGAGACAGGAAGAGGTTGTTGGACAGGATAATGTTCCTTTCCATTGAAAAAGCGGATTTCTTTATTGATAGGATTCATATTGAAGTGATTTCTAGAGAATACTTATTAACATCATGATTTCTAATTGCTAATCTGCAATGAGCAAAGTAATCTCTTTACTATCTCCGAGAAAAAATAATATTTTTAAGTGCAATTGATTAGTAGCTCTTACGAGATGAGTATAGAATAGAAAAGAAGGTTTTCTATTTAAATATTGAGTTAAGAATTTCAGGACACATCGTTTTGCCCTGAAGGATTGGAGAAAATACCTCGGACCTCGGACAAGTAGTCACAATGAATTAGTCCGGCAAAAAAAGGTAGTGCCCCATCCTGAAAATGTCGTCCCCGTAAGATTGCTGGTCATAAACTCATGTAAAGATTATATATATTTTGGATTTTGGATTCTTCTTTTTCTGCTTTTCTATTATGTTATCGGCTTTATAATTATTATAAAGATAAGAAGACAGGAACATATCTGAGCTGAGTACAACGTGAATATCATAGAGCCTGTCTAAAACATTTCATTTCAAGTCTCTAATTTGTATACATACAATATGTCCATATGTATTTTACACAGTAAGAATCATTATACACTGTGATCTGGTCTTGTATGACCAAAGTTTATTTGACCTGAGCCATTTTATAATTATATATGCAACCATCATCTTTATGGGATAATGGTCTTATATGATATTTTATCTATAAAGTAAATACCCTGTTAGAATATATAAGCTTTCGTACAGCTTATACAAAAGCAGTGGCTTCAAATAATAGAAATGTCAATATGTATTTTTCTTCTTCTTCCTTTCTTACCTCTAATAAAACTCTGAATATAAAGACTTTGTGGTTAATAGGATTGATCATAGGCATTTGCCATTGAATTTTGTGTATTCCTGAAAGAAAAGATTTAAAGTTTCCAAAAATCTTAAAGAAAGGATTAATAATATACTGCAAATCAAACAGGTCAATCTGTTCTCCAACCGGTGACTTACAGAAACGTGTTTGAATCTAACATTCTCATGGAAGAAGGTGGAGGGGGAGGGGATTTAGCAAATTTGCACCATTCTCACTTTTCCCCTTCTCTATTAAGTTTAGCTTTCAAGATTGACCTTTAACAACTTAATGACAATATGTGTACAAAGTGAAGCAACATCTATTTCCCAAAAAAATACATATTTTAATCTTGAAATTCGTAGATATTTCCTAGAATTGAGTCTTCTTTTACGAAAACCATGCGGTTGTAATCGTCTCGTTTGACGTATAGTTTAGAGTTATTATATTTAGCTGTAGGCGATGTGGGAATAAGCCGTACCCAGTCGAATTCCTGTTTTAAAAAAAATTAAAGAAAAAGAGGTGAGCGCTTTGACTAACAAATTATTGTTATTGATACTTAATGCTTTAAAAATAAAGAAATAATATAAGGTATAGGATGTATATTTCTACTTTACCAGACCCCATTTTGATGACGAGCTTATATCATCATGGCTAAAGTAAACCTTTGAGAATCTCTGTTTGTTGCTTATAACAAATCTTCCAGGTAGAGTAATGACTAGCCATCCACAATCGACTATTAAAGGATCTTTATAAAATGCATAAGGCATAGTATATGTATCATCAGTTATTGGTGCATAATCATAAATTTCCTAAATACAAAAGAACATGAGCTTTTCAAACTTATAAAATGTGGATATGTCATATAATATGAATACTACCAGTAATATTGTCATAATAGATACTTTACCTTTAATGAAATCCTAAACTTAAAGACCGAATCATGTTGACCAACACTAGTAACACGCATTCTCCATTGAACTTTATATGCTCCCAGAGGAACAGACTCCATGCTTCCAATAATCTTAAAGAAAAATTAACAAGATTATTCAACCAATTCTATCATTACTTATTTTTTGGAATTGTACTTTAATTGAAATTACCTTGAACCAAGATACAACATTTAGTTTGGCTACATGGCCATAAATACTGGATTCGGTTTCCATAGTATTCCAATATCCCGTATTCATGTGTGATATCTCCATGTCATCTACAGCTGAAAGTCTTGGAGTAGCTGCACAAAAGTCATTACAAAATATAGAAACAATATAGCAAGAAATGTTTTGATGTGCGCATGTGCGTGTGTGCACATATTCAATTATCATTAAAACATCGAATTCATAAATAACCATAAGATATATACCTTTTTTGAGATAATTCTGTTTCCATAATGAGTTGGCAGTGTATTTAAGAGCGGTATCTTTATCAGTCATAAACCGAGTCTCGTACATAGCTTTCCAGACTTCTTGATCCAAACTCAACTGTCTAAAATTGCGACAGGTCTATGTAGCAATTAGAGTTTGATACATATTGATTTTGCGGGAGTTACCATGCTAAAGTGCTCCATATCATATTCACTGAAATTAGAAGCAATTAAGAGAAGGATCTCAAAAGGAATCTTAAGTATTCTTGAATTATTAAAGGTTGATACAAGAATATCATCAGTGGCGGTGACTGTATTTTTGGGGATAGTATTTGTAATAGAAGTGTTTGTAACGGTAATATTGGCATCAGCAGACATAGAAGTAACAGCAGTAGAAGTATAAGTAGCAGAACGAGAAGTGAATTTGCAATATAAAGAGAGAATACCGCGCTTCATTATTAATCTTGTCAGTCAATTATAATAACGATACAGCACCAACCATATTTAACGAACATTTTCTTTAAATTAAATCCAGCGGTCACAGTTTCACACGAGTGTTCAAAGGCTTGGGAAATAGTATCGTGATCTATTATATCCCAGTAGAACAGTAATAAGCCGCTTATGCATTCTGTTTATTCCTTTTATGCACTTCCGATTCTCCTCCCCCTCTTTTATATCTTTTAGGTAGTACAGCTTAGGCGGCTCCTCCTACCATTTTTTGTTTGTTTCTATTTACATTTCACTATTAAAGCTCAAAAAAGTATACCCTTCTGCACCGGTATTAGTATTTCTTTTAGAAGAAAAAAACTGGATGACATAGATCTATCTAAAAGAGATCAGTCATAATATATTGATTATTTTTAATTGATTTCAAGAGCAGGTCCAACTTTAAGTTTTATAGTTAGAAGGAAGAGCGTATTCTATAGTCGGTCTTCTTTATTTAGATACAAACTCTAGAGAGTGTATTCCAACTCGTAACTTCTTTCGGAGGAATCAAATCTTCATATCAAAGAAGGCGAATCTTTAAATCAAATAATAAAGATAAGCCTTCGAAGGCTTCTTCTACATTTTGTCATAAATAAAAGAAATTTCGTTGAAAATTAAAAAGAAAAGCATAAAAGTTTTCTTATCTAGTTCAATTCTTTAAATGTTAATAGTTGGTCATCGTTTTCAATTTCAAAAGAATGCTTACAATTTTGAGCCATTCAACCTTTGTAATATTGAAATCTACTTTCATTAACTAAAGAACAGACGCTTTATTACTTTATCAAGTTTTCACCAAAGTTTATAAAATTAATTAAAAACATAGAACAATACGTGCATCGAATGAACTAGTCTCAAAAGTATTTGTAGATATTTCCAAGATCTGAATCCTTGTGCACAGAATACATGTGATTGACCCGATCCATTTTGACGTAAAGCTTTGAGTCATTATAATTTGCACCATGAGATACAGGAACAAGCCGAGCCCAATTAAATTTCTATTAAAAAAACCCCCAAAGTAATCAAGTAATCAAATAAGTTGTTGGAATTATAAATTATTATGCTTAAAATCATAACAACAGTATTATTAAAGACTTCTGCCCGATAATCGTGCTGTTTACTGATGAAGAAATATATAATGGTCTCTAAATTCGATTAAACTATTATCTGAGAAATATACTAGCCAAGATGGTAGAGGTTTGGATATAATGTTAATAGCCAAAAATTTTTCACTCATATGTTTAATTTCATTAGATCTTATCTTATTATGATATAAGAAAAATAAAGCCGAAAAAAAAGCAACAAACCGTATAGATTCCTAGTGAATAGATCTTGTCCGTAAAGTTAAAGGATAATAGCTCAATCTAATTACCCAGTAAATATAATGTAAAGTAAGTTATATTTTATCTTATACTGTGATTAAAAAAAGCTACGACTGGGTATCCGTAAGCTTTATATATCTTTTATAACGCCCCGGGCAACTAAATACATTATCGTATCAAAATTGACCTGAAAGCGATTTGGGATAATTGGATTACAATTATTCATGAACTTGACGTACTGATATATAAGCTAGAATGAATTATATTCCTCAAAACAAAACAAAAAACATACATACACACCTTATAAGTTTATAATATACACAAAATGATCCACAGGGAACAATTGTGCTTAAAACACCTTCAGAGTACTATATTATCTTTCCATGGCAAGCTTTGTACAGTTGTTGAGACACATTCCAAAACAATAAATCTACAAAAGAATAAGAATGTTTGGTAAGTTAACTTTGTGTGAGCTATTACATTACATGCACTTCCAATCTCTTCCAGAGAATGAAGGAATTTGATGGCAAAGACTATTTCAATTGAGCTTTGGGATCTAGTCACAAAAATGCATCATGCAATCAATATATAAAGTGTTTATCATTTTAATTGTTACTTTTGATAAGCTTGTGATATAGTTTCTGGAGATCTTGAATCATCTTCGTATGCTCTGAAAATAATAAATAGGTTACTTATTAAACTATATGTCATATCCTTTATGTGTGTGTGTGTGTGTGTGTTTATTACTTATATAAAGCTCCACATTTGAGATGAAAGTTGACAACCCCATCCAACGCTTTCATAGCTTGATCCTCTGCTTTTGAAGTAGCCGCGAGATTAACTTTATTCTTAAACATAAGTGTGGAGCCTCAGATATTATACATATACAAACACTTGCCTTTACATAAAAGAGGTATACTCTCTTTTTCGCGTTTTGAACTTGAACTATAGTACCAAACGTTACAGAGATTCTTTATAAAAAAACAGCCAATTACCTTTCATTAATTGCTACATATTTAAACCAAAGCCTAACTATCAAAGAATATATCCCAGACCCCAAGGAAAAGGCAAGATTGGTATTTTATTAGCTTTCTTATTTTATAAAATATCTTCAATAGTACTTGCGTGCTGCACAAATAGAAAGCAGTGCATGTGTTTGTTCTTTAACTGCCTGTTCTAGCCTCTCTCTATCGACAGGTTGACTGGGCATACACAACCGAGTACTAACTATTCGCTTCTTTTGTGGAGACTCGATATTTTGTTCAAAAGAGCGCATTATCGTCTCAATCTCATCCAACTGAAGCTCAATACGATAAGCTATTATGTCTCTTGCATTCTCAATTATTCTCTTTTCCCTTGCTTCCATAATAAAAAGTTGTAGAAAGAAGAAAGAGATCTTGCATATTGGTATTAGTAGTTATTTGTATTCCTTTTATAATCCAATGACTCTGGTAATTTATCTTTATGTATCACTTCATTTTCCGCAAGGTTTTTTTTTTAAAAAAAAATTGTAAATTTTTGCCCACTGGATTTTGTAGGTGAAATATTATATTTTATTATATACTTATTATTGTTTTTTTTGTGTCGTTTTAGTCTATATACATCAACTCATTAATACACAGTCGTCTTTTCTTATGCTAGTATTCCATTACTCTTACCTTTCATAAAACTATTATAGCTCGATCCAATCTCGTTTACCATATCCGAAGTTAGGACAGCACGGCCATGCTTCTCAAATGCCCTTCTTCCGCTCTCTCTCACTATTGCACATGCACCCCATGCTGCAAGCATAGGTATATCTTGAGATTTGATTTCATTCGAATGCCTGGGTTCATATAAATTAGTAAAATGTACTATTTTTTTGCGTCTTATTTTCTTACTTCCAAACGCCCTCTTCATAAGATTTCCCCCAAGCAAGCATTGTTCCAAGCACACCTGATAGAATATCACCCTGACCACCCATACGCTTCAGTCCACCTTCTTTATCACATGTAAATACTAGAAAAAATGATTTATCAGCATCTCCAAGTCTTTTATCTTTTGTATATATATTTTTCTTGCCTTGCTTTCCATTAGAGACAACATCTACAGAGCCTTTTTGTATTACTGTAACTCCACCCAAGGCTGTACTTAGCTTCTTGGCCATAGTGCCTTTATTATCTTCAGTGTATGGTACTTTCTAAATGGTTATGTAATATCAGTAATCAACCTCACACAAAGGTTTCACATTTATGAAAACCTACCATTGCCTCACACAAACGTTTGAATTCAACTACATTAGGTGTCAAAACAGCTTTGGTATAATCTTGTATTATACTAGGGTGCTGTTGAATCAGAAAGAGACCATCCTAGAGTCCATTATCAGTATACGCTCTATTATTATTAAAATAAGCTACGGACTTACTGCATCAATCACTATAGCCATGTTCTCTTCACGCGCTTTTCCAATAATTTCTCTAGTAGATGCCAGCATTAGACTGTCTCGAGACAACCCTGGGCCGACTACAAGAACGTGCAGTCGAGAAAAAACAGATGATACGCGGTCTGTAATTTCCTTGACACTGGATCCAGGTATGTCTTTCTTACTACCAAAAAATATATTTTTAACCACGCTAGTATAAATCAAGCAAAAATAAGAAAAAAATAATAAGAAAAAACGGTACTCACTCTTCAGTACGCATATAAGGATGCACAATAAGGTCTAAAATTTATTAAAATGTATTAATATCAAACTAGTATACTAGGCATAAAAATCTTGCCTGGAGAATAAGCCTAATAAAAATGCATGTCAGTGAATAATACAGAAATCAGACTGACATCACATTTAGGTTATTATTATTATTATTATATTTCATATTTCCTTACCTTAATTGCTGTGCCTGCTCCAGGCTCACAGAATATGTGGCACAAGTCAGCACCCTGTCAAATACATGTAAGTACAGAACATGAATTGTGCGAAACTAGTTATAATGACACACCAGCTTCATGGCAGAGATTCCACTGAAATAAGGTGCCCCAGTATAACTACAGACTGTTAGTATTTACTCAGTCGGGCATTACGACTTACTCTTCAGAACCCCCCACGATTCCAATACGACCTTGGCATTCATTGTTGATGAGTTCGGAATGTCATTCTTAGCTTTATTTTGTCTTTTCTTTTTTTACCTGCTTGCCCCTTGTGTAATTCTCCCGAAAGGGGAGGTATGAGTTGACGAACTTTAGATAGATGAACCATTATTAGATATATTGACAAGAAACAAAAAAATAAAATAAAGACAAGGAAAACTAGCCGATGATGTTTGTATATGTATGGTGGCATAGTCACGACATGATGACGACAAGTGAGAATAGTAGCAAATATGTTAGTTTATAGTGGTATTTAAATTAGAAAAAAAAACAGATGGGTAATATAAGGGAAAATATAAGAATAAGAGTGTCTAAAAGGCAACCAGTGCCTTATTTAATGGAAGGCGTTCTATGGCACGCTCATATGCGCTCCACCAGACTTTATAGAGCGAGTAGTATATCTTATCATCCTCTTTCATTGAACTGTCATCTGTATCCCAGGGCTTTGAGAGGATATAGTGCACATTTTTAAGGTCAGAGGTGTGCCATAGAGAAGGATGGGCCTGAGGAAGAGTCTTGAGGGCATTATATATATAGGGAAGAGTGACCCAGCAGCCAGAAAAAACTTCATTGAGGAAATCTTGGTCGGGAAATGGATAAATGCTAAGATCGGGAGTAGCATGAAGACGAGCTAACATGTCGGTAAACAAGTTTTGAGATGGTGTGAGCACAATAAGTCCACTGTTAAAGTAGTGGCGAGTGGGCTTGATCGGAAAATCTCCTTGGATATGTGTGTAAGCACAATTTGCCGGAACCCTATATATTCGAGATTAACATACTACACTCTTGAATATTCAATTTTCTCTCTCTCTCTCTTATATATATATCAAAAAGAAAGAAAGAGTAACTTACCAATCAGACGGGTATGCCTTAATCTTTTGTGGATTACAGGTACATGCATGGCAGGCAGCTACCCAATACTTGCTTCTAAGCTTCATTGTCATAAGCTCATCCATATTTTGAAATGGAAGCATGTCTGCATCCAATAGAACAAGACGATCATAGTCTGTTTGACCCCATGCTCCAAGCTTAGTCCAAGTATCAATGAACCTTTCAGCAAAGTAATCTATCTTTGCCTTTGGTTTGATCGGGTCGATACGCCTGAGAGTGCAATTTGCTAGCTCGAGTAACTTTAGAGCATTGTCAGATACTGCATCCGTGTGAAGCACCAAAAGTGGATATTTGCTATGGACATGACGCAACGCTTCTGCCAAGGCAATAACTCCTTTTACATAGTTATTGGTACTGGTTAGGACTATAGCCCACGCAGCTTTAAACTCTGTCTTTGCAACCATCGTAAATATACTTTCAGAAGAAAATGAACAAGTAGAAGCTAAAAAGCGTATTGAATGAGGTTAAATAGATAATGGCGTCGTTCAATTTCCTTTTATGGATGCGTATTATCGAAGGAGTTGAGACTATTCAACTCTTTCTATTGCGCAATTATACGCAATTCTTCTGTAATCAATAGTCCCACACCTTCAGGAACGGATAGATAATTAATAACTAAACTTTCTTTTTAAGCCAATACGTTTTTTTTAGAGGTAGGTGATCAAGGATAAGAAGACAAAAACAATCGATAGTCACTGAGCAAGATAAGCGCGCTGGAAACGGCGAAGACGAGAAATCTGCCCTGACATACTTTGAGGATTGCAGAAAACGGGAAAACAATGGTCCGTATTCTGTGCACATATTTTGTGAGCATCGATCAAATATAGATCGATTGGGCTGGTAAAGTCACTATCATCAGTAAGCGTAGAATATAGTCATGGACTTCCTTGGTTTATTCCGGACCGAGTTTGGGCTTTGAAAAGTTGTAGGATAAAGTATCAATAATGATATTCAATCGTAAGTTCCCACAGAATTGATCTATCACCAGTACGCTATACAAAAACAAGGTAAAAACAAGATTATGTGTGGGGGGACACGGACTACAGTAAAAGTTTTAACTTCAACCCATAGATTTTGAGAATTCAAACTCGTCTGGGAAGAAAATTAAGAGATACATAATTAGGGACTGTTGATTAATACGTGACTTCTCAGGAAGCGTTGTCTATTGTGCCCATCCTGGTAATGGAGCCTATTGTTGTTCACTTGTGTGGATTAAAATCCCTTGTGTTTGATGTCAAAGGCATGCATTTTATAAGAAGAAGAATAAGATAATAAAATATGTATTAAACTTACATCGTTTTGTAGATGTCGAACGACTGAGATGCGATCATCGTATGGTCGGGGCATTAGTTGGTACATTACCCCGACTTCCCTTGCAAAACACCTTTCACGGTCTCCCTCTTCTGTTGATGCCAGAAGAAGTCACTTTGGCTCTGTCTAAAAGTAAGGTTGTAGCAATCTATCTAACAAAAAATAATAAATAAATAAATAACACATACGCACGCGGTTTAGATATTATAGTTATTGAATCATGGGAGTATCCCAGGACAGCTAAAGATCGTATCAAATGTTCGGTTTACGCTTATTTGTGGAATCTTGGCTTTTATATTACAAGAGGAACAAAATTTGGTGGAGACTTTCTGACCTATCCGGGTGATCCTATGCGTTTTCACAGCCATTGTATAGTTGAAGCTGTAGAAAGGGATGATGAAATAAAGGCAATAGACCTTATTGGTAAGGGCCGTTTAGCTACAAATGTCAAAAAGACTTTTGTGCTAGCTTCAGTTACCGAGAAACGAGAGGAGGTATTTACATTGTCATGGGCGGGGTTTTAAATAAAACAAAAGAAAAAGTGCAACAAACCCATAAGCCAGAAATTGTTACTCTGCATATAATGCATTTATATATGTATTTAAATATTTAAATTATAAAGTTGGTTCGCAAAGATCTACTTGTGCTGAACTGTATTGAAAGTACATTGACATCATGCTTTAAAGCCTAATTTTTTGAGGGTCAGCCAGAGAGGAGAGGCGTTGATCAGAATTAAGCACAGACACCCAAAGGTCCGAAAGAATGCAGAGTTGTTCTTATTGGCTTCAAGGGCCTTCTGGTTAGGTAGCCGGTCGGTTCATGCCGAATGACCGACTTGGGTAGAGCTTCTTTAAGTGGTGTATATATTTTGGGTGCCTCGTTCAAAGAGAATGGTGATACTAACTCATTTTTGCCCATACTAAAGCGGGATGCTTGGGTAAAACAAAACCTGGGTTGGGATGGGACAAACTCAAAATGAGTTAATTACTGTAGTTCTATTGTCTTGTCATTCGCGTGTCTCCTGCTATTTCCGACATCCTTGGCTCAATCACCCTTCCTGACCTTCTTTACCTTCCACACCACTTATTAGGGTCCCGCCCCTTTTTAAAAAATCAATTCTGGCCACCATTCTTTCTTTTCTCCTTCTTTTTACTTTATAGGCCATGAGATATTTTCATATCGTATGGCTCTCGTTTTCGTTGCTTCTTTGTGCTCAAAGTATTCGAGCCAAAACTCCTTCAACAGTTGAAATTGAGTGTAGCTGGCCTTGCTCAAACCCAGCCGATGTTTGCACGATCACACCCCATTATGCTCGTTGCCAGCCTTCTCAGGCGAACCAGTAAGTTGCCTGCGATAGTAACTAATACAGTACATGCGTAGTCGGACTCAGCGACACACCAATGCTAGTCTTTACTGGTACTAACTATTGTACACAGATGGATATTAAAGGGTCCCAAAGACAGTCCTACCTACGAAGGAACTCTCTCCAATGTGGCTGGTGAAGTGTGTCAGAAAGCACCAATACCAAATCTCCAAACCCCATCAACAAACAAAAATACCACACTTATTCTTTGGCCACCGATCGGCATCAATTCACTCAGCACATGCGGCCCCAACCTTTATTGTGCAACCATCGACGATCAGTCTTCTTGTCAGCACCGCCTAAAGTCCCATTCTACGTGTACGCTATCAAATGAATGCGACTCTGGACTGTGTGAAAATCAGATATGCCAAGTAGTGCTAGGCCAGTTTAAAGAAGCATATACAGAAAACCACAAACCAGCATCGATTGTTGTGCATGTTCTAGCAGCTGTATTCGGTTTCTTGGGGGCAGTCATTTCTGCTGCTGTGGTTTTTGTAATATACCGTCGCAAACGCAACCGCAAGCGACAAACTGAACAAAACGATTCAGAAAATGCACCTATGCCTACTCCTGTCATGACCCGCTTTGACAAATTTGCCACAGACTTTTGCCACGAGCCACAACAAAGTAAAGAGCCTTCGGAAACATCACAGAGTATCCAGGATCAACTTAGGTTACTTCAGCATACTTCGGTTCCCACCCTTGGGTCTTCATCTTCTTCTCCACCACCCTACCGACCTTAAGTCGAACTCACTGTCATTGTAAATAAAACTTTCACCCTGCATTTTAACCCTTCATCCTTCCTTTCTCCTTTCCTTTATTTCTTTATTTCTTTCTTTTTTTGGTAATGCATTCCAATAAATATAAATAAACCAAGTAAATAATAATTAAAGATTAAATCAAGGAAAAAAAACAAGCCATCCCAAAAAGAACTCAATGTTCGATTCCAACAGACCGAAAATAGAGCATATCAGCCAATCGCTGCACAAGGATTTACTTCCGTCCTCTCTCCTCCCTATTCGCCATGACACAGGCGCGTACTTCGACAGCACAATTAGAAGAAGAGCTGGCCCAGATCAGGCGCTATGAAGACTTTAGCACCATTGGCAAGTCAAGCACACAATAAGAAGAAAAAAGAGACAATTATTGCTTAATAACAATAAGTTAAATTAAATTCAGACTGGGTCAAGGATGCCATCATTGAACGTTATCGCCAGTCATCTATCCAAACACAGAACAGAAATGATACCTCATGGAGGGCTTGGCGTAAACTTACCTATGAAACCACTCAGACCTGGATTGTAGTGACTTTAGTTGGCATGTACCAGCAACCAAACTTCAATGGACTATTGTTCATTCTAATTTTTCTTCTTAATTTCATTAGGGGCTGCAATTGGTCTTAATTCGGCATTGATTGCCATTGTAACCGACTGGCTGTCTGATATCAAGCTTGGCTATTGCTCAGAAGCTTGGTGGTTAAACCAAAAGTTCTGTTGCTGGGAAATCGAAGCGAGGGGTAAGCATACGTACATGTACATACGTTAGTGTAATCTGGGTGCCTGAATTTATTTTGAAGACAAGTACTATACCAAAAAATAAAGGTTCTAAAGTAAAACTGACAAAATAAAAATGTGCCATAGATGGAAGTTGTGAGAATTGGATCCATTGGAGTCAGGCACTACATATGGGTCCAGATGTTTTTGTAGTCAAGTGGATTTTTTATGTTTTTTGGGCAGTAAGTGTAGCATTCCGAGGATTAGAAACATTGACAAACAAGATATCCAAAAGACGTTGTTTGCGACAACATGCGCTTATCTAGTAAAGGTGTTTGCACCATATGCGGCTGGATCGGGTATATCTGAAATTAAGTGTATTCTTGGTAAGTACAAGAGCTGTATGGTGTAAGCAAACATGTGAACTCAAGACGTTCTTTTTTTTTTAAAAAAAAAATAGCTGGTTTTGTCATGCGTGGATTCTTGGGAAGTTGGACACTGATGATGAAAAGTGTTGGTTTGGTAGGTATGAAGTAAATGGTAACATATAAATAAAACAGCCAACTTAATATTGCTTGTAAACATGATTTAGACCATGGCAGTAGCTTCTAATTTATCAATCGGTAAAGAGGGTCCTTCTGTTCACATGGCCTGTTGTGTTGGAAATGTTATATCCCGCTGTTTCCAGAAATTCAGGACAAGTAAAGGTAAAGAGACGAATCAACAGCAGCAGAATCTGCAAAAGACTTATAAGTAATCTGCGTGTGATCTGTAGCCGAGATGCGTGAAATATTAACAGCCTCAAGTGCTGCTGGTGTCGCAGTGGCATTTGGTTCGCCTATTGGTGGTGTTTTGTTTGCTCTGGAAGAAATGAGCTCAACATTCCCTAATCGAACAATGTGGAAAAGTTTTTTCTGTGCCATGATTGCAACTATGGTTCTTCAGGCTATGAATCCTTTCCGCACAGGAAAACTAGTCATGTTCCAAGTGAGCTATGACAGAGAATGGCATTTCTTTGAATACCTTTTTGTCGTGGTGATTGGTATATTTGGAGTAAGTCAGAGATATCTATGTAATCACTAAAGTTTATTCTTTTGACCTCCCTTCTACCAATCTCAATAGGGTCTTTATGGTGCACTTGTTATCAAATTCAACCTTATTGTGGCTCAATTAAGAAAACGATACCTAAAAAACTATGGTGTATCTGAAGCTGCAGCTCTGGCCTTTTTTACGGCTTTGATAGCCTATCCAAATGTGTTTATGCGTATCGACATGACAGAGATTATGGGTATTTTATTCAGGGAATGTGAAGGTGCCCAAGGTGAAAACTATTACGGACTGTGCGAGTAAGTCTTGAGCTACTGCTATTTCGGGAGAAATCAACAAGTTGACTAATATAAACTCTAGAACAAATGGGGTGGGACGCCTTGTGGTACTTTTGTTAGTAGCTACAGTCTTGCGCACTATTGGAACAATTGTGACTTATGGTTGTAGAGTGAGTAACAATAGATAAAGCTAGTGAAACATAACACTAATCTTATTTATAGGTTCCGTGCGGTATTTTTGTCCCCTCTATGGCTATTGGAGCTACTTTCGGACGTATGATTGGATTGTTGGTAAAGGCATGGCAAGTGTAGGTATCTTTATTATTATTACTATTTGCAAAAGCTTAACCCTATTCTTTAGCTCCAACCCAGACTTCTTTTTGTTTGCTTCTTGTAATCCAGATATGCCGGTAAGTACATATTATTTAAGAATTAATCTATCTGACAATCCGGCTTTTATGTAGTGTATTACTCCCGGTACTTATGCCTTTTTGGGTGCAGCAGCTGCTCTCTGGTAAGTAAAAACTCCTTGTGTGTCTGTGGAAATAAAATTATGCTTATATTGTATGTTCTTAATAGTGGAGTAATGCGTATCACTGGTAATTCATTGATTTAAATAATTTTTACGTTAAACTAATATTTTTTATAGTATCTGTGGTTGTCATTATGTTTGAGCTGACAGGACAGATTACTTATATTCTTCCTACTATGGTACGTGCTGATACATGCCGCTTGATTGATAAAGAACTTTCTAAACATAAATTCTAGATTGCATTGATGATTACACGCGCTGTTGGAGATTGGTTTGGAGCTGATGGTATCGCTGATCGTTATATTAGACTCAATGGTTACCCGTTCCTTGACAAAGAAGATCATGTCTTTGGTGTTCCAGGTACGATTACTCAAAATAAATTAAAGACCACACTAATATGATTTTCTATCTAGTTTCTCATGTAATGCAATCCGAAATGACCGTAATGACGGCTACTGGAATGAAATTCAAAGAGATCGGTAAGTTTTGGTAGCAGAAAAAGCAATGTTTCTTACAAAAAAAAATAGATGAAATTCTGCGGAACACAAACTTCCAAGGCTTCCCTGTTGTTCAAGACAATAAGAGCATGGCATTCATTGGTTATATCGGTCGTTCAGAGCTTCGTTATCTTCTTGGTAAGCCTGTCCACCGGTTCATTTATCACAGTTTTCTAACTCTAAATCAGACAAGGCTCGGTCTGTTTATAAAGCTCATGACACTACAGGTGTTCGATTTAGCCCAGATACAAATGAAGATCCAGAAGTTTTGACAAGTACATCAGATGTGGACCATGTAATACCCGGGTCTTCTGATTTCTTGGACTTTGGGCCTTATGTTGACCAAGTAAGAAAAAATTGGGCTCTTTGTTCTAAGCTTTATTCACTCTGACTTTTTCTTTAATATCGCTAGACACCTATCACAGTCCACCCAAAGCTTTATCTTGAAACGGTTATGGATATGTTTAAGCAATTAGGGTAAAAAAATACCATTATATATTGTCAATTGTGTATTGATATATATATATATATTATTTATATTTAGTCCTCGTGTGGTTCTGCTTGAACAAGGTGGAAAATTGGTTGGTTTGGTCACAATCAAGGATGTATTACGCTACATGGCACGTATAGAGACATCAAATACAACTGATGAGGCAATAGACGATATGGAACAGAGTGATTGTATGAGAAGTTTGATGGCTTGGATATCACGACGATCAGGAAGGACAGGGACTTATACCCAGTTGAACTCGCAACCTGAAGAGGAGATACATGAGCTGCATGGTCGGTAAAGAGAGTCGTAATTTACTCTTTACTTGATCGCCTCAGATATCTATAGGAATTTTCTTTATATACGTACAAAAAAATCAAGGTTTTATTAAATTATTTATTTTATACAGGTGTCATTGATTGTGATACTATACTGTAATCAATGTATACCAAGATATAGAAGTTGTCCAAGAGTTGTTAAATATAACTCCAAAACACAGTGAAAATGAATATTTGACTTTAATGCTAAATTAAATTATTCTGATGATTACCTTCACAGAAACTGTGAAAAGTTAGTCAAAGGAAGTATACAACAAGGTCTTTATTTACTTATTTATCAGTTAATTTCTTATCAGTATTGATAAAAGAAGACATTCTGTCCATTATACTTTTATTTGATTATTAACCTCGTTAACCCAACTCCTTCATGCTAGTTAACAATCAATTCATAAGATGGTATACTTTGCACTTTTCTTTATATAAGATATTTGTTATAATCTATTATTGTTTGGCTACATTTTCTACCAACTTTTTTTTACAATTAATTTATCATCTCTGTACCAGTTACTTTGACTCAGATAAGGTAAACCCATCAAAATACAATTATGCTCTTTGATTGCGCAATGTGACTCTGAAATTCGACTTTAAAGATCATACAAAAAAAAAGGCCTGTTTCGTCTGTGCGTACTACTCTTATATTTTTTTTTTGACTTTCATCATGTCACAACGCATCGGAAAGAATCAGTTACCTGCACGCCTTCAAGATATCGCTGAGGAAGACCATGTCTTTCAAAACTGGGCCAAAACATTTTCATGCACCAGCGAGCTTTACTTTACACCTATATCAGAACAGCAAGTTATTGAGGTAAGTGACTCTATATTATTTGGCTCATTAACTTACATGTCAAAGTAGATTGTCCTTCTTGCCAAAAAATACAAAAAAAATGTGAAAGTGTGCGGAAGTGGTCATTCTCCATCTGATTTAGCTTGCACGAAAGGATTCCTTATCAACATTGATAAACTAGACACAGTTCTTACTGTTGATGACAAAAAGCACACAATGACTGTCGAAGCAGGCATTTCGTTGCATAAATTGCATGTTGTATTGAGAGAAAATGGTCTTTCTTTGAGTAATCTCGGATCCATTTCCGATCAAAGTATTGCTGGTGTAATGGCAACAGCAACTCATGGCACAGGTGCTCATTACGGCTGTCTGTCTACCTTGGTAAGAGCAAGTTTCCATTTATGTATAATATTCAATAAAGTCAATTGTAAATATATGTGTATACATACTTGACATAATGCGCTAAACCATCTTTAGATTCTTGATATAACATTAGTGACAGCGGATGGCCAGGTCGTCTATTGTTCCTCTAGTGTACAGCCTGATATTTTCAATGCTGCTCGTTGCAATCTAGGCGCTCTTGGAGTGGTTACAAAGGTTACTTTGCAAGCTGAGCCTGATTTCCGTCTTGAGGCTATCCAACGTCCATACAAGTTTCCAGATGTGTTGGCAGACTGGACTAATGTTATTCACTCTGCGGAGCATGTTCGTGTTTGGTGGTATCCTCACACAGATGACTGCGTTGTGTGGCGTGCAAACCGAACCACAAAACCCAAGGAACATAAACCAACATCTTGGCTAATTGAGCGTGGTTTTGGCGTACACGTTTACGAGGCTATGCTCAACACATCGCGTTACCAGCCCGCATTGATCCCCGCCATTACAAAATTGATGTTTAAGACCGTCCATTCTCGTGAACAGCATGTTGTTGATGATTCTAACAAGGTCTTCAATTTTGATTGTCTCTTTCCTCAATATGTAAACGAGTGGGCAATTGACTGGAACGATGCACCAGAAGCATTGCGTCAGTTGGATATATTTATTACTCAGAATGATCTCAAAGTCCATTTCCCTGTGGAGATCCGCTTTGTAGACGAAGATGATATTTGGTTGAGCCCAGCTTATGGAAGAAAGACATGCTACATTGGTGTAATTATGTACAGGTAAATATGCAAATACTACTTAAAATTTACAGTGGACTAATGATATTCTTAAGACCTTATGGCAATCCAGTTCCGTACAAAAAGTACTGGAAGGCATATGAAGATATCATGCGTTCATTTGGCGGTAGGCCTCACTGGGCAAAGGTAAAGTGACTATTTTTTTTTAAAAAAAAAACGAGAATTTCTTTGGGTTAAACGTGCTTTTTTTTCTGTAGGCACATGGTCAATCAAGAAAGGACCTTGAAGCATCCTATCCCAAATTTCACGATTTCTTGAAAGTTCGTGATCAATTGGATCCTGAAGAAATGTTCGTCAATGACTATCTTAAGCGACATGTTGTATCTTCTGCAACAAGACAATTGGAAGGAGCAAAGCTTTAAGAATTGAGTATATGTAGTATATATATATATATATTGCTTCTCGGCCTGTATTTAGAGCAAACTAAATTGTATGAAAGAAAAAAGAACCTTATTAACTAGAAAATAAAATAAACTTATTGCTGATTTGCACCATATATCTAATCTATTTTGTTACCTTTGGGTCTAAACATTAAGAGATAGAATATGTGTAGGTATAAATATGATGGCTTTTAGAAGTTACACGGTAATAAAATAATGGTGGAAATAAGGATAGCCCCGCACATTCGGTGTTTTGTTGTTCAACGTCAATAGACCAATTTTTTTTTACATTAATCCTCTTTCGATTAAGGTAGGCTTTTTATACACATATAAACCAAGATGACAGAAAGCTTTTATAAAATACATTTTCTCTCTTCTTAAAGATAAATATATCACTCCCACACCTGCTTATAAAGCTTTATACATGTAGAATAGCCGAGGTTATATACTAAACAGCTTTGTGCCAGGTTAATGTTCTGGAAAACCTTTTAAAACTCGTTAATTACTTGTAGGTGCACAAGAAATAGAATGGGAACCTTTGGAAAGGACCAGTGCTTATAATACTAGACGTCACATATAATGTTTCAGAATTTATAATGGTATCTTAGTTTCACTGTAAAAAAAGGCTATTTGTTTGAGTACAAGTGCCTTTTTATATATAAAAAACGCATACATTTAGGGCATATGCTTTATATGTATTGTATAATATAAGAACCACAGAAATGCGTTCTCATGATAAGGCTAGAGACTTTTGAGACTAAAATACGATGTGAATCTTATTTAAAAGGACTAAAAAACTATGTAATTGAGTCAAAATATCCTTACTTTGTAAATGTAAGACTTTTAAAAAAAAACGCTCGCCTTTTTCTTTATTTTTGGGCTCAGCGGGATAATTGCCGTGACTTGTGGTCTTGAACACATCGTTAGGCAACAAGACCCTCGTTCATTGTAAGCCATACTACTCTCTTTCTCTCTTTCTTTTTCTTTCTTTACACGTACATACATATTGTATTATTCTTCTCTTTTGAAAATTTACCAGCCATGTTATCTTCTAAATGCTTAAAGGTACCTCACATAGAACAGATCAAACAGCTCTATTATTTCCTAAGATAATTCCCATACGCAAAATCTAATATTTATATTTATCTATGCATATATGTATTTATATTTTAAAAAATAAAAAAAGTCATCTTCTTTTTTCTACCTGGCGCGTCCAACTGTACAATGCTTTACGAGACGCTCTAATTCAACCTCTACACCTCCTGAAGCGCCTCCAAACACACCACCAGACTTTTACTCCACAAATCTTAAGCGACCACAGCAACAACCACAGGAACACCGTTTTCGGCATGAATCTTCCGAGACGCCTTTTACCGAAGAAGGGCGCCGTAAATTTGCTCGACTGAGAAAGTACCAGTTCCATTTGTCAAATATTCCCGACGCACCCGAGTTTGGCACAAATCAATATCTTACGATTAATGAAGAGCTTCAGCAGCAACTCAAAAAAGTTCTAACCCGATTCAATGCTCCGATCCGATATGCTGTGGCCTATGGAAGTGGTGTATTTAAACACACCGAAGATGATGGCAAGGTAAATTATATACAAGAATGGAAATTGGCAAAAACAAATACAATCAGAGTTTATTGATGCGTGTATTTGTTTTTTGTTTTGTTTTGTAGAGGAAGAGAGTACTGGACTTTATCTTTGGTGTATCTCATCCTGCTCATTGGCATGCATTGAATATCCAGCAGAATCCACACCACTATTCAGCTTTACGTTTTTTAGGTGCCAATTCAGTAGCAATGATTCAAGAGAAAGTGGGTGCGGGCGTCTACTTTAATCCTTACATAGAGATCGATGGCATGGTATGTGTATCTCTCAGGGATTAGGCTTGTTAATTTAGTCTTGCATTATAGGCTATAAAATATGGGATTGTTTCGATTGACACCTTGTGCAGAGATCTTATTGACTGGGATACCCTGTTTCTTTCTGGAAGAATGCAAAAGCCTGTAAGTCAATAGTTGTATTCAATAACAGGTAACATCTAAAATAACACACACACAAGGTCAAGATATTGAGAGACGATTCGAGAGTTCGCTTGGCAAATCAAGTCAATCTTACTGAGGCAGTGCGCGTAGCTCTATTGACTTTACCTGAACAGTTTACCGAGGATGAGTTTTATAAGAGAGTGGCGGGCATAAGTTATGTGGGCGATCTTGGGATATTTAGAACAGCGACCAACCCATACAAGGTTGCTGGTATGGTCCAGTCTCAGCACAGCCAATTTCATCGTCTCTATTTCAGTCTACTTGATGACCTGCCAAATGTCGATGTGTTGAGTAATGGAAACTTGCAGGTAATATGTATGAGTTTATATAATAGAATATTGGCAAATTACTGAATAAATGAACGGCGATTAGCAAAACTTGAATCCGAAATTCCGTGGATTGATGGTACAAAAATTACCAAAGACATTGTACAAGCACGTATTAGATGAACACAAGCGTTATTGCTCTAGTAAGAGCATTGCTCTTGCTGAGAGTACGACTGAGCTAAACGAGCAGGTGGCTACATCCCCTCATCTTAAGGAATATTTTGACAGAAGTAGGTATAGCGAAAAAAACATTGTATATTAGTACTAATATTTTACATTTCATAAAGGTCTTTATTCAATCATTGCTCGTCCAGCAAAAATACAGAATATCAAAGGGATTTTGACTGCTGGATTATGGAATTCTGTTCGAGGTTCACCCTAAGACTTGCTGGGTTGTCTTTTTTTTTCTCACTACTTTTTTTGGTCAATAAATTATTGTTAGTGGCATTGTCATTGGCACCCTTATATCCATAGTTATATTTTTTGTGAGCAATATATATATATACTCACTACAAAACAGAAGAAAATCTATTTCTTTAAAACACTAAAAAGACACTTTAAATATCAGGCATATATCATTTATTGGGCTCGTCTATAGTTGTATTGTACAATTGAATATCATGATAGCATTTAATTTCCAAAGTATGTATGCATATAATAATGTATAGAGTTTAGAATACATCTCCCCTTCCCCCCACTAGAACGCTGCAAATAATTAAAGTCAAATTATGCTTTTAGTACAGAGTAAAAATGACGGTAAATAGTTTTTATATAAAGTAGGCCATTAACTATATATTTAGCTTTTAACTTTCTTCTATTCCTGAATGAGTTTGCTAAGTAACTAGCGAACACCATTAATTGGTTATAACCATACCATCAATCATCAGTTTAGTAAGCAATTCAATACAAGAGACAGGCCTGAAATAAGCTGTTACAACCTTTCTGCGGTAGCTAGAGAACAATGGCTTAATTACTCGTATTTAGAGTTGCTTACAGTAAAACGCACTATACAAGGCGCACAATTGAGTTAGATGATGTTAGTATTTTTTTTGGACGAATTACAATAGTAGTTTAAAAGGTTTGTTTGCCTATTTTAGATAAAATAAGAATAAAAATTGAAATTAGAGAAATGGAATGAATGTATTAAACAATTGCTGAATTTACCTGTAAGGGTGTGTCAAAGAATTATATCAATAATACACACTGATTATAATTATTCTGACGATGGAGGGCGCTGGAACGGGGACAAGCAAGCGCCATTGTTCTTTACGGCCATCACATCCTAATTCCAAATAACCTTGAAAACGCTTTACTTGCACTGCAATACTGCTTTCCCATGGTCCAAGCCCCAGACTTGACATCCATCTTCGATTTCATTCCGAAAATCGGACGGCTTTTTTTTGGGAGGCATTGGAATTGCTTTTCTTTGTGGTTCTTGAGAACAGAAATGATGTTGAATAGCCATCAGAGTATACAATGTTCCTAATATTAACTGTTTAATTTTGAAATACTATTAAAAGTCATTGATAATGATTTACTTGAATGCCTTTCTACTATTAGAAAGACTCTCTCTGGCTCTAAATCCAATATTGGAGGAATCGAAAAGCTTGTAATAAAAATAAGACAACATTTCCTCGTTCTTAGAGCCTTTAAGATATTCTTCAATTCCAGATTCTTTTACTAGTCTCCGAAATGTTGAGCGTCAATTTGAACCGATTTTATTTGAAACGAATAAACAGGTAGAAGAGAAAAAAAGCGATACCCACGTTTATCGGTATATCTGACAGGACAAAAAATACCATCTTTTATCCTTGCCTTTACGGTGCTGACAAAGTTTAAAGCTGTCGTCTTATGCGGTTGAATCTTTTGGAGCTTTTTTCCGAATATTAGAGGTTGATTAGTGTTAATAGATATAAGGACTTTTTTTCATAAAGAATTGAAATGCTTTCTGTTCAACGATGCGGCAAAAGGACGTTCTTTGAGTTTGTGATAGACATATGCTTTAGAAGCGACAATTTCCGGTATTACTCTGTGATAATAGCTTTTTTTTTTTTACTTTTGTTTGAAGAAAGTGAAGCCATTTGAAATACATACAAAGCTGGGCATACAAGGCACTGGATTCAGAATCTATTGGCTGATAACGCGACTACAACGTATTGATGTTTCTGGTGGTTTTCTTGAGAGCATCTGTCCTTTCAATAGATGACGGTTATGGCGATCTTTTCTTTAGTTTTTGGCTGTAAATATAATAAGTAAGCAAGCTTTTTTTGGCCCACCGTTAGCCCACGACAATAAAATTCAGAAGAATTGCAGGTGAGGATCTCCAAAAAATAACGTATACTTCTTTTCATCAGCAATGAATACGTTTGATACTTACTCTTTAAAGCCTTCTTTTCTCTTTCTGAATTTTCAGATGAGGCATCTTCATGTTTGCGTTTCGTGTTTTTGTCACAAGTTTTGTAAGGAAAGGTTGAAGGACAACATTTCGTATTCTGATTAATTATAATGATGCTCTCTTCAATTAAAATTCTGAGGTACTGATATATTTTCAAAGCTAATCGTGATACGATTAATATAAAACTTTATTATAAAAACAATAAACCCACCAAAGACGGTGGGAGCAGAAGTTCAATAAAAAGCTGGCAAAGCTTACCAGAGACTTAATTGGTGGTCTGAAAATAAATTAAAACAAAAAGTAAAGAAGATCAATGAAGAAGATCAAAGTGTTTGATGTGCGAATCTATAGGAAACAGATATTGGGAAATTGAAATTGAAATTGAAACAATCGTAAATACTAACTACTATGCATTTTGGAAAACCCAAAAATACTCCTTTATAGTGTATTTTTCTTATAATCAGGAAGAATTATTGGACTCCGATATTTTTTTCAAAAGGCAAAAACTTTGTCGGAAATGTCAATACAAAAAAACCGTCGCTTATGGACACGGAGAAAGTGTTTCTGAAAAGAACTGTGTGAGCAGCTTGTTTGTAGTGACATTTCCGACAAAGTTTTTGACTTTTGAAAAAGTGCGGTGTTCCAATTTAATAGCAGGGGAAGAGAAATATTGAGACTTGAATCTACATCTCTGATGCATGGCTCTTTCCACTAACACTCCGGAACCACCAGGGGTCAAAAACCCCTCCACCACTGGCTCATCTCCACCATTGGCAACCTCATTCACACCAATCTCACCTACTCTGACACCACTATACTCACAAGTAGCTACACAGAATGCACCTCCACTCACCGAAAAGCAACCACATGTTATCTTTAGCTCTACAAATAACACAACCCCACGTACCTGGCGTGTAGGGTCCTCTAAGTTCTCTGTATTCTTTACCGCCCCACCAAAAACGTCACCCAACTTCGACCCTTTCTGGAGAGCCCTTCTCGCAGCTTACCCTCGCGAAGTTAACATGGGAATCACTCTTGGATCTCGCTCTTCCCCTGATACATGCGAGCTCCACCTGGCTACCAGTGCTGACTGTGAGAGAGCGTGCTCTCATCCTTTGGTAGTCGGCGTTTCATCTTTTCCCGCTCAACCGGCTGTTCCCATTGGCACAATTGTTCGCCGTGTTTTCCTGACCAAGCTTCCTCGTGTCCCCTATCCGGAACTTGCTACACAGCTCACGAAATGTATGTCTCCTTTTGGTAAAGTGCGTGAGATCGCCGTTCACAAAACGTATGGGTTTTTTGACGGCTCTGGATATGTTGTCCTTGCCAACACCCCCACTGACGAGGTGCCATCCGATTCCCTGACGTACCAAATAGCATACGACGCTACGCAAAAGATACTCGGTAAGTGGCCTTCGATGGGCTCCCACTGCACTTATTGCAAGGAAATGGGACACGAAGTCACCCAGTGCACTAAGCGCCCAGCCGAAACCCGAACGTGCTTTGGATGCAACAAGATCGGCCACCTGCAAGCCAATTGCCCGCACTCCTCCGATCCGTCCAAGACTTCTAAGACCTCAAACAAGCGATCCCGTCACCCCCACCGCAACGTTAAGCTCGATCGACCTATCCGCGAGCCTAAGCCTCTGATTCCGACTGCACTATCGCTCACCTACGGAGGATCCGAGGCTTCCAAGCACAATCCGCACAAACCTGCTTTGCTTGAGTCTGCAAAACTAACCCTACCGGCAACCCTCCCTGCCATCGCGACAACATCTGCGACAACCACGTCCTCCGGCCCTCGTCCCCGAAGTCGTTCTGTTGACACTCCTGTGAAGGGCTGGGACGATGAGATAGACGACGACATGATCACTGACTTCACGGATAGAGTCGAGGCTCGGACTCTCCGTCTTCAGAATGCCTCTCGCCTCCCTCATCTCCGGTTTTCTCGGACAGTACGTCCAATAGGCCGCAACACATCCCTCTCACCTCCTCGCTTCACTCCCCCACATAGCAAGAAAGCCCTCGACGCAGAGGCCAAGATTAACCAATGATAAAAATAGGCACAATGAACTGTAGGGGTCTACCCAAAGTTGGACACCCTGAATCACGCTCCTTTTTTATACGCCACCTACGCTCTCAGGGAATTGATATACTAGCCCTGCAAGAAACCCATGCCTCCTCTTCTATGCTTCAAGACACTTTTGACCAACAATTTCGGTCATCTTCATCTTTATGGTCGCCACACTGTGGTGTTGTATGCCTCTCCCCCCATATTATACTCACAGACCCTTTATTTAGTCCTTGCGGCAGGTGCATCATTACAACTGTCACTCATACTGACAATAAATTTTCTCCATTCAAGATGGGTGTCATCTATGCTCCCGCCTCTCGAACTCCCCGCTATGATTTTCTTTCTTCCTTACTGTCGACACCTGACCTCATTCCATCCAATCCTTCCAACTTCATTTTATTAGGTGATTTTAACCATGCCATTCACTCTAACTACGCTCTCGGACGTCGTGCCCCACTAGCGTGGCTCCAGTTTCTGGACAACCATATGGTTGACTGTGTCACTCCTCCTGGCCAGAACCCACAACCCACCTTCCACCGCGCCTTGTCTTCCACTACAATCGACTATATTCTTGCCTCTCCTGATCTTCACCCTCGCACTACTGACTCCCAGGTGAGATATATTCACCAAAACTGGTCCGATCATTGCCTGTTGACCGTCCGCTTGGCTCTCCCTTCCACCCAATCCTCTGGTAAGGGACTTTGGCGTGCTAACCCCCGACTTGCCAGGTTGACATCTTTCTGCACCGACCTCAACACTCTTCTATCCACCCTCATCCCTGCCCTTCCCGCAAACCTCTCTCCTCAAGCACGATGGGACTCGATAAAGAGCGAAGTCATACGCTTTATCAAGTGTTTCTCTCGCCACCTCCGACCCTCTCTCACCGACCTGGAAGCAAGCCTGCAACAACGGAGAGACAGACTAATACACCGTTTTCGACACCAGCCTGCACAGAATTTTCAGCTGCCTATTGTTGAGCGGCTTCTGCAGCAAGTCCAACTTGAACGAGTGGAGATCATGTCCCTTAGGGCTGGGAAACACTGGCGGGAACAAGGTGAGACCTCTGCTGGATATCTCAAGCGCACCATCGCCACTCGTCAGTCACGCAAGTCAATTGCCAGCCTTTGCCACCCTGCAACAAACGAAATATGTTCCACCCCCGAAAAGATGACCGAAGCAGCTGCCGCCTTTTATGAAGGCTTGTATACCCCGGACCCTATCGACCAATCTGCTCTGGACGACCTGCTCTCTCACCTGCCTTCTGACCTTGGTCTGTCAGAAAGTCGGCAGACTGCCCTCACTCGTCCTCTGTCATTGTCTACTATTCGCTCTGGTGCGTCGCGCACTCCAACCTCTAGCAGTCCCGGTCCCGATGGCTTACCCTACGAGATCCTTCGCTTGATACTAGACCACCCAGTCTGTGGTGATCTGGTTTCGGAAGTCTACAACGACGCCCTATCAAAAGGCATTTTTCCGGAATCCTGGCAATCCACCTGCGTTTGCCTGCTCCCAAAAAAGGGCGATCTCACCTCTTTGAAGAACTGGCGCCCAATTGCCTTGATCAACACCGATGCCAAGGTATTTACCCGATTGCTGAATGCTCGCATGATTACCACGGTCACTTCACTTGTCTCTCCTTACCAGACAGGGTTCGTTCAGGGTCGCTTCATCGCCGATAATGGAATGCTGACCAGGCTGGTCATGGCACAAGCCGCCAAGGAGGGATCAGCTGGTGTTGGACTTCTCCTCGATCAGGAGAAAGCATATGATAGAGTACATCCGGAATATTTTCGCCAAGTACTGACACACTTTCGATTTCCCTCCTCTCTTGTCACCTCGATCTCTAACCTCTTCTTTTCTACTAAATTGCAAATAAATGTGAATGGCTTCCTCTCGCGCCCTTTGCCTCAATCTCGGGGACTACGCCAAGGGGACCCTCTCTCCCCTATACTGTTCAATCTAGTTTTTGAGCCTCTACTACGACGAGTGATCCATGACCAGTCCTTCTCGGGCTTTCAACCATCTGTTCCTGCTGGTCTTTCTCCTCTGTCACCGATCAAACTCCTTGCGTACGCTGATGATTTACTTGTTTTTCTTTCTGACACAGGGCAGTTGTCTCGCCTCCACACCCACCTCAACACCTATGCTGCGGCTTCCAACGCCCGCGTAAATCTTCACAAGACGCAGGCATTTTCACTTTCGGGCTCACCCCTGCCAGACTGGTCCTCACATCTACGGACCCACAATATTACGGATTGGCATGGCCGGACCTCCTCCTCTTCTCTTCGCTATCTGGGATATCCAATTTTCTCCTCCATTGCCCAACGAGACTCATTTGGCCAGGCCCTTCTTTCTAAGATTGAGAATAGCTGTATTCTACACGGCTCACGCACCCTGTCCTTCCGCGGCCGTGCCACTGTCATGAACTCTCTCATTCTCGCCCAACTTTGGCATGTCTTGCGCGTAGTATCCTTCCCCGTCTCTTTTCTCGAAAAAATACGCACTCTGATGCGCCGTTTCTTCCGCTTCCGTTCGTTCCCCCCCATTGCTTTGGACACCCTCTGCCTTCCTCGCTTTCAAGGTGGTCTTGGCATCCTCGACCCGATTACACAGCAATGCGCTCTTCAGCTTCGTTGGCTCAAGCCAATAATCCAGAACCCATTGGGTCCCCGTGGTTTGGTCCCCAAATGGATGGCTTCTCTCCTTCGCACTGAGAATACGGATTGTGATCCCCTTCTACTTTGGATCTTCCCAGACTCTAGACCTCGCACCCATCGCTCACTGGATTCGCCTCTTCATCTTGTCCTGAAGGCCATGGACCACCTCCCGCACAAGTTTGACGACGTCCTCACGAATCTATCCACGTGCCTTATGTTGCCCTTGTCCTCCATGGTTAATAGCCCTCCCTCTCATCCGCCCTACCGACAATCTTGGCGAGACCTGAAGGTTAACCACCTATACCAAATTGATCATAATTTGGACGTCCTGATGCCCATTGCCCCTGCTAGACCTCTTCCTCGATTTATCACTCTTAATCGTATCCTGCAAAGACTTCTCGACCGTTCACTTGTGGCTCACCCTATCCTTTTCAGAGCTTGTATTCCTACATTCATCCTAGAATCGCGACATTTGGATATGCCTCCTCGAGATGGGTCCCCCTTTGACTTTGATCCCTTCATCTCTGCTCTGGTCCTCGGCAAACCTTGGTCACGCTTGTCCACGCGCTCTTACCGGCTGACCTGTTCTCATCATCATGCTAATGCTCAACCACTTAGCCCCCATCTTAGCCCTCGCCAACTGCACTCTTTCTGGTCTTTCGCACTTCCTCACCGGGCCCGTAATGTTTGGTTTCGCGGCTTACACAACAAACTATCGTGCCGAGCTCTTCTGCACCACATTATGCCCTTCACTGTTTCTTCACCTCTCTGCAATATCTGCCAGATGTCAATCGAGACGCAAGAGCATTTTCTTCTTTCTTGTCCTTTGAAATCTGCGGTGTGGTTAGGCATTTGGTTAGAATTTTTCGGCACCGTCCCACCACCTTCTGCACTTTCCTCGGCATTCACATCCTTTCTCTTCCCTCCCACGCTGAACCCCAGTATTCCAGCCGCCTCGGTTTTCGGACTGACCATCCTTGCTATCTGGGACCACCATTGGGCACTCCACTTTAACTCTGCTCCCTTTTTACCTTCCTTGGTTCTTGCCACTGCTAGGAAATCAATCTCCCGCATCTGCTCAGAGCTCGAGCTTGACTCCGCTGACTCTTCCCTCGCATAACACCACATTAACATTTTAACAAAAAAAAAAAAAAAGTTTAAATCACACAAAAACAAGTCAAAAACCAAAAAGCCAAAAACATCAAATAACCCCCATAAACCCTCAAAACAAATGTTGTAATTTTCTCTTTTGCCCTACTCATTCAGAGAACTTTAATAAATCTGAGCCTGTCACAGCTCCATACAAACAAAAAAAAAAATACATCTCTGATGGCATCTCAAGGCAGATGTAGAGAATTATATATCCTAAATTAGTAATTACGTGTAACATGCGGAGTATAAACCACGTTTTTGGATATGACAGCTGTCTATCAAGACTGCCCTGAAAACACTTCTTTTACTTTTACCAAAACAAATTCTTAAAAATGGGTCGTAAAAACGCTCGCTCTATCCTTACTTCTAAAATGGCTCGAAGAGAGGGCGGAAAATTCTGCGCCAAGTCTCAAATTATTACTATTGATACAGAAAAGGAAGCTGGAGAAAAGGAACCTGTTGAAGATCAACCTGTAGAAGAGTACGACTGGGAGCTCTTGGATTTAGATACGGATACGATGATTGCTGCGTACTATAATAGCTTTCTGACATGGAGACCAGACGCAGGAAAAAATTTGCGTGGACTCTACAGAGGAGACTCGAGATCATCGATTATGCGCAACAAGAGAAAAATGAAAGAAGAGCTTGAGGCAAATAAAGACAAGAAGGTCAGAACGTTTGCTGATTTCGGTTTCTCGGTTCCTGTTGCACCAGTTTCGCCTGTAACAGAAGCATTAACTGTATACAAGCAATCGAAAGATGAGGAACTTGAAGAGATTCTTGAAGCTTATGAGAAAATCTCTGAGATGATAAAGCCTCCAGTCAGTTCAGATAGCGAGTTGGGCAAGTTTGCTTTGTTTGAAGTAAGCAAACACATTGCTGTGAAAGAGTATTTCCGACGCCTCTTGAACAATTGCAAGAAAATCGAGGCATCTGAAAAAGCAGCAGAGATTTTTTGGACAACACCTTCCAAGTACCGTGGAGAGGCTGTCCGCGGTTGGGCCAAAGAATTTCTTCAGTTTGGCAAAATTTCTGAACATCAACAGGGCAAGCATGCCAAGCGGTCTTCAATTGTAGACGATGAAGACCTTAAAAAGAAAGCAATCGTTTGGCTTCGTGCTCAAAAAGCAGAAAGACGAACTGTTGTGGATTTGAAAAAGTATCTCGATGAAATGCTTTTTCCATCATGCCTTGGTGTAAAAGGCAACGTGGCTATAAGCACAGCATGGAAATGCATGAGAGCTTGGGGGTACGTCCACCGCAAGAACAACCAGGAAGTATATTACGATGGACACGAAAGACAAGACGTTGTTCAGTATCGCCATGCTTGGGCAACGCGAATGATGGGATACAAACAATGTATGTCAGACTTTACTGGGGAAGATGAAGAAATTGAGGTGACCCCTCTTCTTTTGGAGAACCAGAAGAAGCTGGTTATGGTGACCCATGACGAGTCCACCTTTTATGCCCATGATGGAAAGGTGGACATGTGGCTTGAGGAAGGTGAAAGCCACATCCGCAAAAAAGGTCAGGGAAGATCTCTGATGGTCAGCGAGTTCCAGTGTGCTTGTCATGGCACTATGCGAGTGAAGGGATGGGTCTCCCGCAGAATATTTAACGTTGGGGCAGCATATGACGGTTACTGGACAAGCGAAGACATGCTTGACCAGCTGAAGAACCATGCTATCCCTCTGTTCGAAAGCTTGCACGAGGGGTGCACCGGTGTCTTTATTTTCGACCAAAGCAGCAACCACAAAGCATATGCCACAGATGCCTTGGTTGCCACCCGCATGGTTCTAAATCCAAAGGTCGTTTCTGAAAATGACAAGTTCATTTTCAAAGATACAACGTTTTTGAGGGATGGACGTATCATCCCTCAATCGTTTTATGAGACAGTCTTTGAAGCTGGAAGGAAAGGAAAGGGGCCGGTGGAGAAGAGACAGTTTGTTGGCGTCCAGCGGATCCTTCAGGAGCGTGGACTGTGGATGGAACTGGATCCATCCAATCTTTCTAGAAGATGGAGAATGGACTGCAATGGAGAAGAAGCAGAGAACCACTGTTGTTGTGCCCGCCACCTCTTGGCCTCTCAGCCCGACTTTTCTGGAAAGAAGACAGCTATTCAAGAGGTGGTGGAAGAGGCGGGTCACATATTTGAGCTGTACCCCAAGTTCCATTGTGAATGCAATTGGATCGAGCGTTACTGGGGTGCAGCCAAACGTGTGGCTCGCCTAAACTGCGATTATTCTTTCAAGTCGTTAGAAAAGAATCTCCCGTCTTTCTTGGACAGTGCCTCTCCTGTGGCTGGTTCTCCTTCAATGATCAGGAGATTTTATAAAAAGACTTGGAGATATATTGAAGCTTACAGCAAGTTTTTGGATGCTAAGGATGCTGATGCTGAGGTGAAGAAATTCACCTCAAGAATCAGTAAATCTCACCGCAGCATTGGCATCCATGATTAAAAAAAAATAAAAAAATAAAAATTTATAATTTATAATATAAAATGCTGTGCCTATGTATAAGTTTCAATATTTCAGTTTTTTTTCAAAAACTAGCGGACATTTAATACTGGTTTTTATTATCGGTGTTTTAAATGAAAAAATTGACACAAATCCTAAAATTCCTGATTTTAATAAAAATACACTATATAAAGAAATTGTAGGCTTTTTTTTCAAATTATAACTTTAAACAAAGTGTAACATAAAACAAAAAAATTGGGAAGAGGTTGTTATTATCGCAAGACCATGATAATCCTCGTCAATTATATGACTCAAAGCTTGAGAACCGTCTTCACATATGAATTTAATGGAGGACAATTTGGTATAGTAAAATCTGAGATAATTGAGAAAGGAGGTGCGTATTGTTTTCTTAATTACAAGTAAAGCTTTATACAAACAGATTCTTTTTGTGAAATCCATTCATAAGAGTTAATAGTCAGCCACAAGGTATTGTATTAAGCCACATTATATACACTGAAACTAAGGCTTTTGATTTTATAACTTCTTGTTGACCCTAACATTTTGAAAAAGTCTTTTTATTTCTTAGGTATCCTCTATATAAAGGGAACTTGATGTACTCATTGTATGATTTTCTACAAGCAAAAATGAATTAAAATCTTAAAAGTGTGCCTTACAAAGGTGTTTCACTATATTTATTATTATTATCATTATTTTGATGAGAAGCCATTTTACTAATATAATCAATGTGGCTAAGTGCGTAATACTGCAAAGGGCATAAATATCCAAATAGATTTAAATAAAGAGCTAATATATATCTTTCTTCTTCCTGCGAATATCTGCCATGTTTATAATGAAACTTATCATATTAACATCTGTTATTCTATGCATTACTTTCTTGACAGAAGCTGTACCCACCGGAAGCCTTAATTCAGGTGTAATACGATTACCCATTACCAAGAAGCATTCAGCCGATGTTTTGATCAAAAGAGGCGATCCAGGATCTTTTGTGTCAGATATATACAGTATACAGGGATCTGAGTATGTTGTCCATTTGGATATAGGTACTCCACCACAAAAATTTTCGGTATTTCTTGATACTGGAAGGTAATATAATGACTGATGTATAACCACAAGCGACAAAACTAAGATAAAACATATAACCCAAACAAATAAAATATATACAAGCCATTAGATTAGCTCACACCTTACTTTGTAGCGCTGATCTATGGATCCCGTCTACTAAATGTGATACGGCTCAATGTCCATTTTCTCGTTTTGATGAGACGCTCTCCTCGACCTTTACTCCGACTGATCAGAACTTCACTCTTAGATATGGAGGTGGAAACTCTACAGTAACATTCGGAATTGATACAGTATCCTTTGGAGGGGTTACAGTGCTAAATCAGCCAGTTGGATTAGCTTCTGTAGTTAAAGGTGCTGGCATTCTTCCAGGAGCAATCAACTTCACACTTTCAGCAATCAACACAAGCCCTAAAGCATTAACTCTTGAGGATGTTTCATCCAATGGACTCCTTGGATTAGCCTTTATCAGACTAGCAGAATACAAAAACTCCAATGAAAATAATTATGGATCGCTTATATTCAACATGATCGATCAGAAAATTATTACTGAGCCTATATTCTCTGTGTATCTCGGAAATCCCAGTGCATTGGTTAATTCCGGAGAAATCATTTTTGGTGGAATCGATTCTACAAAATACACTGGTGAACTGCTGTATTCCCCTGTAGCCAAAACAGGTCTTTCGGACGATTATTCCAGTACTGGCCCTCTTGCAAGTGCATATATCTACCACACTTATTGGGCCACATACGCCTACAGTATCACTGTTAAAGACAAAGGAAACGCCATTGACGCAAAAATGCCTTCTGATTCAGTATTTATGTTTGATACTGGTACAAAACTATCATACTTTCCTCTTGAAATAATTGTAAACATAATGGATGCAATATTGGGTCCAGAAAACTATGGCGTCGATCCAAGATCTTCACTTTTTGTCCTTGACTGTAGCGCCAAAAATTCAACTGCCAGTATCCAACTAAACATGCTGAGCTCACATGACACATTAAATACCCTTACCATCAACGTTCCTTTTGGAAATCTTGTGTTTCCAGAAGATGGAACCTCAATTGAAGAATCCTCTATTTGCTACTTTGGGATAAGAGCTTCCATGTCTATGCTTACAGAAAATCCTTTTACTTCATATATTATTGGAAATACTATACTTCGACAACTTTATCTTGTTTATGATATTGGGCAGACACGTATTGGATTTGCGAATGCAATTGGTAACGATATTACCTTTTCTTTAAGTTAAAAAAAACAGCGTTATAATACACTTATAATCTTTATATAATATAATAATTATTTTTAAATAAAATTTGTATAAAATTATTAGTTACATAATGTATATCTATCCCATACTAAATATCGCTGGAAACAGCTGGCCATCATAGTAAACGCATGCTATTTAATTCAATGAAGTTATGCTTTATTTTATTAATATATGCTGCTTGATTACATCCAAACACTATGATTTGGAGAAATTATTTTGCAGCAATTATGTAAATTGAAACTGCATTCAGATTATATCGTGTTTGTAATTACAGTCTTTTCCTTTAGTCGAAAAACTCAAATGTGGCTTGCTGTTAAACGTCCGGGTGTTACATTTTGTCTCTGCTGATTTATGGTGTGTCTTATAGATCTAGTCAGTAATACAAGAAGATCAATTCAGTTTATTATAAGAGTATCGATATATATATTATCGTATTTATTACCACAATATAATAACGATATGAATCTTGGAGTATTTAAATCGAAAACAATGTGCCCTATCAAAAAGTAATATACCATTGAATCCTCTGTTTAATACCAGCAATTAAAATATTAGTCACTCTAATGATAAGTATATTATTTTGGGCTTATGTTATTAGCAGCCACATATATTTATTGCTTGTTTTTGTTTTATAAAACCATGGTGATGCTTATACTATAATTAGATTCGACTTCTCCTAAATATTTGTAAGCAGATAAACTCTCAGAGAGAGAGAAGATATTATATTAGGCTTTGTTGACACTATTGTGGTAATAAAGGTTTTCGGTGGACCAGCTGAGAAAGAGCTATAATCAAAAGACTAGAAAGAGAGTTTTATTTTGTATTATGTCGTTCTGAGAATATTTTTAATTAGGATAATGTATACATTTCTTCTTTAATAATTGGTGGAGCATTCTTATTTTTAGCTTCCATGCATTACTCAACTGGCTGGGAAGCAATGCTTTATTGACATGATTATATATATATATATATTGCTGGATGAGCAAAAGTTATCCTTCTATAGTCAATGTAACTAAGACTGTTACACTTTGAGTGTAACTATGACAATATATTTAAGTAAGCAATTATTAGATGTCTTTGATCTTCCAAGACATCCTTTTGTCAATATGAAAGCTATAATACCAGAGATTTCTCTCCTGTGTGCTGCTACCTTGATGGGAGCCATACCAATTGGAAACCATGGTCCAAAAATAGTGCGTCTACCTCCCACCAAGAAACATTCAACCAAGAATATGATGAAGAGAGCCGCCTTTCAATCCAATATCTACAGCTTACATGGAAAGAATATACTGTAAACTTAGACATAGGCCCTCCACCACAGAGGTTCGCATTATTCCTCGACACTGGAAAGTATGAAAATGGCTAGTATACGATTACATAAAGTGAATCAATTAGAAATAATTTAAAAGCTAACAATTTTTTATAGCGTTGATTCGTGGATTCCATCCACTAGATGTGATCCAGCTCTTTGTCCACTTACTCGGTTCGATGAGATACTTTCTTTTATCTTCATTCCAACAAACCAAAATACAGCCCTTGTATACGGAAATGGAAATTCTACTGTTACTATTGGAGTCGACACAGTGTCTATTGGAGGTGCTATAATATCAAACCAGATCGTTGGATTAGCTTCTAAAGTCTATGGCGCTAGTATCAATTTAGGATCTATAAATAACGCTCGCCAAGAAATAAAAGCCAAATCCTAATACATTCACACTCGAGGATGTTTCATCAAACGGGCTGCTTGGATTGGCCTCTGAAAGGATTTTAAGATATCAGGGTCCCACTGGAAAATGTTATAGCTCGCTCACACTTAGCATTCTCGAGTAGAAAATCATTACGGAGCCTATTTTTTCCATCTATGTTGAAGTTCCCAGTACGTTAGTTAACTCTGGTGAAATAATTTTTCGGTGGTTTTGATTCTACAAAATACACTGGTGACATAGAGTACTGTCCTGTGGCTACAGCTGATTCTGGCTCAGAGTTGTCTTCTAGTACCACCTCTCTCGAAAACAACTATTCAAGATACATAGATTTGTCTACCTACGCTCGTAGCCTCACTTTTGAAAACAACGGCGAGACATTAGATGCAGACATGCCTCTTAATTTCTAATTTACATTTGGTACTGATACAGCTATATCCTACTTCCATCGTTCAGTGATTAAAAAAAAATAGTCAGTGAAATCTTGGGCTAAGCTGAATATATATTTAATAACGGAATCTCCGTATTTAAGATTTACTGTAATGCTAAAAAGCTGGAGGCTTCTATCCAGATGGTGATGACCAGCACTGTAGGTGTATTTAATACACTTACTATCAGTCTTTGGTTCGGCGATCTTGTTCTTCCGTGTGATGGAAAAACAGCCAAAACGTCTATATATTGCTACTTTGGCATAGGAGCATCTCTGTCTACATTTTCTGAAAGCCCTTATAAGTCTTACATCATTGTAGATAGTTTGCTTATGGTGTATTTTTCTTATACACTGGAAAAATAATTGGACTCCGATCGTTTTTTTCAAGACCTAAAAAGTGTTGTCGGAAATGTGAAAACTGAATATGTTTTACATTTCCGACAACACTTTTTAGGTCTTGAAAAAACGTGGTGTTCGAATTTAATAGCAGAGAAAAAGAAATATTGGCCCTAGATTATTCATTTCTTATGGCAGACTACGAGAATCGATCCCCCTAATATAGTAATACCATGTATTATGCGGTGTTTAAACAATCTTTTGTCGTGAATATATGAATTTGTGACTGCATAAAGTTCAATATTTAGGATTTTTTTAAAGCTGGCGGACATTTAATGTCATTTTCATATATCGGTATTTTAAATTAAAAAATTGGCCCAAAATCCAAAATTTCTGATTTAAAAGAAAATACACCATAAGTATCTATATCTTGTTTATGATATTGGCCAGGCGCGGGTTGGATTTACAAAAACAATTTACAGATGAAATACCAGATTCGCATTATATACATTTAATATAAAACACCTTGGGAGACAGTTAATAATAAAATAAACACAGTTCATTTAATTATAATAGGCCACACTTTATATTACTGGCAGATGTTAATTGACATTTTAATGTTTTAACTGGTTAGTTATACAACATGACTGTATTGAGGGGTAAGCTCTTTACGAAGAATTGAATAGTTGGCAATTGTGTTTAGATTGATTGTTAGGTAATGAAACTCACGGATGCTCGTTTCATGTACATGAACAAGTTATTTAATATCATATAGCTTATACTATATGAGCTGAAAACATTCAGGTCATTTCAATTGCGAATAAGCTTACAAATGATATAAAGTATATACTCTAATATAGTAAAGTGAGATTTATATACCTAGTATACTATTATTAGAGTATATGTATATATATCTTAAAGCTTCTCCGACTTTCAAAGGTAAAGGTCAAACGTAATTACTTGTACTGTGAAAATACTTACAGTAATAATTATATGCTTATTATGGTTATATAAATATTCTAATATAAGTTGGCAGTTATACGATGGATAAAAAGAAATACATAATGCACTTTATATAGCCATAGCTTAAGGAAGAGAGCATGTTTCATGAATGTTTAAAGATGAATAAAAATAAAAGTAAAATACTCAATGGTATTCTATTAATATCGTTTTAACAAGGTCATGCAAATCAAATATATCTTTGTGTTTTTACAGACCGTTCTCCCGAAGGCTGCGGCAAACATATTTTAATGGCTGTTTTTGAGACAAGATAACCACTTGTATAAGTAATCTTGAGACTGTTCTAGACTTCAGGTCTTACAAGAAGAGCCTATACTACAATGGGTGCTGAAAGAGCTAAATCATAGTTTAAATCTGTAGTACACATTTACAAAGTAGGTACCCTGAAAACAAATAATCAAAAATCATATAATCCAGATATATTTCTCACAAATAGCAAATAATAGACGCATCTTTATTTACTTGAAAAATATTAAAAGTCTATCTACAAACTCTTTTACTGCTAATAATCAAACGAGGAAAAGGTATTTTATGGTTTATTATCAAATATGATATATTTTTCTTGCTATTCTAAATACACAATAATTTAATAAAGATGCTCTGGTTGTAGTAACCACTCTGTTAGATTTTGGATTTTGGACTTTTTTTTTCCTATGATAGTCTTTGCCCCTACATTATTTCTGTTCACCATTATCCTGACAGAAATATTCTCCCCTGCAAAAGCTAATGCAGGAATGGTGCGCCTGCCTATTATTCGCAGCAAATATACAGCTAGTACTCTGTTCAAAAGAGGAACCTTTCAGTCCGATATATATAGCATAAAAGGAACACGACATGTTGTTCATTTGGATATAGGCACTCCACCACAAAAGTTTGCGTTATTTCTTGACACAGGAAGGTAATATACTGATTGACACCGTAATTATAGCAAGCAAAGAAACAATCGTGATATAGGAAGTTTCAATTGGATCTAACTATCCTAAAAATTAATAAAAAAATATGAATACAGTACAGATCTATGGATTCCATCTACTAAATGTAATCCGGTTCTCTGTCCATTCGCTCGGTTTGATAGTACACTTTCCTCTACCTTTACACCAACCGATCAGAACTTTGTCATCAAATATGGAATCGGAAATGCGACTGGTACCTTTGTGACAGATACGGTGTCTATTGGAGGCGCCGTTATAAAAGACCAGCCATTTGGGCTGGCATCTACAGTCTACAAGGCGGGTATATTTCCAAGCGAGATTGGCGAATCATTTGCAGAAGAGAACCGAGACTCTGAATTACTTAGTATTTCCGATACATCATCCAACGGAATCCTCGGAATGGCCTTTATCAGTCTTTCGAAATATAATAATACTAATGGAAAGGGCCATGGCTCGCTTATTTTTAACATGATCGAACAAAGAATTATCACAGATCCGATCTTTTCTATCTACCTTGGAGACCCTAGCACAAGTGAAAATTCTGGAGAAATCATATTCGGTGGCATCGATCCTACTAAATACACTGGTGAACTACTATATGTTCCTATTGCCAACTACTCAGCAAGTGCTTTACACACAGCTCTTCCCAAATCACCTAAAATCAGCTACACCGGACACGGATATTGGGCTACGAATGCCCAGAAAATAACGATCCAAGACAGAGGCACATCTACTGATGCCGGAATGCCCCCGCTTTCATATTTTATGTTCGACACGGGTGCTAGTCTGTCATTTTTTCCTCGCAAAATTGTCGAGAATATTGTTGCAAAAGTTGTGGGCTCAGATAATTATCAATTTAATTCAGCAAAATCTATATTTATTCTGGGCTGTGATACCCCGTCGTCAGAAGCCATCATCAAACTCGAGATGGGCGCCCCACACAAGGACATCTTCGATCCCATCACCATTACTATCCCGTTCTCTGAACTTGTTTTGCCTGGAGACGCACTGACAATAGAGGAAGCCACTTTTTGCTATTTTGGTATAGGTGCCTCTTTGCCTTCACTTATCGCAAGTCCTCTTACGTCGTATATTGTAGGAGATAACATTCTCAGAAACTTATATCTTGTATACGATATTGGTCAAACACGCATTGGATTTGCTGCTGCAATTGACAAGGGCACTAGTATTAATGTACAGGTTACTAATATGCGATGAGCTGTACTATATAAAATTGTAAAATTACCGTCAAAGCCAATACGTTTTAAATGCTGTTTTATACATTTTCTTTAAATATATCAAACTGTCTTGTTTCTATTATAGAATGAGAATAATAAATTTCCCAGAAGTCTTATCTTGTCTTTTGTTTTTAATGATATACTACATTCATAATGGCAATAAAAGATAACACAAGCCTTATATTATATATTCCCAGTCTCATTATGTATACCCTCGAATGAGAAACACCTTTAACTGCTATATATATAGCTCTTTGACTATAGTCGAAGTATAAACTAAAATCAATTAGCAGGAGCCCAATTACTCTCTACAGCTTTTTGAGGCTTTGAAGTTTCAGCCATATATTTATTACTATGGTTTGTCGTGGCGCTGGCTCATTTTAATGTGATATCGATGATCATTACTAAACAGATATTTTTGAGTTCTAAGGCGATTCCTTTTTCTTTAGTATTGTAAATAAATTAAACTGAACAATCAGCAAATACTTGGGGAATAGATGTTTGATATCACACATCAACGTAAATATTGATTTTACTAGTACTCAAAGCTTCATAATATCCACTTGCTGAAGCCTCTGCTCTGAAGCCTGATTTAAAGTTTTTTTTTGTTATTATTATTTGAACCTTTACAACCAAAGAGTTGCAATGTAAGATGTAAAATAAAAATAAAATATCTTTATAAAAACCATAATCTATCGTTCGAGTAAATATTATTTATAAAACTCAATCCTGTTGAATTTTGCTACAAATTTTGCCTTGTACCTTCGTTTTTCTATTCCTTCAGGCAATTCTTATAACAGAGGGGTTTTCAATTGATCTTAATACACCTGAATTGATACGCTTACCTATTCTCTACAACCCTCACAATTCCAACGCCTTTACCGGAATACAAAACAAAACACTTGCAAGAAAACGAGACTATTTTCAGGAACCTCTATATAATATCAATAATGTACAGTACATGGTTCAAATGAGCTTTGACATCCCACCACAAGAATTGACTCTCATCCTAGACACTGGAAGGTAAATTTTAATTCAATCAAATATAAAGAAACTAGGGGAAATAGTAGACACAATAGAAAGAGACACTTCTTGTCTCTAGTATTAAGAAATATAGCTGAAAGATGAGTAGAGAATTAAAGTAGTTCTCACCTTTTGAAGTTATAGTGGAAACTTATGGGTTCCCTCCACCCAATGTGATCCTAGCCTCTGTCCAAATAGACGATTTGATCAAGCAGCCTCCTCAACATTTGTTTCAACAAGCTTTGATTTTGTTGTTAATTATGTTATCGGAAATGCTACTGGAGCCCTGGCTACCGATACTGTTACTATTGCAGACACTACAGTGATAAACCAGCCATTCGGAATTGCCTCATCAACCTATGGAATACTACCTCAACCACAACAGAATTCTTCTGCTCTAGGATCAGAAGAATCAAGTAATCAGGCTAGCAGTCATTTAAAAACAGCCAATGGTGTTTTGGGGTTGAGTTTTCCAAAGGCGACAGGTCTAGAAAGGCTCCAGGAAAAGGGATACATGTCATTTGTGTTTAACTTGGTAGAACAAAAGGTCATCTCAGATCCTGTCTTTTCCGTTTATTTAAGCAGCTCAAATATTGGTGGGCCTGCTGGTGAAATCATATTTGGAGGAATAGACCAAACCAAATATTCTGGAGCTTTAGTTTACGTTTCTGTAATGCCATCGAATACACTATCCAATCCATCGGCCCCAGCCACTCTTCCTTCAAATGGGTATGCGGATTTCTCTTATTGGGTTCTGCATTGCCAAGGGATCACAGTGCAAAGAGAAAATGTTACTACTACTTTACCGTTGCCTTTGATTTTACTTTTAATGTTTGATACTGGTGCCACTCTGTCTTTCTTTCCATATGAAACAGTAGAGGCGGCTCTTATTTCTATCGCTGGCCCAGGTGGATACCAGTTCAACCCCTCGACGTCTCTTTTTAGCATTGACTGTAGCCTCGCTTCATCGAATGCCACGGTTCATTTTCATCTATCAAGTACGGGATCAAGCGGAACCAGTCCAACCGCCATCAATATTCTAGCCTCAAATCTGGTTTATCCTGGAGATGCAAGAACATTAGAGGAAGCCAAGGCTTGTGTGTTTGGTATCGCTGCCTCTCTTCCTTCCGTAAACTCTAATGAGTTCACCAATTATATTGTTGGCGATTCTATTTTACGAAGCCTTTATCTTGTTTATGATGTGGGGTAAAAAAGGATAGGCATCGCTGCCAAAAATGGAATGGGTAGTAGTGTTACTGGATTTATTCCAGTTGCATAAGAAGAATGATATTAGAAATTAAGATGCCATAATTTTAGTAGAGTAGAGTAGAGTAGAGTAGAGTAGAGTAGAGTAGAGTAGAGCAGGGCAGGGCAGGGCAGGGCATTAATTTATTTATTTGTATGAAAACTTTTTTCTTTTTTAATTAAAACAACTGTCCCATTTTTTATGTAATTTGTGTGTATTTGTTGCCTTTAAAATATTGAGCTTGCATTTGGCCATGTTTTAGTATTAGTCTTTGCCATTATTAAAATATAGTATTACTTGAGCTGATTTGTAAGAGGCTTGATGTATTTTTCATGGTATGGGGGTATATCGACTGATCCAGGTGCTTGCAAAATGCTATCAAAATAAGCTACATAATAATAGTAATAATAAATATATATATATAAATTAATCATTAATAAACTGCACAAAAAATAAAAACAATCCCAATTTTTACCTTGGTAAATGTCGCCGTCATATTTTGCAATAGGTGCCTTGATAATAAAGTCAGGGTAACCAAAGCCATCTGTGAGACCAATAACTTGAGAGCGGAGAGATTTGCAATACTTGTGGGCAATATCAGTAAATATAAATATGTCAGATATTAGCGTGATGGTCAATTTAAAGCACTTACATCAAAGTAGATATATTCAATATCTTTGATCTGCTCGGGACTCAAGAATCCTTCTTTAAATCCCTGGTCGCTGTACTTGTAAAGGATGTGGAGACCCCAAAGGACAGTGAGGCGGTTCATGATGGAAAGAACACCCTTATCAAGAGCAGGATCAGCAGTTGATTTGTGATAGGCAGCAGCATTGGTAGAGAATAAGAATACAGCACAATGCATCTCAGCTACACGAACTGACTCTAGCAAGACATCATTGTGGGTCATTCCACTCTCCAGGTTCTTTTGAATACTATTCAACTAAATAATAATATAATTTATATCAGTATCCAGCTCAAGTAATAATACCTATGAATCTTTCTCTACTCACTCTTTTAACCAAAATAGTGCATAGAGCCCCTTCAACTACACTAAAGTTTCCAAGACACTGCGAGACATCGGATACATTCCATTTGGTATTACCAAGATATTCTTCTGCATAATTTATATATTGAGTTGGGCTCTTGAAGCTAAATTTTGGGTACTGGTTGAATTTGAGTTTCTGCTCAAGACGGAACAGTAAATGACGAGCCGCTTGCTGTAGCAGCACTACGTTATCACCGCCTCCGGTAGTCATAACTCCCCAGTCACCTATGATGCTTCCAATTGCATTGTAAGAAGAGTAGGCGTGACCGCCACAAGCACGTCGACAATCTTCGAGGATTTCAGAAGAGTACCATCCTGTCAGTCCTTTGAAACAAGCAGCCATTGCATGCATTTCGCCCATATAGTTAAGATATGTCGCGGGGTCCATATTGCCACCAGCAGTCAATATTGAGAACTGTTCATCTAAATCCTTTTGTGCTGTCTTGACCATGTACATGAACGATATTGCCGGAACCAGTTTCACATAGTGTGACTGATAATCCATGATCTGCTCGTTTTTTGCGCCCTGGCGACGGACTACGCCATACCGTGTAGCAATAACAATAGCTTGCGAAATCAGTTGTGTTGTGACAAGAACAAGAGAAAGACGTTCTGGAATCAAGGTGGCGTACATCACAGCTGGATTTGGTGGGGGAGAGAAGTTTCCGTGGCGATCCAAGCTGACCCATCTAGAAAGCATATTCTTACGAGGTATGCGGTTGCGATGGAATTGAATCCAGCCATTATCCAGTCCCAAGTGACCAACCTTTTGACCAATATCACCAGCTACAACATTAGGCATAAGCGAGCCATCTGTCTGACTACGGAGCTGGACAATAAACCAGTTGAGACCAACATTCTTTCCGTGAATGATGGTTTGAGCAATTGCTACGGTGTGGGTTGCGGTCTGGCCAGCCATTCCAATCCACCATTTGCTTGAGGTTACAGTGGGAGATTCGAGAACAAATTCATCAGTTGCAATATCATATGTCGCTGTTGTTTCAATATCACGAAGAGCCGAACTATGTCCCAGCTCAGTCTAGATTTGAAAGTATATTAAGTTTTATGTGTACACAATTGTATTACCGATAGATTTTTTTTGTTTTATTTATTTATTTATTTATTTAAGCTTACCATAGCAAAGCAGCCAATGACCTCAAGGTTCTCTATTTTGGTGTTCCACTTGTCTTGCTGATTTTTGTTTCCCAGCATGTTCACAGCATTACGGAATAAAGAAGCATGGACAAAGAATCGCATCGAGAAGGTTTCGGAGTAGATATTCGTGGCCCATACGATACTATCAATTTGCTGCTTGGTCAAGTTAAGAGCTTTGTCTTTTGAAAGTTGAGTAGTCCGGTATATTTGGCCCATGGCACTGTAGACTTGTATTAATACCTGTTTGCTTAGGCTGTAGTCAACTTACAATTCGCGGGCCTCCGGTCTAGACATCTCAAGAAAGTTGCGGGGAGGTTGGACTACCAACTCAGGGTCATTTTTGATAAAATTATAAGAGAAGTTCTACTTGTATTATTATTATTTAAATAATTTGTCAGGTTTCAATATAAACGTCTCGTTCTTACGAGTAAATTGTAGGCGTCTTCACCGCCTGCCCAGAGCCACTCCAGCTTCTTGATATCAAAATCAGCGGCAGCACGCTCTGTAGTCATATCTTTTGGTGCCTGGAGAGACATAGCAGAGGATTTCAAGTTGAGTTGACCCTTGATTTGTTCAAGCCGAGCAAGGGCCGCTTTTGCACTTGGATCCGATGAGTCTTTGAGAGGAATTGTCATGAATGATATTAGGCAAGGTAAATTTGAACTGTATGAGAAGTTGTATAAAAAGAAAAAGGAGAAGAAACCGATGAGATGAGATGAAATAAATTAAACTATAAAGAGAAGATTTTTTAGGTAACAGACCAAAAGTGAATACAGAAAATAAAAAGAAAGACCGCACCCTAAAAAGTGGTATTTAGACTGAGTAAAAAATATATGAATATTTAGCAAGCCATAAAGCCTTTTATTTATACACTACTTTAGAGGTAACTTAGTGTATCCTTGGGTTAATACAATGTGCAACTACCAACATAATTTTATTATTTGTGACAATTGATTGCTTAAAGGCTTAGCATCAGTTTCTGGCCGAAAAGACCAGTAGACATATCAAATCCATTGCTTTTTAAAGATTCCTTTTTTTTTGGTTTACATGATAGCCAATTGAAGAATACATTTGATTGAATTATCCAAGTTTTCACACGTTACTGTTCATTTAACAGACATATGAAACAGCTAAATAAAAGCACTCCCACGCGCACACAATTCATCTTTCATTATAGTTACAATCTTTTTATCTAAATCTGACTCTCTCTTTTTTTTTAACATATAGCTTAAAAAAAATAACTGTGTTTTATGCCAAAGGGCTAGGATAACTAGCTGTTAATTATAAGCCCACAATTCTTTGTAGTCAGGTACAACACTTTGAGAGCAGAAACATTTTGTTGCAAGAAAAAGAGAACCCAATCTTTCATTATTTACCGAGCATATAAAAATAATATATATATATATACAAAAATATCAGTAGCGCATCTTTGGATTCCATTCAATGCGAGGGATTATATCAAACGTAAAGAGAAGGATCTCTGAATTCCGGGAAATTGCCTGTCACATTTATTGTTGTTCCTTGCTCACCGAGTTTGAACACAAGTCCGGTAACTTCCGGCAGTTTGTTAATTTTATTCCGGTAGCACTTGTTACTGTAGTATTGTTCGGTAAAGTGTGGAGTATCTCAGTCCCGTCAGAAACAGTGAATTTGTCGTCTTGTTCCAGTTGAACTTTCATTCAATAGACATGGGATACGCGACATTAGATGCAGCACTTGCGCTTCCAAACAATCTCCCACCAGAAAGAATTCACATTGTGATTACAGACACTTTAAAATCAGACGCAAACTTTCTTATACATCACTTTGTTGGAAATCAACTTAAAGCAGATCGATCTGTCATTCTGGTCGGACTTGCACAGATCTTCAACCATTACTTCTTGATCGGACGCAAATTGGCAAGTGAATGATTCAATAATGTACGGTTTGTATTAATAATCCATACTTGAACAGGGCATCAATCTTCAGACATACAAGCAGTCTGGTCAGTTTAGTTTCCTTGATGGACTAACTCACTTAAATCCTTATTCCCACACGACACCATATCCACCCGCCAAAACACCCTCTACACCAACCGGCACCCTTGATGGCTCTCTTGGATCAAAAGACGTCTTACGCTCATTTTATCAAATAATTAAGGATCACCTTCAGTCAAAGAAGAATCCTTTGCTTGTTTTGGATGACGTGAGTGTGCTTCTTCAGAGCGGCCTAGGTCTGCGGGAGGTGTGTCAATTTGTGAACAAGCTCAAATCCCTTGTCGAGAGTATGGATGGAACACTTGTTACTGTGTGTCATGCAGACGAGCAAGGCACCGAAGACATTGAACAAGATGCGTTTGTGAAGACTATATTGGCAAGTGCTGAACTTGTTCTCCAAGTACAAGCTCTCGGAAGTGGACTGGCAAGGGACGTGCATGGTCAGGTAAAAAAAAAGAAATCAGAACGAACTTTATTTTTGTGGTTGCAGGTATACTAATCACTTTTAATTCCCAGCTTTCAATTCTTCATGGCTCAAAGTGCATGCCAAACACAACCCTCAACTATCTTGGACAATCTCTTCACTATAAGATTCTTGATAATAATGTACATTTCTTTGCAAAAGGAATTTCACAAGGTGTATTGTAGACCAATGTATCAATAATAGTGAAAAATAACAAAAAATATATATATATAAACCATGAGCAATATTCTGTTTTTTTTTGGGAATCAATATTTGAGCAGAGATAGCGTGGAAGTGGCGTATTGATCTTTATTTGTATCCATTGTCGCTTATCCGAATAGAGTTATTGAACTTTTTATTTATTTATTTATTTATTTAAAAAGCTATTATCCTAAGCTTAATACTATGGTGTAGTGTAGAAATGCATATTCCATTTAATGTGTTTTTATTAATAATTCAAATGATATCAGTTTATTGTTCACATCTCAGTAGATACATACACACATTTATAAGCAGCATCACTTTAAATCAAGCTAAAAGATTCCCTTTCAGAAATTATGTTATAGTGATTGTATTTTTGCCTCAACACTATGCTTTATGTTATAAATATACAAAAATACATTTACTTTATTCGACCTATCTCCAGAATACTTTCTCTACTGTATTTTTAACACGATTCCAAGAAAACGTTCTGAAATAACCATCTTCATGTACCTCGTTAATAGCGAAGCCTTCTGCATAGCCACACATAAATGTCACATATCCTCGACTAGGATCCATATCCCATGTTTGAGGAGTTTCACTCTCCTTAGAAATCTGAATGGTTTCCATTTTACCAGAGAGCATATTTTCTTGATAGTTATCAAAGTATTCTTGAAGGCGGTCTATCTCGGCCTGCTTTAGGATTAAAATACTTGAAGTATTTTGCATGTATTTAAGTCCGGATGCAAACCAATGTGCTGCAGTTTTACATATGGGTACATGATCTGTAGAAGATTCCTCGATTTGTTCACGGCCTTCGACCGTTCGAGGATAGGGTGCAATAAGGCGCACCAGTTTTATCAAGTCAATTTCATTCTGCCTATAAGGTGGTCCTATTTCACCAGGCGCTATGAAGCGTAGGCGGCTAAATCGCAGTTCAGTAAGTCTGGCACTGGACATATCAATCAAAAGATTTCCGGTGTCTGCAGAGATTGATCCGAATACCCTTAGTCTGTCTAAGATCATATGGCTTAGCGACTCACATCGAACAGAAATATATTTTAATGTATCAGGGTCAGTATAAACACTGTATAACATAAGTATTCGCAGTCCATGTGGCCTGGCCGATTTTACTGTTTCTGGGCCAATATATATACGACCACTAAATAAGTAAAGTTCCTTTAAAGAAGGACAGTAGTCTGCGATCATATCAACTTGTATAGAGGCATTACAGTCTTGAAGACTCAGAGTAGTTAACCGAGGACAGTAGATGAATGATTTGGATATATCATGGGGCGTAAAGTCTTCCATATAATTCCCTGTTTTAGCGAATTGAATATATTCAATGGTTTCCGAGCATATGGACATAACTTCTTTCATGGTCTCGAATATTCTATCGTCCGGAGTCACGCCGAAGAATTCATATTTGAATTCTTTGATAAATACTGTCTTCTGGTGAAAGATCTTACGGAATGCAAAACGGAATAAGGGATTGAATTGTCTGGTGAAGAAGGCGATTTTTTCAAGGCTTGGAAATACGTGAGAAAGCATCGATATTTTTGAGCTGGCTACTGCTAAATCAGAGTCTTTCAAATAATCTTTTTGACCATAGAACTGTAAATCCATTTCACGAACGTTTGGATATTTTAAGGCAAAGTAATAAAGCCACCGTAGGTCTTGTATTTTAACTCTTAATGTAAATGACAAAAGAGAATTTGCTGGAGCTGTTTTTGCTATACGTTCCATGTCTTCATCAGTAAGTCGGGCCTGATCTGTATTGTGCGTAAAGACACGAAGGCTGGGCATATAATCGTGAATAGCTTCAAAGTCGCCGATTTTTGATATGTATGAATCCTCGAAAAATAGCACAAGATCTGTCACATTGGGTAGCTGAGATAATATGGCAGGGCACAATTTTATCAGGATACTATCAATGCAGTGTCTAAAATCCATGACGAAGGTTTTCAGCGCCTTCCATGTACTCCAGTCTGTGTCCGTATCTGTCATTTCCGTGCATAATAATGTTAACCAAACATAAGAAATGTTTGGAAAAAGTTGTTGAAGAAACAAGACATCTTTGCTGCTGACATGGTAATCACCATATATGTATATGGTTTTAACATACTGGCCATAGATCAAATATCTGTTTTCAGAGGATATATCAAACACTGCTGCGGTTGATTTTTTATCATGGGCCTCGACCTTTTCCCATAGCTTCTTGAAAAAGACTTCCCGCCATTGCTTACAAACAAGTGAACATTGCGGCAAACTTTCATCGGGAACATGTATTGCAATTGAAGTAAGAATTTCGGGAGGGATTTTGGAAATGGACATTGTAATGAGGAAGTATAAAAGAATGTATTTGTTGTAAAGAGTAAATTACTAGACAAGTGTGCGTTTGTACCAAGTTTATGTACACAATAATAATATTGTGTGATCTCAAGTTTTGTGCTCTTAAGAAAGATAAACCATTGGAGAAGAAGAAAAAAGCTTGTAGTACAAGTCATACTGAATGTATATAAAGGCAAAAGCAAAATCAAATTGGGTTGCTTAAGATCCAGAAGCCTTTTTTGGCGTTTTATAAAGAAGTTATTGAGTGAGAAAACTAAAGCCAAAAGCCAAAACCTGTGACAATGTTAAGCAATGAAAAATGTAACCTTTTAAATAAAATTTTCTTTTTATGTTCAGAAATTAAAAAACACTCGTACCTAAATAAAATATATAAAACAAAATTACTTTATTGTAGAATACTAAGCTTATTTTCCCACTTTGGGACCTAATAGATCTGTCCGTAAGACAAGACGTGGGTTAGGTCTGAGCCACCTAAGTAATTGGGGCACCTACAGGAAGTTGACTATAAGAAAAATGTGTCATTAACCCAATCTATAGAAGCAGCCTTTTTACTTTGCTTTGTTTAATTGGTAGAGTAAGAGATTTCTCGGCGAGAATTGAGGAATAAGAGCTAGACTTTGTTAGAGAATCCTTTGACAGTCCTGGACGGTATACAAAAGATCGAGCTCTTTGACGTCGCAATATCAAATTTAAGAGAAGCCCTACCTGTACTGAATTATACCTCTGTCTATGCCTCTATCTCTATCAACTACATTCTTGTTAACAATGCGAGACTATATATACATTTGATATTTCTTTCCTCTCTGTTCTTTTTAGTTTTTGGGTCAAAGACTTTCGTATTCATTACTCTTACACTCCTTTAAATTACCATTTTACTCAATATTACACCACATTTAGAGCCAATCTAGTGTATGTATATATAATCTAACAGATTAATAATGTAATTATTCAGTATATTATATTATATATTCATTTTTCTCTTTAGCCTCAGTAATATATCATCTCTACTTTCGATGTTATCGACAAAAACAATACGATTATATTGTTTGTCAGGATGCCGATAAACAATTCTTTTTTTTTCTTTTCCTTGTTTTGGATATGAATATTCTGTATTCCAAATATTTAGAGAGAAGACCAATATAATATAATTATATATTAAGACTTATACGTTTATTAAAAATATACAAAATATAATTGGCTACTTTAAAGAAAAGGTGATATTGTTGCCAATTGTATTCGCAAATCCAATGCGTTCCTGCCCAAGATCATGAACGATATAAAGATATTTAAGTAAAGTATCACCAATTAGGTATTGTGTAAACTTGCTTGTCGCAAGTGTGGGAAGAGAAGATTTGATAGGAAGATAACATATTTCAGATTCTTCAATTGGCTTTCCATCTAGTGGAGTTGCAAGCTCTCCAAAAGGAATGTTAATAGTAAGTGTTTCAGATGTGTCCCGCGAACCCATCATATTGAATTGGATTATGGCTTTCGAATGTCTGGCACTACACTCAAAGACAAATACCATACCGCTTTCAAAGAATTCATATTCGTCTGGTTTAAAGGCTGCCTTCATGATGTTCTCGAGTGCTTGGAAAGGAAAGTATGATAATGCCGCGCCAGTATCAAATGTAAAGTAAAAATCGGAAGAGATGCTTGTGTTAACGGTTTTTCCTTTGTCTTGAAAAGTAATGCTACGGGCGTAGGTAGACCAGAAAGAGTGATTGGCATGGACTTTTGCAAGAGAGCCGGTATTGTAAGCTTCTATTGTATCAGGAGTTGAGCTAACGATAGGGGAGTAGAAAAGATTGCCAGTGTATTTGGTAGAGTCGATTCCACCAAAAATGATTTCTCCAGAATTCTCCATTGCATTTGTATTTCCAAGGTAAATAGAAAAGATAGGTTCCTTGATAAGTTTCTGATCGATCATGTTGAATATAAGCGAGCCATAAGCCTTTCCTTTGGAGTTTTTGTATTTCGATAAAGAAGTAAAAGCCATTCCAAGCATGCCGTTGGATGCAAAGTCCTCTAATTCCAGTGCATTGGGTCTTGGGTCGAGAGCTGCTGTAGTGAGGTTGATGTCACTTGGAAATATTCCAATGTTTTTTACAAAGGAAGACAATCCAAATGGTTGGTTTGGTACGGAAATACCCCCAATAGATACGGTATCGGTTCCAAAGGCAACAGTAGAGTTTCCACTTCCATATAAGATGGTAAGCTCCTGATCGGTTGGAGTGAAAGTAGAGGAAAGGGACTCATCGAACCGAACGAATGGACAGAGGATCGGATCACATTTGGTGGACGGGACCCATAGATCAGTACTAAAGTAAATATTTTTTAAGCGTTAATTTTAATGATACTTTGACTTTACTTTGTAGTATATATATATATATGTAATAATAATTATGCTGCCTTTGGTTATATATTAACTATTATATTACCTTCCAGTGTCAAGAGACACTGAAAACTTCTGTGGTGGAGTACCGATATCCACATGGACAACATATTCCGTTCCTCGTAAGCTGTAGACACCGGATCTCATAGAACCAGATTCACCTCTTTTGATCAGGGCATCGGTTGAATGCTTCTTTGTGAGAGGTAAGCGAACTACACCTAAGTTAGGTGTTCCAATTGGTACAGCTTCGGCCAAGAAACCAACGCACAAGAGAGCCAGGGTTGATGGTATCAACTTCATGATGACAATAGGAATGAGTAGAGAAGATTGGATTTGTCCGTTAATTATGCCTTTAAATACTTTGAGATACTTGTGCGCTTTTTATCGTGTAACAGGTTTAATAAGGTTCAATATATGGTGTGTTCGAGCATAAACATCAAAGTTTTGAAATCTTTTCAATTTTACCCCAAGACAACTCCGATATAAAATATATTCAATTCCAGATATATATAGAAAGAAAATCAAAAAATAGTATTTTACGTTACACAACTATCTTTTTTAGGAACATTGAAATGTACCTGTTGCTATAGTGACTCTCTTTTTCATTTCAATATTAAAAAAAAAAAAGCTGAAACTCCACTATTTTCTATTGATACCTCTTGACTTTGAAGGTCCATGACTTTTTATTCAAGCCTTGTTTTGATAATCTTTTAAACAAGAGTTATTCGGAAGAGTCTTTCCTATAAAACGTGTTTAAGCAATTCTCAATAACTTGTCTGTAGCAAAAGTCATGGAACTTTGAAAATCACCTAAAAACTTAGATATTTATCCCCGAACACACCATACATATAAATTTGCCACTCGTTTAAAGATCGTATATTTTTTTTAATATATAATATATAAATAAAATAAAGAACCAGGCAATTAAGCCACTATGTTTCATGCACGGGAGAAAGTATATTTCAGCCACAAATAATAGGTTACCGAAATATCCAAGTAAATGGCTTATTCGAAATATAGATGTTTCCCGAACGATATGGTAGAAGACAAAATTATCTTTGTAATTGTTCCTTTTATATGTATATAAATATATATATTACTTTATTGACCTTTCATGACCGCTAGTTCGGATGTTTTATTTCTATTATACTAAAAGTTAATAGAGGATAACTTGATTTTATTTATTTCTGAGAAAGAGAACAAAAACCATCTACCCCTATAGGAATTTTGGTAGCTACCAAATACAGCTAAAATATGATCATTACCCGGGTTTTAGGAATACACAGTTGCTTTGTGGCTGTAGACCTCACGCACTTTTTTTTATTATTTTTGCTGCCAAATCAAGTAATATTATATTTTTTTATTAACTAATGATGGAGAATAAAAAAAAGGTACAAATACACACACTTTTCAAGTGTGCAACAGTTCTTCATGCAAGATATCGTTTATAAATAATAATGAACGGTCTTTACTAAACGCCATTTTTGAGTACCTAGATTACCCTCTCAGCCGAGCTTCTTGATATTCTTAAAAAGAATTGTGGTAGATATAGTAATTATGTAACCTCGATGCTTTCAAATATATCAAGTTCCTTTGACCTTCTCAGAGCATATAATATAAAATACATATACTATGTAGCCGTATTTAATCAACCTATATTTTTCCCATAAGCATAAAGTCATAATTCTGACGCATCAATTATATTATTCTTTCAGTGAATAGAAAATATAGGTATATAAAAGTGTGTAGCAGAATATTTAAAGTAATATTTATTATTATTATTATTTGGGGGCAAGAGGTGGGGAATGAATCCAAAAGCATGAATATTTTGGTGACCTATAAGAAAAAGAAGTTAAAAGGGTTTGACAGAAGTCAAAATTTTCAGGTTGATTTGTGAACACAATTTCTACCAGGAACAGAAATATTAAGTGAATATTAGCTATGAGTCAAAAAAAAAACTTGTAAAACAAAGCTGTATAGATCAATTACTTCTTTCTTTCTTTTCCTCTTTCTTTTTTTGGTTGTACAAAGTTTGGCTGAGCAAAAAATGAAGCTTATATTTTAATGAAAAAGAAGTAGAAAAGAAAGAAAGATAGCTTGAGTAACTATAGAGTGTAATGTTCTTTTGAGAAAGCTGAGACGAATTTCTTATTTTTGAGGCGTCAACCTGTATCCATAAAGAAGACTTAAAGCCGAAAATCAGTATTTTTGCTGTAGAGGGAACAGCAAAGTAATAAAACGGATTTTGACTAACTTGCTTAATGCTAAGAGACAAACCGCTTGAATTGATCAGTAGAATAGTATGGTTTATAGGGAAGTATATGAAGATTATGTGATATAGCTCATTTTTTACACATCTATGTGGTACATTTGACTCTGTTTTTCTTTCTTTTTGACATTAAAGCCTATAGTAATAGATTTGTCATTCCGCATTTTTGATGTGAGCTTATGGGATGTTTTCTACCTCGAGCTGTTATGAATATTGGGATCATTTTATTGAATTGACTTGAATTGATTTGAATATAATATAAGGAATAAATAAAAAAAGTCATTAAAAAGCACGATATATTAATGTTGAATTTCTTATACACCTTTACACGACATTAAATTAACAACGCTGGAGTGCAAAATATTTAGTCTTGTCTTTGCTCTATACTCAATCTGGAAGTTCATTTCTTGTACTTTACACTTTTTTATTATTAGTAGTGGTATTTATGTTGACCTAAATCCATGTTCTACTTCATACAGATGGAATATAGATGACTTGAGGATGTATTGGTAAATGCACAAACAATCGTAAAAGTAAAATAGTGAAATACTTGGAAGAAAATCTGTGGTCCTTCATTTGCAGTCAATAACTAACATTGACAGAAATAAAAACAGTAGATTGTCCACTGCATATATAAAGCATTCTCCAATATCCCTTTCAAGCAGCAGGAACAACACTGTACAAAACATTATACAAGTTAATAACCGTAGCGTTGGCATGGGGATAGAAAATAAATTGAGGCTTATGCAAGACGTAAAGGATTTTATATCCCTATTTTTAAAATGAGAATACTATATCTACTAGGCAATCCATTGTTGCTTCCTATAACATTCTAACATCTTAGGATTTAGACCAGAAAGCTATATTCTACACTCTTCAAAATCTCTAAGGTGCTATAGATACCCATCGTGTGATGCAAGAGTCTTATTATCATTTTGCACTGGCCCAAGAGCAAGCATATGCTAATAGGAATAGTACTCGTTGATGCTAATGATAATAAGATACTACTACTTATTCAATATAATCGACTTGATCGTTCTACTGACAGAAGCTTATAATCAACACCTCTATTTAGATAAAAGCATAATATACTATAAAAAGGCATTATTTTTAAAGTTTATCTTTATGGTATTTTATTTTCGGAATATTTTAGAGATAAATATTATATCCTACAAAATCTGGGCACGCAGCAGTACAGATTTAGAAGTCCAATGAATATATATATATATATGCCAAGTTCAAGTATACGAACCAGGATGAGAAAGCAATAAAGAAAAGTCTATTGTTCCTTGAGCTGATAAGGAAGTACACAAGCCTACTGAAGACCAAATAAAAAGAAAAAGAAACCCCTCTCACAACACATTGAAAACAGCAACACATGAAGCTGGATTTAGAGAATTTCATTCACTGTTCCTGTGTTAAACTCTCTTTTGAGTAGCTTTAAAGAATTGTGGAATCAATAAGCGCATGGGCACACACACATCGTCTCATACACATTTGAGTGGTGCCTGTATCTGTTTGACTCATTTCAATAAGAGCATTATCAACTACAATGGTATTAAAGCAGTATTCATATTTATATTTATATTTAAATGTCAAGTGAGAAAAGTGGGCCTTAGCAAATTTCAATGAAAAATTAAGGGTACGCTATTTAACTAATTGGAGAAAATACAATTGAATCGCAATATATCCATGATTATAAGGCAAAAGCAAGAATGTCAAAATTGGTGGTTGACCAAGTAGCAATAAAAAAAAAAAAAAATTAACATAAAGCCTGGAAATGAACCATGACTTCATTTCTGGATAGAAATATTTTATGAAAGATCACAATTTATATAATATTTCTATAACTCCAGTTCTACTTTCTGGAATGACTATAGATTGCTAAGAGCTAATAGGTCTTATCGCATTAAATAGACTTCAAGACAGAATATATATAAAAGCAAACCTTTTGTGCTGTTATTCTATTAATGGTATTATCTGAATTTATGTATTTATTACACAATTGCGATATGGTTCAAATTAAAAGCAGTATAGTATGATTTTGTTTCTTGGCTATTTATTCTTGCTTTGGATATACATTGCATGGAGAGAGAGAGAAGAGGAAGAAGATGAAGAAAAAAAAATGAAATCAAGTGACTGTCCTCAATGTCTTTTTCCATGGAAACCCAGAACAAAGCTGTAAGTTTGTGACTCGAAATGATTTCTTTTGGACTTGAGTTTTCTATCTCTTTATATATATATATATATTATCTTCAAGGTGCAAAAGACATAGATAATATATGTATATATGTATATTATTTAATAATAATAATAAAGAATAGTAATAATATCAGTAAGAAAGAAAAAAGAAAGGAAAGAAAGAACTGTCTCTATTGTGTCAAATGGGAATCGACAATGAACCAATATCATGGCAAAAAGAGTTTTCTGAATTCCTAAAAGGCATGGGACTTATTGAAACCAGTAACTGTTTTGAAACCGAGCTTCTGATCCTGTCACAACACAATCTTGAACGACTACCAACAGAGTTGGAGAAGCTGGTCGAACGTTTACTACAGTCATTGGAACGTCACATTGATGCAAAGGAGGCGGCCTTGACTGATGCATCCTCTTTGGATGAATCCTCAAAAGTACTCCAGGGATCGCTTTACACAAAACGGAAGAGATCGCTTGATTGCACAGACGAAGAATGGGAAGCAAAGGAACGTATCAAACGACTCGATGGTGAGCAAGTGCAGATTCGCGCAACAAATGCAGAAGTAGACAATCGCATCCAGACCTTTATACAAGCCAAACAGAATGATATTGATGCCAGCAATCGAACAGAGTTCTTGAATAGACCTGACCCTACGGTTGCAGACGTAACTTGTGCTAGAGCAGACGCGAGAGAAATCAATCGAAATATTCAAATGAAATTTGATATTGTAAACAATGAGGATGGCCCACTTGCTAGATCTATGCTGTCTGCAAATGAACTTGTCCGCCAGACTGGATCTTCGTCTCACAAAGACCAAGGGATTATCGATCGGCTGCAGGATATCGAAGAGCACCTTAATGTGCGATTTGAAGCCGACGCCCGGCCTCCATTTTCGCTTGCAGAGAGAATCAAAATACTCGAGAATACCCTGATGGAACTAGAGCGCCAACATCCTACCTGGTCTGCTATTCATTTCAACCAACCTAACCGTGTATTTCCTCCACCGCCACCTGTCACTTATATTGCCCGCCCTGGTGTTCCAACCGACCAAGACACAGGATCAATTCATCCTCACACTCCCAATTTCCCTTTACATCAAGTATCAGCAACACAAACATCAACAGGAGCAGCACAAACGGCAGCAGCGCCAATGTCGACATCATCAACGGTGGCAGTGTCGGTAGGGGATACAGGAACAGGATCTGCACAGAACTCAATACAACCAATTCAAGAGGCTGCTTATGTAACTACACTTTTGCCTACGATTGCTCCACCGTCAACATCGTCACGAATGCAAATCAAAACAACTGGTCGAGCTAACTCTTCACTGACACGGGCTGTCATTGAACAACTCAATAGACAACACCAAGCGTCCAATGCTCAGGCAGTTTCTGAAACTGTTGGCACGCAATTATAAGTGTTGAGATGCAAACAAATACAACCTCACCACTACATACATTCACACTCACACTCACAATCACAATCACAATCACAATCACAATCACACTCTCACTCTCACTCTCACTCTCACACACAAATATTCACACCCACACGAAATAACTTTACAGTTAAACAAAACACATATTCATACAAACACTCACTCACTCACTCACTTACTCACTTACACATTTACATATATACGCATGTACAAAGAACATAATCTAAAGAAGTCCTGTAATTAAGAGTAGGCCTTAATACTTGGGTGGTTCATAAATACTGTAATAAGAAAAATAAATAAAAGAGATCATTTCACTTTCCCTATCTAGACCTCTTTTTCTTTTTCTTTTTTTTTTTAAAAAAAATTGATAAATATATATATATATATTGTGAAAGTGTGGGTATTTAATGCATGAACATGGATAAGGAGGTAGTTATGGCATTATGATTTACTGTTAATAATAATCGGTGAAAAGTACGGCACAGACATACACACACTATTTCTCTCTCTTTTATGTATTTGTTTACTTGACTATATTGTTACTTTATTATAAATATATAACAGAATAGAGCGTTTACCGGCAATAGCTTCTTTAATATTAATAACGATACTGCTGTTTTTTGCTGTTAACAAATAAATGTCATGAAATAAAATAAAAGAAGGTTTGGTCTGTTCGATTAAACCTTTGCGCATCTCAAGATCGAGAATGGTGACAGAAAGAAGACCTTCTCAACCAAATGACTACTAAAATGTGTAGTATGTCGGATTGAGTGGATCTCACCTTTCAATGCCGTCTGACAACACAGGCAAAAATTAGATAATGTTGCATGAAATCAAGACGTATGTTCTTTAGAACAAACCAATCACAGATGACTTGTACACCATGTTCTCCTTCTTTAGCTCAATATCTTTTTTTTTTCGCTTTATTTATTATATATGGGTTACATATAAGCTCCCACTTTTTTTTTAAAAAAAAAAGATTTTATATTATATTCAATTAGTATTATTATTCTTCTAGAGCTATAAGAAGGCTAATGATATTTGTAAAGAATAATATTAATATAGTGAGACTGATATAAATATTAGCTCTAAGGCTGCTATTTGTGCTGCTATTGATATTGATACCGATATTGATATCGATATTGATATCAATATTACTACTTTTATAGCTATTTTTTATTGACATTACTGTTGCTGCAGATATTTCCGCTTGTTACTTTTATCACTATCACTGCCACTATAACTATCATTATTTTTATATTGATACTGCTACTTCTACTTCTACTGCTAATAATTACATATATATATATAGCGTATTATCTATTACAATTTTATTCTAAAAAAAACCCTCTTTTTTTTATGTCAGTTATTAATTTGCCCTTTTTTCCCTTTCTTCCTTTTTCCTTTTCTTTCTTTCTTTCATGGAGGTCAATCGTAACATTCGTTGGACATCTACCGGAAGAGTCCTTTATATCACCTTGGGATTATCTTATTTACAGCTCTCACTTGCACAAACATTCTACAGACCATTACCAAGGTGGGCTGCAGGTACCTCTTTCGCTTCTTCTTCTTATTCTGCTTTTTTTTTTTAAAAATAAACCAAATAACATGAATATGAATTAATTATTTTATTAATGTCCTTTCGTTAACTTGCTTCTGCTGCTTATTCTTCCTTTTACCACCTTGCCATCTTAATAAAAACTTGATCAATTCAAATTATATATATATTATTATTGTGATTCTTTTTTTGTAGGTTGTGGACTGATTCCTGGGACACTTTATTGCTACGGAGGTGAAGAGAGTCCTGGGAGACGCCTTAACAGTCTTTTGGCTCTTAACCTCAAGAAGCCCTGGAGTATTACTGCCCCAGAGTGGAGAGAGGTTCCCTTTAAAACCGGAGACACTTCTGATGACGTTCTGATCAAGCAGCCAGGCAATCTTTTAACCGAGCCTATTCCAATGTCTTATTTCGACGCCTCTAGTTTACCCGATGGATACCGGATCGTAACAAATGGTGGATCGACAGTCGACGCAGCAGGACTAGGACTTCGAACTCTGATATATGACACTAAAACAAACCAATGGTCGGCACCAATGTACGGAAAGGCTGTTAAATCTATAGGAAGAAGAAGGTATTACATCCATAAACATTTTCATGCATATATAAATATAAGCATTGGCTGTAAAAAGAAATAATTGAATTAGCTAAATCATTATTGCTTCTGCTGTTTCCTTCTTCTTATTCTTTTTTGCTATTTAATGAAATCAGTAGGAAACAACATACATCAACTATAGATGCCCACGGTCACATTTGGATGTGGGGAGGAACCAGGTAAGATACATTGAATATCTATCCATACAAGGTTCATGTGTGCTTATGTGATGTGATATGATGTGATGTGTTAGTGATAATACAACATCCATTGGACCCACTGTCTATTACGATTCTTGGGTAATGGTTGATTCTAATGTAAGTAGATAATATACCCTCACATATATATATATCATTAAGCAGATCTTACAGCCAAAGAAGGAAAGAAGAATAAAAGGTGTGCTTTATGTGTCACTTTGTCTAATGAGCCTTTTACTTGCTTTCTTTTATGTATGAATATATATATAATTTCTTTAGACTTGGACATACAGTTATCCAATCCCTCAGAACGCACCTCCTTTGCCACGAATCGACCATTCAGCCACTCTTATCAATGGAAACCAGATCCTTATTATGGGTGGAATGACATATGCACGAAATGTCACTGATCCAGACGGAAACTTTGCTCTCAACCCTGTGTCAATGGGAACACTACTGGTCTACGACATCGTTTCTAGTCGTTGGTCGAACATCAGCGCAGGAGGAAACATCCCTGCTCCAAGAAGAGGACACTCTGCAGTACTTAGTAAGTTTGTTTGGTTACTTTGTTGTCTAGGTAACGCTATTTGACATTACTTATGAACACATATATTAATCTCTAAAAAGGTTCTGATGGTTTACGGGTCATTCTGTTTGGAGGAGGGCGGCCACTACGTAAGCAAACAAACCATGCTTTTTGATGTTGATGCTGTTATCTTTTTTCACTTGGAGTTTATTAAATTTGAAGTGGGGAGTAAATTAGATTCAGACGAAGTATTTAACGACGTGTTTATTTTGGAGCTTGACACCATGCGCTGGACTGCACCTTTCATAGGTGGTGTTCCTCCAACTCCCCGAAAATATCACAAAGGTAAGCCACCACTCAAAAGAAAAAGTAAAACAAATGAAACATCTTACCTTTTGCTGTTACTGGTATTACTTCCAAACATATACATATACATAAGCATGTGTGCAGTATCTCACCAAACTTTCCCTTATTTTCTTGTTTGTGGGGGAGATGTTTATAGCTTATCTTTTAGATGATCTTATGTTGATCGTCTTTGGATTAGATGTGAGCGGCAAAGGAAGCAGTGACACCGGTATCTTGAGTATCGCTGCTGGATCCTGGATTACCCAATACACACCCAACAATCTCTTGTCAGCCGGAGGATCTGATGGAAGCGGTCTAAACGGACAGGGTCGTCCAATAGGTCCCTATGGCTCATACGCAAACCACTACTCTAACATCAAGGCAGGAATTGTTGCAGGAATCATCTGTGCTATTGTCATAATGGTAATATTTGCTTATAGATACAGATAAATGGATTATGCGTAGAGTAATATGTAGATAGATGAGTGTATTTTTTTTGGCTTTTATGAAAGAACTAAAGAAAATAGACAAATGACTCTTACTTTTTTTTTTACTTACATATACTATTCTTTTCTCTCTCTCACTTAAAGATGTGTGGTAGCAGTGTAGTCCTTTTTGGAATGTACCTCTATCGAAGAAAGAAGACCTACAACGAGAATGCTAGCAGTAACGCTATTGACCCTGAAACCTATGGCCACGTCAAGTATGCACTCCCAAATGAAATCAAGTCATCTTCTATTCTCCACCCAAGGTCTCCACAGTTGACCCAGGATAATTACGACAAGCCAAATGAACAAAGTCTGTCTTGATATAAATGTTATACGTATATACATTTTATTACTATTATTATTATTATTATTATTATTATTATTATTATTTGCTTTATTGCAGGTTCAATAATTAACACATCGTGCCTCTCTTTCTTTATCTCTCTCTCTCTCTATCTACTTCTTTTTGTCTCTCTCACTCTTTGTATATATATATATATATATATATATATAACTATATACAACTTTCCTTTACACTCACCCACTCACTCATCAATTCACTTTCACAAAACGAATATGCAAGTAATAAAGACAAATGTACATTAGAAAATTACACATAGTATAGACAGTTAATAAATTACACCATGTACATTTAAACATGTCGATTGAGTTTGTTCTTGTACTTAAGGTGCATAATGCATAAGGTACACGCATACGTACATATACTACTCCCCCCCCCCCCCCCCAAAAAAAAAAAAAAGATGAATATAATCAGAGCCAGACAGGCTGATAATTTGGATCGTACGGAACTCCCTCATGGTCAAATGTCTCTATAAACTTTTATATATATATATAAAAATAAATCCCCAGCCATTTCAGAATGCTTCCTTTATAGCTTAAACACACACGCACCTCTTGGTCTGCAAGTATTCTACTTCCAGCAAATTTACGATATTCATCAAAAATAGATGTCATTGACCATCGTTGGATTTTTCGAAGACAACCAACCAGACAACCAATTCGATGCTAAAGAAGAATGAGAAAAAGATATTCAAATAGAGGTTTAATAAGAATAATTTTTTTTGTTGCACTATAGTTTCTCTGTAAACTTACTTTTCCTTTGAGACAATGTATCAAGACTACACAAATACATGCCCACAAAAATGATCAACATTTAGTATTAGTATTAGTATTATGTTATGCTATATATATATATATATATATTTGGTTTACCTGGGTGGCTTCTTTCATCCAGTAGTTTTGCAAGAGCTTGTGACATATCGTCTGGATTGACTTCTACAAATGGTTCTTTGTTGCCTTCCATTCTAAACTGCAAGACTTCGATTCCTTCGTGTTCTACAAAGTGTTTCATTTCTGGTGGATAATCTTCAACTGCAAAGTACCTTATAGTGTTCAAATGCGCATAATGTGTATATATGTATGCATGTATGTATATGAGATTAAGAGTGAATGAGATGTTTCTCATTCTTTACTTACTTACATTATGGTCTTTAGACCCAACTTTCGTAGGAATGAAAAGTTTTGTTTGTTGGGATGCCCTGAGCGATAGACACCTGGAGCAACCATGGCAAAATTGAGGGGCGGTACAAGTGGAAATTCAGGACGTTCATAACAGACACAACAAGCATCACGGCTGTCGGAACGTACATGACGATCGCGTCTAGAACGTCCAATGGTATTTCTGGGATGTTGATCATTGACTTGTTGTGGGTCAGAGGTCTGTACTGCAATTGTAGGCATGCTTTATTTATTTATTTGTTTGTTTTTTGGTTATGTATGTTTATATAATAATGATAATAATAATGATAATGATAATAATAATAATAGCTTTAGTAATAGGTATAGTGATACTTGTAAGAAAAATAATAGGAATAATATTGAAACAAGAAATTGAAACTTGCAGGAATACAAACTCACTTGCCTTTTTTTTTCAAGCAACCAGAGTTGGTGATACAAGGTTTAGTGACTTGACTTTTCGAATACAGGAAGAAATCTAAATGATTCATTCCTTAGTCTGTAAATGCTTAGATATTATTACTCCGTATTCAAAGATAGTATAAACGGGGTATTAATATGTTTATTCCCAGATGCGCCATTTAAAGTATTAAAAAAAATAAACGTCCAGAAAGTTCCTGGCTCAAAAATTATGGGTTTTTTTTATACTCTTTAATTGATATGGAATAATCGTATCCTGTGATATAAGTGTAATTGGAAGTCTAATGGATTTTCTATATTACTATTGAATTATCTTGTATTGATAACAGTATTACTGGCAAAGGATTATATATAAACGGAATTTTCTTTTTCTCTCCAAAAAGAAAAAATTGCTGACGTTTATCGGGAACCATATGGAATTATAAATTAAATAAACCATCAGTCTATTTCTGGCAAATGTCATTACCCCACTTTCAAATAGACACATAGATTATACAATATACCAGAATGACTTGGTCAATGGACTTTTGACCGGTAGGACAAGGGAATGAGGAGAGGGAGAGAGCGAGAAAGGTACTGAAACTGATTAATTAAAAACCTTGACATTTGCAAAAAAAAAAAAATCACTTTTTGGTCAGTGGTCTTTCAATTTTGTAGAACAAACTATGTAGAGAGAAAGAAGAAAAAAGAATATATGTATCTATCTAGTGAGTTGCTGCGGTCAGAAGGTCATTTCAATTGACACAAGAAATTAGGAGCCATCTCTGTTTCTCTATCTCACTTTTTATGACTGCCTCTAATTTCCTTTACAAAGCAAGGTTAGAAAAGCCCCCTTGCATTCATATAAATACTTTAATTATACTATATCATGTTTGGATAAAGTTGGTTTAAACTTGGCCAACAAAAGTTATCAAAGTCAACAGGTTCATTAAACACAATTTCTACTTTACCTGTGCCGGGGATCCGGTCCTATCACAAAGTCACGCTAATAGCAGCCGTATTCCTTATTTATTTCCACCGTTGGATAATTTTTTACCGTTGCCGCAAACCCAGTTCAAGTGTTGTTGCTGTGACAGAACTACTGAAAACAATAAACATAAGCCATCAATGGTATATTAATATATATATATATATATATATAGCTGTCATTCTCTATTCCTCACCACCCAAAACAGAAACAAAAACAAAATGGGCTCTAACTAGGAAGAGGTTTTTTTTTTAATACTTTAACCAAAACACTCATCATACTAGTACTGAACAATACTAACTCCAAGTCAATAAGTAAATAAAAGTGTTTGAGAGGCTAAAGCTAAAGCTGTTCTACTCTACTCTACTCTACTATAATATACTTTATTCTAGCTAGATATATGTCAGCACTGTCAGTGACTTTTTTTTTATTTTTTTATGAAATACCATTGTACAATAAAATCAATCACCTGCCTTGACTGTTGACCACTATACTGTATTGTATTGTATTGTATTGTATTGTATTGTGCTACCATTTTATTTATTTAATGATAATTATATTAGTAATATTAATATTATAAAGAATGACTTTTGGGTGCGAATCCCAGGTTCATTCCATTTCTTTTCTTTTGAAAACAATATGTGCCGCACATAGATATATATTATATTATAAAATATCTTTCTTTATAAATTAATAGGTACGAAAAATGGTACCTTTATTACTATTACTATTACTATTACTATTATCATAATCATAATCATATATGATGAGTATATGCGCAAATGATTACCATGATGAATTATATATAAACATATATAAAAAAATAAACCCCGGGTTTAGACAAAGAAGAGTATTCCATATATAAATATACATATACATTATACATTATTCTTATTATGTATAAAGTCTGATTTCACAATAGCTTATTTACAAAATAGAATTTGACCATCAAACAAATAGATATTATAAAGATAGAGATAAATAGAAAAATCAATGTGGTCTACCAATCAAAAATCAATTCTGCATTTTCCAAAACAAAAGAATAAACCATGTTGTTTTGCTTTAAATGATAATTGTGTTACCATGGTTTCTTGGTACTAGAAAAAAAAATTATTTTTGATTCAAAGCCATGTATTTATTACTGGGCAGACAATCTCTACAAAAGCACATGAATATTGAAGAGAAAGGAAACAGACTGGACCTTTCAAAGGGTGGCGCTCTACAAATCAAACTCTCAATTATTATTATTTTTGCTCACCATGCGATAACTGCTGCCTCGATAGGATTTCAAATATATATATATATATGGCTTTTATAAATCAAAATTTTCCTTTATTGATTTGAGTTTTCTATATACACACACACATCATGAGAAAAGGAAGATAATAATAATAATAATAATAATAATAATAGAATGTCAAGACAACTCTGGATATCAAAATGCATGATCATTGTGATGCATATTTGATGAGTTTTAAAAGATTCTCAGGGTTTGGGTGCGAGCCCATTATATTCAAGGATAAACCTGGAAAATACTACAAGGTCTAGGATCTTTTCTTATGTATGAGATATAAAGACAGAGTGCCGCCTTTTCTTTTTCTTTTTCTTTTTCTTTTGGAGGGATAGTTTAATATACTATAGATTATATACGAACCCAGATAAAAAGGACCTGTCAAAAGGGATCGATAGGAATGATTTCGATTTGACTTGACTTGACTTGACTTGAGATTGCTTCAAATATATAAAGACATTGTATTTAATATATTTGCTTTGATTTGACAGTCAGCTTTATTGATTCGAGGCAATATACAAATCAAAGAAGTCAAGAACATTGTATGCTGTGTAGAGAGAGAGAGAAATAAAGAGAGACTCGGGTATCCGTTATCCTTTCCCCCCAAGAATATTAGTAAATAAAGTTTGTTATTTATTTTACTTGAGTTTACTTTAGTTTAGTTTTATATACAAAATAGAGATTAAATTATGGTGTACATCACATGAACCAAATCATTCTTGTATGTATGTATTATATCCTTTTAAGATACGTACCAGTATCCTATAAAGATTGACAAAATTTGCACACAAATATTTGTACTAAATGGTTTGCATGCTCTGTTTTTTTTTGTATGTATTTAGTTTAAACTGCCCTTGACTATAGATTAGTAAAATTTTATACCATGACTTTAAATACTTGATAGTTTGTTACGATTATTGAATGATAAGATAAATAAATAATAGCTGCAATCAAGAATGTCAAAAAATAATATATTTGTTTTGCTGTAAGACCATCAGATAAAAACGGTACGACCACAATTTGCTCCTTCTTTTCAAGTAAGCAAGCAGGTAAAACAATCAAAATCAAACAAGTAAAAAAAAAGGCATAGACAGGTTTCTTTGTAATACACTTTCCAAGCACATGTCTTTCTGATAATAGGTAATTCCAGAGAGAAATTTTATTTTGTATTTTATCCATCGGCACTTGCGGCAAACATTATTCTTTGTGTCGGTTGGCTTATTATCCTCTGATATACATACATAGATACATACTAATGTTTGTATATATGTATATTTTTCTTTATTGATTTTACTCAAGCACAAAGCCACAAATTTGAAAATAAAGTATTGCTTTTTGTGGTGATCAAGATTACACACTACCCACACTACCCACACTACCCACACTACATATTATAAACATCAAATAATGCACATAGAATATATACATAGAATACATACATATTACATACTTCCATGTGTGTTGTGTATCATATGGCTTGTCTTAATGGAGTGCAGATCTCTTTGTAGATATGAAATACAAGAAACGACATTGGTGCTGATAATCTTATAGCAAAGATATCTAGATGTGTACAGTGTGTGGATATTTTGATGTCATTGTGTGCAATTGATGTGATATTTTGAGTGTAATGTTGTGTACATGTGTAAGCAAATCTATCTGGTTCCAGCCTCCCATATCACCGGTGCTGATTAGTATATATATAAGAAATTCAGTATATGGGTAGGACAGGATTGGTAAGGGATACACAGCGATCAAAAGGTAATGGAGAAGGCGCTTATTTTATCCGCATTCAGCCAACCAACAAACCCAACAATATCAAAAAAAAATTGAAACGCAAAAAATACCATAGAAAGAGAAGGGGAAAGGGGTTTTACCTCGGCAAATACCACTGATGATGTAATGATATCCGAAATAAAAATAAAATATAAATATAACCTACTTGTGATTTCTCTTCTTCTTCTTCTTTTTTTTTGCGTTATTCATTCTCTTGAGAAAATCTTACATATATATCTATATATCTATATAGATATATTATATATTATATAAAAAATAATCAAATGTCTCCTTTCACAATGAACCTACCAGGAAGGTTTCCTGTTGCCCCAGACAATAAACTGCCTATAGTCGGTCACGAACAGGCCTTTCACCCTCTATCAAAAGTAGACACTATTGGCCTTCATTCCAACGACTCACAAAACAGTATCTCAGGTACAGAATCAGATTAAATAATATTCCATTGTCTTGAAAAAATAAAATAAAATTATCTTCTATTATTTCGGTTCTCTAAAAAAAAATCATTATTTATCTTTATATAGTAAACTCAGCCCCAAAGCGAAAGAGTAACAGCAGTGAAGCTTCAACCTTATTCAATTCTTCTGGTCCACCAGACCAAACACACATATCTTCACCACAAGTAGTCTCTTCATCCAAAACGACTACCACCACAAGAACAACAGCATCAGTCCCCACTACCGGACTGATGAATACGCCACCAAACAACATGTCCTTGGACGATCCTTTACTACCACCTCCTAGATTCCCAATCGACCATCTGAATCGTATCGACACAACCGTTCGACTCCAGGACCTCGAAGAAGCCAGCCGGCCCAGCGTCTATCTTTTCATCTTTGTCAACCCATTATCCGGCGACCGTAAAGGCAGAGATCTTATCAACCTATCGATTCAGAACTTTCGTCTCCGGCGGTTCCCCAATGTCCAGGTCGAGATGCACAACATCCTTGACGAAACAGACCGCGAGCTTGGATTTGATCGCATCCGTATCATCGAAGGTGCAGTCAAGCGCGGAGACGTTCCAGCCATCAGAGACGAAGCACCAGGATCTCCCTTTGGGCGGTTGGGAAAAACCGTCCGCACACGCCACATTCATGTCTGGAGTGCAGGTGGTGATGGCACTGTAATGAGTGTTTTTGAAATGTTGGTAGCACACAAAATCGACCTTGACTATGTATACTTCTCCTGTAAGTCTATAATTTCTTACTATTCTTATCATTATCCTTAATAGCAATAGAAATAATAATGCTAAGAATAAGGAGACAGAGACAAAAGGCATGAATACACACATGCATTCACACTCACACCTGTGTATACATGTGTATATATATTCATGTCCATGTCTCTGTGTGCATGTGGTACAATTTATCTATTTATTGAAACACAACTAACAACTATACAACTATATAACCACATATATATATATATATGTGTGTGTGTGTGTGTGTGTGTTTATAGGTATTCCTTTTGGTACTGGAAATGACTTTAGTCAAGTGCTTGGGTGGGGAAGAACAATCACGCACAGCAACATTTTGGGCCGAAGACTCAGCAATCTTGAAGAACTCGTGTCTGAGCGCCTAGAAAAAGCAGAGGCTGCTCGTCTGGATATCTGGGAAATCGACATGACAGCGCACCCGACCGGCTTTGTGCGTGTGGCCGGTCCAAACCGTAACGACGGCCACGATGTCCAGGAAGTCAAGGGCCCACAACGAAAAGGCCCTCAGCGCCTGGTCCGCAAGATGTGCAACTACATGTCGATCGGTGTCCAGGGCTACGTGGGCAGTGGGTTCGAGAAACACCGAAGTGGAAGTCGGCTTGCCAACATGCTTGTCTACACACACGAAAGTGCCAAATGGGTCTTCTGGAGACATTTCCCGCTCGTCACCCGATTTATTGATCGTATGACTTCAAATGGCCAAGTTACATTGGTCTGTCCTGAGCCAAACAGCTCAACCACCAAGAGGCCAGTGCTTGATGACGATTTGACCGGAGAAGGATTTACCGACAGCCTGTTACCCGAAATGACACTTCATCCGATTGACTTTGTAATTCAGAATATTCCTCACATATGGTAAATTATACACACACTATATATATATATATATTGATGAATAGAAGACGATAGAACACTTCTTTTTTTCTTCTTTTTTGTTTATTAATTTCTCTTTGTCTTGTGCAGGGGTCGTGAAATTGACTTGTGGGGAGATGCCCTGTGCGGTCTTGAATCAGTAAAGAACAGAGACGGGCCTACAGACCCAAAGACCTGGTCACAGCAACTGGCCAACGACGGCAAGATGGAGGTGATGGTAATCGAGAGCATGTACAGCTATGTCAAGAAACTGGCCAACATTCGAAAGCACGTTTCACGAATCGGCCAATTTGAAAACCCATTCACAATTCATTTCCGACCACCAAACACCATCCGCGAGAGCTGGTGGAAGCGCTTGCATCTCAACCAGTACGAACGAGAAAACATGGTGTGTATCATGTGCGATGGCGAATTCTATGTCATCAAAGACCCAAAGGAAATTACCTTTAGACGATGTGCCCAGATCTGGACCTTGGGCAGAAGTGATAGTAAACAAACCGGTCGTCTTGTACTCGACGAAATTGCCAGCCAAAGACTTAGCCAAGCCTTTTAAAAAAAAAATTCTTATTAATTATTATCATTATCACTATCATTTGTCATTGGCATTAATCTATCATCACTATTACATCTCTACTTACTACAAACTACAAATTAATTCTACCTATTATCTATTATCTATTATTATTTGCCTACCTACCTACCTACTTACTTACTTATTTAGCATCTTTTATATCTATATCTATCTATCTATCTATCTATCTATATCCTTCTTACTTATACTGCCATATACTCATGTATTTTAATGCAATGTGTATCTTACAATCTACCCTTTTTTTGTTTTTGTTTTTCTTTTATTGCACAAATCAAACCTGCTTTCACATTAATACTACATTCATTAATCAATTAATCAATTAATAAATAAATAAATAAATAAGAATAAAGAATGTATACACTTTTAACAACAACAGAATCCAGGAATCAAGATAATCATTAATAATTCCATTTAAATATATATATAAATGTTCATTGGCATGTCTTTAGCTTTTTATTATTTGCCACGTTTATAGGAGAATAATGAAAACAATCAGATAACAGATTTAACTTCAAGGGACAAAGGACAGTATAAATATAGGCATATAGATGGTAGATAAGGTGGGTCATTTTGTACATTTTAGAACAAAATAAAATTACCAGACCAAAGAACAATCAAATGGCTAAGTATAGGCACAAAGACAAAATAGAAAATTATAGCTCTTTACTGGTCTCTTCTTGTTATCTGATTTAGATTTTGTCTAGAGGCCAATGGTAATATTAACAACAACTAGAAAAATAAAAATATAAATATAAGAGTTTTGGTCTAGGCCTCTTTATTTTACATTTCTATTTTTTTTATGATGCCTTTTTACTACATTATCTTAAAAGGCTCTTTTACCGGCATTCTAATGAAAATGGCTATATAAAGAAAAGAAAGAAAATATGCAAAAGTACATACTCAACTACGTACATAAATGACACGCCATTAATTTGGCTGCGTCTTTTTTTTTTTTTTTTAATAATGAAAAACTCAAAATCAAGCCAACTCCACTGCATTATCCAGACAATAGCAATAACCATGGCAACATATGACTATTGATTTTATCAATAGTAATACTAATAGCTACATATCTTTCTATCTATCTATTGTGTTTCCTATTGCTCGGTACACGGACTAACCAATGCTGAACCTATATAATTTTTTTTTGCGGCTATAAAGTTTTAAAGATAATAATAATTGTAACTCAGATGTGACACTTACAAACAGAATATGTACATAAAAAGAAATAAATAAAAAAAAAAGGTCCCCGGCACAGGAACAGCCGATAAGACCAAAAAATATATCTAATTATATAAAACAAGGTTGTTCTTACTGTACTGTATTTCCACCGTCAACTGGTCACTTTTTGGAAAAACTTGGTCATTTTTTTTTAAAAATTTCAATTGGTCACTTAATAAATTTGCAGTCGTTCCAACACCAGGGAGACGAGAATCCTGTGACATTGTCGTATATCCTTTTATAAATGTCTTCCATGTAAAAACGTTTGGTACGTGCCGATCCCAGAGTAATATGGATACCACAACGAATATAGTGTTTCCTGGTGCTAGTTTTTCTTCTTTATTGCAACTATGCAAGGAAAAAAAATATAATTTCATCAGTATTCAGTTTATATATGAAGATGGAAATGGCACTGTTGTCGATGAGTATGGCAGGCCGAAAACCATTTATCATATTTGTTCCAAGGCAGTATGCTCTTGGAACAATTTTCTAATTTGGAGTTTTAACAAAGCTTACGTTTTTCTTATTCTGTTATTTCAATGATCAAGCTAAGGGAATCGAAGAGACAAGGAATGGTATACTTTTTTTTGTGCCTGAAACTGTCAATAGTCACCTTGGTGTCATTAGTGATGAGGTTCATATAAGTATGCGATCTGATGGCAATTTTAACGAGCGTAAGCCTGAAGAAGCGAGTTCACAGTTGGCGTAATTGGTAGATTAAATCATAGGAAGCAATGGATGCTGCATTGTTGTTTTGAGCAATTTCAGCTGCCTCTTTCCAAGCCGATTCCTTGACGAAGATGGTGGTAGTTTTTGCTTTGGAACTGTCTTTCAGGTCAAAGGACATGACGCTTGGTCTGACTTTTGGGTTGAAAGGTGCATCTAAACGCAGACTTGAAGTGATTAATGGATTAAACGTTTTTGTTCCAATTACAAGTTTCGTGCCTGTGGTATTTTAGATACAAAATAATAGAAAATAATAATATTTGAAAATGAAGATGTATAGAAATACTTTGAGACTGTATATAAGATGTTCTTTATTCATAAATAAAAGTGTCCCTTTTTATAAGAAAACACAATCTGCTCTTGTCATTATGTCTTAATTTCTTAAGGCTTTCTTCCTTTATTATATTTGATTATTAGAGTGTATTTACTGCTCAACTAGTATTGGTGTTACAATTGACATCAAGTCATAAATTGTACTTCTTTAGCCCTTAGCTATTCTTTTCTCTTTTACATTAGAGCTTTAGGACTTCCTACTAAATTAGCTCCATATAGCTCTGACACAGTTTACCCGGCAGTATGATATAATTATCTTAACGATCTTTAAGATATTATCTACAGTACTAACTGCAATAATTATTGGCACGATTACTTAATCGTTTATATATATTTTATATGCTGACAAGATGATAGCTACTAAGCTACCCCAATATGAATATGTTCTTATATGTGATAAATCCAACAGCCGAGTGTCTGGATCACCACAGTGCCATCCGCATCCGCTATTGTTGTGGGGTATACGTTTTTGTATTTTGTGTCTTCGGGAGGAATTGAGGTACACATTGATCCCCCATTTTTTGTTCGAAATGATTATCGATGAGCACCCAAAGTTCTTCCTCGACCAAACACCTCGACACAGTTCACAAGCAGCGCTTTCCCAGTAGATTCATTTAATAAGATCGATCCTGCCAAAGCTCGGCTGCAAGCATACCTCACACTTTTGTGGATTGAGTAATCTTGATTTAAAAACATAGGCATATCGTTTGTAAGTTCAATATAGGTGTAATTCATGATGTGTTGTCGCAAATAAGGTGATCCAGTACTGATGGCACTGTAAAGGGATATGGGTGCTGTCTGGACCGTTTTTGCCTCTTCAAATGGGCTTTGTTTCGGAACTAAGGGGTACACTTTCATTCTGTCCTTTTTGAAAGCATGTAAATTTTTCTCGTGTGTAAGTGGATTGTATTCGACATCATCGTTGATCAATGCAATAGGCCGTAAATTATACGTGTCCATGATGGTTAGCAGACGTTTATTTCCGCGATTGTCCCAATCTGCTGCTTGACAAGCATTCAGGAACGCGTTATTGTAGTCACGTTTATTAATTATAGTCAAATCCTTAGCAGAAATGTTCGGCACAGGAATATGTAATTTTGGTAGGATGACGTTGTGATTTACTTCGAACTCTTCATCACTGAATATTCCCTCTTCGTTACTGTCAGTGTCGTGCAATAGTAAATGACCTATTAAAAATAAAGGCTGTAAATGATCATATTGGGATGTTGTTGCTATTGGGACACGTAAGTGAGCTTACTAAACGAAATGGCCTTTATAATTAGAGACAGCCATGGCAAACTAAAACATTAAAAAATTAAACAGGACTTTTGGACTTCGCCTGAATGAAAAAAAAAAAAAAAAAAAAAAAAAAAAAAAAAAAAAAAAAAAAAAAAGGTCCAAGAGTCCACAAAAAAAATGAAAGAGCCTATTGCCAATCGGAAAGCCCAATCCTTGGACTCTTGGACTCTTGGACTCTTGGACTCTTTCCACCTCAACGAAAAAAAAAGCAAATTTTAGGGGCACTCAAGCTAGCGAAATTGAGGCTAAAAAAGGTGACCAATTGACAGCGGAAATACAGTAATACAATTTCCAGAGTATATACACAGACTCTCTCTTCCTCAAGATTCCATAGTGTATATTTATTTATTTATTGGGTAAATGGGATTCGCGGGTTAAAATACAGCCTTTATATTTCTCCAGGCAATAATATTTTAGATAGATTTTTATATATAATAAATATATAATGTGTATGTCTATTGCAACATCAAAGCGTGATGCTTGACCTTATTTAAGTACTATGTGAACAAGTTAATAATAATAATATATATATATATATATATATATTTTTTGCTTTTGGACTCATAATTTCTGTTGCATATCAAATAGAAAACAATAGAATAACCAAAGAAAAGGGAGAGTCAAATAGTATTTCACATGCATTATTATTTATTATTCTTAAAAAATAAAGTCTACCTGATCAAATAATATTAAAGCTCAATATCAATATCTATTACACTGTACGAGTGAATATTATTATCAAAAGCAATCTAATAAAGGCTGCCTACACGCTTGAATACTTTATTTATTCTTATGTGTAGATTCTAAATGCATATACAAACAAAACAAAGAACTAAATCATTTCTTATAATTGTATAACTTCTTAAAGGCACCAAGCCAATTTTCTTCAAGTGTGTCTTCAAGCCAAATATATATATAGTCAAATCTAGACTCAATCCTATTTGATTTCCTTTTGTATATTGGTCATCAATATTTTACGGGCTAGTAACATTTCACATACACAAACACCAATGAAATGTGTCTATAGAGATACCTGTATATCCTTTAACCAATTTACATGAATATATGAATATATGAATATTGAGATTTGTATTTTGGTATTGATTTATCGTGTATCTTAGCCAAGACAACGATCATTAAACATTAATTGCTTATATATATATATATTTGGTGAGTAAAGATGTCTTGGTATAAATATCTTGTGATATTCTGGGGATAGAGTTTAAAGAATGCATAAATACATGTTTATTTTGACTCACTAAAAAATGTATATATTCAATAGATTGAGGTCACCGGAATAACCTTGTTTCCTTTTTTTACTTATATACACTTTTACAAAAAAAACCATTAAGTAGTAGATCGAGATAGGTATAGTCATTAGAAATCAATTACACGAGGGCAAGAAAGAAAGCTTATTGGAATCACACTACACTACAAATATATCACATCACATCACATCACATTACATTACATTCTTTATTATCTTAAAAATGTACAATAAAAGAAACCAAAAATAAAGCCATACAAATGTAGTCTATATTTGATATATCTGATTTTGCATTATCATATATTATAGTACATTACCAGACTTCTTTTATCCTACAAGATACCCCCTCAAAAAAAAATGTAGCTCTTGTTGGAATAGATTGCACCACAACTGAAAGTCTATGTACTTAAATTACTATTAGATACTTATAGCCAAGTAAATTGACCAAGATACTAGTGTCCAAAACAGCAATTCTTTATTATCAAATTCACTCAATACTCGGATACTCTTTTCTTAACCTTGATATGTTCAGTGACTCATTCAAACACTCTTTTTTTATTTTATTTTTTTGATCCAAAAATGAATATAACATTTTTAAAAAGGTTTAATTAAAGCAGCGACTTATCCAGGAACGAACCCGATCCCCGGATTTCATTCTAGTCTTCATTACCCGCCTTTTCTTCTACCTATCTAATATCCTCCCCTTTCATTGACTTGGTTTCAAAGCCTCCAAAAGATAATAAGTAACGAATATATTATATAGTATATATATATATATATATTTAGTTACTCACAGCAACAACAGCAAAAAGGATTATTATTAATTGATTTATCCGCCCCCATACACACACAAATAGATATATAGATAAATTGAAATACACATATATTTTACATTAAGGGTTGAGTGAGTGATTGGTAGCGCACAATTACATTAGAGTACTTGAAACTCTTGTCATTGGCACATTTGTTGCCGGCATGGTCGCGAACACACAGCATGTCTGACAGAATTGTGAATGGCAATCCTGTCGACATGTCTGCAGAAGGACCAAGCAAGAAGTTACGGTCAAACGAGTACAGAATGACGCCTGCACTGTCTTGCTTGAATTCACCGTGAACACTGACCATCAGACCATATGGAGTCTGGACAGCATCCACAACAAAGTCTTCTGAGCTAGAAAGGTCATGGATTGTATTTGGCAAACGTGCAAGAGTATGAACAATTTCCTCTTGACCACTAATCAATTTGCTACCGGGGGTTTCTATAAAAAGACAAAAAAGAAAGATAAAGATAAATATATGTGTATGTATATATCTTTATTTATTTATTTATCGATTTATTGATGTACTTACTCGAGTTCTTGGATAACAGTAGGTTTCTGTTCATAGATGCCCAGGTCACAGTCGCAAAATCATCGTCCATCATCTTCTTCTTATCTTTTCGACGTACCTTTTGCTCTTTTTGGATCTTGAGGTTAGTTACCATCGAAAACATGGAAGAGCCGTTGTAGAATGGCCTGAGTGCTAACCGATCAGTGTCAAACAAACTCAGGTATCGTTCAAGGAACGCAAATGTGGTGGCCCTTGTGTGTTCATCTTCAAAGAAGCTAGGAGCCACCCGGATAGGCAAAATATTGGCCTTCTTCAACACCGCAGCTGCCTCATCCACCGTAAGGTCCACAGTCTCGAGATCCAGCATATGTAAGGAAGGAAACAATTTGATCATGTTGATCATGTAACTGCGAAGATTGCCGCGCTGCTTCAGCTCAGACTCGCGCAAGGGGTTTCCGACCAGCAACAGTTCCTCAAGCTGCTCAAGCTTTCCAGATCCACTCAAAGGCTTGATTGCTTCGTAGGTCTTGATCTGATTGTCCTTGAAGGACAGTTTCTTGAGAGTCGGCAAAAACTGGGTCAGAGTTGAGATCTGTCTGACATCCACAAGCTTGTTGTCCGCCAAAGACAAGGCATTGATGTCCTCAAACATCTCACCCGCAAGCTTTATCAGGGCTGGTCCAACAAATTCATTGGATCCACGCACGCCAGGAGGTCGGATGGCTGCCTTTTTCAGGATCGGGTCTGCGGCCATGTTGTCCAGGTTGAGGAATCGGTTCTCGGCATCCCAGCGAGAACGCAAGAAAAGGCGCATAGAGTCGATAGTCGTGAGTTTGGTATCCTTTGTAGGCCCTTCAGGTGTACCAAAGGGTGTTGCTTCGGAAGGTGGGGGGTCCTTGAAAAGGCGGATCTGGAGTTGTCCCTTTCCAAAACTGTATCCATTGAGACGAACAATCGAGTGAGCAATATTGGCATCTTCCACAGTCAATAGCATCTGTCCTTGGTCAAACAACGCATTAATAGGATCCCAGATCTTCTTTGATCTTTTCTTTAAAAAGGGGATCAGACTGGTCTCGGTATTTGGTTCATATCCAGCGACCTACAAGAACACACACACACAGAGATAATTACAGGTATTTAGAAAGTATTTATTTATATATATATATATATAAGTACAGGGACCATAATAAATATGAGAGCCAGAATGTTTTTTTTGTGTCTATTCTTTCTCTTATTTATTCCTTGTTACTTTACTTACAAGAACGTCGACTCTCTTTTCGGGAGCAAGCTCCATCTTTGCGTCTGCATTCTTTTTAGATTTACGATTTCCATAAGGTGTACTACAAAAATTACGAAAAAAAAACGTCAATATAAGGTATAATACTTGTCTGGTTCTGGCTCTCTCTTTTTTTTAACTTGATAGGAATTGTAATAATAAAAGAGTCATTTTTCCTTATTATAATAGTAAAATGTTCAAGTTGTAAAATACTCACAATCTTCTTTTAGATTTTGAGCCAGAAGATCCAAATCCCATTGAAATGTCTTCGTCTTTTTCAATGATAGTTGCCTTTGGGACAATAGGCTTTTGTGCTTCACCAGCAACTGAAATAATTGCATTTTTGCCAGCCGCGCGAACTTTTGAGGTCAAGGACTTTTCTGGTTTGGCGCTTCGCTTAATTGTCTTCCATGAGCCACCTCCAGAACTACCATTCGAAACATCCATCGAATCCCCGGGCTTTATGAAAGTTGTAGAAGGGATATTGAACACAATCGGTGCTCCGTCAGTGATCGGGTTGTTGTCTGATTTGACAGGAAAGCCGAACATGCCGGCGAGTCCTTTGCTTGCTGGTTTCGGTGTGCTGATTGGATTTGTTGCCATGATTTTACTATTATTATTATTATTATTATTATTATTTTTAAAATTAAAGAGAAAGAGAAATAAGTGGAATTGGACTTGATTCCTTGTGGTTTGCTTCGTCTTTTTCTTTTCTTTTCTTTAAAATAATAATAATATATGTAAGATATATATATATATATAAAAGTATATGAAGAAATAATTTAAATTACCTAAAGAAGCTTTTTTTTTTCTTCTTCTCAGTTAAATTTATTTCAAAGTCACGAGGCAGTCACTTGAATTAAAAAGATCCTTAAATTACTGGTCAACTTCTTTCTGTCTATTTATCTCTTTTATATATACACACAAACACACACACGCACATATATATATATCAGCAATAATTAGGAGGAACCATCGAAAATTACAAACTACACAATTCAATGCAAATACAGAATATTCATATCCAAAACAAGAAAAAGAAAAAAAAAAGAATTGCTTATCGGCATCCTGACAAACAATATAATCGTATTGTTTTTGTCGATAACATCGAAAGTAGAGATGATATATTACTGAGGCTAAAGAGAAAAAATGAATATATAATATAATATACTGAATAATTACATTATTAATATGTTAGATTATATATACATACACTAGATTGGCTCTAAATGTGGTGTAATATTGAGTAAAATGGTAATTTAAAGGAGTGTAAGAGTAATGAATACGAAAGTCTTTGACCCAAAAACTAAAAAGAACAGAGAGGAAAGAAATATCAAATGTATATATAGTCTCGCATTGTTAACAAGAATGTAGTTGATAGAGATAGAGGCATAGACAGAGGTATAATTCAGTACAGGTAGGGCTTCTCTCAAATTTGATATTGCGACGTCAACGGGCTCGATCTTTTGTATACCGTCCAGGACTGTCAAAGGATTCTCTAACAGAGTCTAGCTCTTAGAGCATCCACAGCGGTCTGTGTAAATTTAACAAGAATGTTAATTTAGACAGGAAATTTAGATTTTTCATCCCCAGCGGATTGCTTAACTAAAAGTTTTAACTGATTATTTCTCAATAATAATTACCGTCTTTTTAAATTTAACAATTCACAAAAACATCCAGGGCTTTTTTACATACACTGCTAATTTTACCCAGACCGTTGTGGGTGGTCTAAATTATCTCTTTTAAATGCGGCTTTTTTATTTTACGTAATTATTTTAGTTACACATACCACTGTGGATGCTCTAATAATGATTGAAAATTAAATTGCTATTTAATTTTTTTTAAAAAAAAAAACAATGAAAATTTAATTTTTTATTAAATAAAGCTTTGACTGTATCAAAAACATCAGATAATTCAAATAATTTAGCAGCATTGAAAACCTTAAAAGCTTAAGAGACTTTAAAGGCTTGGAAGATTCTAGATGCTTTAAGGGCTACAGGGGCTGTAGACACTTCAAAGACACCAGAGATTTTAAATAACTCAATGATATCAGAAACATTCTTGCCATCATCATATACATATTATTATGCATATACTATATACGATGGTAATTTTATGCCCAATTGAAATAAACAGTAGAGAAGTAGCTAAAGTTAGAAATAAAATGGCACACCATATAGCAATCGAATTCATGCAAGAGGACTTCTGGGTATCAAAACAATTATAAAAATATAAAAGGCTTTAATAACTTTAGAGAAACGGGTAGTGCAAACGGGTAGTGAATACTTAAAATTGATAACAGTATAAAGACCATATAATAAACTTTAGGAAGAAGTATTATCATAAATGTTAGAATATGAGTATATTCAAAGTATTAAATAAAGAAAAAAGAAACTAAACATCAAGTGCGATTATTACTATTTCATTTGAACCAAGGTTCTCAATTGTTGTATGGGTCATTTTTGTTTTTGTTACAGTTTCAGATATTTAAATAACCTTAGACGAATAGTATGATTATTGCTTCTTAAACTGTTCCAACGGGGGCAGCCGGTCTACCTCGTTTTAGATCAAAAGAATTGACTCTAATATAATACGTGGGCAATACACCCGAGAGAAGATCCCTTTTTTGAATATATTGACTATCTATCAAGACTACCTTAAAAAAACTCTTTTTTTTTACCTCTGCCAAAACAAACTATATTATAGGATGGATCGTAAAAATATTCGCATTCAAATTGTTTCTTAACTCGTCCAAAGAAATCACGAATAATAATTTGCTAAATCTCAGTGTTCCTATCAATACTCCCGAGAATACAATTACAGAAAATAAGCTTCTTTAAGACCAACTTGGAAAAGAGAACTATTGAGAAATCTTATATTTGGATACGAATATGACAATAGTTATATATCTTAAAAAATTACTGAAATTCAAACCGGGTGCAAGGAAGTATGAACATTCATTTCATCGAGGGAACTATAGGTCCTCAATTATTGAATATAAAAGCTTTAAGAGGAAAACATTGGTTTGGCTCCTTTTGGAATTAGTTAGAAAAAACGAATTGTTTTTGAGTTCAAGAGATACCATGATGAATTTAATATTCTTAAATATCATCAAAGTAATAAAAAATCTATTACTAGAATTTTGGGCAGACAATGTAATTGTATTGTATTGTATTTTTTTTTAGTTTTAGCCTTGTGCTTGACTGTCTTGGGGAGCTTAATTGATGTTTTTATATTGGGCTGTGAATATTGACAATACATGCTATACGCTTGAATTGTGGAGCACACATGTGTTGGTTTGAAAGCATATATTGAAGATACTAGTCCGGATGATGTAGATTGGCCCTCCTGATGTGAGTTGTTATTTTATTTATTTATTAGTTTATTATAAGGCTGGTTTTAGGTTAATTTGGCATACACTTTGAAGAGTATATGTATGGACTCAGTTGAATCGTTTTCTTATTTCATTATATAGTCTCCATGAAGAAACAGCAGCTCCTAAAAGAATTTGATTGAACGCTGATAACAAAACATTTATTACAAGGAGTTTCTATATTAATAGGCAATATGACTTAAACGCTCAAAATACAAAAACTAAAGAATTTTCTGAGTTCAAGAAATGAATATCAACTACACACTTAACCAAATCCTAGTTACTTGACATAATAAATAATAATAATAAGGCTATTTTGCAGCAATATATAACTAAGCTGTTTTAAAAGAAGGCAGTAGTTAAAATACACTTAACACGTATATTGTTATTACTAGGGTCAGAACAGAAAGCGCGAAAGTCACCGACTATTGAGTACTATCCATATTCGTAGCTTAAATATAAGACTATACCCGTCTTTGAGGAGTGTTTGTGCTCGCTTGGCTCATCGAATTTTAGTTTGTTGAGCTGGGTCCAATAGTATGCATTCACTATTGTCCTCTGGAGTAGACTTTGTATAAATTTTTTATTCAGTAGCACTGTGTAGCACACCTTCTGATTAGGATAGAAAGTATAAATTTGGTACTGTCTATGGTAAACAGCTATAACTTTGATATTCTCGAAGGTCAATTGTGAGTTCTTTGTTTTCATTTGCCCGCTCAAAATAAAATTGGATAGACTTTAGAACTATCCTTCCTCTAAAATACATACATAGTCATAAGGATAGAATATATTAAGGTGATTCAGGAAATTTGAAAAAGGAAAATATTTCGCGGTCTGTAGCTGTAATCAAGCTTGCTAGCAAAAAAAATCAACAAAAAGTTAACAGCAACAGCCTTCAAAAATAACCAAACTTCACACTCGTAAGTAGGTATAATCTACAGAAAACAATATCAAATCAAATACTCCCATCCCAATCAATCAGACCAATGATAAATCTAAATAAAGTAGACTAGAATCTTGCCATCTCACCGGGTGGGAACAAAAGTATAATTTTAAGCGATAAAAACTATATCAAATCATTTGACTATAAGCCTTTTGCGATAAATCAGTACAAAAAGATATATTTATCAAGAGCCAGTGTTCCAAAAATTCAGTGCAATCGTCTATTACTAATCTCAATCGAGAGTCCATGCGGTAAAGAGGGGGGAGCGGGCGCTTGACTCGCTGCACTTTTGTCTGTATCAAAATGATAGAGACACAATAGTCAAAGAAGTGAGAGAGAACTGGGTGCGTATGTTTGGTAGAATGGATTTATATACGTACGCTTTTTAAAATAGATTGGTATTTTAGACCTGCATGCAAGTAAAAATCTTTCTCGCTTCCTCGTCCCTTCCTTTCCTGACTCTATGATATGACATATCCTCTTATTAACTATAATACAATCATTTATTCAAAGGCTTGGCTTATTTTTGAGGAGCACATAAATTGACAATGATGTCCAAATGGCGATCATCAAGATAGATAAAGAATATTTGTACATATGTTGAAGATGTGGAGAATCTAGTATTACTTACAGCGTATAAGCCTTTAGAATAATTGTCATCCATAGACTTCATATGTGGAAATCAAAAGTTTTCTATGGATAATATATAGTATATGCACTTCTTTGTTCTTTCTTAGAAAAAAAACGTACAAATACACACACACACATATATAGAAATAATTTGATATTTATTTGTTCAATAATAAATTGGTATGTTTTACAAGTCAATCCTAAAGATCGACAAACGCAAGATGTTCAGGAAGGTAACGTTTTCCTGCAGTATCAGCATTCTCAATCAAACGTCTCATCTCAGCCACCTCTTCTTTTGACAGAACAATGTCTCCAGCCTTGACGTTCTCTTCAAGGTACTTAATTTTTCTAGTACCAGGAATTACAATGAATTCAGGGCCTTGAGCAAGAACCCATGCCAGCACATATTGACTGGGAGTAACTCCCTTCTTAGTAGCAAGTGAAGTAATTCCTTCAACAAGGTCAAGGTTCTTGGTAAAATTTTCAGGATAGAAACGAGGAAAATAGCGTCTTAAATCGGTTATATCAAGATCGTCAAGACTTTTGATAGCACCAGTCAAAAAACCACGACCAAGAGGAGAGCTATAAGTGGAACATGTGCTTCAATATCATCGCTTGGCCAGTCTTTTGTGACACGGCTATTATTATAATGGCAGGTGTTTTTTTTTACTAGACTTACTATGCCACAATAGAAACACCTAATTCACGAGCAGTATCGAGCAAACCATTAGTCTCAATATCCAAGGTCCAGGGTGAGTATTCGGTTTGGACAGCGGTAATTGGGTGCACCTTGTGGGCACGACGAAGGGTTGCTGCAGAGCATTCAGATAAACCTAATAATTATCAAAAAAAGTATGTGAGATACTGGAGTATATCTGTCCGTATATTATGCTGTAAATCACTTGCCAATGAAACGAACACGGCCTTCCTTGACAAGTTCAGCCATTGCTCGGACAGTCTCTTCAATAGGACTTGAGAATATGTTAGTCGAATTTCATCCATACAATGGTAAACAAAAAACAGTAAACAGTGAAAGGAAGAGACGACTCACGTATTAGGATCAACACGATGCTGGTAATACAGATCGACTACGTCAACACCAAGTCTCTTTCGACTTTTCCCGAATGCTTCGCGGACATATTCGGGCTTGCCACTTATACCAGTAATCTCTCCAGCCTTAGTGCGAACAAATCCAAACTTTGTAGCCAAGAAAATCTTATCTCTCTGGGTCTTCAATACACCAGATAGTAGACGCTCGTTGTGAGAGTCGATTCCATACAAGTCAGATGTATCCCAGAATGTTGATCTGTATAATCATAAATATAAATTCCAATACACGCATATATATATAAGCGTTTGCACACATACCCTATCTCGATTGAACGCTCAAGTGTCTTGATATTCTCTTCATCGTTTGTAGGGCCATAGAACTCACTCATTCTATAATTAAAATGTTAACATGCTTTATATGAAAGTTGGTTTAAGGCAGTGATTTAGTATATGTATCATTTACCCCATGCAACCAAGTCCAATAGAAGACACCAATACACCAGTCTTGCCGAGTTCTCTGAGGTGAGCCATGTTTTATTGTTTGATTTGTAGTAAGATGCTTGTAGAATGAAAATGATACTGACACTATAAACAGTCTTTTAGATTATCAATTTATACTTTTTTATTTTTTGCTTTTTTTCTTCTCTATAGTCACCTTCATATCACAATTTTTAAGGTTTAATATTCCAGATAGTTATATAATTAATTAAGTAGATTGACTATAAAGATTAAATGGCTTAGATTAAATAAGAAAGTCTTCAGTATAGAGTCTCTTTGGGTATAAACTCTACATGGTTAATGAAAAAAGCTGGATTATTACTGGGAGTGATCTAATGGCCTAGTTATCCTTCTATTCTTCTCTTTTAGCTTTACTAAAATTGGATAAAGCATACGCAACACCTTTGCCTATAATAGATCTCTGTTATCTATGTAAGGAAATAAAGGTTAAATTAATACCGGGATTACCAAGAGCTCATTTGGCTTGAAGTACCAAGTCCCCTTTTTTTTTAAAGAAAAATTTCAAGTAAAATATGTATAGCTTTACTATAACCCTCCGAAAAAGAACACCAAGTAAAATTCCAGTTACTATCATGAAAGCTTTGTGTAGTAGGAGTTAGTTTGTCTAGAAGATTATGTGTTTCTGATTCCATAAAATCATTCTATTCAATACACATATAAATTTCTTTAAAAGAAAATAATCTGTCGTTATTAAAGGCTCGTACAAGACCCAATAAATTTAATGCTGTAAAGTAATATAAGAACAAGAAAATTAAAGGAAAAAATGAGTAATGTATATCCTTGATCATTCATTTTATTTAAGCTACCATTTAAAGCATGTGTATTCAATAAAGCTGTAGTCAATCTATACAACATGTTTAATAACAAATTTCCTAAAGGCAAATTAACAAACCGTCTATTGGACTTTCGTTACAAGGGGTACTCAACCAAAAACTCTAAACAAATATAAATGTAGAAACCAGTCAATAATATTGCTTTTTAGCTAAGCACTATGTAGAATAATGAGACTATTTTTCTGTTCAGTCATAAACGGTCTGTCCGTAGGAAGAGACGTGGAATATGCCTTAATATCTAAATTTGATGTGACCCCTACAGTAAGTAGAATAATAAACAGAGTCGCAGGCCACCTTAATAAAAATCAATTCTTTTTTTCCTTTGCTTTGTTGTAAGATGGTATATTGAGAGATTCCTGAGCGAGATTAGAGAAACCATAGCTACACTTCATTAAGTCTTTAGCTGACAACACTGAGTGAAAGGCTGAAGACTTACAACAATAACGTACCTACCATCCCTGGGAAAAATATTAACAAAACCCATGTGAGAAGCTCTCTACCAGTACATCATAATCCACCTTACACCACCCCACGCATACTTAATTTCAGATATTTCCATAATTTTCCGTTCCTGAGCCAGACTACCCCACATTCATCCCTCTCGAACTCCTCAATACCTACCCTTTGTCCGATATCACAACACGGATTATTCCTAGACGATATACGAATTGTACTCCAATAATATTTTAGCATTAATTTAAAACTTTCTCAAAAAAAAATTGGACAAGTCCCTGTGTTTAAAATTTCGATTTTTTTTTTAAAAAAAAAGTGTGGACAGTCTTAAATTAATCTGATTTACTAAGCTCATTCTTAACTTTTTAGGCTACTCACACCAAATGTATTTATTTCTGCCATATTAATTTAACCAAACTCTTGAAAAATGTTGCCTTTTTTCTTCAACGATCTTCTTTATAAATACATCTCGTATCATATCAGATCATGCCTATATTTATGTGTGTGTATAACCATGTAAAAAACAAAAAACAAAAAAAAACACTATAATCTTAATAAACAATTTTCTTTCTTTTGGTTTCATTTTTCATCATTATTTATTTCTTTATATATATATATGTTTAATTCCATCTTCGTGTCTTCTTGGTTCTTTGAGCAAATGGAGGAGGGGGACGATAATTGGGTTCATCTTGTTCTGGGAATTGGCGCTTGGCTCCCATAGGTACCGGCCGGCCCGCGTTTCCTTGAAGTGGGGGTCCAGCTTGATGGTGCATGGGTTGTTGTTGCTGTGGCTGTTGTTGCTGTTGCATTGGTGGGCGTGAAGGATGGAAAGGTGGGCGCGGTTGGAAAGGTATTCCACCAGAGTTGAGATCGTTGTAACGACCGCCGCCGCCTCCACCTCCACCGCCACCGCCACCGCCACCATTAGGGTTTATCATTGGAGGAGGAGGTCTGTAGCCAGGCATGTTACGAGGTGGTTGAAGAGGCATGTTTCCCATAGGTAATTGGCGCTGCATATTACGTGGTCCACCCATTGGATTATTATTATTATTATTATTATTATTATTATTGTTGTTGTTGTTGTTGTTGTTGTTATTATGTTGCTGTTGTAGTTGCTGTTGTTGGTGGTGACGAGGAGCCATAGGTCCTCCATGACGGGGACCTCCATCGTGGCGTGGACCTCCGTCGTGGCGAGGGTTGTCATGGCGAGGGCCATCGTTGCGAGGGCCATCTCCATGGGACATAGTGCGGAAATTCCCAGGTCCATCATTAAAATTTCCAGAATGTCGCATGTGTTGCTGTTGCTGTTGCTGTTGCTGCTGTTGCATTGGTGGTCTAAAGCCCATGTCCTTGAAACCCATGTCCTTGAAACCCATGTCCTTGAAACCCATATCCTTGAAACCCATGTCCTTGAAACCCATGTCCTTGAAACTCATGTCCTTGAAACCCAAGTCCTTGAAACCCATGTCCTTCAATGACATGTCTTTACCAAACGGAGGGCCATTAAGGGGTCCACCGAGCGGTCCACCACCAAGCGGTCCCCCTCCACCAAGAGGTCCTCCACCCCCACTACTATTATTCCCACTTCCTTTTCCCCCTAATCCTCCCCCTAATCCTAATCCTAAACCTAGTCCTAATCCAATCGGCCCATTCCCAAGAGATCCGTTGTGGGCTCTAAAGGGCGGTCTAAAAGGTATGTCTCCTGGGTCTTGGCGCTGGGCATTGGCAGGACGGAATGGTGGGGGCTCAATGCGACTTGGCCCAGGCGCACCATGGGGTCTAAATGGAGGTGGTTCTGCAAAGCTTCTGCTTTCTTCTTCATTCTTTTCTGGCTCATCGTTACGATGTTGGCTAGAGTCGAATTTGTCATCGTTCGTTTCTCCAGGTCTGGGTCGTGTCCAGAACCGAGTTGTGTGGTCGTTGGACCCAGAGACTAGGATGTGTCCTACTGGATGCCAATCGAGGGACCAGATGTGGTTTTCATGGGCCAACTCTTGCTCTCCAATTGGTGCATCTTGTCTATTATATAAATATACGTATATAATGAGTTGAATATATATATGCGTAGTGGAAATGTACTAAATACCAAGTAGAAAATAATATTATCTATAATAATTACCCTGTTAACCAGAACATTAATGAACCATCTGAACCACCAGTAGCAAGAAGTCGCTCATGCTGAGGATGCCATTTGGCAGCTTGTGATAAAAAAGAAGAGCATATTAGGTTAAATATTGTTATAAGAAAAAAAAATGGTATAGTATGATATGATATAACATAATATGATAAACTTACAGCAAATTTCTTTCTTATGGCCTCTGAAGATCTGGAATTCCTTCATCATACGAATATCGTACACTTTTACCAGTTGATCTCTACCTGCAGTGACAAGCCAGTTGCCATTCTGATTCCACTCGAGCGCTAAGACAGTATTTTTATGTCCATGCCTACAAACAAATACATACGCATATATAAATAAATACATGTATACGTCAACCTAACACATATACACAAAAGACTATTCTTTGGAGATAATATAACGGCATAAGAGACATTATTTTTATTTATTTATTCTAAGGTATATTGGTATGTATGTATGAAGAAAGGAAAACCTGAAAAAAAAGACTTACAATGTTGTGATATTCTTGGCTGTCTTTGGATCCCACAATTTAATTAGATTGTCTTTACTTCCGGAAGCCAAGAGTGCTTTGTAGGGATGCCAGTCTATACATTTTACATCCCAACCGTGACCTGTCAAGGTTTTCTCTTCTTTGCTTGTATTGAAATCCCAAATCTTGATGAGTGAATCGTCTGAGCAGGTAGCAAATCTTGTGTCTGATGGTGCAAATCTAATGATTATATTTTTTAGTTAGTTAGAGAGATCAAAAGATTGAAACTATCATGGTTTGTTTGTACGACAACTTACGTTAGATCTCTAATGGCCTCATTATGACCTGTAAACTTGTGTAGATTGCTCATATTCGATTGCCAATATTTGATAACACCACTGTGGTCTGCGGTGACCATCCAGTCGTCATTGTGGGACCAATTCATGGCACGCACTGCGGAATCGTGAGCCTATCGACAATAAATGTATATATATATATAGGAAGGGAGCAGTATAATTTAATTGAAAATAAGAAGAATTATTAAATGAATATTTGGTATGATTTGTGTGTATATTCGTTTATTTCTCACCTGTAGTATGGTTTCAAAGTTAAAAGTCAAGCCGTTCCATAGGGTGAATTCACCGCTAGATGAGCCTGTAATCAAACGACGTCCTTCGGGAGTCCACTGAAAGCGTTTATTAATATTAGATATATATATATATATATCTGTGAATGTAAATACAATAATACGGAAATCGGATACTACGAAGACGAAGGCGACAAACGTACCCGGACTACATTAACTGGAAACCGGACTTTATTCGTAGAAGTATGAACAAACTTGGTGGTTACTGCATTGACAGGATGATCGAGATAGCCTGCTGGCGCCAGTAGCTAATATATATATATATATAGATATATATATATGTTTGTATGTATATGTATATATATATATATATATATATATATATATATATATGTTCATATAGACATATGTATAGATAGATATATGGATATATTGATAAATAGATATATATGTATAGATTTATAGATGTATAGAGATGTATGTATAGATGGTATGTTTATTATATGTATGTGTGTGTGTATATGTAGATATGTGTAGATATATAAATATGGTTGTGTGCGGGTACGGGAATTGGTATATATATATATATATATATATATGTGTGTGTGTGTGTATGTGTGTGTGTATATGTAAGAGTCCATGTAAGTAATTTTATAAAAGTGAATTTGATATATATAAAAATATACTTGTTTTTCAATACAAGCAGTATCTTTCTCTTTCTAATTATTTCTTTACGTCTTTCTTTTTTTGGGAATTGTCTTTGGGTATGGAATTGATATTTGAATTGGAATTGGTTATTTACTTACGCCCACCACAAAGTTATCATCTGGTCTCAGGTATCGAATATCTCTTCGGTCACGTATCCACACGCGTTCCTAAAAGGATGTAATTGCAATTCAAAGCAAAGCATAGGTACGTACACATTTCGTGTTTGTATATGTATATGTAAATGTATGTGAATGTATACACACCAGCACATATATATAAAGATATAAAAAGGGAATTCGGTACAATATATCAGCATTCATTCCAAATGCATCAAGTATATATATATATATATATATAAAGGAGAAGAGAAGTAGGAACAGGAGAAGGAGCATAAGGAGAAAGAGAAGTAAAAGGAAATTTATATATAGGCAAATAGACACATAGACACATAGACACACACACATATATATATATATGTATACAACGAATACAATTTTTTGTTTTTTTTTCTTTTTCAGTTTTATTACAACAAAGCCATGTATTTATATGTCTCTCTTTCTCTGTCTGTCTGTCTGTTTGTCTCTGTCTCTATGCCTTTAGATATACACTTCTTTACTATCGTTTTTGTTTTTTTTTGACTAATGATTTAATTGTTGAAGAGAAACATTTATACTAGGATTTCGAATCATTGAAACGAATGGAATGAAAATACAAATAATATGTATGCATATAGACATACATATATAAAGAAGAAAAGGAAGAAAAGGAAAGAGAGAAACATACCTGCATCCATCGTGCTATGCTGTGATTATAATCTACTGTTCGTCGTTGGATTGCTTTTCTCATTCGTTTTCCATCAAAAACCATTTTTGAGAATGGCACATTGCCTTCTCCAGCAACCCCACTGGGTGGCCTTGAAGAAGGTCTACCAGCAGGACGTCCGAGTGCGAATGCTCCAGGCGTTGGTGTGGCATTGGATCCAGTTCCTTGAGAAGCAGGATCACGGCTATCTTTCTCTGGCCAAGATGGCTTTTCTGTTGGTGGGGCGGTCGCTACTTCCATCATTCGAAGTAATTCGTTGTTCTTCTTCTTCTTTTTCTTATTTCTCTTTTTTCTTTGTCTTTGTCTTGAATTGTTCTGTATATAATATATGTATGTATGTATATCTCTGCGTGTGTTTAGATTTTCGTAAAGGTGTTTACAAAGATATATAGGTCTATATATTTCTTTATACGTGTTTGTATGTATAGTCGTACAACAATAGTAGTAATGGTAGTAATGATGTATATGTGTATTATATAAAATATATAAAAAAAAAGATGAAGGAGAAAAACTAAGCAAGGAAAGAAATTTAGTCATTTTCTGTTAATATCATACGGAGAATGAAATATGTTGACTTTATGTTTGCTCGTGACGTTTGAGAACCAGTCACTTTGGATTAATTTATATTATATATATGTTTTTTTATTTTATTTTTATTTTTAAAATATATATATAATATATAATATATATTTATATATAAAAAAAAAACAAGGAAAAGGGTGTATAAATTGTATAAATTGTATATATATAAATAAATATTTATATAGGATGTACATATGAAGCTATAGAAGAAGAATAAAAGAAAAAAGGATGGTTTTAAGCTCTGCTAAGTAAGAAGACAAGAGAATAGGTAAAGGTGAAGGTTGGAGGAGGGGAGGGGAATATGTTGCTTTAATTATTATTATTATTAGTACACTTCGTTACTCAAAGGGTGTCTGAGGGCGGTCGTTGCTAACTGGGCTTCTGAGCTGTTTAACGCCACCTATAAGACACAAACAAAAAATGTTGCATTTATATATATAAATAAATAAATAAATAAAAACAATATAAGAAATTGATATATAAATATCTGATCTGGTTTCTTTGTAGAATAAACCAACTTACCCTGAAGTGAGAGGTTTTCAGCACCAATAAGTGAGTGATGGACGTGCTCGATAGATTTGAAATATTTTACAGTCTAATTTAATAATAATAAAGAAAAATCATATATAAATATAAAGTAAGTCACTTTGGGTTAAAATCATCATAATCTTTTGTATATATATATATATATGTAGATGAGGTGTTCCTTGTCCTACCTTTACGTGTAATTCCAAGGTAGCATCTTCGTCACACACAATCAAACCCTTGGGGTGCATCTGGATAGCAGAAACAGTCCACATGTGATTGACACCGTCCTCGATACATTTTGCCAGAGCAATAGCCTTGTGAGCACCAGTAATGATAACAACAACCTCACGAGCATCCATTACAGTACTACAGAACAACATATTGGTTAGAATGCCCCACATTCATTTAATCTCTTTCACACAAATGAGCCAGCAGACAGACAGCATGTACTTGTCTTGTATTTTTATGATGCATTAAGTACTTACGCTACACCAACAGTCAAGGCAAGTTTGGGAACCTTGCTGATATCACCATCAAAGAAACGAGCGTTGGCAATGATGGTCTCATAGGCAAGGGTCTTGACACGGGTGCGTGATGTAAGAGAAGAACCAGGCTCGTTAAAGGCAATGTGACCATCGGGACCAATACCACCCAAGAAGAGTTCAATGCCACCAACGCGTGCAATGTCGGCCTCAAACTTCTTGCACTCTTCATCCAGATCCGGAGCATTACCGTCAAGGATGTGGACATTCTCTGGGACTATATCGACATGCATAAACAGACTCTTCCACATAAAGGAATGGTAGGATTCGGGGTGGTCACGGGGAAGGCCGACGTACTCGTCCATATTAAAGGTAACGACGTTTTGGAAGCTCAATTCGCCTGACTTGTACAACTCGACAAGCTTCTTGTAGACACCAATAGGCGACGATCCAGTAGGAAGACCCAAGACAAAGGGACGTTCGCTTGACGGCTGGAACTGGTTGATACGCTCCTTGATGTAGTTTGCTATACAAGAAACAGATAGAATAAGATACCATGATAAGCAAATTGATTATCTATTACTGCTATTGTTCCTCATTAAATGTACTCACCGATGTAGTGGGCTACTTCTTCATAGTCTTCACGGATAATCAGTCTCATAATGAATAGATAGATAGATATACTTATATAAAATGGAGGGGTAAACAAGTAAGGTACTAAAACAGGATAACAAAGGTGAGCAAAAATAGGGCCTTTTTATATATGTTTCAAGACTTCAAAAAAAAAAGGTCCGCCTCGCGGGTCCAAAGACTGATGACCCAATCAGACCCCAGACACAAGACAAAGACGGACATTGTACAAAAAAGAAAAAAATTCATTTTCCTTTTCATTAATAAATAAATAAGAATAGTCCATTTTATATTCTATATATTTTATATTATTTTGTGCCCTTCAGGGTCTGTGTTTGTACATAATCCTTGGTTCACCTTGGTTACCATAACTACCTACCCCCATTTCCTGTAAAACGCTCTCTTTCTCTGTTGTAAATAGATATTCATATTCGTTTGCCATTCTTTTACCAATTTATAGATATAACAATTCCAGCTAATCTTCCTAGGTATAATATCAATGACGGTACAAAGAATATATATATACATTAATGTATAATGATAACACAATCTGTGACCAACTAACCAGCAAAAAAAAGGACCCAAAAAGGGTCCCCTTCGGTAATACACCCTTTGCCAAAATGATGTCGCAAGAAAAAAAATTAAAGTGTCGCACTTTTTTAAAAAACAGTGTCGCATGTTTTTAGAAAAGAGTGTCGCATCTAAAAAAAAATAGTCGTACTTTTCAAATACTGGATTTTGCAGTCATTTTGCATCGGTGCGATACCATGTCGATTTTTTTTTTGCATCTGGCTAAGAGATATTTTTGGATTACATCTGTCGACGATCGATGAGTTTCTTCAAACGATGTGTAAATGAAAAGAGAAATCCCTAACCCATAGGTCAAAAAGCGTAAAAGCGTAAAGTAAAATAACGTCAACATCGTCGTCACAGAAAAAAGAAATTGGTAAGGTATGAAAAAACCAATTTTGAAACGAATTTTTGTATTTTTATTTTTTTTGAGTTCACGAGATAAAAAAATCGGAGTAGCCCTGGCTGATAGCTCTTTTTAACAATTGCTATTTTTTTTTATATTAACGGTGCTGATAGTGATTAGGAATCGTTTTTCATTTTGTGGTATATATTCTTCAAACTATGGCTATTCGAGTACTCTGTGAACAGGCCCTTCTTCTTTCCTTCTTCCCAACAGGCAGACCAATTCATTCGACCATTGTTATTTTGTTTCCAAGTATTGACAAATACAACCAACTTTTCATTTTTGAAATTTGTAGAACAAGAAGCACCATCAAAGACTTTAGAAAGCTCCATTGGTGTTGTTGCTTCTGGCGGTGTGTTGCTTGATCCCTGTTTCATTGCATCGTACTTCCTTTTGAGACTCGCGCTATAATGTCGCCCTGCATCTGCGTATCTTTGCGCTTGCTTGGGGTTGTCGAAAATGGTCGATAATATTTTCTCAAATTGAATTTGTGTTGCTTGACAAATCGTTTGTAAGGCTTCCACTTTGTCATTCTCTGCCTCCCTGTCCTTTTTGACCATTTCCATAGCGACCAAGTACAATTTTGTGACAGTTGGGTCGTCCCATCGGTCAATGCTGATGATGCTTTGCTGACCAGACGTCAAAAAATGGGCAAAGGCAACCAAAGGGTCCAATGCATTTATATCAAGATTGTCGATGAAAGGATTGATACTCTGTTTGGTCAGCATGAAGCAATTAGTTGCAAAGTGGCAGCAAGGTGTTTCCAGGAGGTAAGACTTGTTTTGGATAGGTTTGAAGAGTTCCCCGAGGGCTTTGGATTCCGTTTTTGAGGTACAGACGATGAGTAGGATTGGGAAGATGTGGAAACGCCTGTACACATTCAGGCAGTACTGGACGGCTCGGCACATAAACACATGTGTCATCGTGTGCTGTATTTCCACTAATACAGGGGATAAGTTGGCAAGACACGGCTCTTTCGCACATATCTCACTTTGGTCGGGGAAGATAGTATGAAGAGTTAGTCAATATTTAACGGTCCCCCTCTATGTCCCCACCCATCCTCTTGGTCACTCTTTAAACCCACCCTCTCGGTCATTCTCTTCATCCATCTCGGTCAATCTCTACGCTATCTCTTCTCGTTTTCGCTGCAATTCAGCATGTTCTCCCAATTGTTTCCTGTTTGACTTTGGGTCACTTTCCCCCACTGGTTGAGCCAAGAAGACTTCAGATCTGTCCTATCTCTTCGCGAAGACGTGACTACGGGATGTGCTTTCTTGGGCTGTTCCAATCCCTCCCTTTAGAAAATTCAGACCTCTCAAAAAACATCATATAACAAATAAAATTCAAAACAAAAGCCGTGGCGTCCTCTTTTGCTCCGCAGCAATAGAGGCTCACCAACCCTCTTTAGCACAAAACTCCCTACAAACAAAAAAGATAAGTTGACAAGTTCTGTTGAACGAGGCAAATAGAAAGTGTCACACTCTGTACCATCGATAAACATGCTGTCACCGGTCGTGTAGGTGCCTGCAGGAACGCTCAGAAGCGAGGTGGTGATCAGGTCGATAGTAAACTGATTCTTAGCCACGAATTTGCTAATTTGATCCGTACCAGGTATATAGTCGCCTGGCAATTTGTATTGTAGCAGCTCTTCTGGTACTAGAAAAAAAAGAAGGCACTGTTAATAAGTTTTAACTTGGGTTTTTGCATTCTATTTGCCTTACTCGTTGTCTTCGCAATTTGAGGAAAGAGGTAAACAGACAGTGTCTCCAAAAAAAAGGATTTGAAACGCCCATTTTTTTAATTTCGGGTGGCGTCCAAACTAAGATTACAATGGAGTTGTTGACGTTATTTTACTTTATGCTTTTACGCTTTTTGACCTATGGGTTAGGGATTTCTCTTTTCATTTACACATCGTTTGAAGAAACTCATCGATCGTCGACAGATGTAATCCAAAAATATCTCTTAGCCAGATGCAAAAAAAATCGACATGGTATCGCACCGATGCAAAATGACTGCAAAATCCAGTATTTGAAAAGTACGACTATTTTTTTTTAGATGCGACACTCTTTTCTAAAAACATGCGACACTCTTTTCTAAAAACATGCGACACTGTTTTTTAAAAAAGTGCGACACTTTAATTTTTTTTTCTTGCGACATCATTTTGGCAAAGGGTGTAAACAACAAAATCCGGACATGGAAATAAAGCTTTCATAAGCAGTTTGAGTGCTAATGATTGGTTATTTTTGTATTACATAATTGTCCCTTGGTTGTCATGGCTAGGACCCTGGCCTGTAGTCTTTTGGGGTGGCGTGTTTTTAAACAAAAAAAAATAGATGACACAAAAAATTAATAATGTGTAACAGATTGACTCCACTATACTATTATTACTGAAGTTCACTTTGTAACCCTTTGACTGCCGTACTACACACTTCGGGAAAATCCTTGTACGATCGAACCTTGACTAATTAGAATAAATTGGGGGTCTTGTGGTCACGCGTGTGTTGGACTGTAAAAAGGGTCTCGTTTATTTTTGTATAGGCACTTCCTATTTCTAGACCATTGTGACCACCTAAAAGGTGGGGTCACACTACACTCAAAGCACCAACGTGCAACAAATGTATTTTTTATATAATCAGGCTATGTAAAATAGCTAATGGTAGTAATATTAACAGCAGCAGTATATGAAGTAATGATTTTTGTATTTTAAAAGCATGAGATATTCTTATTCTTCTTTATTTTACTTTTTTTTTGTATTATTGTATTGCGAACAGGAGCTTTTTTTTTTTCTAAAGTCAAGAAGACTTTTTTTTGCACATCAATGAGTGAAGCACAAATTATTATTATTAAATAGGTAAAATAAAATAGGTTTCGGTGCAAAGTAACATTAAGTAATCCTTAAGTACCGCTGCCACTGACACTGCCTTTTATCCCCTCTTTTCTTTTCCCTTTTCTTCCTTTTTTCTCTCTCTTCCGACAAAACCAATGGATTCAAGTGACTGTTCATAATGACGTAAGATCTCAATGACATTTTTTTTCTTCTTGGGTAAAAAGATGTATGAAATATATATATATATTTATAGTATGATTACTCTTAAATTAAATCACATTTGTTGCCATGACAGTCCAACAAAAATATCGAATAATGAAATCAAACAAAAAAAGCTTATTTATCTGATGTTACCACTCTTTATAATTGACCAATTACTGACCAAATAATTGTTCTTATTATTACTATTAATATATATATATGGCGCGAGTCTTTTACTACTATTCTTATTATTACCCTGATACCGATAGACTCGAGAAACAAAGGTGAGGATTTTCATACAAATATATATATATGTGTGTGTAAATATCGATTGAAGGAAGCATTCATGTGAATTTTTATCTGTGAATGTAAATCATTTATACTCTTTCTTTCTTTCTTTTTGCAAGTGTGCTTTAGTTATATGCACCATTTTTAATAATCATGTTACTCACTACAAAGATATCTATGCTAAATATCATAAATGCACGCACACACACACATATATATGTAACAAGTGAATGTCTTTATTCAATATGATCCCACCATACTCTTCCTTATTCTTCTACTTAGTATCATTATTATTAGTAATAGTAATAGTAATGTTACTCTTCTTTACTTTTAAAAAGAAGACTATCTAAAAAATGAAACCAGTTAAATAAAAATAGACGATAGTTTTAAAGACAACCTAAAATACTTTTCTCTTCTAATAATCCTATCACTGCTAATAATCATACTGATGATGATGCTAAAGTGAGTGCCTTTATTTCCCACAACAAATGGGCAGCTCTTTATATATATATATATATATAAAGAAATGATAATAATAATAATTAATAAATTAAAGATTTATACAGGCATTGGTACTATACAATGTTATTTACCTCTAGAGCTACAACGTAGCAGCCAAATCGTCACTTTGTGTACATAAGTCAGATTCTATTGTTGTACAATGTTCGATAGTTATCTGACTGACGTTGTAAAAAGGAGGTGGCGCGGCACCAAACATAGCTGAGCTTAAGCCTACCAGCGCAATGGCGAGAGCTGGAAGTGCATCTCTCGGCTTACTTGCACAACGATTCTTGACAGTTATGCACAGAGGATTGGTACAAAGAAAGGTGCTTTTGTTGACTTTGTAACGTCCTTTCTTCTTGCCAGAAATCCCCCGGGTTGATTAAAAGTGAGAAGTAGAATATACACGTTTGGGAGGACTTGCACTCATTTGTGAAGCAGATATTGGCTGCCTCTCCATGTACCTTCTGCTTTCACTTACCACCATACTTTATAAAGCATTTGATTCGAGAACCGACATCGGTCCCCCGATCACCAATAAAGAGTATCCAGGGCTTTTTAGAGGAGGACTTATCTGTTGAGCCAAAAAAATGTGCGTTGATAAAAATCGAATACAATACTAATATTGGTAACACACTATTACTCTCTGAACGCTTAAGCCTCAGTCTCTCTTGTCGGCAGAGGTGATGGCGATAAAGATGTTGGATTTGTACATGTCTTTTTTGGCTGATGATTTTCGGAGAATTTTAAAAATCCCGTAGTCTTCGTCGTTGATCGTATTTATCACGAAAGTTTCTGATGGTCATGTCAATAGAAGTAACTGGGGTCGACTCCATTTCTCTCATTGAATCTTCTATTAAGAGGATCTTTTTCCCTTCATTTGTATACTTCTTTAGATAGATTCGAGCCGATACTGTCTTCCTTAGAGTCCTTGCTTAACGCGATGTAATAGTTGAAAAGCTTTAGGTGAAATTTCATTCTTTGTAACGACATCGGTATTGATGTTGTCATATTCACCAGGCCATTGTCAGTGCCTTCATAGTTAAAGTCACCAGGATTCACAACAGTTCGGTCCTCCGTCTTAGTCACACCTTTGTCGCATTTCCCAATTGGGGTTCTGGTATCTTGAGGGACATCTTTAACATTATGGAGCTTTGATTTGAAGCAAATTGTCATCTGTCGAAAATATAGCTGTTGTCTTTTTTCGGCGAGTTCGTTTCTGATCTTGCTAACCGTTATATCATATCTATATCTCGATTTTTTATGTTGTTCAGTTGTCCGGTATAACTGATCCTTGTCATCTGTTGCCCCCTAATTTTATTTGCATTCCTTGGTTTTCTTTTGGAAATTATTATCTTTTAGCAACTCTAGCCCTCTTTTATGGGCAGATTCAAGTGTCTTGACTTCTTCTGTTAAGATTTGAAATTCAGAAAAAAGAGCATCATTTGTTTTTTTTGTCCTTCTTGTATAATGCTTGGGTTGCTTAAAATACGTGCTTTATATGACTGTTTTGTCTCCTCCTTTATGGTGCAATAGGATTTTACTCTTGATCCCGATAATCGCACTGTTTTCATTCCTGGTAGACATGTTATCCGATGTGCAAAAGATAGACCATACGATTCACATGCTTTCTAAATCTCTCCCATATCAAATACTGCGTTAAATGTGGCATCTTCGTTTTGGTGCGATTTGTCTTGAGGCCCTATCAGATCATCCCTATTATATCCTTTCTTTTCTTGCTGGTTGGTATGTGATGATGGTTCTTCCAAATTTTCTTGATCCATATTCTGGATCAATAACTGATATTATGCAACTGAATCCAGGTGTAGTGCACTCGATGACGAGAATGATGTTGAAGGACATAATGCGCGAGTAAACTTTGTATAGTGTGCCTATTTAAGAACGTCGTTTGCGAAGATACAGAAATAGATCTGATACGCAATTACATGATATTGCTTTTTCGGAGGTAAGGACTTCTTCAACGTACTGCAGATCAACGAGCATACTGACTGCTCGGCCGTGGAGGTCTCAGGAGACTGATGTCTGACGTCTTCTAAATATATGGGTGTATAATTGCTGAATACCAAGTGTTTGATTATGGACTCGAGTTGATTCAACCTCCTTTCCGGAACATCATAATCCAAAGTACTCTCATCTTCCAGAAAAACTTGCTGTTCTTCCGCGATGTTCAAGTTCTGAACAACGAGCTTGTGTTCTGCAGAAACTTCCTGTCTATCATTCAGCATTTGGCTTATCTTCTATAATAAAATGAAGCATTAGTTAAAAATTTCCAATCAATAAAAGATGTTTCCACTTTACTTTTTTAAAAGTATGCCTTAACTTTGCTAGACGCTGCTTTGCGCTATTTATCTTTGTGATCCATTTTTCTCCTTCTGATATGTCTGTCTTTTCCTTTTTTTTGTATCAACTTTTTCAACTTTTTATTCTCTGCACGACAAACATAACGCCCATTGTTTCTCATGTCTTTCTTTCCAGGTAGTTTCCTTATTGTTGTGGTCGAGATACGCTTTGATTCTCTATTGCGGGCAAGATGGTGGCGAAGTAGCACTAGTACCACTTTGTCCAAAAGTTTGTTGATTATCTTTTTGCCGTCCCACACATTCTCGAAGTTAACCAGGTACGTTTCAAGAGCCATCACCATTGCAGATTATGATACTACCTCAAGACAGAAGCTCTGTTTATCAAGACCGGATTCTTTGAAAAAACAAAACAGACTATTCTGCATAGGGATGGCGTTTAAAACGTTTTATTTAGCACCACAGGCACCAAAAAGTAGCTATACATGACTTGCAGATTCTGGCTTGTGAAGAGACACTTGAAGTCAGTATCAAACCGCTTAGAGCCAATTAAATTCTTGTCCAGCGGCTGGGTAGTATGTTTTGGCTCGGTGGCTATAACAAAAGGCAGAAATTCTGAGAGGTTGAAGCCATGAACTTTTTTAATCTTGATATCATTGTTGTCAAAGAAAAAATCGCTAGTCCTCAGCTCACTGATTGTCATATTCACGAGTGCCGAAAGGCAACGGGTATAGTATGTCGAGGTAACCATCGAATCTTGTAATCTAGTACACACAAATGTCTTTACAATAGGAGGGAGATCCGTTCTGAAGAGGCTGTTTGTTTGGTGGATTAGCATAAGAGTATTCTTTAGCTATGTCTTTTACGATCGAACCTATGGCAGCCTCGGCTATTTTGTCGAGGTTTTGAGACACAAACTTCCATTCTTCAACATTTTTTATCCCAGGGTGGTGCTCCATATGTGAGCGCATTTCTTTTCTGTCAAACTTGGTAAGTTGTGGTACGTTAGCTATTATTGCTACAGGTAGAATTTTTATATTTAGGAGCTTGTTTTCAGTTCACTTGTTTTATCTTGAGTTTTAGTTTGCTTGACAAGTTCTTATACGCGGTCTCTCATCGAAGTGAAGAAGGATTCCTCCAAGTCTTTCACCGGCCCTTCTACACGATTTCTTTTGTTGGTAAAAAAAAGAAAACGAAGAGGTAAACATCCAATGCGTAGTTCTCACGGGTTTGACGTAATCAAAAGTTCCAAACAATTGATAAATTGTTGCTCAAGCCGAATATTGGATGAATATTATATAAATATAAGCCCTATAAATGACATTCGGGTTATTGAAGAAGTTGTCTATTAAGGAAGTACGTGTAATAAAGGTGTCGAGTTGTGATAATTTCAAGCCAAAAAAAGGGTAAAAAAGGGCAAAAAAAGATCAATTTTTTATAGAAACAATGTGCCATAGAATGTGCGATCTAGAATTACTTGCAAAAATAGGTTTTTACTTAATGACAGCGAAGGAATTATAAGCACAATTTTATCTAAATGTACTTGCACTAATTTAAACTTTTTTAAAGGTGTGGTCAGTCATAAATTAGTCTGATTGCCCAAGTTCAAGATGAGCTCGTTTCGTCCCTTTTTGAACTTTTTTCGAACTTTTAGTCTGTCCACACCAAGTTTGCGCCGGAACTTCCAAATTCTTTCAGGTTCAGGAAAAATATGACTGCCTGCATTTTGTAGTAGATAAACTTATAGTGCTAAAGTGGTGACTAAAAATGTGGGGCCTCCTCCACCTAAAAAATTAAAATAAAAAATAAAGTGGTGACGGAGATTGAACAGTAAGGAATTGGTGTACAACTACTTCCACAATAAATTCCTGCTTTTTATTAATCAAGACAACATTATTACTCATTGTCCAGAATTATGGAAGACGATCCCTTTTTGATTGTAAAGCAGTACGTCAAATAATTGGCTCTCTTTCTTTCTTTCTAAAATAATAATAATAATATTCTTTGTTTCTTTGTTTCTTTATAACTATATATCAGACAAGTTTCTGATGCTTTAGTGAATGCAAACACTCTGTATGCATCCTGGAAACGCATCCAACAGACAGTCTCCTCTCCTCAAAATCAAGAACTTTTGTGGACAGCAGATGAGCTAACTTCTTCACTCGAGGCCATTGAGCAGGATCTCGATGACTTGGAAGAAGCATTTGCAGCATGCCAAGCCAATCCAAACCAGTTTAATCTCACAGCAGCAGAGATGAACAACCGGCGAACCTTTTTAACCAAATCTCGCAAGTCAATCCAAACCATCCGCAACACCTTGTCGAATCCTCCAAAAAGATCTAAAAGCAAGGTATGTACACTACATTCCCTAGAAATCACGCATATATATATATATGTGTGTGTGTATGGGTATGTGTTTTGCTATATACTTTAATGAAACAAAACAAAACAAAAGGTCGGTTATTCTGTCTTTACAGTTTACTTATCACTTTTTTTGGGGGGTTTTACTTGTTTGTTTATAATAGGGTTACGCCTCATCTCCAGACACATCTAATCCATATCAATCTGGTAGACAGGAACACAATGAAAGGTTTATTGAAGATGAAGGGACACAACAAACAGTAAGGTGTCTCGATCTATTTATATATATATTAAAGAAAAAATAAAATAGTATTAATAAAATGCTTTGTGGTATTAGATGATGATGCATGAGCAAGATGTCCATCTGGACAATATGGCAGGTACTTTAGTGAACCTAAGGGACATCGCAGGAACAATGAACAGAGAAATTGATGACCAGGTTGTGTAAGTAAATAAAGTTATAGATAGTTAAAAGAAACCTGTGCTTAATGTCAATGAGTATATTTCCATTATTTTTTTATCTAGGCTTTTAAATGATTTGGGGGACGATGTTGAAAGATCGGAAGGAAAGCTAAAACGTGCAATGAGACGAGTCACTACTGTATTGAAGCAAGAAGAGGGTAAGCATTACCAGCAGAAGAAGGTGAATAAAAAGGTAGGGTAATAACTCTTTGTTTTAATATTATATATATATGTATGTATGTATAGATTCCAAATCAGATTACTGTGTGTGTTGTTTAATTATTGTCCTTATTGTTCTTCTCGTTTTGATTATTCTTTTATAAAAATATATAAATGTAAATCGACTGAATAAATGACTAAAGTTAAATGTCATATTTGAGTAACCTCTCCCTCAAATGCACATCCCCATTTCTCTATAGAGCATTAATGGATGTTAAAACCGTCGCCTAAATTATTATTACAAGTAAAGAAACAAATTGTTGTTGTTGAAAATTCTCCCTCTATTGTGTATATCTCACTTACCCTCTCACTTACCCCCCTCCCACTCTCCTTCTACTCCACTATAGTCCCTTTTGTTTTTTTTTACTATGCACAATTAAGTACATCACTATTATATATATTCCTATCTAACATCATAAAATTATCACAGATAAGAACTATAATAAGCAATTTTTGGAGAACTTAAAGCCAACTCATCACAGTATAAGGAGATATAAGAGTAATCATATGAGGGGTGATACTTTTTGTATTACGAATTTAAAATGTATAAGAACAATAAAATTGAACATATCGTATGTATAATGATTATAGGTATTGGAATAATAATTGACAAGAGTGTATAAAATAATAATAAAAAAAAACACCAAATTATGGAGAGAAGGTCTTTCTTTTTTTTTGAAGAGTCTTTTGATTCAGGTACAAAGCTGTTGGGGAAGAAATAGTCGCTGTTTTTGAAAGGATTTAAGTTTACGTGCGTACTTTCATCCTTCAATAATTGTGCTGTTTCTTTGATTATTAAAGTACAGTTATAGACCAAAGTCAAGATTGGAGGAAGTAAAGCTGGTACTTGACTAATATTTTCGGGCATCTTCAAACGAGGAGAGAAAAACAGAATACCAACGGAGCCTTTTGTGAATGTCATAACTTGAGCTGTGATAAAAGAACCTATTGCTAGGTTAGCATAAGCTGATAATGATCTCATAATACTAATTTACTGATAGGTTTGGTTTTGGCTTACCATTAATAATGAACGACACAATTTTGATTTTGTTCGCTTTGATCTTGTATTGGTTAATTATCTGCTTGCAAAAGCTTCGCATCATTTTAGGACTTTTCAACTTCGATTCTTGCAATTCTTTTGTCCCATTTGCTCCATGGTCAACCAAACCAATTTCTACACAACCTAACTCCGAAGAAAGGTGCTTGAAGGTAAGATCGGAACAATCTCCGTTGGCTTGACGTACTAATTGTTGGTTGGTACCAAGCTCTCGTTGTGAATTTTTATTGCTATTGGATGCACTGCTTTGACGGCCACTGTAGAGAAGATATGTTAGTATTCAGAAGCGGAAAAAATATTTCTAAAAACTTACGTTTCTGTTATGGTTCTGCTGATGTTTTTGGTACTTCTTAAAAATCCATACATCTCATTCAGAAGATCTTGCTCAGTGACAAAAGGAGTAAAATTATCACTTTCAATAAATAAATCCAAATAGTTTAAAATGCTGTTGCGACACCAGTATTCTGCAGGTTGAGTTCTTCGGTCATAGTGCATTTCTTGAAAAGTTTGGTCGATTGATTTGAAATCATTCTATACAAGAAGCTTAATTTTATGAAGTTAAAACATTAAAATATATGCCTATTACCTTCCCTTCTAATTTCATTAAGATACTGGCAAGTGATTCAGGTAAACTTTTTCTCATATCAGTAAATCCACTTTCCTTTTCAATCTCTTTAATTTCTGCTGCAGTAAACATAGATTTCAACTGATCATCAATACTAAGAACATACGAGTGGAGAGAACTATTATTGTGTTAACTAAAAAAAAAAGGTTCTGTTACTGTATAGAAAGTTACTTACTGTTCGACTTTAAAATCTTTGGCATGTTTATAAATTGCATCTTCTACTACAGTGCCTGAACTTAAGACCCACTTGTGATTGATGTTTTGATGAACGCTGTCTATTAACTTTCTGTCATTTTCGCTTAATAAACGTTGGTAGCGTAATGAAGATGTTGATGAAATATGAGAGCTGCTTTTTGAAGCAGTTGTGTTTATGAATAAATGAGGGGTAATTGTCTCATTCCAAACATCCACTTGTTTTTCGTCACGAATTATGTTAAGTCCTAACTTCTTGGAAAAGTCTTTGAATTTTTTTTTCCAGTTTGAGCAATAAGTTGTTTTATGATCGCCACTGTAACTGTTTATAATATACGATGACATTTGTTCGACGAAGCTGCTCCACTGGACTTGTTTTGCTTCTCCTGCCAAATCAAGTAGTTGGAACGCGATTTCTAATTGCAAACACATTATGTTAATTAAGTTTGGTTATTAAACGACATTAATGACTTACCATCATCTAGACTTTCTAAGCTCATTCTAACAAAGTATGTTGCTATAGCAAACAAATACTGAGAGAGTTTTGAATTTAAGACGAGAGCGTGTTCTTGAATGGGAAAAGAGCGCACATTTGGACTTTTTGAAGAATTGTGTGTTTATTGATGAGACTGGCTTCCATCTTCATTTGATCAGAAGCTGGCGTGATTGATATTTCTTTGAAGTGACCAAAAAGTAGTGTATGAAAAGAAGCGAAAGACAGATGGCAAGAGTTCCAAATCTATAAAAACTAGGATTGGAACACGCACAGAGCACTACAGAGTATCTTACAAAAATGGTGGATTTCTTGGATGCCCACAAGATGCAAGATCATTACCTTGTAATTGACAATGCCCTAATTTACATAGACAACAAAGTAAGAGAGATGATTGAAGAAAGGGGCTACAAATGTGTGTACCTGCCTCCATACTCGCCTTTCCTCAATCCAACCAAAGAATTTTGGGCAAAAGTGAAAACTGGCATCTGACGAAACCAGTTGACTGATAAGGATAACCTCACTGAATGTATCAAAAAATCTGTGAGGAATGTCAAGAGGTCTGATTGTCAAGGTTGGACCTGCCATTCTATAACTTTCTTTCCTCGCTGTAAGGGTAAGGAATTACTTTAAATATTCTAAAAATAATTCTTGTGTGAAAATAAAATTTAGATGTATGAATTATTATTGAGTAATGCTGTTCACCAGCATACAAGGGAATTTAAAGAAAAATTACTTTTCATAGTAATTTATTTGATTCCAAATGGAGGAAATTGACGAAGTTTCTAAGATAAGGATTTAAGTTACAAAAAAGAATGTACTAAACGACCATACTTTAGAAAGCTCATTTTCTATAGCCAAAATGAAACAAATCTTTAACAGAAAAAATAAAGATGGACAGGGTATTTTAGTAAAGCATTAAGAAACAGATGCCGAATAACAATCGGGACCTTGTATGACATGGTTCAATTCCCTCGACAGTTCCCTCGTACGCTGGTGAACAGCATAAATTGAGTTGAGTTGAGAATACTATTGACTTTGTTGGAATTTTCCAGTATTATCAGCTTGCAAGTTGAAATTACTGGTTTGCCTACAGCTTGATTAACTTTTAATATTTTCTTTTTCTTTTTCTTTCAAAAATCATTTATTATGTCTCCCTTTTCTACTAAAATCATGGCTTTTAAGAAACGCTTCGTTAGCGAGCTTGATGCAGAATAACCGGAGCGTTTACTCGAGCAACAAGAAACCGAGATTTGCAGCGAAATTCAGGTACAAACAAAACAGATGATAAATTTTATGTAAAAAAAAATCATACCAATATTAACGATATATCTTTATAGTCTACTAGTATAGCTGCAACCTTTGAAGAGATGCCCAATAAAGCTCATAGGGGTTGACCAGCAAAAAGAATTATGCTGGTCGAAAATTCAAAAGCTGAATCGTCCAGACCCACAAATTTGTCTACTTCTGTTGGTTCAAATGCCATTGTTGCTTCTCAGAGTACCTCATCAAGCAATGTGTCCGAGTTTGGGCTTGCACTTAAAGCTTTGCCAAAGAAAGTACATGCTGGCACCACAGCAATTTACAGAATGCCCTTTGAGCATTGGAAGGTATGCCTCAACGCAAACAGTAAAAATCTATATTGTATTGATTTTATTCACTTTTTTAATGGAACTTAAATTGAAGGACTTTTGTGAAGAAAAAAAACGACATAGGTATCCTGTTCATTCTCAGTACCCATATACTGTTGAGCCTACTAATTTTGTTATTGCCTTCTTCAAAGAATTTGCTCTCAAGCAAGCGTATACGAAAAGTGTTTCAGTAGACCGATGTTAGAACACAGGTTGCCTTAAGAACCGAAGATAACGAGGAAAGACAATTAACTTTGCTCCAAAATAATACAAAATTGCATGAGATACATAAAAAACCTGTCAATTATACTTAATCATCAGCCCGTTTTTATAGTCGCAGAGAATGCTGCTTCTAACAAGAACGGTAGTAAAAAGGTCATTGAAGTCCCTTTGGGTATTGAAGCTGTCAGCCAATACAAGAAATTCTTGATGTTCTTGCATGAATTTCGGTCCGAGCGTCGAGAAGGTGGATGGCCATCTCCCAAGAAAACTAAAGAAGTGATTGAATTGATAAAGAAGTATGAGCATAATCTTGTTTACGACCAAGTGCAAACAAACGTGGATAGGGCAGCCCATTGCGTGATTCAGGATTCTTATAAGTCTGGCGAACTTATTAGAGTTCTGAAGAGCCTTTGGACTCCTGAAAGCTAATCAGGTTTGCACGAAATGTTCCCTATCTATTCCCGTCAGCAGATATTACTTCGGGATCAAGGTTTGAGAAATCTCAACTTTGCGGATTGCTTTTGTACGATCATTCCAAAGAAACAGCACAAAGAAATGCAACAGGGTCTTGCTTTGGTCTTTAGTCTCGACAAGGGCAAGACTCTGAAGGAAGGAGAGGTCAAATTTGCATGTGCCACGCGCAATAAGAATGTATTCAGATGTCCTTTTGGTGCTTTTGCCTTTTTCATGTTCAGTTTGCTTCAAGTGGGTTGAACAACTAAAAAAAGGGGCATCTTAGAATGAATGCTATCTTTCTTGATAAAAATAACAGACCAGTGGAAATTTCTTGAACGAAGACAGATGGCATAACTGGAAGGTATTGCGTGGACGCACCAGGCCTGAGTAGAGTTTAACTGGCGCTTCTCAATGGAAAACGGAAAAAAAGCACTTGCAAATGAAGAAATATACACCACACGAGTAACACATGGTGGCCGTCATCCTGGGTCAATGGAAGCTGAGGGCTTAGGGATACCTTTTGATTTGATCGAGCGAGGAGGAGAATGGAAGGATCAACTTGGTCGTTTGGAGACTCATTACTTGAGTAAACTTCCATCTCCTTTTACGAGAGGTATGGCCAGCTTTTGGGAAAAGCCTTTTTCATTAACAAGCAACAGTGTGTCACCACCAGTTGAGTTGCAAAAGATCATTTTTCCATAGATCAAAGACTATTTCGGTGTTGGGAATGTAGAGTGGATAGCTGTCTGTGAGAAGGAGATGGATGAAGTTGATGAAAACGAGGATGAAGATGAAAACATCATAAATCTGGATATAGACAAAGAAGTAGATTCCGTAGAATTCGTGGAGGAAGATGGAAGAAACCAGTCGAAAGAAAAGAAAAGAAAGGGGAAGCAAAGGGCAACTCAAAGCATTGTAAATACAGCGAAGAGAGGTTTTTTTACGACTCTTTATACGATGCAGAAGAGTTGTTTTACAGGATGCAGCACTTTACTTGTACTTGAACAAAGAAAACAAGCATGTCAACACAAAAAAAACTTCCATTATCAAGTAACAGCTCCGAGATGCTTCAAGAGTATATTGTAGCTGCTATTACCAGTCCTTCCGTTGGTAGACTAGAAGAGTATGAAAACCTTGTGCCTAAGATTGTTGATACGAACAAAGAGGTAGCTAGCAGAGGGACAGAAGTAAGCCATCGAATCATACGTTTACAGCAACAACAAGACAGCTGATTTGAAAAAAAATTGAAAGCTTTTTCAACAACTACAACGAACAAAATAACCAACAGGATTTACTTCTGATAAACATGACACAGCAACTGGCTAAAGATATAAAAATCCTCATGATACAGCAACAGCGTTTAAATTCACAAATGCAACTACTCATGGCTATCAACAATGCTTCTCAAAGCATAAATACTAACGCCAGCTTGTCTCAACCGCCTATCTTTCCTGTTCTTTCTACTACTCATTCAATGTCACCTTTACTTTCCCTTACACTACTCCTCTTGCTCCTCTCCCTATCCAGAAACCAATTTCTATAAGTGCTGCTCCACCTCCAGTCCATACTAATAAAACTAACATTGTCTTGTCAAAACCCAAAGCCAAAAAAAGGCTATATGGGTTAGCTACGAGCCTAGTAATTAAAAATTTTTTTTAAAAGATGTGATGTATACACTACCATTTATCTGTTACTTATTATTCTTATCTGTTACTATCCTCCATCATATTCTCTATTCACTTTATTCTTTATCAGCTACAATACATTTTAATATAAATATATATATGTACACAATTATGCATTTCGTACGACTCGTACGAAAAGATGTTGAAATGAGAGAAAAAATAGCATTGAAAAATAGAGTATCATGTAGTCTATATAGTAGTCTAAGGTAAACATATTTTACGCCTGATGTTCGATATGACACTCAAGATTCGCATTTCAAAAAGATTTTCATGGATAAAAAAAACCCGATTTTTCTTCTGCATGAGATTTCAGTAGTTTGTCCACGTTAAACTATCCCTCTTATTAGCAGTCACGTTGTTCTTATGGCTCTGCTGAAGCGTTTTCAAAAATTGGAAAATTCTTATATTTTCTACGTCATGACGATTTCTTTATTTTTTTCTCTTTCCATTAAGTCTAAATTGCCTGATTCCTAGTGTACCGTTTTCACTTGAATCCACTTTCTCTAAGCGTAGGGCAATAGCCTGATTCTTAGATGTATTGTGTTTTCTTGGGTTACTCTCCTAGCCGTAGGGTAATTTAGCAACTGTCTGATTCCTAGTGCATCGTATTTCCTCTACTGGGTCTTCTTTCCTAGCCGTAGGACAGTTTAGTTATGTTTGAAAAGTTAAGCGCGTGATTCCTAGTGTACCGTTTTCACTTGGATGTATCTCTCTCTAGTCGTAGGGTAATAGCCTGAAACCTAGATGCACCGTATGTTCTTGGGTTACTCTCCTAGCCGTAGCGCGTTAGAACAATAGCCTGATTCCTAGTGTATCGTATTTCCTCTACTGGGTCTTCTTTCCTAGCCGTAGGGCTATAGGTCTGGGGGATAAACATAACTATTTTTTTGGGAGTAGAAGCATCTTTACCTTCTCGTGGTTACTCCTGTTAGTAAAAGTGCTCAACTTTGAAGCTAAAAGAGATGTGTTAATTATAAATAAAATCAATATATTTTTTATATTCAATGTTAATTATAAATTTGGATGTTACAGGTTTGTCAATGAATTGTTTGTTTGCTACTTTATAGAGATTATTTTAATACTTCTTTTTGTTTTGTTTGTAAGAAGCATTTTATTAAGCTTGGGGGGTCTGGTGAATCTCAAAAGAAGATAATCAAAACAGTGATCACAGCATTTGTTTGGAGGAGTTTCTAGCTTTTCCAATGTTTTTGTTTTTGTAAAGTATGGTAAATAAAAGTAGTAGTTTTAAAAGAGAGGATCGAGGTCAAATTCTTGGCATATGCGGTTTAAGGTCCTGCGAGCCATATCAACAGCAGCAGAAGGAACAAAAGGTGAATCGTCAAAGATGAAAGTCCAGTGGTGACGCCATATAGCAAGAAAAGTGCCTCCAAAGACAGCAGAAGGGGGAATGGACGAGCTTAGGGAAGGGGGAAAAGAGACGAAGCGAAAAGCGTTGTATAGTGCGGTTGGGGTAGGTATTTCACTGAATAATTCCAGTCGCATGCCGATCCATACCTCGTTTTTGAGAAGACAAGTGAAGAAGAAGTGGTCTTAGGAGTCAGAGGATAGGGATCAAATAGAGCAGATAGGAGAAGGAAAATCGAGAAGAAGCAAAGAGTGAAGACGGGCTCGGCAGGAAATCTTGTTGTAGAGGCCAAAAAACCAAATGTTGTGAGCCACAAGGGGAAGAGGAAAAGACCAAAATTTGTGTCAATGGTGAGAGCCAAGAGAAGGATTAGAATAGCGACCACAGACGAGATAGTGGGAGCACAGCCCGCGGAAAGTACGGGTGGAAAGACGTGCCCAAGTTTGAGAAGGTACAAGCGCATAAAAGAAAGGGGACAAGTCAATAGATGCACCGTCTTGAATGGGGAAGGGCGGATATTGTTCGGCCAATTCACAAGGAGAACAACAAGCACAAACAATGATCGGATGCAACGTAAGAGTGTTAAGTTGAACTCGACCAAGGAACTTGTTAATAACACGAGAGCGCCGATGGTGGTTGGTGATGGAGATTGACCGCAACGACGCCAGGGAAAGGTCAAAGGCGAAGAGTTGGGAGACCAAGGGATCTTACCAGGACGGGAGGAAGCGTGCTTGGAAGGCGGGGACAATAGTGAGAGCTGAGAGAGACAAAGCAAGGCAAGTAGTCGAATCTACAACTACATTATCAAAGTTGTGTGGCAGACGGTCGATGGCAGCGAGGACCAAGTGCAGAGTAGAGGTAATATTCCGCCATCCATAAGGACGTATGCTTGGAAATAGAAAGGGAAAGAGGGGAGAAAGAGAAGGGAGTGAAGTCTGTAGCAAGCCGGACATCCAGCACGGTACCAAACCAGGTGGAGACCGAGGAGCGCGGGCGATAGGCTGACACCAACTAAGTTGTATAGCGTCCTGTTGCGTCTTAGGATCGATGATACCAAGTCCACCTTGTATGTGTGGGAGGCAGAGAGTATCCAAAGAAATCACAGGGAAGGTGCCGCGTTGAAGGAAACCACCCATGATGGACCGGATCTTCTGAAAGAACGACATAGGCAGAGAGACCACGCGCAAAATATGCCAAAGCTGAGAGAGCAAGAGGGGTGGAGGTTGCAGCTATCTTCAATCCATTGGAGAAGATATGAGCGAAACTATTCCCGTTGAGCCTTTGAGTGAATCAACGGCAAGCCAAGATAACGCAGAGGTGCGTGCGAGGTATGGTCATGCTAATCGGTAACGTTATCACCACGGAGAGTGGAGTACCGTTCAGGAAGAGGACTACCAAAGAGTGAGAAGGCTTGCGTTTTGCGGAGGCTGATACGCGCATTAAACGTAGCGGAATAGTTGGTGAGTTGTGTGTGGAGTCTGGCAAGGTGAGCAGGATCAGGAAGAAGTACCAGAAGATAGTCTGCGTAAGCTAGAAGTTTAATAGAAGGCATATTAGCTACACTATCAGGGACAGATGGTCGAAAACCGAGGAAGAATTGGTCACCTATAGCTCGTTACAACAAAGGTCCAAAGGCCAAATTGGACAATATAGGAGAGAGAGGGTCGTCTTGACGGAGACCGCCCAATTGTGTGAGAGGGCGAGAGAGGAAGCCATTAACGTTGATCTGAATCTGTGTAGAGAAAAACAATTTTGTGATACAAGCTATTATAGATGGACGAAAGCGAAAATGATCGAGAACTCGGCGCAAGTATTCTGGGTGGACTCGGTCATACGTCTTCTTCTGATCAAGAAGAAGACCTACACTTTTTTTTTGTACAGTATCAAATTCTTTTGTTCTTAAAGAGACAAGAAAAAGAAGTGAAACTGATACTTTTTTTGGTGGAAAGAATTACTTTCCTCAGATTTTAAGCAATTATATTGGATATTATTTCATGGATAAACTACAGTACTCATTTGATTGACTAAAAGATAGTCTTCTCATACTTCTTTAAAAACAATATCTGAGAAATAGTTTATGACTGCGGTTTGTTTATTTTGTAATATACTTAATGTATAAGCAAATACCAAGAGTAAGAATAAATAATTTAATATATTTTTGTTTTATTTTGAAACGTATGTTTGTATAGAAAATGGCTCCCGTTAATACCAGAATCTCTAGATCTAATGCTAGAAACAGCCTTACCCAGGTTGCAGCTGGTTGTGTAGAGCAACGCCCGGTCACATCTGCTGTTACCCAAGAACAGCGCATGGCAGAAATGTCGAATCACCTTGATAACATGGGTGCTATGCTTGTATCTCTGAACAACCGATTTGCTCAATTTATTGACGTCTAAAGAAGAAACACCAAAACAGTTGGTGCAATTGCTATGTATTTGGCATATTACAATAGACAAGTTCTTCCAGCAGTTGCCACGTCTTCTGCTCCATAATTTTTCCAAAGGTCTTAAACAGAGACAAAGACTGCAACTCTGGTAAACATGTTAAACCAAATGCAGTAAATAATAATCTAACACATAGTATTTGGGTCTTGATCAGAGAGAAGATCTAAAAAAAAATACTTCAGGTCTAACGACCACGCTGAGATTGCCGAGAATGAGGCAAGACAAATATGGAGCGTGGATGAGCGGGCTGACTATCCCGATAGAGCTGCCATTGTTGCCTACTTGCGGCAGTACATTTTTACCCAACCCTAAACTGTCAACTTTTGGACTGATATGGTGGTAGCTATGGTAAAAAGTAACTATAGGTACTGCCATCGCCGAGCCAATACGGCGCCCAATCAGCGCATAGATAAGAACCGGAAATCAAGAATCACCAGCCAGATAAAAGAGGTTGTTACAAAACAGGTTATTCAGTAAAAATATTTTGTATTTATCTTGCTCTTTTTTTTTTAGATTCATAACCGTCTTCAGGACATTCACACCAGGTACCGGAAGGTGATCGACAAGGAGATGGGTCTCACGATCAGGGAAAATTCAATTGCATTTTTTGGTGCTATCCAAAAAGCAGTAATGTCAGATGGTGAGTCTTATATGGAGGAGCTTGTGCATGGGGTCTCAGCGCATATTCTGAAGGTTGCCCGTTCCAGCTGGAGAAATGACAGGACAAGTTATTTTTGGCGATGTAGGCAAGGTAAAATAATATATTAATAAAATAAATATAGTTTAACAAGTTCATGGGCTTAATCGATGAAAGCATGAGAACTGACAATGCGGGAAATGGGGTAGCAACGCCAAGAATTCTCAGGCTCCAGCGAGGAGAAAAGAATGTTGCTGTCCCAGGTCGGCTGATTTTGCCACTGCCTTCATGGGAAATTAAACAATTTTTTTATACACACACACACGCGTTTTTACACTTGACTGATACATAACTAGACTAAAGGCAAAAATGATATTAAATAGAAATAAGAAAAGAGGTAAATATATTGATAAACAAAGTAGATTAGAATGAAATAATTAAAGTAATAAATAATAATAAAAGAAAATTAAGCATATATTTGTTGTGGCAAGGGAATTGCAATCTTCCTATTGACATTTCGTCTTGTTTTGTAGTCAACGATGGGTGGGCAGTATACTTTAGAAACCTAATTAGTAGAAGTTGTCGTGGTAGATTTCAATGCCTCCAAGTCATCTGCGCGTATCTGATGTTGTTTTAAACCATCTGACGAAAGCAAAAGTATGTTGGTTGCTGTAGCTAGTTGATGGGGAGAAGGTGTGCACAAAAATGTACTGAATCTCCCTAATGTAACCATAACGGGCATTCGTGCGATTTTCCTCAAACAAAGCTTGTATGTAGGAACCACGTCCTTTGCCATTAAATCCCTTGTAAACTTGCCCTAATATGTTAATAGACTCCAATATCTCGATACGATGATTTACAAATGAAGAACTAGTCATGCAATTCTTGCAACTAGATATCATTCCGTCGTTGTATGCAACCTGGTAGTACTCAACAAGGGAGTTGTACTTTGGTGTTGACATTGATGACATATGCTTCTTTGCCAAAGGAAATGTAGTTGGTGGGAGAGGTTCGTTGCCTTTAATCGACTTCGATACGTCCAGCGTGGCAGTGATAAAGTTGGCGAGTGAGAAGAAAATGGAGTATGAGGTTATTGTTGATGCTATTTTTTGTTGTTGTTTTGTGATTTTTTGAAAGATATCCATGTATGCGCGAGTATCGGTAGATTCCATAATGCGGCTGATTATATATTGTTTATGAACATCCTCAACGAATTGCCTTGCATATGTTAACTCGAATCCAGTTTTCCTGTTGGACTTTATGTTTTTCAGGATACTGTTATATCGTTCAAAACTTAACAACCAGTAACCGTATACAGGTCCAAAGTCGCAAATGGTGTCTTGCAGGTGGAGGTGTAAGTGCATGTTTGGAGAGATTAGATCCAAGTTGTATAGTGTCTCACACTTTTGGCAAAACTTCTCGAGATACTTGTGGGTCGAGGCAATGTCACTTTCACAGACATTTGGCATAACTAAGATTCGATATGCCTTGACGAATAACACCCAGTTTCTAAACTTTTTCAACGGCAAAACATCTTTAAGCACAACAGGAGAGTATACAAGACACCATGACTTCTACTCATCAGCTTTCATATAAGGACACCCTTTTGCAATCTTTGTCCCAAGTGACATGTAATCAGGCGGCAACACTATATTCTCAACTGCCTTTTGCATGACAACAAGTTTTCTTATCGTCAATTCCTCCATCTGCAACCCATCTCTCCGTCATTCTCTTGGCAGTGCCTAACAGAAGATTGTGCAGCGGACAACAACAAAGTACTGGAGACAATGTCTCTCGGCTTGTGCGGTTGCATTTCCCCAAATCTCTGCATCCTTACAATTGTCATTCTTGGTGCGAAGGAGCCACTTTGAGAAATTTGATCCAGAATAATCAACGGAACTCACCCCAGTCAACCTCGAACATTGATGCTTACACTTGTGGCATGCATTTAGACATTAATGAGTTTTGATCTTAATACCTGTGTACAAATCCTTCAACTCGTCAACAAAAGGCTTCAGGTAATTATCAATGTCGGACGTGCTTGCTTCCTTGGGCCCTCGAATCAATCCAGCAAGGATGACGTTTTCCTTCTTGAATCTAATATCACGAAGAAGGCTATTGATTGCAAGGTGTATGGCTCTACATGAGTGTGCCACCCCATCAAACGGCTGAAACCAGTCAATATTCAGTGTGAGCATCAGTGAGCGTTCGCCGTACACAAAAGGCATTCCATCGACGTCCAACAACGATTTCCACATGACACCATCGTACACATCAAACATCATTCCATCCACCTTTGGACCACGATTCCAAGAATCGATGTTATTTTCAAATTCGGTGCGACGGAAAAATGTTTTCTTTGGAATTCTTGGCTCTGATTCGGATTTAAACAATGGTGTTGAGCACAAGTTCACCACAACTGTATATCGTATGACATTCACCGCAGGTAGTGTATTTCTTGATTCCTTTTGTTGAACTTCCGAATCCTGCAAGTTGCTGAGCCTAGAAATGCTCAACGGGAGACGAAATGAATCGTTAAAGAATTCGAGAATCTTGTTGACAATGGAAATCAAAATTACTGCGCCTTTGTCAATAGCATACAATGATACGAATAAGTCAACAACGATTGCAATGAAACGGTGGCTGAAACCCAATTCCGAGATAGACTTGAAAGATTTTTTTTTCCTTATTTCTTAGAGACAATATTATTAAAAATTCACTATACAAACCTTCATCATCACTCATGTCACCTTCAGAATCATCGTTTGCTGCATACTCGTTACCTTCAACACCAAGTATGGCATCGGATTCAGAAAGAGGTAAGTCCCTTGTCCGAGCAGTTATTTCTACCTCTTCTTCGCTGTCATTCAGTTCTATCAAAATGGGGTATATTAAACCAAAGCAATCATAAAGAAAGAATAATAAAAAAAGAAACTTTTCATTTTACCAAAAAAAAAACATAACCCATGTCATATCCGTTACTTTCGCCTTCAAGATAAATTTAATTGCGGTTGACAATCTCGGGTGTTTCTTCGACTACCTTGCTCCCTGTATTTTAATTAATAAATCGTATCAATTATTACCATATTAAAAATAAAAACATATTTTTTTCCCTATGTCTATTGGTTTGCACTCTGATTGCAATTTGTTCATCTCTCTTATGACGTTTAAGTGTTTGGGCAGATATGGTATTATATCCTCCTGCTTTAATTCTGCATACTGGACAGTAGCATTTGTACTTTTTGGTTGAGATACGCTTTGGAGCCATTTTTTTTATGCTGAGGTGTTTTCTATAAAATTTTTGCTGTCCAACCTGTTGACATATCATCTTTCTTTTGTGGAATTACCGTTTCTCTAGGATTTTACGTTTTAGCTCAACCAATGTAATACCAATATTATGCCCGTTAAACCAATTTGTGGATTTTAACAGTGTATACTTGCCAAATTTGTCGCTATACCTCTAAAGCACTCCCAGAAATTTCCTTATCATGTAGGTAATCTAGTTTGTACAGAAGAGTCTGATAATAAGCCTATTTATGGTCGATAGATATGATTTATAGAATCAACGGTCTGTAAACCATTTTTAAGTCTATATTGTAAATAACAACAATCGCTAATTTTAATGAGAATGATATTTCAACTGTGCCAGACCACAAATTGTGGCTCTCTTCACGATGTGTAATAATTCTATCGGGTCCCTAAGGATACAAAACATTCCTATCAGGATTTTCTTTTGTGTATTGAAAAAAATCAAAATAAAAGTGTGGTTTAGAGATTACTTATCAGATGGTGAAAGAAAGACAAAGACATGATACGCATAAGAAGTCAAATTAATAGTAAAATATCAAACAATATTGCCTCACATTTTAATGTCAACAACTCATAATCTTCTGCATGGCTCATTATTGATACAGCGCATTTTTTATGGCCAAGTTTAGATGTTGGGCTATCAATTGAATATATTGTATGAATTTTAGGACACATACTTTTGCCCTGAAGGATAAGAGAAAGAACCCGGACCCCGGACAGGTAGCCATGATTAATTAGTCCGGTTAGATAGAAACATCGTCACCGTAAGATTTCTGATATATATAATTCTTTCTGATTACGAAAACTATACTATTCTTGAATTGAGCACATTTTTGGGATCAAAGTACGACATTTATCATAAGGCACTGGGGAAGATAACCATTCGGTCTACTGAAAAATCCCCCTCATCCGACCTTAATAGATTTTCAAATAAAATAGAATGCTGTTACGGCTGTGTATCAGATCGCTAATATACTAAACAAAAATCAATATTTTTTTTTGTTCTTTATTTCGATTTAAAGGGGGTTGGACCTCTTCAATACAAAAGTTTTTTCTTTCTTCGTGTGCTTGCGTTTAATAAATCTTTGAGTCTACATACAAAGCACATCTACGGGAAGCTATTCTGGTATACAAGAGGTTATTTCAAGTGGCAAGTCTGAACATTAGCCTCCATTTATCTAAAACTAATTTTTATTTTTGTTTCATCCAAAAAAGGTAAGTTGAACATTGAAAAGTAATTTTTGATTCGTCCAAAAATAAAGAAAAATTAGTATCATCCGAATTTAAGGTAAACTATAATGAACTATATATATATATAAATACTTTTTTTTTCTTTCTTTAAAATAGCGACTTAAACTTTCTCTATATGGATACCACAATAATATCTTTTTTACTTGGTTACTGTATTATTTTATTTGCTTGTCTGTGCTGTGCTGTGCTGTGCTGTGCTGTGCTGTGCTGTGCTGTGCTGTGCTGTGCTGTACTGTACTGTACTGTACTGTACTGTACTGTACTGTACTGTACTGTACTGTGCTGTGCTGTGCTGTGCTGTACTGTGATGCGCTGTACTGTGATGTGCTGTGATGTGCTGTGCTGTGCTGTGCTGTACTGTGATGTGATGTGATTTACGCATGTGTGTGCGTGTGTGTGTGTGTGTAAGAGAGAGAGAGAGAGAGAGATAGTAAATGAGTTTGTGAGTGAATGGGCTTCAAGCATATCCCAACTCCCTTTCTCCCTTTCTCTCTTTCTCCCTCCCTCTCTTTCTCTTCTCACTGTGTATCTTTCTTGGGCTTTGTATTCTTATAGCTATACCAATAGCTATACTTATATTCTATATCTTTATTTCAACTCCTCTAAAATAATAATAATAAAGCAAAGCCTTTCCTATCCCCTTCCCCCACCATCACCCCCTCTTTCTTTCTCTCTTTGACTCACTAACTAACTAACTCACTTACTCACTCACTATCCCTTTCTTTCCCCTTGTTCTTAGTATCCTCCTACTTGAATAATCTCTATCTATTTGCGTTGGTGTGAAAACTACAAATTTTCTTTTTATATCTCTTTTTTTTTAACACTGCCAAGCCTAGCAATTCTTATTCCTTATTTCCCGCACCAAAATCCCTTTATTTCTATTTCTATTTCTAGTATTTTTCTTCTTCTTCTTCTTCTTCTTTTCCTTCTTCTTTTACATTACAGTGAATAAGTACATTCCTAATCGTAAGAATATAAAGTGGACATCTTATTCTCGCCCGTGGTATAATGTCTGGCTGGGAAGATTCACCAAAGCACAAGGACAGTCTTGACCTGAATCCGCTGAGTCCAAGAAACAATGAACCAAGTTCATCCGAATGGGCAAGATCTCCACGAAATGATCAACACATACCAGCTGCCCTGAAGAAGATGGGTTCTTTTGATACCGGTAAGCTTTTTTTTTGAGAGCCTGTTTTTATTATCATTATAATTATCATTTGGTACAATACACACGCGCACCAAAAATACAGAGCAAGATAGAGGGAAAGGGAAAGGGAAAGGGAAAGGGAAAGAAAAAGAGGGAGAGGGATATATATATATAGTAAATGTTATGTCAAAACCAAAACCCATTCTCCAACAATAACAAACAACCCAAAATAACTGCTGCAACAACAACAAAAATAAACAACAATAAAGCTTCTTTTTCGGACGATGGCCGGACCATCCCAGAAGAAAACGAAGAGGGTCAACAGCTGCTGGCCCATGCTTCTAGTATCCAAAACCTCCCTTCCACACCTGTCTACCAATTCTCTGCACTTGGTGGAACCCCACACAGGACGCACTACGAAAACTCAAACGATTCAACCGAATTGCTCCAGAATTCAGCAGGACCGACTTCAGGTCTTCGATATTCAACAAATTACAACGACAAGGATACTCACCGACAGAGCATGCACCGCTCGATCATCAAAGAAAAGACAGAATCAAAGCCTTTCTTACAGAGAGTCAGAGACCTCCAGTTTAGGGATATCTTTCGACGTCAACGCTCGAATATAAACGACACACCCCGCATCATCCACATCAATAGTCCAGATGTCAACGCAGAGCAAAAGTTTTGTGGAAACTCAGTGTCAACTGCGAAATATAATCTAGTGACATTTCTTTTCAAGTTTTTGTATGAAGAGTTTAGCAAATCCGCAAATCTGTTCTTTTTGTTCATTTCTGGAATCCAAGTAAGTATCTTACAAGAACATCACATACATACAGACGTACAATATATCTGGAGCTATTTGGCTTTAGTTGATTTGTTCTCAGCCCCCCCCCCACACACACACACACTCCTTAACATATGATGATTATGATGTGTTTTTACAGCAAATTCCAAATATATCCCCAACTTCACGATACACTACCATTTTACCACTTGTTATTGTACTTTGTATTACAGCTGTGAAAGAGGCAATCGAAGACTACGTAAGTTTCTTCTTCTTCTTTCTTTCTTTCTTTCTTTTGGTATATATATATATATATATATATATAATATAATAAAAACTGCAGTATTTAAAAAAACAAAGGGGTGGTCTTATATGTCTCGTAGGGTGTTCATCGATCTGACGCCGAACTCAACGCGAGAAAATGCAAAATATTTGATGGATCTCAATTTGTGGAAAAACGATGGAGAGATGTTAAAGTGGGAGATATCTGCAGAATCGAAAACTCTGGCTTCTTCCCTGCTGATTTGATTATCATAAGTAGCTCTGAGCCAGAAGGACTGTGCTATATTGAAACGAGCAATCTTGACGGGTAAGTCCCTCCCCACATATACACACCCTTATCCTTATCCTTCTTTAAGAGAAATTATATATATATATATATACGTTGGCTTATTTTTAATTTTGATGTTATAATCTTACTTGCTCTATGTAAAAATGTGCTGCTTTCTTACATTTATATTCATTTTGTGTGTGTGCGTGGGGTGCATAGAGAGGTCAATCTAAAGATAAAACAAGCCTTGCCCGAAACATCCAAATATATTTCACCTCAGCAATTATCGTCCTTTAGTGGCGTTGTACGTTCTGAGCCCCCGAATAACAGGCTGTACAACTATGATGGCACGATGAGTTTACCAATCGAGGATGGTGTAGGAGGCTCAAAAGACCTTCCACTCGATCCAAACACTGTTTTACTTCGAGGGGCACAGTTAAGAAACACAAGTTGGATTTATGGTCTTGTTGTATTTGCAGGTCATGAATCTAAACTCATGCTCAACTCAAGGTAAATATATATATATATATATATACTCTTTAACTTTTATGTATTTTTTATTTGTATAGCAAGAAACCATCAAAGGCCTCAAACTTGACACGTATAACAAACCGGAATATTCTGTACTTATTTGCCATGTTGGTTATAATGAGTATTCTTTGTTCAGTTGGAAATCTTGCTATCTCGGTAAGTACCTTTTCTCTCTCTATTTGCTACGTTGGATTGGTATCGGATGGAATGTCTTTGTAGATAAAATATTAGACTAAATGGCTGCATGTGTACTACAGATCCGTGAATCTTCTAGAATGGCATATCTACCGCTTCCTGCTACTGAAAGAGCCCGTGAATTTGGATACAACATTCTCACCTTTATGATTCTCTTCAACAGCTTTATTCCAATCAGGTAGGTAAAAACCATATTTAAAAAGAACTGCACGAATGATCAAGTAGTAACCGAATTAAAACATCAACAACAACAAAAAACTATAAATTCTTATCGTTATAATGATTTCCGCTGTTGTTCCCGCTTTAGTTTGATGGTGTCTATGGAAATTGTGAAATTTATTCAGTCTACGATGATAGACAACGATCTCGACATTTACTATGAGAAAACGGATACACCTGCTGTTGCAAGAAGCAGTAGTCTTATTGAAGAACTTGGACAGGTCGAATACGTTTTCTCTGACAAGACCGGCACGCTGACCTGTAACGAGATGGAATTTCAAAAGTGCTCCATTGCTGGCCTTTCTTATGCAACTACACCTGACCCGGATCGCAGACCTGAATCTGAAAACGACACTCACGGCGAATATTCTTACAAACAGCTCGAAGAACACCTCGAAAACTCGGTCGACAAGCAGACAATCCATACCTTTATGGAGTCACTCATGACGTGCCACACGGTTATTCCAGAAACAAACGAGGATACGGGTGCTATAGTGTATCAGGCATCTTCTCCTGACGAGGCTGCCCTTGTCCAGGGCGCAAGTTCAGTATTCGCCTATCATTTCTATGCACGAAGACCCCGGTCGATCAACTGTACTGTCAAGGGGGTTGATCAGGAATTTCAAATCCTAAATGTCTGTGAATTCAACTCGACGCGAAAACGTATGTCAGTCGTGCTCAGGGGACCCGATGGGAAAATCAAGCTTTACTGCAAGGGTGCCGACACCGTGATTCTTGAGAGATTGGGTCCCAACAATCGATTCGTAGACGCAACATTATCACATCTTGAGGTAAACAAGGTTTTATACAATAAAGAGAGAATCAAAAGGCAACAAACCAACAAACTTTTTGTGCTTTTTTATTTTTATAGGAATTTGCCTCAGAGGGACTTCGAACATTATGTTTTGCTATGCGTGATATATCAGAGGATGAATATTCTCGTTGGTCGCAATTTTACGACAAAGCGTCAACAACTTTAATAAACCGGGCCGAAGAACTCGACAGGGCTGCGGAGATGATTGAAAAAGATATGTTGTTGTTGGGAGCTACCGCCATTGAAGACAAGCTTCAGGATGGTGTTCCTGACACAATCCACACTCTTCAGGAAGCAAACATTAAAGTCTGGGTGCTCACAGGCGATCGACAAGAAACGGCCATCAATATCGGTTACAGCTGTAAACTCCTGACAGAAGAAATGGAACTGATAATTTGCAATGAAGAAGATCACGAAACCACAAAAGCATTTTTGGAAAGTGCATTAGAAAATGCCAAAAGACATAAAGAAGCAACCTCAGAGGTAATGTACTTTTAGCTTTTATTTTATTCTTCAAAGAACGTGCTATATATATAGTGTGTATGTATCAACATTGTTTGCTTATCCCGAAACCTTTGGTTTCTTTCTTTCTTAAATACTATATACTTCTACTAGCCTCTTGCGTTTATTATTGAAGGAAAGGCGCTCACATTTGCACTCGAAAAAGACATTGAAAAGATTTTATTTGACTTGGCTGTGATGTGCAAGGCTGTCATATGTTGCCGTGTCTCGCCGTTGCAAAAGGCACTTGTTGTAAAGCTTGTCAAGAAGTTTTCGAAATCAATTTTACTCGCCATTGGTGACGGTGCAAACGATGTTTCGATGATTCAAGCGGCACATGTTGGTGTAGGTATCAGTGGCGTTGAGGGTCTTCAGGCTGCACGGACTGCCGATTTTGCAATCTCCCAATTCAGATTCCTCAAGAAACTCTTGCTTGTTCACGGTACATGGGCTTATCAACGTTTGAGCAAGATGATCTTCTTTTACTTTTATAAGAATGTTGCTCTTTATCTCACGCAATTCTGGGTATGTAAATATTGTAATATATTTATACATTTAAATTGGCTAATAATAATAATCATAATCATCATAATCGATTGTTCTTGTTATTGCTGTAGTATGCCATTTTCAATGGATTCTCTGGTCAAACTTTGTACGAATCTTGGACAATGTCTTGTTTCAATGTTGTTTTCACATTTTTACCACCAATGGCTATCGGTTTGTTTGATCAATTTACATCGGCAAGGTTGTTGGACAAGTATCCTCAGATGTATATGCTTGGTCAGAGAAATGAATTTTTCAATCAGAAAAGATTCTGGGGCTGGATACTAAATGCGGTGTATCATTCAGCAGTAAGTCATCAATTACACTAATATATATATATATATCTTTGTGTGTATGTGCATATTATTCTAAAAAATAAGAATAAACCTCTCGATAGTTATTGTTTTTCCTTGGAATGCTTGGATTTGCCAACGATGCTGTTTTTGTAAATGGCTGGGCTGGTGGTCAGTGGTGGGTCGGTACAACCATCTTTAGTGCCACCTTAGCCACTATCCTGTGGAAGGCGGCTCTGATATCAGAGTAAGTTAAGGTTTCTTTTTAAAAAAAGAATTCGAATTATCCAAAAGAGGAATATAGATCTTTGAAAATAAAAGAGGGCTTAGGAATATACTTTAAGGAAGAAGAGCAAAACGAAGAACAATATGTTTATTTATATCTTATCTATATTTGTGCATGTGTGTGAATTGGTATATGTAGTATATGGACAAAGTACACTTTTATTGCAATTCCAGGATCGATGGTTATTTGGTTTATATTCTTGCCACTTGTTGCCTATGTTGGTCCACTGTTGCCTTCAGAACTGTTTCTCGAATATCAAGGAATTGTTCCACACCTGTTTGGAAATGTCAACTTTTGGCTCTTTTTCTTGCTTGTTCCCTTGCTGTGTATCCTTCGTGACTATGTCTGGAAATAGTAAGTCAAACACATCTTCCAACCTATATATATATATATAAAGCTAATTCGTAGATAATAATTAAAAAAAAATCTGCAGTTACAAGCGTATGTATCGAACACGAAGCTACCACTACATTCAAGAAATCCAAAAGTTTAATTTGCCAGATTATCGGCCACGTATGGACAGATTCAGGCAGGCGGTCAATAAAGTCCGCAAGATCCAGAGACTTAAACAATCCCGTGGTTTTGCTTTTGCACAAAACGACAACAACCAGTCTAAAATTATTAGAATGTATGATACAACCCAGCAGAAACCAAGTGGTTAAATAAATAAATATATATATATATAAGATTAGATAATATAAGAGAATGAAACAAGTGTATTTGTCCTTTTCTTTCATTTATCATAACGATAGTAACGTTGACCTAAAAAGAGAGAGAGAGAGAAAAGGATATATAGAAAGACATTTGTACAGTCAACGCTCGATTTAGTGATATAGTCGGGAGTCGCAAAATCTTATCACTATCACCACCACATATTTTTTGTATTGTTTATTAGATGAATAATTAAGATGAAATGACTAGAGAATAGCTAGTGCCGTTTCTGTTTCGAGTCGTCTGATGTGTAGGGTAGCTGGGGCTGCTATCCAATTGGGAACAAATGATACATTATCAAAAACTAGATGGAAGCGAGCGCTCCAGATGGCACTTAAAGTACATCCAATAATTGTCTGGATGTCAATAGTAGAATTAGATACTTGTATCAAGGGTGGGGGGAATGGTTTGAGCAGATGGGCATGTAATGTGCGTGAAGTCACACAATAAGATAATTTTTTTTGTATGGAGCCAGGAAAAAAGCTTAGGATTTTATTAAAGGTCTCTGATTGAATAGGAAAAGAGAAAATTAAAATATTTGTTTGTAAGGTTTTGTAAGTTATATGATGTTTTTGGCTTTTAAACTTTATGGTTGTTTTTGTTTTTGTTTTGTTTTTGTTTTAAAAAAAAAATGGAGGAGTTAAGGAGAGTCAGCTCTAGTTCAGAGCAGAGACAAGAAATTGACTTGCGTGCAGTGTGGAGCACCGCAGAGGGAAGAAAAGGGACAGAGTTAAAGTGGAAAGACCAGTGGTGATCCCAAATAGCCAGGATAGTTAGGCCAAAGACGGAGGAAGCAGGGATCGCAGGGTTAAGCGTGGGGGGGGGGGGGGGGGGGGGAAGACGAAGGATTGGAAAGCGCTCAAGAGGACAGAAGGCAGAGGGATGGTGCCAAAGAATTCCAACCAAATGCCTGTCCACACAGCAAATTTCAACGGACAAGCGAGAAGAAAATGTTCTTGTGTCTCGATGGACACTTAGCAAATAGTACAGAGAGGAGAAGAGATGGTGGCTGGCATGATGCGGTACAGAAGTGCTTGGCGCAAAAGACCAGAAGGAGCGAAGTTGTCGTGGGATGAGAGGAGGGTGGATGGGACGAGCATCAGACAGTTGATGGGAGCAGGCAGAGCGGTAAGAGTGGGTGGTGAGCCGTGACCAGGTCTGACCAGGAAGTTGAGCTGACAGAAGTGGCTGGAGGTCAATGGATGACCCGTTGCGAATAGGAAGGTCTGGCTGCTGAAATGCCAATACAAAAGAAGGAACGCATGCTCAAAAGAGAATGTGATGCAAGACCATTGTATGATCGCGAATTCTGATGAGGATGCGGTTAAGTGTGACAGAACAGAGTATAGGACGAGAGGGAGCAATGAGTGTGAGTATATCCAAATTGGACTCGATTTGATATAGATGGCAGATTCGCAAATCACGCCAAGCAGGTCAATACAGATGGTGAGAGCGCAGACTGGATATCATAGAAGACAAAGGCAGGATGAGACAACTGGAAAGGTTGAGCACCACTCTGTCAAAGTTTGGGAAAGAGTATCTATAGCCTTCAGAACCAGGTGCAGCAGGGAATTAATGTCAGGAACCGATCTGGACAGAGACAAGGACAGAGAAAACAGAGAGAGAAATATAGATAGATTCCTTTATTAAAGAAGTTGTTCACTTGATCTTTCTATGATCAAGCTCTACGAGTATTTATACAAATATTTATGTCTGCTAATTGTGAGGGATAATTATGTGATTGGTGCTATGAGTGTTCTCTCTAAGGAAATGGATGCATTGATTTGATTGGTCTCATAACAATATGGTCGGAAGGGATTCTGATTGGTCCAATGACTGAGACCAATTGGATGTTCCTTACAATTAAGGGTTCGATTGTTGCGAGAACAACAGTCCAGAAAGAATAAGAGAAGAAGAGAATCAATGATAGGGACGTTAAAACGAAGGAGAGTGAAGAACCATTGGAGAAAAATACCGTGAGGCAGTAGAGGATTAGAAATAAGGGGGTTCAGCCAGCGAAGTTGAAGAACACATTGCTGTATCTCAGGATCTAAGATATCAAGACCACCCTGTAGTCGGGGCAAGCAGAGAGTGTCAAAAGCAATGAGAGGAAAAGAGTTGACACAGAAAAACCCACACACAATGGAGCAAACTCAGTCAAGGAAGTTGGAAGGGAACTAAACCACACGAAGAACGTGCTATAGTTGAGAAAGTACAAAAGAATTCATGATGGTTGCCCACCCACAAAAGGAAAGAGATCGTGATCAATAAATACTGCAAAATGTCTCATCTTTTGACAGGAGGGTAGTCCTGTAGAAGTCCTGTTGAGTAATAGAGGAAAATAATGGAAAACCAGAATATTGGAGAGATGTAAGTGACATACAATCATGTCAATCAGTAACATCATATGCATGAAGGAAAGTATTCCAGTCGGGAATTGGCGATCCCGAAAGGGAGAAGGCTTGAGTCTTGTATATGCTTATGCAAGCGTTATATGCGGCAGTGTATGTGTTGAGGTGATGGTGAAGTCGAGACATGTGATCCATGTCCGGAAGAAACACCAGCAGGTCATTGGCATAAGCCAGCAGTTTGACAGGAGGTAAAGGGGGAAGAGTGAGAGGAACAGAAGGGAGGACAACGAGGAACAGAGGATTGTGTATCACGTGGCAAAGCAAAGGCTCAAAGGCTAGGTTGAAGAGAATTGGCAAGAGAAGATCCCCTTGTCAAAGCCCACGGGCTTGCATAAGAGGGCGCAAGAGAAATTCATGGACATTAATCCGTAGCTGCGTAGAGAAAAATAGAGAAGAGACAGAATTAATGATGGAAGGAGGGAAGCAGAAACAAGCAAGCACTCAGCAAAAATACTCTGGGTGTACTCGGTCATAAGCCTTTTTCTGATCCAAGAGCAAGCCAATCCCTGAGGATCCATTCTTCGCAGCCTGTGACATGACCAAACGAGTCAGCATTCCATTATCAGCTATAAATCTACCCTGAACAAAACTAGTTTGATACGGGGTGATAAGTGTAGTAACAGCAGACATTATATGAGCATTCATGAGACAGATAAAAACTTTTGCATTGGTATTAATCAAGGCAATGGGATGCTAGTTCTTCAGAGAACTGAGATCGTCTTTTTTTGGCAACAAGCAGACACAAGTGGACTGCCAAGAAAGAGAAAAGATTCCCTTTGACAAGGAATCGTTATATATCTGGGAAACGATATTGCCACACATGGGATGAGTGAAAACGAGGTGGAGGATCTCATATGGCAAACCATCTGGGCCCAGGCTACTGAAGCTGGGAGAACGGGCAGCACCTGACTGAATTGTGTCAAGAGCAAATAGCAGAGTCATATAGTCCTGTGCAAGTTCAGGCAAATGGAGATCTGAAGGTAAATGAGGGAGCAGCTCATCTACAGCAGAGTGGTCTATAGGATCAGAGGTGTACAAGCCTTCATAGAAGACTGCGGCAGCCTCAGTCATGGTGTTGGGTGTGGTGAAAATGTCGTTTGTAAGAGGGTGACAGAGGCTAGCAATGACTTTGCGGGATTGGCAAATGGAAATAGCGCGTTTGAGGTATCCTGCCAAAGTCTCCCCATTTTTACGCCAGTGTTTCCCAGCCCTGAGAGCCATAATCTTGATACTTCAAGTTGGACTTGCTGCAACAATCGTTTCACAATTGGAAGTTGGAAGTTCTGGGCAGGTTAGTGGCAGAAACGGTGAATGAGTTGGTTTTGTCATTCTTGTAGGCGTGCTTCCAGGTTGTTCAGAGAGGGGTGAAGGCAGTGAGAGAAACATTTAACAAAATAAATGACTTCGAGCTTAATCGCATCCCATTGGGCTTGAGAAAAAAAATCAGCCCAAAAAGCTGAAATGAGGGTGGAGAGAAGAGTGTTGAGATTGGTACAGAACGAAAACAATTGTTTTAGGTGAGGGTTAGCATGCCAAAGTCCCTTACCAGAAGACTTGGTTGAAGGGAGAGACAGACTGATGGCAATCAGGCAATGATCAAATCATTTCTGGTAAATATAACTAACTTGTGGGTTAGTAGTGCGAGGATGAAGGTCTGCAGACGCAAGGATGTAGTCAATGGTGGTGGAAGACAGGGTGCAGTGGAACGTAGGCTGTAGGTGCTGTCCATGAGAAGTGATACAGTCAGTCATATTGGTATCTATAAACTGTAGCCAGTCAGCTGGAGCACAACGTCCGAGAGCATAGTGTGAGTAGATTGCATAGTTAAAATCGCCCAATAGAATAAGGTTTAAAGGATTGGGAGGGATGAGGTCAGAAGTGGACAGTAAAGAGGTAAGAAAACGAGAGTACTAAAATAAGAGTGATATGTCGGGATTGGAAGTTGCCTTTGAAATTGCTGAAAGATATCACAAGAGTAGTTTTTCAGAAGAATAAAGATAATGTTTTATTTCGATGAAGCAATTTGTATTTATACTATCTTAAAGGGATTTTGCTAGAAGTTACCAGGTATTGGAAACTTCCAGCAAAGTGTAGTATTTCTGAAAAGGATTGAATTGGATTGGCTAGATTAGGATTCAGATTCTAGGAACGACATGCTCATGACATGGCTACGCTAATCGTAAATACTTTTCTGCAAGTCACAAATCCTTCCAAAAAAAAATGGAATTTGTTTTATTGTGTAGAATTTTTTACGCGTTTTTGTTACTGATTTGTTTATCAATACTATAATAATGAATGATATCACTTTTGACCCTCGCACCTCGACCATCTACCGTTTCATGCCTATGTATGAAAATGAGACAGAACAATTTGTCTTTGAAGCTGAAGAAGAGTATTAGCTGTGGTTCACAAACAACCCAGCTTGCCATGGCAACTGGGTCATTCAAAACAGCAACAAGTCGAAGAGAAAGGTTCCTGTTGGTGCTTTGATCGATCCCAATCTGATCAAAGTAACTCAGTATCTTAAATGCGATCATTTTGGCACAAAGGTAGAGAGTTTGAAGAAGCAAGCAGTTGAAAATGACGAGCTCCATGTTGTTAAGTGTAGAAATACTATGGGTAACAGCATCAAGGTGGGATGCTTGGCTGCTTTAGTTGTTAAGTTCTTTAACAGTAGTAAAGTAACTGTTGTATCCAACATAATTGTAGATTTTGATTAAAAGTACAGACACTCAATAAATATGTACATTGAGTTACCGACAACTAGTAACAATACTAAAAGATATATCTTCCCTTATACAAAGAAATTATGTAAAGAACACACTAAGACAAATACTAAGACTCTAGTCGATAACACTAAAAACATAAGAGCTAAATTATAGAAGATAATGGTAGATAAACAGACATTATATGATATCATCATATCATTACCAAGCTAAATACAATGTCTATATAAACGTACAATACTAATAGCAATAGAACAGCATCACTTTTCTGATTCTTTCACTTCTTCTAATAAAACAAAGTCTCACTGTACTCTCGTCTGCACTTGTTTTATTTTATATCTTATTTTTATCTCATACATAACAGTAACAGTAGTTTACAACTGGAGGCATAATAACCACAATCCTCTTGAGCTTTCTGATATCTCTCGATCTCGGCTCTCTGAAGAAGCCCGTATCTGAATCAATGAACACGTTGAGACAAACCTTGACTGGAAAGCCATGAAGAGACTCCTAAGACTAGAAGATATAAAACTAAAAGAGGTATTTTATTAATATATAGTGATGTTAAAATAAGATTTTATTATATATTTTTAATTATAATATCTTTAATTAGATGGAAAACTCTATGTCAATGACATCTATTCCTTCTGCAATGATGATACAGTATAAAGATGTTCATAATGTGATTGTAGCTAGAATCAACAACAGTGCTAGAAAGCACTACAAAGATGAGATAAGTACTGAAAGATGGATTGCTTTCCTTCAAGAAAAGGGCTACCAAACTATGTTTGACACATATAATTCTGTTGGGCCTCTTCTTATAAGCTGGGTCTCCCCTTGGCAGAAGAAGGTAACTACAAATATTACATATATATATAGTCAAATATTTAAATATATATCAAAAAGAATATACTATTTATCACTTTAATTTATTTTATCATTAGTTTTTAGAAAATGTAGAGGAGTGGTATCTTGACTCAACCCACAAAACCTGCAAGTCTTTCCTTGACAACAAGGACTGTTATTTGATGTCTGTGGTCGTATACAACCCTGTAACTAACAAGGGAGTTCCAGTTGCTTTCTTTGTTACCAGCATCGAATGTAGTTATATCATTGCAAGATGGTTGAATTGATTAAAAGACAACAATAGCTTGAAGGTCAAACAGATCATGATTGACTATAGCCCAATAGAGCAGAAGGCTATCCAGGATACATTTGGACCTTCAGTTCAAATTCTTTTGTGCCATTGGCATATCAAACATGCTTGGCAAAGTCATATCAAGAAGTTAATTTTATTAATGTATTTTACTTAAAACATTGAACCTATATTAACTAGTAATATTATTAGGTGACAATCCCCAACGCCCACCTTGAGACCAAGAATGTCTGGGCCAACATTTGTGCTGCATTGAACTTGATAATGTATAGCGATAATGAAGCCGACCACAATGCTCATTGGCAAAAGTTCAGATTAGACTATGGCATGCAGTTTCCTGTCTTAATGTCTTATATGGAGGTTACATGAGAACCAAAGAAAAAAAGTTGGGTTAAGGCATGGAGACAGGTATATTCAATATTGTTTTTTTTGTCTGATTATAAAAACTAATTTATAATTATTTTTGTAGGATGCTGTATGCCATACAAACAATTTGATAGAGTCTTATCATAACTAACTAAAGTCCTTTTATTTAGGCCAGTCTCGCAACTGTAGAATTGACAAGATTGTATATGTATTTTCTCAGTTAGCTGAGAGAGATTACCTTCAGGATACTCTTGAGACCTATTTTGGTATTAAGAGCATCAGGCTTAGTGTGGCTGACACAGAACGAAAGAGAAAGGTCAATGTTATTGCTATCAAAAGAGCAAATGGTCTGGTTGAAGAAGTTGAACCGCAAGAATTGCAAGCATACAAGGTAATATTATATAAAACATTTGCTTATATAATTTATAATTTATAATTAATATTGTTATTTTAGATGTATTCTTGCAAATCTTTTGGAGAGGGTTGTGAACTGGTATACTTTATTAAGTTCACAACCCACTTACATGACTGCTCTTGCCCAGACTCTGCTAGATTATGCAAATATATCTTCTTGGTCTCTCGAGTTTTTGACCTGCCGGTGACAGTAAGACGAAATGTTGTACTGGATTCAGCTGCGTTGTTTGGCCTTGGTAAAAACGATGGCAATATTATTTCAGAAGATAATATTGCCTTGTTGGAAAACCAAATGAGCGAAGATAAGCAGAAAGCAAATCTTCTGCTTATGAATGAAAGTTTGGAGAGAATTTGGAAGCAGGTATATATTTCTTCCAAAACCTTTGAGCAAAAAGAAGTCTTGTTAGACCTTATGAAGAAGGTAAACTCTGTTGTTAACCCAACTAATGGGTTGCGAAAGCAGACCTAAAGTCATATGTTGTAAATAAGTATTGACTACTGCTGTAATTGAGAATAAGTCTGAAGAAAATAATATAAGGTCTCAGCTATTTCAGTCAAAGGTGCCTACTGATTACTTTATTATTTAACACACAGGTTTAGCATGCATGATAGTGATTATATTTCATATGATGATATCACCATAATATGGGATACATCAGTGGATTATTATAAGCATAATTATAACTCATAAACACATTTACTTTCGATGTTAATACTTCATTGGAACTACACACATTTATATAATTAATCATACATTAATTATCCCAAGATCATGTTGCTCTGATTAAGGCTCAGATAGGATCGATTACCTAACCCCAGTCATATAATTTTCCCAATTCAAAATAATATAAATAGCAGTAGTAGTTCAGTGTAGGAACCTGGTCAAACTTTGATATAAAATCTTTTCTCAATAAACAAAACCTATACAAGTTCTCACAAATCTTCGTTCCTAATCTCAAATCTTCAATTCTTTTTCTTAAAAACTTCTTCAACTTCAACCACCACAACATCATAGATTACAAGACTTCTCTTTTAATTTAATTTTCTCAATAAACATCAAATTTCTATTCTCTTCTTTAATATAAAAGACTTATATAAACTATAAAATCAAATTTATAAAAATTGCCTTGTGAAAATTATTCACTAGACATAAAAAATTAAAATTTAGTTTGTACTTAAAAATAATTAAAAAAGTAAGATACTTTTGGCATTTTCAGCACAAAATATCCCCCCTATGTTTTTTCCTTTTTTTCTCAAATATTGTGCTTTTTTTTTGAAGAAATACAAGATACTATTGGCTGAATCTGCGTGACTTGCAGAAAAGTATTTACGATTAGCGTTATTTCTTATGACAGTACCATGAATTCTTGAATCAGAAAAGAAAGTCACAACTTAAAAGATTCTTTGATTTTGATTTTTTTTATAAAGACAATTTTAAAAAAAATAACAATTAAAAAAAAAATAAAAAAATAGTAGTTGATAATATATAATTGATAATTAATAATAAAAAAAAATAATAAAAAATTATGTTTGTCAAGGTGGACGGGATTGAGAGGGGAAGCCATGTTCCTTCAGCTTGTTGTATGAAAACTTTAATGTATCTAAGAACTGGCTCATGTCTTCTGAGATTCCATTGTACTTGGCTATCTTGCTGTCAAGTTCAACAGAGTATAATTGATGGTACTTCATGATATCAGCTTCTATCTTGTCAGAAAGAAGGGAAGTGTTAACTACTGCTTTAGTATCAGTATTAGATACATGGACAGCAGAGAAGGAGGAGGAAAGACTTTCACGCAAAGAGTAGGGAATGTCTAGCATATGATTGACAAGAAAGATATGCTTGCAAAGCTTGGAAGTATCAAGGCAAGTGCAGTTTTGCAGAAAGCTATTCTGTAGCTTAATGTTGTATACAACAAGATCAACTGTGAATGATCTGCAAGTGAATACAGTATCACTTAATTTCTCAACCATTTCTATAGCAGTATTGCTATCTAACATGTACACATTTCGTCTTTTTTGCTCTTCTTAGCATGTAAGACGTACTGATTGGAATCCATATAACATCTTGACGTTCTCTTGTCTGTAGTCAAGAGTCAAGGCTTTGGCCAAAAGATAAATAAGTCTATTTACTCAAAGAGATCTTGCACGTCCAAGATAGAAAGTCTTCAGCTGATTGTGATAAGACTCTATCAAATTATTGGTGTGAAAGGTTGCAGCCTATTGTTTATATTACATATTAGAAATGAGCTAATAATTAATAAAGTTTCATATCAATATCCATGCTTTGCACCATAATTCTTTTTTCCACACCCAGATTCTGTTAAAGTACAAAATAAAGTCATTATATTCTCCAAATTTCACAAGAAGTTTATTATACAATGTATTATAGGCAACAGAAGTTGTTGCATATATCATATTACTCAATACAGCACAAACACTGTTCCGAGCTATGTTCGAAGCATGTGTTGAGTATTGCACTTTAATCTATATTATAGTGTTATATGAGATATACACAATTTTAAATAAATATGCTACTTATATGCTTCTTTACATTAACTTCTCATGCTCTTTTAATATGCCAATGACATAACATGATATTAACACTATTGCCAAAGACTTCTTCAATTGCACCAATTTCGATGTGGCTGCAGTCAATCATTATTCTTTTCACCTTTAATGTAAAGATGTTCTTTACCTATGTCAATTATTGACTCAAGGTTGAGATATATTCATGATATGTTATAAAGAAGCAGACAGACAATCCCTTATTGGTGATAGGGTTTTGCACAATGATTATAAACAAAAAGGAATCTTCAGGTCCTTTACCAGCTATAATATTGAATGACTTGCTTGTTTTGTGTGTTGAGTCAATGCACCACTCTTCCGAATTCTCCAGAAAATAATACAATAATAAGATGTATAAATAGGTACATAGAATAAAATATAAATAATATATGTTATTTACTTCTTTCTGCTACTCAGAAACTCATGAAACAAGGAAGGGGTCATTCTTATGAACTGTGAAAAGAGTAGTATTTTCACCTTCATTCAACTCTTGAACTCACAGTTTGACACTTTCATAATGATCCACATGTTTTCTTGAGAGTTTCATCATTCGAGCATTGATAACATTTCTCACATGTTGATAATCAATGAGAAGAGAACAAGGGAAAGAAGATCTATTGCCAGCTTATTCAAGTTATGTAATTTTAAATAAGCAAAGTCTCTCATAATATACTACTTAATATTTACTTCAAGAAGTCTGTTTTCACTCATTCTAAACATGTTTTTGATGGATTTCCAATCCATGTTTTGGCTGACAAGCCCTTCTACCCATTGTTTTAATTCATTTGACAATCTTGACAAACTGATCTCTTCAATCTTAAATGGATCATGGTTTGGGTGCTGCCAGCTGTATTTGATACAAACAGTACCATCAGTCATGGTATGCTTATAGATACTAGCAGAACAATCAATCTTGATAGACTTGGTTGTTCTGATGTGTTTCTGAGCAGGCTGAGAAGTTTCTTTCACTTGGGTTTTTCCAGCATGATCACACAAGTAAACTACTGTCTTTACTTTGAGAGGATTTTCAAGAGGCTTCCCAACGAAGACTATGTTCTTCTCATGACTATAAGATCAATGGTAAACCCAATTGGGATGTTTTTTAGCAATATCATTTAATCAATTTGTAAATTCATCTTCAGATGAAAGGTCAAAGGATTCGACAGCTTCTATATAATCTGGAATTATGCGATTGTTGTAATTAGCAGCAATATTAAAGGTTGACATTTTGAGATTCGGTAAAAAAAGGTGTGTTTGGAAAAAATATTAAGGGGTAAGCGCATAATAAAAGTTTGCCCAAACAAAACAAATGAAAATAAATGCATGACTTGCTTTTATAATTGAAGAATTACTGTTACCAAGAAAACAATAACGTGGAGTTTGGGAAGCTGGCACATGTGCTATATTTTTAAAAAAAAAAAAGAAAAGCAAAGTGCAGACAAGAAGTACAGTGAGACTTTGTTTATTAATAAAAAGATATATGCCCTTCTATTGCTATTTGCTATGTGAGTTTATATAGACATTGCATGTGTATTTAGGATAATGATATGAGTATATCATGTGATATCTGTTTTCTTATATCATAGATAATATATTATTAAGTTATTACCCACGCTCTTGTTTGAGTGATTAGTGATGTTGACTAAGGTGTGTGACCTTGTTATTGGTATATTCTTTATTTAATGATAGTGTGAGAAATAATGAGTGGGTATTTTTGGTGGGCCATAGTCTGACTGAGTTTTATTCTTGCTATTTTTGGTGCGATGAGATTGAGCATCACACCAAAAGAAATCAGGGTCCAAATTTGGACAGGTTTTAAGCACTGTTTTGTTGGCGTTTGCTGGGAACAATATAATGGCCTTATACAGAATACAGTAATTTCACTACAGAGCGTGTTTTGAACTTCATTTTTTAAATCAAATTTGGAAATAATGGGTTTTGAAATGCAGCAATTTTATTCAGAAAAAATATTGGGGGGGAGGATTCAACTTTTACTAGGGTGGGAATCAGGCTAGGCTAGGCCACTGCTACTAGGCCACTGCTACTAGGCCACTACTACTAGGCCACCTTTGGACTGATGCTTAGCTTTCACTTGACCTTCATCTGATGCCCGCCCAAAATTTATCTGACTACTGAAGCTACCTAGATTCCATTGATGCTCACTGACATAATATATGGAAAAGCAAATAATAGTATGAAGAGACAAAGATGCTGGCAAGCTATCCGTATAAATACAAATAGAGATATTCATAGCTAACATAGAAAAATGACAAGAGTTAGGAGCTGTATTTACACTTATAATCAAATAATAAAATACCTTTACTATGGATAAAGAGCTATGCTATTTGGTATAGCTTTACTTATCTGAAATGTAAACTATGTGTTAGTATAAAGTGTTTTGACTTGGAGCAGTTTGTTTCTTTTTGTAAAGCTTATCTCACAATGGCAAGTACTTGATTAAAAAACTTTTGATTATTTAACATGTAGAAAAAGTAACATACAGTTTGATTTACTTATCTAAACTGATTACAAGCATGATTTGCAAATTCTATATAAGAGTAAAGTATTAATCATTGGCCATTACAAGTTCTGTTTGATGAATAAAAATAAAGAAGGAAAAAAATTAACTTATAAAAAAGAAAACAAAGAAAAAATAAAGAAAAAAAATACTAAGTGAAATTTAAGACTCAGAAGGGTATTTAAGTTTGCATTAGTTTCATTATTGTCAGGCACCTTTCTTTACTTCCTTTCATTTAATTAACCTTACTCTATAATGGGCAAAGAACAACTTAAATACAGCAAAAATTTGAGCAAAATTAAGCTTACAAGCCATTCTTTCACCTGTCATTTGTGCTTGCAAGAGTGCAGCACATTGTATAACCTTCAGCAACATGTTCAGACACATGACATAGCAACCTCTTCGGATTCTTTGACTGAAAACGCACTCAGCCTTAACGTTAGAAGCATTCCTAATTCTGAGAGGGAATTTAATGTAGTCAAAGATAATCAAGAAACATTGTTTCAAGTCGATATTTCGACCATGATCGAAGAAGAACAAGAAGAAGCCCTGGGAGAAAATATCTCTTCTCTTAGAGAAAGAATATTCAACATGGCATCATCGACAATTAACAGTAACGAGGAATCAGATCTCCCTACCCTGGCTTTTGAAGATTGTCAATCCCTTTTGGACTTTTCTGCTGCTTCAGGTGAATGGAATCAAAGCGTGCCCCCCTTCTTCCCTTTTCAAAATCTTCAGACCTTGGTTTTGCAAGCATTTGTTGATGGCGACAACAGCATGATCTCAGTGTCGATGCTTACAAAGGTCATATATATCATCAATTTGTTATTTGAGTTGAAGAAAAGAGCAGACGAGACCAAAGCAGATTTCAAGCTATCAAAAGTCGGAACTCTGTTGAATTATCAGCATAACAAGTTCAACAAGGTTTCTCTGTTCCTTACCACCGTCAAGAAAGTGACTATCAAAGCTACTTCGAATTTGGGCTCAGGAATCACTGGTCAAGTGAAAACTGTAGACTGTCATTTCAACTTACCTTCAGATCACTTGCGTCTTCTCTTGGCAAACCCCCAAAAGGCCTCTTATCTTTCAGCCCTCCCAGACTACACAGAAAATCAGTGTCTTTCTGTCCAGCAAGGAGAAAAATGGAGAAGAAATCCTTTGTTTCAACATCCATTTGTTCTAACAAATGGCAAAGACTTTTGGATTGGAGATGTTGCCATGCTATATAGTGGGCAATCTATTCTAATTGAAAGGTTCTACATGAAAGACATGCTTGCTCTCTTTGACAGATATCTTGTTGAACAAGACTCTGACAGTGAAGGCCATGCTTTACATAAAGTACAAAGCTCTCCTGTCACTTACAAAATCAAGTACCTGGTTTCTGCTTGACTCCCTCCAATGTTCTATAGTCACCCCAAGAACTGGTCTTCCTCTGGTGAGGCATCCTTGAATCCAACGCACCATGGGCTGTTGTTCAAGAGTCATCCTATGAAAAAGCCAATGTTCAATAGTGCCAACCAGTTCATTCGATTTCAGAAGGCCATCATCACTCCACTTGCTATCTTTTCTGATAATACTTCTGGGAACCTTACAAAAACGCATGAAATGTACGACAGTGTGCTGGTCAACTTCTCTGTGATGTCATACAGCATGAAAAACAGACACAAGAATAATTTCTTTGTCACAGCCGTTTCCCAGCAAGCCAGATTCAAGTTGACTCATCTGATGCCCGTTCTAGCCACAGATCTAAAGACGCTAGAAAATGGTGTTGATATGTACTCATCAACATACGACGAGACTGTCACTGTATGTGCTCCCTTGCTCTTTATCACAGCCGATAATGCCCGACATGCTGAACTTGTTGGCTTGAAGCATTCGACGTCAAATTTCTCATGTAGAAAATGCTACTACCGAAACCTGTCCAGATTTGGCTTCGACGACTTCGATTCTGAGTATTTGGTTTGTGACTGCCAGCACAGAATGAAAGAACATTATAAGATTGCAGCCACTGATCCAACTCGTAAAGAGAAGGCAATTCCTGGTATATTACCAAACGCTGATAATCTCTATCTGAAAACGGAAAAGCCTACCAATAAGGCACTTATCCTTGCTGATCTTAGATATAGTCATACTGGTACTGACGACCTACTGTGTTTGCAGTCCTTTGATCCTGCTCTTGATACACCTGTAGAGATTTTGCATACTGTGGCTCTTGAAGTTTACAAATATCTTGTTAATCATCTGTTCAAGGAAGTTTTAAAGGGCAACACTGCTTCACAAGTAAAGTTATCTGATTTGCTGGAGCAAGAAAAAGGGTCTAGAGACTTCACAAGAACTTTCAGAAAGAAGATTAGACATAGTGGATCTTATTTTGACAAGGAGTTCAAGATTCTGGCACAAGTCTTGCCACCTATTCTTAACACTGAATTCACCAACAACACCAAAGTTAGTATGATTGCTAAGCCCTTCACAGAACTTGACATTCTATCATCTCTTTTATTCATTCGAGAGGTCGATTCTGATTTTGATCAATATCTCAACAATGTTAATAATACTGCTCATTGTCTTGTCAAGTCTTTGTACGAATATGATATATATGCCAACACCAAGTTCAGCTTGACCCTGAAGATGCACCTTCTGCTGCACTTGAAAGAAGACATCAAGAGGTTTGGCTGTGCTCTCCACTTTGAGACCGAAAAGGGTGAACAATTCAACAAGTTCATCCAGACTCATTTGGTGTACTCCAACCGTCGTGCTGATAACAGGGATCTTACATTCAAGTTTGGAAAGCAAGATATGCTTAGACACTGTTGTGAATGAGTATTGATTACTGCTGAATCTGAGAGTAAGACTGAAGGATAAAATAATATCCTCAGCTATTCCAGTCAAACGGATCTCCCTTTATGATATTATCTAATACACAGATCATCATACACATAATTGATTATTTATTATTATCACCATGACATGGGATATACAAATACATATACATTATATATATGGCATCATTATATTTCATCTACATATTTCTTTTATTATACAAATACTTAAGTGAGAGACTACAACTACAACTATTTAATATTATGAAACATTACCCAAGTATCTGGGTCGGAATACTAAAATATTACTAATAGCATAAATGCTCTTCTTTACCAAAACTCTTGGACTGCTCTGACTGGAGAAGTATCATATCAATTGGTCTTTCCAAATCTTTCCAGAAGAACAATACTCCTGGAAGATGACTCATCGTGATAAAGATTACTTAAGCACACACTGAATTACAAATTAGAAAAACATATAAATATCAGTAGATAGTTCCGTGTAGAAAGAGAATCGAATTTTATCATTCTTTACTTTTCTTTTGAAATAAATAACCTACACAAGTTCTCACGAATTCTTTTGTCTATATTATATTTTGCTTTATTTTCTCCCCACAACAGACACATTGCCAATAGAAGTTCATGGATTGATAGAACTACAGGTACTCGAGTAAAGAGTGGATCTGGTATTTCTGTCTTTCTTCAAGATCAAGGAATTAAATTTTCTGACAACTACTTTGGCAAATACCAGGAATTCGTGGACAACAACTATATAAAGACAAAGATTGTTACTGGTGTCTCAGTTGCATTTTCCTATAAAGATAATGTCAGCAGGCTGTTTGTTAGAAGGGTTGTGAAAAGTAATAGTGCTTTGTGCATTCAGCATTACCAGCTTTTCTCACCCAACCTGAATTTGACAACAGTTGGCTGCCAACCAAGTGAACATTACTGCAATTTGAAAGATGTCAAAATTGAATACATGTTACATCTGACTTCAGATGTTCACCTTTCTTGCATCAATCTCCTCAAGTTTGAATCTTATCACTTCTTTTGCAAGAATTACTTCCGTTTTTTTGCTTTGAATGAATAAACTTCTTATTTCTTTGCCCCCCCTCCCATTTTTTTTTCAATTGCTTTTTAATTTCAGTTTGAATTATTAAGTATTTCTATTGGGTGCTTCTCAAAAAGTAACAACGAGTTTCAATTTTAGAAGTACCGACCCTTCAAAATTATTTTTTTTTGAGATTTTTCTGAAAAAAGAAATAGTTTTCAGCCTAAATTAACTTTTATAGATAAACAACTCTTATTTTAGGCTCAGAGACCCAAAATTACTATTTTTATATGAGAATTTCTCTTGGTGTGATAGAGATACACCACAAGAGATTTTTAGTGGCAAATATGGCAATTGCTTGCTTATAGCCAATTTGATTGGCTTATACAAAATTTCTCTATGTAATATTTTAAAACTCAATTTTTTCCGCCTATATAAAGAAGGAATATAGGTTTAGTACTACTCAAAAATTTTTGAGTGAGACAAAAACTTTTTAAGTGAGACAGACAATGTTCAAGTAAGACAAAATGTTTATTAAGGAAAGTCAGGAATTGAAGAGAAAAGAAAAAGAACATCAAAATTTCAAGTAAAAGAAAAGCATAGTAAAACATATTTGTATAAAAAAAAGCATAATAAAAGCATATTCTATAAAGAGAGGCATAGTAGAAACATATTCATGCATAGAATAAACGTAGTAGATATTTACTCATATAATAAAAAGTTGTTTTTAAAAAACCAGTAGGAGCCAAACTTACTCAAGTTTACAATATAAAAAGAATCACAATAAAGGTGCATATCAAGTTTGCAAACAAGTTTCAAGTGGGAAAGGTCAGTATGGTGGTTTATCAAGATAGCTTTTGCATAGTTATTTTTCTTGTCATCTTCAGTGCAAGCAACAAGTTCAAGAAAAGTAACAACTGATCCACAAACATATCCAATATGGGGTCGGGAGGAAGAGTCATTGTTAAAAATAAAGACACCAAAAGAATTGTTCTTGATACGTTCTTCATCTATATCACCAGTATTATTGTTGTCAGTAAAGTCTCTTGAACCACCAAAGAATGAAAAACAGAACTTTTTTTCATTGTTTCCTTGAAGGAAGGTTGCGATTTCACTTCCTGGTTTTTCACATTGTCCATTTTCGTTAAGCCAAGAGCCACAATTTATAACATGCTATAATGCTGCCTGTTTTACAAATTTGAGACAGACATCTTGCAAGGTATTCTTATGGTTTGTGTGAAAGAGATGTTTGCGAATATGCTTATTAAATTGTTTGCCTTTTTTCAGTTTCAAATTGAAAAGCGGTACTGAATCTTTGAATGTCATCTTTCAAGTGGATCAAGTTGTAAATTTTAGGCTTCGTGCAGAATGCAGTATACTTCTTTATTTTTGCGGTTTTGTTCTTTTCTTTGACTTTGGCTATCTTAAAAGTATTATAGTCATGTAATTGTGCAAGTAAACGTCTTACAGATAGGTTCACTTTAATAAGATAGTCATCAAAACCTGAGGTTACCTCTCAAACAAATACTAAGGAACATAGGCGGCCAAGTTCAATAAAGCAAGATTCAATATTGTCTAGTATAGGCTCATTCAAAAAATCGGTGATGAGAATGACAGAGAGAATTTGCAAGAGCACCTTAAAATCTCTATCAACATAGGATTCTGAGTGATTGATATTTCTTGTGAATTTGCACGATAATCCAGTTAAGCATTTGTAATCATTCAAACATGTCTTGATTCTTTGAATTATATCTTTTTTGCTTTTAAGAATACTGTTTATAAGATGGATGACCATATACTTTTCAATTCCAAGAAGAATAGTATGAGGAATCTTTACAGGTGTATTGCTTGATGAGTCAAAAGCATCTAGTTCCAAAAGAGATCCAGTCAAGCGATCTTGGAATCTTAAGTCTTTGGCAGGCAAGTTACATCTGTCTGTTGGGGCATCAGGTATGATGGTTGTTCTGTCCAACATGAAATTAGCAAGCACATAATGTTTCCGGATTCGTCTCTTATGAGGCTTAGTATAGTATTCTTTGGCTGAAAGAAAATCCTTTAGTCTGTGAATGTATACATAACATTTTCTGCATAATACAAAGACATTGGGCCAGATAATCCACAAAGTTCATAATGGCAAAATGTATTGACTTCAATCCAGAGAACAGTGGCAACAATAAGGACATACTGGTTTTCTTTTTCACAGAACATAACTACACTCTTTTCAAGGGCCTTGATATTACAGACCATTACAGGTAAGATAGACACATCTTTTGCACTGTTTTTCTTGGGAACTATAGCAATAAATCGAATGTTTTCTATGGAGAACCTATCTCTAAATGACAACCCAGCACATTTCATTAACCAACTTTCATAAGGATTGTATTGCTTTGACAAGTTTCCAGAGGTATCATCAGTAAAAAATATTAATGGTACTATGATAACTTTGTAAAATGTATTGGCCGGTGCATTAGAAATTTTTTGTTTCATAGGATGTTGGGTAAAAAGAAGAGTGTAATAAACAGGGCATAATATTGCGGTATACTGCGGTGATATGCTCAAATAGCATGCTTCTTCAAGGCGATGGTTGTCAACATGGTCAATAAGCTCTATATTAATATCAGTAGCAGCGATTTCTACACCGTGACATTTGTCTGAAATAATTCTAATCATATAACCTCTTGCATAAATATGGCTGTTTGCTGTATGAAATGACTCAACCAAAAAGCATAGCATAGGATTGTTAGCCTTTAAGTAAAGGATATCTCCAGCCCAAATATCGACACTGTTCACAGTAAACATTGGCTGCTGGAATAAAGGATGGTTTCTCTATTTTTCACCTTGTTGCAAAGAAATAGCTTGTCCTGAAGTACAATCGGGTAAGGAAGCAATTAAATCATACTTTTTTGAATTTGATATGAGAAATTTAAGGTGGGTAGACGGCAGATTGAGATATATATGTTCAGTATTGTTAGGTACTTGTATTTCTTGGTGTAGAGAGGGAAGCACAGGGATCTTGTTTCCTTTTCTAGTTTGGTAGTTCAAAGGTTATCTAAGTGGGGTAACTTAAATACTTTTCCAGTTGGCATTTCAGCATATATCTTAAAAATCAAGTTCATAGCAGCAAGAATCGTCTTCACTATTCTTTGAGAAAGCATATCATTATCACCGTCAATAAATGTAAATAGAACCATAGATTAGAGATCAGGGAATGGATGAAATCCAGAGCTAGGTTGGTTATTAGTGTCAGTGTTTAGTATAAATTCTTCTAAGTTTCCAAAGTTGTTTATGTCCATTTTGCCATTTACTGCAGATTCTAGATACTCATTTACAGAGGAAAGAACATAATTGTCAGTAGTATCATCATTAAAATAATCATCAATAATATTGTTTTTGTCATCGTATTTTTCGCTATTGCTGGAGTATTCATCTGCTGAATTAACATCATTATCTGTTTCAAATGTTTGAAACTCAGCCATTGTTTCTGCTGGTATTGTTGTTGTTGTTGTTGTTACTGTTGCTGCTTCATCATTGAAGTAATCCAAAGAGTTCTCCAAGTCTACATTAGAGATCTGGTGAACATTCTTAAGATGTTGACAAAGATTTCATGAGTGAGTATAAGTAGTTCTGCAGTCTGGACAACTAAACTCTCTATCATTTGTGCTAAAATTGTATTCGCCTGGCCTTTGAGAGATTGGGCTATTAAGTATAATGCGTTTATGTCTTCTGTTTTTTGGCATAAGAAAAGTAAGACAAATGTACAAAATGACTTAGACAAATTATTTGAATTTATAGAATGCAAAGACTGATATTTAATGTCAGTGCACCAATCATATTTTTTTCTCATAGCTTTTATAAAATAAAAATGACATGCTTTTGTTTTCTTTTTCCTATAAATTCATTCCAAAAGATTTGTTGTTTAGAGTATTTCCATCTCTAAGGTACTCTAACACGTTTGCAACATTTATAGTAGTAACGTTATGTCTAAATACCCTTACTGGAAAGGTATGCTGACTATCAGAGTAGCTTCATATGACAACATATTTATTAATCATACTAATCTGATTTATAAATTAGTTTTGTTGTTATCTGATTAAATGAGTAAAAAAGTAATAACTATATACTTTGCTTACAAAGCAACATAATAATAACTATTATTTTTTATTACTTTTAGATATTCACCTGTCTATAATTACAAATCAGTTAGCAGATTCAAAGGTAAGATTTTCTCAAACATCTCTAAGCCTGATTACTAATTATTTGTCATACTGTTTTAGAGTTTCTTGGCGCTTGTGCTTTCAAGTCTCTTGGTATTCAAGTATCCAGAATCATCGGTTCCAAAGGCATCCATGACAATGCATTTATCTCTTGCGTTTAGTTAGACATAGTAGCTTACTATAAAGCAGTCATGTAATCTGCAGCCATTGGTACAGGCAGCTATACTACTACTATTTCCAGTAGTATTAGTAGGCTGGTGTGCTACTGTATGAGGATTATGTGGCCCAACCTAGATTTTTTCTATTTTTTTATTTTTTTTACAGCTTAAAATATACTAAAAAAATAAATAATAAAAACCTATTTTTTCAACCCAAAAATTATTTGAAACAAATCCAATTTTGAACCATTTTTGATATTTCTGAAATCTATTTTCAAAATACAATTTATTTTTAGTCAGCAACCCTCATCAAAAATAGGACTTTTCTATATGGTAGTCATAGACTTGGTAGTACACCGACAATGCTTTTGGGATGTGATTACACAAAAAAATCTCTTGTGATATACACTTTTTCAAAAAATTAGGTTTATTTCCTGAAAAAAAAATTCAAATTTGTTAATAAAAAGAAGACGATTTTGACGTTTTTATCATAATGGATGTCTTTATTTTAATATGAATATGTGTTGACTAAAAGTTATATAATTCAAGGCTGGCTACTACTACTACTAGAATGGACCTTTCTTGACAGCTTTCCTATCTTATAATGCTCTAATATATATGATTATTGATTGGAATTACTTGTATTTGTAATGATTTATTACTCATACAGTTTTCTGGAAAGCCATAAAATAAAGACATATATTTTGATATAACAGTGAAAGTAGTATATATTTATTGAATATAATAAGAATTATTTATGTAGAAAAATAATTAAATGAAGATAGTTTTATATCTTTTACGATAATCAAGCTCTATATTTATCTAGAGAAATTCCAAGCTGAACTCAGTCATTCTCCATTCTTTGAGCGGCTTCTTCAGGGGATATATTCTCTAACTCTGCTCTTTCATTAATTGCATTGTACAGCTCTTTTCTTCTACTAAAAAATCTAGACTCTTTACGATCTTTTCTCTATGCAGTTCCATACTTATTTTCTAAGGATTGAATGGATAGGCTGCCATTAAAGCCGAAAACATATTCTCTCTATATATCAGTAACAGAGAAAATTCTTTGGCTCATTGTATACTGTTCCAGCTGTTCTGTGTGTGTTGGCTGTTGAGATGTTACAGCACTATGTAATGGAGTACTTTGGGGTGGTAGCTGTAGAGGTTGTGATGTAATGATGTTATGCTGTAAAGATAGGTTTAATAGTGTTGCAATTGTAGAGTTACTGAATTGATTGTATCCGAGAGCAAAAAAAATGGTAAAATTGTTGTTTAATCTATTAATGGAGGTGGCGTGTGAAGAGAGGTGGGCATATATCATGGACTGCATCGAATTCATGGTGGCGTGAACTGTTCCGAAACCAGCTCTGACACTATCTACCATCTTTGGCATAACCATATCCATCCTTTTATTGCTCATGAATACCTCTTCTTCTTGCTGTACTGTGGAGAGAACTTGCTGCTTGAAGCTTTTGTATTTCTCTGACATGAAGATAACACATGTCCAAAGATAATAACCTGGGAATCTCTTTTTCAGAAGAGCAGAGTCCTAAAAAAAAGCAGCAAAGAAATATTACTTAGAGAAAATATTACAAACAGTGCTTTAATAATAACATGTACCTGTAGAAATACCACTTGAAGTCGCAAAAGTAAATCCAAAAAAAATGGGCCAGCTATGTCCTCTTGGACATCTCCATTTGCAAATTTCTGTCTCTAAGATTCGATATTTGGGAAAACCATTGTTTGTAGAGAAGCCGAAGGTTGAATCACTGCTCGTGCTAAAAAGAAGTTGCTACTGTTTCCAGAAAACTCTGCTAAAGCCTTTATTGCTTCCACAGGCAATGTTGACATATAACATCCCACCATACAGTCCGTTTCCCACCTTCCAACCATTCATTGTTGGTCACTGGAAACATTTTTTTGTGCAATCATATTGAAAGCACTTTTGCGGTTGGCATAGATGACCTTTGAAGTATGGATCCCAACTGATTTGAATGCCTCAAGATATATTTTATGCTGCATCTTGTATCATATCAGCTTGAAGCAGTCATCACCTTTAAGAAGAGCTGTTTCATATCATTTTTCACAGGAAGAAAAGTTGGGAAATGGCTCATTCTCATAATGAAATCTTGAGAATAAACTCATGGCCAATGCACCAATGGAACAGACTTCAAATTGACAATGACAGATTGATGATCCATACTCAATGTTCTAAATGAGTATTGACTACTGCTGTAATTGAGAATAAGTCTGAAGAAAATAATATAAGGTCTCAGCTATTTCAGTCAAAGGTGCCTACTGATTACTTTATTATTTAACACACAGGTTTAGCATGCATGATAGTGATTATATTTCATATGATGATATCACCATAATATGGGATACATCAGTGGATTATTATAAGCATAATTATAACTCATAAACACATTTACTTTCGATGTTAATACTTCATTGGAACTACACACATTTATATAATTAATCATACATTAATTATCCCAAGATCATGTTGCTCTGATTAAGGCTCAGATAGGATCGATTACCTAACCCCAGTCATATAATTTTCCCAATCCAAAATAATATAAATAGCAGTAGTAGCTCAGTGTAGGAACCTGGTCAAACTTTGATACAAAATCTTTTCTCAATAAACAAAACCTACACAAGTTCTCACAAATCTTCGTTCCTAATCTCAAATCTTCAATTCTTCCTCTTAAAAACTTCTTCAACTTCAACCACCACAACATTTTTTTTGTGAACTACCATGAACCCCTCTGCTGAGAACTACCCCGCTGCCATCATCCCTGCTCATGAGGAGGATGCCATGTCCGTCATGACTGAGGAGGACCTCATCGCCAGTCTGAGTGACAAAATCTCCTTTGCCAGCTCCACCCCTGGACAATTTGTTGCTCCCTCTCCCCTTCGTCCCTTGGTAGCAAATGCTGCTACAACAGTCTTGTCTTTGTCAGAGAAACTTGGACTAGAACTTCAATAGCATGTAGAGGCTGTCAGCACTGCTCACGCTATGAATGATGAGCAAGCAGCTGAATTAGCCCTTAATAAGGTCAGACGCGTCAAAGAAATGATAGATATAGAAATAGCATGCAGTCAGTACCTTTCGCCTTCTGTGAAAGTTGTAGAGAAGAGCAGTCGCACTGGAGGGTTGACTCTTAATAGAAGAGATCTTCCTAAGTTCTAGTTGGCAGACGATGTGATTAGGTCCTTCCCAAATGAAGAGGTCTTTCACTCAGTAGACCACTTCCTTCACACCTTCCAAAAGGTTATTGAGTCGTCCCTTCAGGACATTGAACTAGTTTGGAAGAGATTTTTACAGCTCTGCTTGCCTCATAGTGATGATGGATGGGTAGAGATAGATTTGAAGAAGTGTGTAGATTGGAACACGGCCAAGATCTGCTTTACAGCAAGACATGAATCGCACTTGGTGACATCCCATTTGGTAAAAGAGGTATTTACCATGGTAATGCTTCCTTCTGAGTCGATTGGAGATTACTCCAAGAAGTTCCTTCAGGCTGTGTATGATGCCGGCCTCCCCAAAAACGATGCTTGTGTTGCCGACCGCTTCCTCGCTTCCTTGACTAGGCAAGTACAGACACTCTTGTGGCTCACCATGACCAGATTGGACTTCAATGGCAAGACCAAAAGAGATTGGACTGTGAAGCAGTTGACGCAGATTGGCAGAGACATCCTTGACAATCACAATTGCATGTATGCCGAAGCTATACAGCTCATTCCTGGTGCCAACATGCACACTGAGAGGAGAATGGAGGCATACCCTCGCAAGAAGGTGCACTCCAGCAACAACAAGCAGCACCAAATCAGTAAGCCAGAGCATTCCTTCTTCTGCTCGCACCATAGTAAGAATACTACATATGAGTCAAGCAAAGGCTTCACCCTGGCCAACAACAAGGCCAAAGTAGCTGCCCCTACCAAGCGCAACCCCTGCAGGCAGTGTGGAGAAAACTACTTCTGTGGCCACGTCTGTAAGGACAGTGAGCCAGTCCTGATAGTCTCACAGGTCCCTGCCAAGGAGAAGTCTGAGCAAGTGCTCAAGGCAATCCAAGACAGTGTCGACTTGGAACTCGAAGACATGTCATTTGACTGTAAGTACCTACTTGACAAAATTGAGAGAAGGGTTAAAGCCAATGATGCATTTAATCTAACCACTCCTATTATTGTAGAGAACCACAAACTACTTGGCACTGCAAAAGGAGGGCCAATTCAGTATACTAAATCTTGACCAAATACTGTTCTGAATGAATAAAATTCAGCATGAATTCGATCGGAATTTATGATGCCAATTTTTTAAAATTCGTGAGCTAAATTAATACAATTAGTATACTGAATTTTAGGAACGCAAAAAGAAAAAGTGTGATATACTTTTATGTGATATATTTTGGTTGTGAAAATATAGACGCACTTTTATCAGACCGCAGATTTTTCATTTTATATTGGTTTTGGGGTTTTTTTTTAAATACAGCACATAACATTCAACATCTTTTTATTACTATATATGGGTTGTTAAAGAAGAGATTTGGTCAAGATTTGGTCAAGATTTAGTCAAGATTTAGAGGTTTATGGGTCATTTTAAAGGTTTTTATTGGTTTGAAAAATTTTTCTTATTGTTTCTAGCTGTTTCTATTCGTCTACATCACTAATCGTCTTCTGTTGCAATTGGGTAGAAACATCACACTCGATGCCATCATTTATTTTAGTGGATACTATGTTATTCCTTTCGAACATCCATTGGTCCACCCCTGGTGCAATCGACCCCTACTGTATTCCATTGCTTGCTGCGGCACGCCTTCTTGGCCTGTTTGTTTACTTTTATAAAAAATAATTATAGGGTGGATTAGAAAGAATGTTCTAGGTATATTTATTTGAGAGCGACAGATTATTTAAAAAATATGAATGTACTTACAATAAAGTTAAACACGAGAACAGATGGATGTCTTTAACATAAAGATAGATATATCAACGTTTTAGTTAAATGTCTCAATTATAGTAATATTGTCTATAAAAATAATAACTTTTGTTAATACGATGCAAAGTAAATAAGACTATGGTTTGCTTACCAGACAGTTCAGAAAACAGAAGAGTTGACAAACACAAAATACAATGACATTGTCTATAAAATCTAATCTTTTATTAGAATGAAATAAAGAGTATCAGACTATTTTTTGCTTACCAATTATTCAATACAATAGAAGATGCAGCATGCGGGAAATGGAGATATTATCTATAAAATAATTTCTTTTCATTAGAATTACATACAAAGAAGTAGAATGATTATTTACTTACTTGTCTGTCTGTAGAGAATAAGATTCGGTGTATAATCAAAAAAAGAGGACTGAGATAAAGACCAGTGACTATAGAGTGTATGGTATACATAAGAAAAATAATAAATACAAGTTGTATCTTGAAGGTGCACGTTAATATTTATACAACATACCATTTTGTAAACCCTCCCAAGATATATGTCTTTGTTAATGGGCTAGAAAAATCTAAGCAGAATAATTAATACATAAATCATGAATAAATATTCAAGTATATTTTTATTACCTTTTTATCATTATTTTTGAGGCAGTTAAGAAGGACTTGGTGGTTTAAAGCATAGTGTATCATGCTAGAATAAAAACAACAAGATGATTAGGTCTTGAAACTTTGATGTGAGTTGATGCCTACCATGTTAGACATTAAGAAAGAAGTAAAGAAGAAGAAAGAAAAAATTAAAAAAAAAAACGGGGGAAATTCAAAATTATAATTTTATGACTGTTGACCCTGAGAAACTGATAGAATCAATGGAGCAAATTGAAAGTCATTCAACCCATCCCGATTGAGACTGTTGTGGTGGTTGAAGTTGAAGAAGTTTTTAAGAGGAAGAATTCAAGATTTGAAATTAGGAACGAAGATTCGTGAGAACTTGTGTAGGTTTTGTTTATTGAGAAAGATTTTGTATCAAAGTTTGACCAGGTTCCTACACTGAACTACTACTGCTATTTATATTGTTTTGGATTGGGAAAATTATATGACTGGGGTCAGGTAATCGATCCTATCTGAGCCTTAATCAGAGCAACGTGATCTTGGGATAATTAATGTATGATTAATTATATAAATGTGTGTAGTCCCAATGAAGTATTAACATCGAAAGTAAATGTGTTTATGAGTTATAATTATACTTATAATAATCCACTGATGTATCCCATATTATGGTGATATCATCATATGAAATATAATCACTATCATGCATGCTAAACCTGTGTGTTAAATAATAAAGTAATCGGTAGACACCTTTGACTGGAATAGCTGAGGCCTTATATTATTTCCTTCAGACTCATTCTCAATTACAGCAGTAGTCAATACTCATTTACAACAGAGACAAGACATTACGTACTAAACCACAATCTCTCACATCTTTGTAATGGATGTAAGCTATTACAAATGCCTTTCCAAGTCGGCTTATAAAGAAAAGTATAATATAGAGAGCAAAATGCTATAAAGAGCATCATCAGAAAAATAATCTTTTGGTGCCTTACTTTCTACCTTTACGTATGTTTTGATTTATTTTATTATTTTAAAGAAACCCGACTCTAATTATTAAAGTATTCACATTGTTTCCATTTCTTTCATTAGCCTTAAATATCTCAATTCATGTCTTCTAATACGCAGCAATCCAAAAAAACGAAAAAGACGACTACAAAAAAGTCTGTTCAACAAACCACTGGGACAGCAGCAAGCACAAGACAACGGGAAATTCTTCCCAGCTTGACAGTTAGCGCAGAGCTAGATGGTACTGTCCTGTCCACTTTGTCCACCATGAGCACCCGACTGAATGAATCTCATTCACTTCTGGAGAAGGTCTACCACAACATGGGAGCAACCAATGGCCAGAATAACAATTCGAACCATAGTCCCATCGGTCAGGCTCTTACTACAGGAGAATATATAAAGTACCGCCTTCCAACGGTTTCGGTAGAATATATACTAGTAATAGAATATTGCAAAGTTACTTACATTATATTTTGCAGAGATTGATCCATTCTCAAACACGAGCAGTTCTGGCAACAATGCCATTGACAGTCAATGAGGACGCCTTCTCAACATCCAACCGTCCCATTGCTGATGTAGTGCAGAGCTACACACATCAGCAAGCTGAAGTAAAGTCTGTTTCGTCTGCAGTTGTGGAAGAGAAAACCCGAAGACATATTTCGTATATGCTTTAAAGGGCAAAAGCTTTGCCAGAAAAGATAGCTCGACAAAATCGGATTTCTCAATGCCGGTCCAGAAAGAGAAACGTAAGTATAGTCAACAGTTTTTGTGTAAACTATTTTAACTTTTTTTTTCAGATTCTTGCAGACTACAAGGCAATTCACTTAGCTGACAAAGCAAACCTTGAGTCTAAGTTTGGTGAGACTGTCGTTGACCTTCTGGACTATGACATGTTGTCTGATATTGAGTCAGATGAGGAGAAAAATAAAACTAGATATACTCCTAGAAATAGACATCTCTTGGTAAGGCTCTCATGATAAAAGTTATTTTTTTTAATATTTCTAACTCAAAAGTATTTATATTATAATGCAGGTGGATGAATACTTTACTGTTTTGAAGAAACAGAGACTTGCTAACAAGGGACCAGACGTCATTGGCAATTCTGTCTATCCAATTATTTTGAGAAACACCGAGTTATCGAATGAGAAAAAGGCATGTGTTACTGCTTGGATTCACACACGCCAACAATAAATCGTTATTTTGTTTACAAAGTGCATATAGTACTTTAATGATTTTTATTGATTATGTTGAATGATGTGGGGTGAAGTGGTAAAATATAATCAGGCGGTATTGTCAAGATGAGAAGCAATTAATATATAAATAAAAGGAAAAAGAAAAAGACAAAATCAAAAATCAAAATAATAAATTATTATTTTATTTTATTTTATTTTATTTTAAAGCCAATTAATAAAAAAAATATATATACAAAGCAATTATTTAATTATATAACCCTGATTGTTTTATCCTCGTTTTTTTTATTGGAAATTATAATACTGATATTAGCAAGAATATGTAATAAAGGCAAAGAAAATGGTAAATGTTGGGTATTAAATATACAAGTTTTTTTGTCTTTTATATTATTGATAAAAGCAAGAGAAATAAATAATGGTTTTTACTATTTGTTAATAGTTAAAAAAAACTGGTAATATAATTTACTATTGCTCTTTTAAATACTTAATAAAGAAGTAATGTTAAAACTAAATAAGAATACAGAGATAAATAAAGCTAAACCTTTTTACAGTCAAAAAAACTTGTATTATAATTATTTATACTGGTAACCTAAATAGTTGTTATTTATTTTTTTATGTGACTACTTTTCTAGGCAGTGGAATAACCAGGTGCTTTTGCGTTTCACTCTGCATTTTATGCATAGTCAATGCAAAGCACAAATGCAGACGATGCACTGGAACAATGCACGAAGCATCTTCTTCCATAAATCCCTTGTCCCACAACTGCAGACCTTGATCAGCTAATGGCTGATGACTACTTGAATGGTAGGCGGGAAACCATTTAATGAATGCGAATGTTGACACTCTTTTGACTCCACCGATCTTGATGGTATGAGTAAATAAATACTCTATTTGACCAGGGAATTCAGATACATTGTCATTTGTTCTCTCAAGAAACAATACCCTCACAAAAGACCCGCGCTTCTTCTTTTCACCACTGCAGTACTCTTGCCCCAGCAACGAAATCTTCTTCACCTTTTGAATCCGATTGTTCACAAATACATCCTCACCAATTGGGATTCTCCCTACCACACAGAAGGAAACACTTGTACTCCGGTAAGCCTTGACATAGAATTCAAATAACCACTGATAGTGATCATCCTTCATCATAGTCAAAGGCTGCAACTTGATTGGCAATGTGGTCGGGGGCAAGGCCTCACTTCCGGTGACATTGTACCATGGATTTGTAGCAGCTTGCTGGAACATTGCTAAGCTAAATGGCAATGCAGGAGGGTGGCCAGCATCCAAATTCAAGGGAGAAGAGCTGTCGGAATTTGATTTTACTTGGGCAACCCCCTCAAGAAACTCTATCAGTGGTGATGAAAGATTGGTAGAATACGCTCGAAGAAAGCTACCAATGAATGCTTTCTCCAGGAAGACTCTCATGAAGGTGACCTCAAGACCATTGCGACGGTTCGTCTTGATGTTCTTCAACTTGCCGTTGTATCTCTCGAAGCTATACAGCCAGAATGCGTATACTGGACCAAAATTAAGCATTGACTCACGCAAGTGCATATGCAAGTGCATATTTGGCGTGATGCTGCTCTCTCCATAAAGAGTCTCACACTCTTTTCCGAATTCTCCAAGGAGCTGGTGTGCGCTGTCAATTTCTGAATATGTGACTGAAGGACCAGTCAACTTTTGGCATGCTTTTACAAAGAGAGTCCAGTTTTTGTAGTCGTCTTCAGGCAAAGCGTCTTTTAGTACCACCAACAAATAAATCAGACACCACGATCGCCACTCATCTGCCTTCATATATGGGAAACCAGATTCGATCTTTGTTGATAAAACGGCATACCCAGGAGGAACAAGAATACCATCGGCAAGACGTTGCATACGGACGAGAACAGCAGTTGGGAGATACCTCAGGTCTTTCCAAACACTGATCATATGCTTTTCTGTCCCAAGAAACAAATTGTGCATGGGATCAACAATCGTGCATTGGACGGGATCAAAGTAGTGTAGGCGATGCAACTCAGAAAAACGGGTGCCATGCTGCTTCTCCAAAACAGCTCTCTCTGCATCAGATTCTGTGTAGAACCACATCTCAGCTTCTGTTGCATTTTCCTCTTTTGTTCGGGAGACCCAGTTCTCATGATCGAATCCAGAATAATTGATCTTACTTGTTCCAGCAACAACAGTGAAATGACGCTTGCATATGTGACAGGCGTTTGTACTTGCAAATCCTGTAAATCCAGCAGTCTTTCTTGCAGCAGGTATGTCGCAAGCAACACACATAAGAGCAGCGCAGATACTAGTACCATTGGGGAACTCTGGAGTTTTCATAGTTATGCCGCCGTATAACTCTGCCAGCTCGTCTACCAGAGGTTCCAAGAAGTTGTTCATCTGGTCGATCTTTGCTTCCTTTGGACCAGGCATGACACCGACAAGGATAATGTTTTCCAGCTTCATTCTTTCTTCCCTAGGCAGGTTGTTCATTGACAGGTACAAGGCCCCACTTGCATGTGTACGACCCTCGAATGGTTGAAACCAATTCACATTCAATGTCAACATCAAAGAATGGTCGTGATTCACAAAAGGCTCGTCATCTTCATCAAGGAGCTCAGACCACATTGCACCATCATAGACGTCCAACAAGGTACTGTTTATGGTTTCCCTTGATCTCCATTGAACGATTTGATGCTCGAACCCAGGTTTGGCGAAATGCTGTGCCAATGCATTCTTGAGCGAGTTGTATGGAAAAACCATGAGAGGGATGGCGCAATCAGCTTCGGTGTCAGAGAAAAGAGGATTTCCGCAGTATGTTGGTGGTGTGGTTGTGTATTTTTCGAATGTGCAATTTGGTTGGCGATTGCCTGGTAGGTAAATTGCAAAGCACTTGTTGCAGACGGTGTATTTGACAATGCTTTTTGTCATGAAATTGAAGCCGGTCATAGTCTTTAATGCATCAATGGTGAGTGGGAGATCGGTATCCTTATCAAAGGCAACAAGAAGATGGCGGAAGAATTTCAACATAGCAGTTCCACCTGCTTGAACCAAGTAAAACGCCTGAAAGATAATGCCAAATAGAGCCATGAATTGGCTTGTTTGAGACATTTCATGAATTTTCAAAGAAGCAACTACAAAGGCAAGTATTTCTGGTAATTATTTGTAATACAATTTATGTATATTTCTTTTTTAAATGTATGCATACCGGAAGCAACCATGTCTTCAAAATCTTCAACACCGGCAACCTCAACTTTACTCTCATCTTCAGACTCATCGCTTGAATCAGGATCGTCATTGTCAGAAGCCAATGATGTTGTCTCGACATCAGACTCTTCGAATTGAAAAATCTCGTCTTCTCTCAAAAAAGGTACACTCTGTATAGTAGTTTCGGCTGATACAATAGAATAATTGTCTTCATCTATAGTAAAACCAGACTATTAGCTATCTAAATTATGATTTATTAAAAAGAAATTTTATACTCACAATCAATCGATGTTTCAGATACATCTACTATCTCAATGTCTGTCTCTTCTTCGACAACTTCTGTATTAACTGATAATTAACAAAAAAAATATTAGATTACAATTTATCCAGTAATGCGTGTACTACTTAAATGTCATTTACCTCGATTTTTTGGGCCAATGTCTAATAACTTATCAGCATTATTATGACGCTTAAAGGTCTGTGCATTTTGCAAAATTCCGCCAATTGCATTTTTGGTACATGATAAACATGTACATATAACAGTGTAGATTTTAGTTGTAGAATTCATAACAGTAAGAATAATATTAATAATAATAAAATAATAAAGAGGTGTATACTATATTTTATTTTCATCTTTTATATGTCTCTTATTTTTGTCATTAATAATGAGTTGATATATCTTGTTCACTATGTCATTGACTACATTGAGCTTACTGTCCCTATTAGTAAGAATTACAAATGGATTTTGATGCAGCGATCTTTTCTTAAAAAAAGTGTGCCTGATTATTAATGGGGCTTCAATTTAATAATCACTGATTTAATGGCGTAGTTTTTCTCTTTCGCGTTTTTTTAACATGACATCAATTCTCGCTCATTTTGGCAAGTGGCCTTTTTTGGATTTTCTTTTTCTTGTATTTTTTATGACATCAATTCTTGCTCTTTTTTTCAATTTTTTTTGATATACTTTCTTATTAAAAATAACTCATATATCATACATTATTATATTCTAATAAAATTCAGTATTTTTTGCGATGCAATAAAAATATTATTGAGTCTAAATTAGGTGCATCTGTAACAACAAGTTTTTCCTTCCAGAAAAATAATTAAATACTACATTTAACATTTAATATTTTATTTTTATTTTTTATTTTTCTGTCAAGTCAATCGAAACATATATTTTTTAAGACAATTGTGCGATTTATTGCCTAATTAATAAATATTTGTGTTTGTATCTGTGTTTATTTAATATAATCAGAAAAAATTGCGAATTCCCATCTCAAGAAAAAAATATATTGAAAAACGATGGTGTTTGAAATATTTTTCCAAATTTTGCCAAAATTTAAAAAATAAAATTCGACCGAATCTACCCTCCTTTTGCAGTGAGGTGTCTTGGCTGGCAGAATCAAGCTTGTTTTGGTGGCCCAAGTGGAGGCAGCAGTTCCAAGATCTGCAGTTGACTGGGGTGCAGGAAGAGAAGCAGAGCTGGGAACAGGACCAGTCACATTGTTTTGCAACAATTAAGATCGGAGATTGGCATTCTCCTGCTGGACATTAGCTAATTGAGCATGCAATTGGACATTTTTGGCAGCAAGAGATTCCAAATGTGCTGTACGTTTGTTAAGTGCATTGAACTGTGACTGCATACTGGTTAAAAACGTCACAAGTTTGGCTGGCAAACTTTGCATGCAATTAGCAGGCAACAATTGCAACATGTTTGGCAATGATCTTGAGATAGCAGCAATCGGTAGAGAAAAAGTGAAAATTGGTGATAAAATGGCAGGAACGATAGGAAATTTTTTTTTGACAATGGATGTGGTGGTGGAAAGGGTAGATGCGTCGTGTTTGACAATGGATGCAATGGTTGAAGCAATATTTTGGATGGATTGATGATAGAATTGTATGGATGCAAACTTTAAAAAACCCAATATTGAAAACAATAAAGCATACGTGAAAGAGAAGTGGGGATGTAGCTCAGGTTAAAGATTATTTTTATTAAGGAGATATTGCTGGCAATCTATAGATCATATAGCCTCCCAAGTACAAAAGAAAAAGATAAAAAAAAGTCCAAAAGGATCACAAAAGACAAAAAAAATGAATAGAAGAAGAGAAATAAACAATACTAAGCTAAAAGACTGAACCTGCTCTCCACTTTGCAGCTGTGTAAAAAGTTGTAACAGTGAAAGGGAGGAGACAGAATTGCAGATCTAGAAACATTTCATGAATGAGAAGACAAAAATAAGAAGAAAAGAAGTAAAAGAAAACAGATATTAAATTATTAGAGCTAGTGCCAGAGAGAACCATGATCAGTTTCATGTGTGTAGTTGCCATTAGGATTGCATAGCATGTCAATATGCCATAGTATTGTAAGAAGAGCTTTCCAATATAGAGGGCTTGGATGTGTAGACGAGATTGGTAGTGCTGATATAGCAAAGTCAATGATGTTGTCTTCATCTGTGGGTGGTGCTGGAAGTTGAGAGAACAGCTGAGATGGGATTGTGATGCAGAATTGGAGATGGCGTCTTGAAGTATGATCAAAGCCACATGCACACTCCTTTGGCTTACCAGGCAACCAGCCTATTCTCCAACGTACTAGACGGCCACGTTCTATGCGTGTAGCAGGAAGAAACAATACAGGATCAACTTCAAGAAGAGGGCGGCAAGCTTGGATGAGAATCTTAGTGTTGGTGAGACGAAAGTGAGCAAACTTTTCTTGTCTAAAAGACTCAAAGTGCTTGGATAGTTTTATGCGGCTGGAGCAATTAAGATCAGGGGGAATGCTGGCAAAAAGAGGGTTTGTGTGAAGAGTGGATAGTGTTGATGCTTGGAGATGATGAGAATGGAGCAGAGAGAGAAGACAACCAGAAGGAAGAGTGTGTGCCCGAAGACAAAATTTTGTTTTGAGAATGTCAACGCGAAAAGCCATACTGGGCAGGTTGCAGATATGTTTCAAGACTGCAGTAGATGAAGTTGCATGGCCACCAACAATCATTTGCAAGCATTTATCTTGAATTTTCTCTAGAAGTAAAACATCTTTTTGCAAAAGACATGTGATTGCAAGACCATACTCGAATTTTGGTCGTATAAAGGTTTTGAACAGACGTGAACTTAAGAGCAAACTGAAACCAGATCTACATACACCAACAGCAGTAAGAGTTGCCATAGCAGCCAATGCTCCAGAACGACAATGAGTGACAACAGACGGTCCAAAGATGCCTTTGTTACAGAAAGGTATACCCAAGTATATAAACTCATTTACTGCAGGAAGCAACTCACCATACAGAGAGATAGTAGAACGTGGTAAAGATTGTGAAGGAGGATAGAGTACAGCACATTTTGAAGGACTCCAACGGTAGCCAAGCTGGAAGGAGTGTTGGGCAGCAAGATCAAGCATACTCTGAACATCAGTGACAGAGCCAAAGATAGCAACATCATCAGCAAAAAGAAGACTGTTAATGGCAGTAGGCAAGTGAATGTGTTGAAAGTCATTCACATCTGATGGGGCAAGAAGAGAATTGTAAGCATCCAATGAGGAAGGAGAGATTGATGGGATATGTGTTGAGGTGAGTGGTGATGCAACTGTGCGGAGTATTGGTGGCAGAGAGTTGATATAGATTGAATACAAATGTGGACTGAGAACGGAACCTTGAAGGACGCCTGTGGTGGGAGAAAAAGAATGAGAAGAGAAGTTGCCAAGAAGAACAGATATAGAGACATTATCAAACATATTGACAAGAAGTCCAAGTAAAGCTGGTGGTGTGTGACGTCTAGCAAGAGCATCCCAAATGACTTGTCGGTCTACTGTATCATAAGCTGCCTTTATGTCTAAGAATGCAACAACAGGATAATGGTGATGGCGGTGGAAGTGTGCTTTCATGAGGTCATGCAGACAGAGAGCTTGGTCCATGGCACCACGTCTAGGACGGAAACCACCCTGAGCAACATCCAGAGGAGGGGAAAACTTGTGAAGCACTGGAGAAATACACATTTCCATCAGTTTCCGCACAACAGAAGTTAGTGAAATAGGTCGATAGTTAGCAGCAATTGATGGATCTCCCTTTTTGTAAATGGGAAAAACTTGAGCCTGACGCCAAATAACAGGTACATATGACCATTGCCAACAGATGGTGAACAAGAGTGAGAGTAGTGGAGCAATTTGTGGTCGAATTACTTTCAACATTTCTGCTCTGATGTGATCTGGGCCTGGTGCCTTGCGGTTAGGCATAAATTGCATGCATCCCTCTACCACTGAAGAAACAAATGGCGAGTTGGCAGAGGCAAAAGGCAGACTAGTACTGTGAAGAGGAGGAGGAGGACGCTGATCTGGGAGGATACTGCCACTGTATACAGATGCAAGATGCTCACACATAATTGTTGCTGCTGTTGCTGGTCCATCACTATGTTGAAACATGTGTTGAGGCTGCCGTCGGCGTTTGAGTAGCTTGATCTTTGATGTTGCTTTGGAAAAGTCTTGTTCCATTGATTTGCAGAAAGCATGCCATGATTGGCGCTTAGATGATTGCACTTGATGTCGGAATTCTGCCTGCGCTTTGAGATGCTTATCCCACCAATGAATTCTGTCTATACCACATGCACGGCGCCATTTCTTGTAGCAGAAATTGCGGTGCTCTGCAGCTGCTTGAAGTACTGGATTCCAGAATTTTTTCCAGTGGGAAGGACGGGGAGGACGGTTGCCAATTGAGCTACTTAAAGAATTATAAATGAGTGAGTTGAATTCATCAGTTAGTGCATCAATTGGTGGACGTGAGGAAGGAGGGTGTTCGAAGGTCGATTGCAAAGTGGATTTGAGGTTGGTGGAATTAGTGACAAATGTGTGGGCATATAGTTTGAGAACATCAGGTTCTTGAAGACGTGAGAGGTTCCATGTTTTGCAAGATGGTGGTGGTGCATGTGATGTTGGATTGATGGCATATGTAAATGAAAGTGAAAGCAGACGGTGGTCAGAGTTGAGTGAGAGGTCGGTATGAATGTTGAGAGTGGCATTGGTGAGGGACATATTAGTGATAAACAGATCAATGATACTGCTTATCTCCACATTTTGGCGGAATGAAATGAATGTAGGTATGCATGGTGAGAGCTGGCCATTGACAACAGTAAGAGCACGTTCTTCTAACCATTGACAAAGAGCAAGACCTCGAGTGTTAGTAGCATAGTCACCAGTAAGTGAACCCAAACGTGAATTAAAATCGCCGCAGATAATAGTGTCATTGGTCAAAGGAATGGATGAGAGAACTGCAAGAGCATCATGGGTGGACATAGAGGGCGGTAAGTACAGGCATACAATTCTGAGGGAACCAATCTTGATGGCTAAAGCATAATTAGATGACATAGGAATCTGAGTGACAGGATAAGGACAAGATGGAGAAATAAGAACAGAAACACCCATAGAACCTCTGTAGTTGCCAGCTACAGGTGAACCATAAAGATGAATCTGGGACCAAGAAGTGGGGAGACGAGATGGGGGAAGAAGCCATGTTTCAGTGATAAAAAGCATATGTAGAGAGTGACAGTGTTGAAGAACATCATAAATTGCACGAGGCTGTAGACCATTAGCATTCCAAAGTCCTAATGAGATTTCACTCATTCAGACATTGCAACAGAGGTACGACGAGATGGTGATTGGAAATCATGAATACCAGCACCAGGACCAGAAACAGAATGGACAGGAATATCTTCCTTAGAGATCCAGCCTTGATCACAAAAGAAATGACCAACAGGAACAGCAACATGAGGACGAAGGTACTTGAGAGCCTTCATACAACGATCAGAATGAAGTTCAGCAGCAACTTCTTCTAGCTCTGAATCAGAAAGAGACTTATATTTGGGATCTGCAATGTTTTTGGGATCCAAAGGGTCAAACGCATCTAAGATCTCAATGGCAACTGTGGTCAGAGTGGTCTGGAATTTCTCAGCATACTGGTTGTGAACTAGGATGCCAACTACATCCTTGGCAGGAAAATTGATATCCAAGGTGCGGCCAGTATCAACACCAAGTGTTTTCAAAGAGTTGCGCACTTTTCTATGTGTGAGACGACGTGAACGTGGGATATACACATATTGATATCCTTTGGGACCAGTGGGAATGGCAAACATTCTAGCAGAAGCAGCAACCTGGCGAACAGAAGGAGGTCTTGGAGTCTTGCAAACAGAAAGAGCAGTAGGAACAACAACAGAGTTGTGAGCAGCAGCAGCAGTTGTAGCCCATGTAGAAGCCTCAGTGCCAGGCTCCTTGGGTGTGGTTGGTGCAGATGATGTTGATGCATTTGTTGTAATTTGGCAATTGCCCTGAGATGCTAATTGAGATCTGAGATCAGCAATTAGCTTTTCTGCATTAACTAATTGAGCAGTTAATTTAGCATTAGTTGCGGCAAGAGATTCAAGTTCATTGGTACGTTGTTGTAGTGACATGAATTGGGCCTGCATGTTCCCCAGAAATGAGGCGAGATCGGGTGACATTCCCTGCATGACAGAGGATGGCAGCAATGTTGACATTTGAGATCGCAAAAATGAAGAGTTGTCGGAATCGGCTGAAATTTTTTCTGCTGATAGATAAGGCAACAGTGGTAATGGATGCAATGTTTTTGACAATGGATGTAACGTTTTGAACAAGATGTAGGACGGATTGATGAAGCTTTTGTATGGATGCAACCAATTTTTTTGTTATGTCTTGTGTAACAGTAGCTTACGTGAAAGAGAGATGGGGATGTAGCTCAAATGGTAGAGCGCTCGCTTAGCATGCGAGAGGCACTGGGATCGACGCCCAGCTTCTCCACATTGTTCAATAATTTATGTCTATTTGTTATATAAACAGACTTAAGTTTAATTTTTGATAATTTTGTCAGACATTATTTTGATGAATCTGTCGTTCCTGATCCGGGATGGTCTTCCTTTTACTATAGCAAAGTCAAAAGGGCAAATCCACTGGGGATCGGAGAGTATATGTAAAATTGAAGAGAGGATAAAAGGTACTTTTTATTAATAGGAATTGAATTGTCTTATATAGTTTTCTAAGCTAATACTGCGCATTATCCGCATTAAACTATTATACTCTATTTAATTACAAGAGAAGTCCTTTTACTGTGGTTGATGCTCAGAAGATGTTACTGTACTTAATCTTTATAAGACATTACTGCGGTTTGTTATCTATGAGGTATCTTTGACACATAGAACTGCTGCGGTCAATTATCCCGATTTCTCAGATTCATCAAAATAATGTCCGACAAACCCAGATTGAAAACGACACAGTAATAAAAATAATACTAGCTGAAGCTAAACCGACATTGCCCACTACAGGGGTCGAACCTGTGGCCTTGGCGTTATTAGCACCACGCTCTAACCAACTGAGCTAAGCGGGCGTAGTTGCGTATCAAGTGTGTTTGAAGCATCTCTAGCGTTGGCAAATATCTGGTGATGGATACCAGACAGTGGATTCCTTTGGTGGTTTGGTCTGGCGGTGAGCTGTGACGGGCAGTACCAGACTTGTGGGCGTTGACGTCGATGGTGAGTTGACCGAGTGATGTGTCTCAAGGGACAAGAGTTGTCCCCCCAGATTTATTGGGAAATCTTGCTCCCAATACCTCTATACCCAAATCCTCCCAATATAATCCCGTTCCTTAAAATTAGAATACCCATCTACATCATCACCTCAGAAACACCTGTCACCTACTAAAAACATTATACCTCTTTCCCCTAATTTTATACACTTCTTTATCGCCAATACTTATTTACACTATTTTTTACTATATTTTTATTAGACTTTATTACTATATTATTATTATATTTTTACTATACTTTTATTTTACTCTCTCTATATTTTTCTATTGCACTTCTACTGTCAACACCAGTTACATGTAGTAAAAATTTTCATTTGACTTTCTTTTCTTTCCCTTAAAAAATTATTTTAACTAAACATTTTTGTTTATAAAAGAAACAACCTTTTTAATCAATAAAAGAATCATTCTATCCTTGATCTTATTGATTTTTTTGTCCGTTATTATTATTATTCTTTATTCATACACAGTATCCTTGTTCTTTCGAGTGTCATCTGTTGATTTGACATATTTCATTTCTCTGTTTTCCCTTTTCTGTTTTTCTCAAACTTTGTTGTTGTCACAATTTCCATTTTATCTTCTCCCTATTTTTTCTACCTGTCTGTCACCAATTCTTACCTGTCAAATTACACATTCTTTTCCATTCTTATTATATTCTTCTTCTTGTATTTCCTAATTCACATTACATTTATTTGCCAAGTGATACTGTTACAATTCACAACAAACAAACACATCACACATCACTTGCTTGGTACAGTGAGTAAATCTTTGTACTTTCAATAGAAAGATCACGGGTTCTACACAGAAGCTACACATTTATCTGGGTCTATATGCCTGGTTCCCTCCTTTTCCCTTGCTGTCATGATGTTGCATCATAGGCACTAATGCCTGAGTGCAGCTGTTGTCCTACTATCCTTTCTGTCTCTGCAAGGCATTTGTTCTTCTGTTTCCTATCTAATTGAGTTTTGATGCTGTTCTGTTCTGGTCTGGTCTGGTTCTGGTGCCCATTTCTGGTGTAATTTACAATGCCTGTCATGGGCTTAATGAAGCACATTCTCTTCTTTATAAGTCTTTGTCAAAAAATTAGCAATAACTAGAAATAATTTCCTTCTCCTTTCCTTCCTCTCTTATAATAATATTTCTCATATAAGTTCTGATGACAGCTATATGATGCATATATTGCCAGCATTTAAGTCATATAATAAAAAATAATCTTTAACCTGAGCTAAGCAGACTCCTTTCTACTAGATATCACTGCTAACTATTTTCTGACACATAGAAATTATATGTAGCTCTGATGGTGACTATTCCTATGAAACTAAATATGATACTCTTTTGATATAATTTATACTTTTCTCTTTTCTTTCTTTACATCTTTTCTTTCTTTTTTGTTTTTCTCTGTCTGAAAAGTTCTTTGTTCTGCAATTCTGTCACCTTCCTTTCACTGTTACAACTATTTACACAGCTGCAAAGTGGAGAGCAAGTTCAGTCATCAAAGCTAGCACTGCAAAAGACAACTGATTTAAGTAGTTTAATTTTTGTTTAAATTCTCCAAAAATTTATAGTTTATGTTCAATTATAGTTTGATATTTGTTACAAAAATTGGTTCATTTAGTTAATCAAATAATGAGATTATAGATACTAAAATTAATAGATCAATTAAGAGTTATAATTCTCTCTTTTCTTGAAATGTTATAATTATCTGTAATTCTGGTTATATATTTATCTATAACTTCAAACCGTATCTAAACCCTACTTATTATGGAATTGGCTTTGAACTTTTTACCTCTTAAAAATTTCTATTTGCTTTAATTACATGATATTATTAGATAGACCTCACTAAAATTGATCTAGAATTAGTCTGAAATCTGACAGCAACCAGAATTCAAATGAATAATTGTAAAAAAAAACTTAAATAAATCTTGTTGACATCATCAAAAGATGACACATTAGAAATAGAATCTCATGGAAAAAACGGTTTTTATTAATCTTTGAATGTTTGGAAAATATATTTAGCTATTTAATATGGATCACTAATATTTCTTAAAAGTGTGTATCCAAATAGTACAACTTGTATACATGTTATACTTTAACTTTCTGAATGGCTTGAATATATTGGATGACCCGACTTATACTATACTTTCCTATCTTATCGATTTCATATATTCAGCACGTTTTTTTGGTTTTACACTTCTTTAACTGAAAATAAAATCCTTGGTATTTTCTTGGAGAATACATTTGTTTGGAACTACATTAGTTTAGAGCAAAAAAAGATACAGAAGTATTAATATAGATTTCTTTATGAAATAAAATAAAATAACATACTTATTAGATCATTTAGGGGGCTCATAACAAACCTCACAATAGAATAAAAATCCATTTGATTGATATTTTCTTTTAAATAAAAAGCAAGAAATAAAATAAACAACTTTATTAATATGTACGCTTTGATTGTAATGACACTTGAATTACTTATATATTATAGACACGCATTTGCAAAAGGGGGCAAATCAGTATGACTTGAAAAAAAGGCGTGTCATATTTATCTGAGAAAAAGAATTAATAAGTTACACAATTTAAGTTGAGTTATATATATATATTACCTTTTTATAGACTGAAAATACCAGAAAATATATAGTGTCAAGAGCAAAACATCTTTTATTACAAAATGAATAGAAGTTCTATCATTTTAAAAATAAAAAAATATTTAGTCAGCAAGGTGTTTTATTTTAGTTAGGAGATTGTTTATTACTTGTACTGTTTTGAATGCTTGTTGAGTGTATTGTTTATCTAATATATATTAAGATGACTCTAAAAGCCAAAAATATTAATAAAAGTTTAGATCTTAAGAGTAAGCTTACTAAGACATGTAAAAAGAGACAAAATGAGAAGAGCAGATTAAAGAAAGAGAAAATAAAAAAGAGGGGGCGTGGTTATTCTATTAAATACGAATTTGGGGGTTTTTTTTAAAATAAATAAATCAAAAAATAACTTTTGTCTGTTACTTAGAAGTGAAAGAAAATGCAGTTGCACTATGCCCGAAGCTAATACATATGAAAACCGGAGTATAGTATAAAATCATAATATTCAAGTACTAATACATAATATGAGAATAAAACATGAATTGAAAATTAAATTAAAGAAATACATAAAATACTCACAACAAGAGTGAAAACGTTCAAAGCTGTTCTTGTTACATAATAGATCATGATGTTCTCTGAGAAAAAATAAAACATAAAGCCCAAATTAAACATGATATAAATAGACCCTTTGAATTTAAAAAAAACAAGCTATTCTTATTATTCACAATGTCAAAAAATCTCAATAACAATTCAGTTAACAGTGCTTTTGGTGAAGAACCTTCTGTGGGAAGGTAAATTAAAACCAGGCAGTCTTTAATTTTCTTATATTAATTTTATTTTTGTTTTTTATAAAAATCAAAAAAAAAGCCCACCAAGAAATACCAATGATATAAGAACAATAATGTTGTAACACTCACAGGAAACAGTGAGCAATCAAAGACTACTAGCACCAAAAAGAGCTTGGTTGAATCTTAAAGGTGATTTGTTGGGTAGAACTTGTAACATTCATGATGTGTACAATAAACTTGATACTATGAATCACTGGAAAAACATCCCTGAATACACTAGTGCCAAAATAATTCAGTGATAGTGTATATGTAGAGTATATTTCATCTCAGTGCTGCTTTTTGTGTTCAAATAAAAAAACCTGCCTTTACTACATTCTATTGGCTCGGATATAACAAGCAACAAAAGTTATTTTATTTATTACTATAAAGTCTTCATGAATAGATAAATGTAACACCTGTTTCCCTTTTATTTCATTATTAAAAAAAACAAACGTCATGTCTTCTACTATCGAACAAAACTTTGAAGAGTGCTATTGTACCAAGTGCATTAAAAATTATAATGGATACACCTTAGTATCAAAGAGAACTGCCCAGCGTCATGGCAAGAAAGCATCTTTAAAAGATGCTATCAGAAGTGAACTTGGTATGTCATTTATTATATAAAATTTGCATTTTTATATACTAATAGCTTTTATATTAAACACAGATGTGCAGAGACATGTAATGAACATTGATGCAGAGTGTAAGACATTTTTATTTGGGTATCAAAAAAAAACAACTTTCTTATTATATTCTATATTTGTAGCTATTTTAGTCCAAGAATCTGAATCCGTAGAAGTTCTTGCGTGTCAGTCTGACTTACCCATTTTGGATATCTCCCCTATGTCAGTTGACTATGACATCGATGTCGATTTCAATGACATGGACTTTGAGTATGAGAGCAATGAGAATGCCAAAGATACTGTTGATATTGATGTTGAAGAAGTCGACACTGAATGTTCCTATGAAAGTTAAAAAAAATCTAAAAAAAAGTCAAAAAAATTAATATTTTTTATATTTTTAACTAGACATGTTTTCAAACAGCAGTATGCCTGAGAATCCTGTACACAAATTCATTGCAACATTCACTGTGCTATTTGCATCCTGCTACGTGGTCAACAAGGGCACAGTTGTCTTGATTGAGTTCATCAACAAGCTCTTGAAGATTTACAAGCAGGACTTCCAGCTTCCCATGAGTCTGCCTGGTCTTCAGCATATGACAGGATTCTGTGAGCTCTCCAAGGGCATAAGACGATTTGTGACCTGCAAGAATTGCCATGCAATTTACAAAGAAAGTCAATCTGTTCCTCCTCACTACATCTTTGCAAAGACAGGTGCTTGTGCAGCTTGTAACTGTGAATTGACAAAGAAATCTTCGTCTGGTGCTTTGGTTCCCAAGCGTAGTTTCCATTACTAGTCCATCAAAAATGCGTTCAAAATTCTTATTAATCGTTCAGGCTTCGAAGAAAAGATATGTCAATGGAATATAGAGCCAAAATTAGTAGACACAATGTCCGATGTGTATGACGGTGCAGTTTGGAAAGAACTCAAAGATAGTAATAGTGCTTCATTTGTTGAGCAGTCTCGTTCGCTGATGCTGATACTCAATATTAACTGATTCCAGCTGTTCGATAAAGTTATATACTCCTGTGGTGCAATCTACTTGGCCATTAACAACTTGCCTCGCAGTGACCAGTTTAAAGCCAAGAACGTAATCCTGGTAGGACTTATGCCTGGCCCCAAGGAGCCTAAAACTGATGAGATAAATAACTATCTTGAGCCAATGGTAGATGAGTTGATACAGCTGTATTGTGGGGTAAGAATCCCAACATTCGAGTCTCCTGCTGGCGAAGTGATTTGTGCTGCATTGATGATGGTTGCCTGCAACATCCCAGCTGCCAGAAAGACCAGTGGATTTACTGCACATAATAACACTTGCGCATGCTTTAAGTGCAACCGTCATTTCACTTGCCTTGACAGCACAAACAAAGTTGATTTTCGTGGATTTAAAGAGTCTGAGTGGTGTCGTCATAACTGTGAGGAGAATAGGCTGCATGCTGAGGAGTGGAAGAACACAGTTACCATCTCAGAAAGGCAGCATCTGAAAATCGACAATGGTGTTCAATGGTCGCAGTTGCACCACCTTGGATACTTTGATCTAGTACGTGGAACGATCATTGATCCCATGCACAACCTGTTCTTGGGGACAGCAAAAAGAATGATGGATCAGTAGATTGAACGTGTTGTTCTTGGAGACAGAGATTTCACCGCCATGCAAAAGATAGCTAATAAGATGATTGTACCAAGGGGATATACTGCATTGAAAAGCAAAATTAGCAAAAAATTTGCATTTATGAAAGCAGACGAGTGGAAGTCGTGAGTATTGGTATATTCACCTGTGGTGTTGAAGTCCGTGCTCTCATCCTTGCATTTCAATAACTGGATTGATTTTGTCCATGCATGCCGTCACCTTGTAAAGCCCAGCATTACATTTGATGATATTAATACTGCCCATAGACATCTCGAAAAAATTTGTGAAAAATGCAACGAAATTTACACCACCACAATCCTTACCTGTAATATGCACTTACACCTTCATATTCAAGAAACTATTCTCGATTTTGGACCAGTGTTTTAGTTATTGGCTCTTTGCATTTGAGAGATAAAATGGCCTACTCAAGAAAATCAGCACAAATGGCAAGGACAGTTTTGAAGCCACATTTATGAGATGCTTTGTTGAAGATATATACAAAAGTAATTCTGTTAATTCTGCTCTCACAAGTCCCACTCAAGCTCCCTTTCTTCCTGTCCTTTCCAAACTTGTCTGTTCATCCACACCTGTCCTTACCTTGCCATCTGCCTCCTCCACAATTGTTCAGCCACCATTCATTTTGCAAGCATTTGTGGATTCTTCTGAAACTATCAGAATTCCTATCTTAGGCAACGAACCTCTCCCACCTACATCCTTCCCACTTTCAGTTAGTAAACCTTCTTCAATGGGTGATATTGATTATCCCCATTTGTTGGAATACTATAAACTCGCGTACCTCACTCCTGATCTCGTCCATTATCAAAATGCTGCTGCCTCTCCATTCTTTGTTGACAATCAGATTATAAAGTCAAAATCAATCAATATTCTTGGCCAAGTGTACTATGGCAATAATGACACCACTGGCCATGGATCATATGTTCAATCATTGTTTCTTGGCAGTGATGGAAGTACAGAAACAACCTTCACTTGTCAAATCAAGTATATCTCTATTCATTCATTTACTCCTCCTCCAATGTTGCCCTACTATGAAGCCAATTCCACTCATCATGATCAACATGTATTTGCGTTTGTCAACTGGCTTCTATTACTTGGAGATAAATCACAAGAGAAAGATGGAGTTGATATTTGTGGTTCAACACCTTTGCCATCAAACTATCATTCAATTTTGCCTGTACATAGAATCTCTTTAGAAGTAGCAATTGCTAATCATACAACAGGACTTGTCCAAAAAAAACTGGTAATTACCTTACTAAAAAAGCTTTATGCTTAAAAAAAACAATAATAAATATTCTTTCTTTCTTTTCTTTCTTTTTTAAAAAAGAAAAAGTAAAGTAAATGATGATAACAAAAAAGGGCAGAGAAAAATAATTACTATCTTTATATAAATCGTCAGCATTGAGTTTGTGAAGATGAGAATAAATAAGATGAGATAAATAATGATTTTTATTATTTTTATTATGGCCCATCTCTAAGGGTCCACGGAGGGAAACATAACGCGATGTCATTGGGAACTGGTTTCTCAGACAGACTGGCGAGATTTCTGTCTAACAACTGGCAAATGTTGTTACCCAAGTTTTCTTTCACAATCTCATCAATGTTAAAGATGAGGTTGTTAAACTAAAAACATATTTATATATAATATGTTAAATATTATTCAAATATAGAAAATTATTTCTTGCAAAATTCTTTATCTCATCACTTCTTCAAAAAGGACGGGTAACCTTTACAATGCGCTTGCAAGGTCTCCCAGGAAACTCATCCTCTGACTCGCCTTCAGACATTGTTGATCTGATCATCAGTCTAGAACAGTTTCTCTTCATTAAAGCATCAATGACATCCTTGTTTAACACATATGCCATTACGCGGCAGTTGAAGTGCTGTAATTTTATATATATATTAATATTAATTCTATGGTTAAATTTGGGATGAAATATAAAACAACGCTCACTTCAGTTTCTCTTGCAGCTCGTCTTCCACGAGCATTAGTGGCAGCTCGCACCATAGGATCTTCTCTGTCCTTACAAGCTGTGTTCCGGAAGTTTGTGTGCACCATAGTACGGAATTCGCTTGTTTTTATACCCTGCCCAACAAACTTTGGGAGCAGATAACCAAGAAGATTGGCAACAATCTCTTTGTTAGGGCTTCTATTAAAGAAGACATCTGTTTCCCACCTTGGCTTTGCCTCGTTGGCACTGACAAGGGCAGGATAATTGAAAGTAAATTTGTCCTTCCGCATGTACCCTCGAATCAACTTCTATTTAACAAAAATGGTTAATGGTTAGAATATTGGATATAGTAATACTTACAAAGACTTTGTCCTTGTTTTCACAACTGATTTCAGAAGCGATACTAGCAGGAATTCTGACAATGGAACTGGCAGCAACAGAAAGATTATCAAGAGAAACAGAAGCAGATGTCTGGGATCCATTTCCTTGTCCAAAGCCAGCACAAATGGCTTTATGCATCATGGTGAGTTCATCACGTACATCGACCATGGATTTCTCCATTTCTTTTATCTTGGCTAAAAGACTTTTGTATTCATCAGATGAATTAAAAGCAATTTGGCATATTCTAGTCATGATCTATAATATTAAATAAAGTATATTTTTCAGTTATTTAATTTTTAACTTTTAATTCACAATGTTTGATTTCGAATTAATAATTTATTTCTTACATACAAGCAAGTATGTATGTGAGCAAGTGAAGAAGTGGAAGAGAGAGAGAGTGTGTCTGTAAGCAAGAAGTGTTATGATATTCCAAACAACTTCTTTATATAAGTATACTAAATGGAACTGTAAATATATCAAAAATATCCTCTTGTAACTTTGGGATGACAATCCGTCATTATATTATCTTTTTGGGCTCAATTGGTTTTTTTTTCTTTTTTGTTTCATTTTTTTTGAATTCATTTTTTCTCTCTCTCTTCCCAGCTTTTATTATATTCACGCGTTTTTCTGGTAAGACATATTTTCTTGGCAAAATAAAATACTTTCTTACAAACAATAAAATAATTAATTTATTTCACTGCAATAGGCAAGCACACACTTACTCTGCCTCTCTTACACTTTTATATCCCTCTGTTTTTCTTTGGTAAGGCGATCTCTTTAAAGTACTATATATATACATACAACTAAAAAATAATAATTGTTTATGTTGTCATAGACACTCGCGTTTTAACTTCTTCTGATGCATCCTCTTCACAATGGCCATCCGGATTAGTCAAGGTTAGTAAATATACTTTATGCTATCATCCTATAAAATTATTCTAATTTTTTTTCTTTCTTATAGGCCATATTGCCAAAAATACTCTCTGCAATTAAACACAGCCATGAAAATGGCAATATTTTATTTTATTTTACTTTACTTTATTTTTATTTACTTTTTATATTTATCTAAAAAATATGACTTTTATTATAGATGAATAACCCTCTCTCAAACATGCCATGCATCAAGAACTACTATCCCATGTTATCGTCATTAATATGGTAAGTCTTCTTTTTCTTTTATTTTTTTTATATGTACTAAAATATTATTTATACTGTATATTAATGTAATACAATATTCTACTAGAGACTATATCACCTCTTGACAAGTACTATCAATGTTTACATATAAATTGTTTTGCTTTGGGTATGTAAATTAATTATTCTATTGCCTAATTTATCTGAATTAATTTCCTCTGATCCTTTTTATAGTCAAAGAAAATCGGAACAAACGCCATGTTTAACATTTTCAGTGTCTTTTTGTTCAACCCATTTGTTTCTAGTATTTTCAATGTAAGTATATATTAAGTATATATTGATTTGCAAAAATTACTGAAAAGTATACTATCGAAACTATATAATTAATATATTGCCCATATTTTTTTAAAGTCTGTTGCATCCTAGCAAAAAAGCCCATTATTTTCATTTTTTAGTGCTTTTTTCTATGCAGCAATCCTCAAAATAAAACAGTATCAAGGAGCCCGCGGAAGAAGTAGCCAACATATATAAAACTATCACAAGACCATCAATCTAGAATTATTCTATTATTCTTTTTCAATAAACTTTAAATAAAACCAAAACAACCCAATAATTATGGGATATCAAATTTACAAGAGTATGTTACAGGTTGAGAGCAATAAAGAGACTTTCATAATTGGATATATTTGAACAAAAAGTAGTGTATAGATACCTATACTCTAGTGTTAAAGATATGTGTAACTATAGTAAGGGGAACCCCATCAGATCCAGGATCAGCTCGCACTTTAAAGTATTTTAATAAAACTAAAAGTTTTACACAAACGCTTATAGTGTACATACGTAATTACCATATGAAGAATACGAATTGGTCATATCTGTGGCACCTTGCTTTGACACCACACTAGTGTTCAGCTCGTCACAAACCTAGTGTCTAAGGTACTCGGCCCATAGTTTACAGATTACCCAAATCCATGCATATTTTTAAACTAAACACATTAGTATACCCATTCCTACACATGTGTATGTAAACCCATTTTTCCAGTGAATGGTGTCTTAAACACTGTTTTAAAGAACACAACTTCTGAGAAAGCCAAAGCTACTGCTAGTAATGCAGTTGAGCAAGACATGTCGCCTGGACATCAACCAACATTGAATGTAAGTAATCATAAAATGTTTTTATGTAGCTAGAATTTAATATACATTTATATTATAGCAATTGTTGCGCGATTATTTGAGTGAAGAGAAATTGTATGACCAATACAATACACTGAAAAAAAGTAGAAAAATACTGACATGTATATATGGGCAAATGGTACCGGAATAATGTGATATATCATAGTTGATATTTTTTCTACTAGGTTTTAAGGTCATCTAGCACTGTATGTGCGAGACTTACAAACACTACAGTATATGTAGATGGGGGGTTCCGCAAGTAAGGTTTGGTAGCACTTTTGATATACTCGTTATGCTTAATAAATAAATAAAAATATTTAAAACTACGGATTTATCTTGGTATTCTTGACACAGAACAGGAAAGGTCAAAGACAGATTACATCATGTATATTGCTCCAATAGTTTATCTGTACTACACCTCATCTTTACTGACCACCTTTACTGACCACCTTTACTGACCACCTATACTGACAGTTCTTTAAAACTTCCAATCATCAACAGCAAAAAAACACGTCTTTAAAATTATGGACCAGTAATATGTTCTTTATTTATTTGGTTTCCCGTTCTTATTAGGTTGGTAATGGTTTACGCTTTTATTTTTATTGGAAAGAATAGAATGTTTCTAGGTTTCAAATCTAATAAAGCTACTCTATATCCTCAGCTACTTCTTGCTCGGCAAGCTTGTTATATTTGGGATGAAAAATTTTCTACAAAAAACAAATACCTGAAGAAAATGAGGTGCTCATTACCTTTTTTTAGGGGTAAGAGTAGTACTCTTTGAGAATAGATAAAACATTAGTGATGGGAGTGCGTGCGTGTTTTATACTGCAAATTTTATGCACTAATTAATACTTACATTGGAAGTACCCAGTACAAATGGACAAAGAAATAAAACATTTACAGTAAAGCACGGGATTATGATTTCTTTGACTATAAAACAATAGGAAAGAATTAATTTTTGTGAATTGCGTGATAGAATAATTGATTTACATATCAAAGGCAAAGAATTTCTTTGCAGACCAAGATATTATCTGTAAAGTAGTAATATTGTCTCTAGTAGAGAATATACATCAATATACAGTATAAATAATATTATTGTATGTATAGAAGAAAATAAAAGGCTTACCATGACAATGACGGTAGCATGGGATGGAAGTTCTTGAGGAATGGCACGTTTGTAAGAGGGATGTTCATCTATAATAGAAATTATATTCAGTTAGATAAATATTAAAAAGAAATAGATTAAAATAAAATAGAATATTACTGTGTCAATATCCATGTTTGATTGTAGAGAGTATTTTTGGCAATGTCGCCTATATTAAAGAAAGAAAAAAGTCAGAATGATTATATGAAATGATGGCATAAAGTATATTTACTAACCCTGGCTAATCCGGATGACTGTTGTGAAGATGGCGCATCAGAATGAGATGAAGAGTGAGTTTCTATGACATTAAAATATATTGTTATTTTTTAGTTATACATAAAGAAGTATATATTTCTTTTAAAACAAAGAAAGTGCCTTACCATAAAACCTTGCGAGTGTAAAGAGTGAAGAGAGAGAAACAGAGAGAATACCTATGACAGACAAAAAAATTAATTCTTTTGTTCTTTGTAAAGAAGTATTTTGAACCAAAAACAATCTTACCAAAAAAATTTGCAAATATAACAAGAATTGAAAAGAGAGAGAAAAGAGGGAAGTAACAAAAAACGAATAAGAAAAGTAAAAAAAATCTTAAAAAAAAAGAAAAAAGTTTGTTTAAAACAAAAGACTAAAATGATTTCATCAAGTCCCAAAGCAATATGAAGACCGATTTACATCCTAGTCATTACAAGAAGTATTAATACAGATTTGTATATCAAATATATTTTGAATATATATAATAATCATACCTTTCATATAATACACTTTCCCTTGCTCTTACTCTCTTGCTACTTACTACACTTATACTCTCAAATCAATACACTTGTTCTAACAATTCAAGTATGTAAACTTGATACGATTTATTTTTAATTAAATTTACATAAATTTAATTGTAGAATGACAGCAATAATAATAATATAATCTAAAACTAATCATTACAACCTTTCATTTTATTATATTCTGTAGACAATGCCTAACACAAGACGTGAACGCGCAATTGCCCTTCATCCTGTTGAGATTACCAATCAGCAGCTTATGGAAATACTTTCTACTGTGAGAGCTGATATGTCTATCATAAAAGGACAGATCGGCAATGTTCAGCAAACTCTGACCAACATGAATGGCAGAATTGGCATTCTTGCCACCCCCAGCACCAACACCGTCAGTGTCATAGATAGTTTGGCCAGAACTCCCCTTGCTGCTCCTGTGTGAGCCAATCTCACTGTTGCTGCACCTGTTGTCATCTCTAACCATGAGCCTACCCGTGAAGAATCTAATGCAGTTTATGTAAGTAACATATTATAAAATATTTTATCAATTCATTTTCTTATGATTTATTTAGCAGGCTCATATTCACAACCTTATGTGGAAACCCAAGCTTAGCTTGAGAACGCCAGAAAATATCCTGGTCAACAACCTCAAGCCCAGATGGGATACAAATGTTGCTTTCAACAAATCTCCCAACAGGGAGATAGCTGAGAGACTTCTTTCTAACCTTGAGCGCAGGTTTGGTTCCTCTAGTATGAGACGGAGTAACCTCCAAAAGAGATTGCACATCAACTTCACTAGTAGAACCCATCGTGAGAGAATGTCTGATGATGAGATAGCAGAAACAAACGCTCTTACACGAAGAGCAGCCCGTGCAGATGATGTGAATATTATGCTAATATATATAGTTTATAGTTGAAAATTAAAAATAAAAATAACAAATTAACAACACTTATTACTAGAATGAGTGTTGCCGTGTACTGGCATACAAAGACAATAAGGAGGCAATTGATCTTGTAATGCTCAGAGACTGTGCCAACACTCTCCAAAAAGCAGTAATGTCAGATGGAGAGTCTGACAATGAAATGGACGAGGATGGCATAAAACATGTCATTCATATTGTACAACCAAGCTGGAGAAGTGATGAGGTAGATAAATTTGGAGTAATACTTTTGTATTGGTGTATTATTATATTGAGTGAATTATTAACGAATGTATTTCAGTGCAACCGTTTCATTGCACTTGTTGACACTTATGCTGTCCAGGCCATAGGGTCAAGTGCTAATAAAAGAATCCGTAGGATCACTACTAGTGTGTCCAACTCAGCAGTCCCAGATAACATTAGTCCCAATTTTCCTCGGTGGGGTCTTAGAGATGGGCTCTAAATAAAAAAAATGTTTCTCTCTTTTTATCTACGTATTAATTTTTACATACACAATACTATCAATATATATAGGGAATTTGTTCTGTTTTTTTTTGTATAAGAAAAGGAAATTCAAGTGGAGTTTTTTTATTTTAAGCATAAAGCTTTTTTGGCAAAGCAATTACTAACATCTTACTAACATTTCTACTTGTAATAATCCTGGCTGTAGCAATCTCTAAAAAGATGCAGTACACAGGTACAATGCAATGGCGACTATTGGGGGAGAAGGTGGGGAGACAAAACTCAAGACCGTCATCCTCATGCGATCTATCAGAGGAAGTATTAAAACACTTGATATATGCGAATACATGTTGATGATCATGAACCATGCGAGTCAGATGGAGATTGCTGTTAGAAGGGTGTGTAAAGGAGTGTGTGAAGAGATACTGTATTTGTCCAGTATATGCTAGAGTATTTCTACCATCACTACCAACAAACATTACGTGGACAAGAGAACCACAACTAGCTGAACCGGTTTTACCACGGTACTGTTGACCAAGTAAGTCAATGAACTTCAACTTTGTGATTTCATTGTCAACAAAGGAGTTTGTGAGCGTGGCATATTGGTAACTGACAAAATCGGGAAGATCATAGGATGTTTTGTAGTGCTGAAGCAGATGGGCATAGTTGGTTTCATCCATCAGTGATGATTTTTTTAGCTGAAGAGAAAAAGTCGAAGGAGGGAGAGGTTTGTTACCCTTTGGAGGAAGATGTGGGTTGGACAATACTAGTAAGAATGATTGCAATCGGAATGGACAGGAGGAGAGAGTAATGACTGTGGTGGTAGGTGTGAATTTCGGAGAAAGCTTTGAGAGAGTGTTGAAAAAGGGGACGTGACTAGAACTTTTCAGAACAGCATTAGCATAGTCACCCTTGAATGCGTTTTGAACAAAACTTCTCATATATGTTGCCTCAAAACTATCTTTTCCGTTTGTCTTTATATGCTTCAACAGGCCATTGTATCTCTCAAACCCAAAGAGCCAGTAACCATACACGGGTCCAAAATCACGAATGGTCTCGCGAAGGTGGAGGTGCAGGTGCATGTAGCAGGTGAGGATGGTGGGAGTGTAGAGTTCAGTAGCCTTTTTGCAAAACATTTCCAGATAGTCGTGGGCGCTGTTCACTTCATCAAATGTGATGCTTGGCTTGATAAGATAGCGGCATGAATAGACGAAATTCATCCAGTTGTTGTAGATTTCAAATGGTAGAACACCATGCAGCAGAACAGGAGAATACACTAGTACCCAGGATTTCCAGTCGTTGGCTTTCATATAAGGAAAGCCTTTTCCAATCTTTGATATCAGCTTTGTATAATCCCTCGGAAGGACCATTGTCTCTGCGATTTTTTCCATGGCAGCAAACTCTTCGGCTCCAATCATTTTCTTATTGACCCACCGGTCCATCATTCTCTTTGGCGTCCCCAGGAATAAATTATGCATGAGATCAATGATCGTTCCACGTACTAGATCAAAGTATCCAAGGCGTTGCAACTGCGACCATCAAACACCATATTCCACCTCCAGCTAGTGCCTTTCTGAGGGTGTACTCACACTCTTCCACTCCTCAGCATGCAACCTGTTCTCTATACCGCTACGAATATTCCAAAGTGAATAATCGAATCCACTGAAGTTCACCTGATTTGTGTTGGGCAATCTGGAGAACTAGATTGTACACTTGTAGCATGCACATGTACTATTGTGGGCTGTAAATCCACTTGTTTTCCTGGCAGCAGGGATGTTACATGCAACCATCAGCAAGGCAGCACAGACATTAGTACCAGAAGGGCACTTGTAGGTCGGGACTCGCATTCCAACATACAACTGTTTCATCTCGTCTACCATGGGCTTGAGATAGTTATTTATCTTCTTGCATCTTGGATCCTTGGGACCAGGCATCAAACCAACCAGAATTGTGTTCTCAGGCTTGAACCGTACCTCTCAAGGCAGATTATTTACAACCAAGTAAATTGCACCAGAAGAGTAACTAACTCCATCGAACGGCTGGAACCAGTCTATGTTGAGTGTCAACATCAATGAGCAAGGACAAGCAACAAACGAGACACCACTTGCATCCTTCAGCTCTTTCCACATTGCTCCATCATATACGTTGCACATAGTATCGACAATCTTAAGCTCCGTGTTCCAGTGATGGATTTGCTCTTCAAAACCAGGACGAAGGAAAAGAACAGACAAAGCTTGCTTGAGGGACTGGTACAAGTATGCTCGCTTTGATATCAGTGCACCTGAAGTTGACTCTTTCATCAACGTACAACCACAAGGAGAGCATGCACCAACATTTGTGAAAACACAATGGGGAGGTACGGACATGTTTTTTTCATAGATGCAATGGCAGTTTGGACATGACACAAATCGCTTGATGCCTTTGGTAATAGACAAAAAGCCAGTCATTTTATGTAGCCCAGCCAGACTTTCAGGAAGTTGGAAATCTTATCCATAAATCTTCAAGAGCTCGTTGATGAACTCAATCAAGACAACAGAACCCTTATTGACCACGTAACGAGATGCAAACAGTACTGTAAAAGTAGCAATAAATCTGTGAACTGGATTCTCGGGCATACCAAAAGCAGCAAAAGGGTCTTTTTTTTAAAAAAAAAATTAACACACATTTTTTTTTAGTTTTTTTTATATATTTAAAACTGATCCTCATTGTTAAACTCTTCAACATAAATCTCATTAGTGTCTTCTTCGCCATTGTCATCACTGTAATTGTCATCGGTTGTGTCAGACTCATCCCCATTGTAGTAATTACCAACAAAGACGTCATTGTCAAACATTGAGACGACATCCAAAATAGGTGAGTTGGCCTGACCGTCCATTGCTTCCACAGAATTGGATTGATACGTCAGGATTACTACAAATATGGAATATAATAGTTTATTATTAGTTTTTCTTCTGCGTTTCAAATAAAAAATGTCTTACTTTCAATATCTACTTTCATGCTTCTCTTTTCAGCTATGTTTTTTAAAATAATAAAAAATAAAAATAAAAGCAATTATTACTCGGTAGACAGATAACAGCACTGAATAAATTATACAACTCTTGAATATCTCAGTACCTTCAAATCTAGCTCTTTTATTATGATGCTGAGCAGTACGTCTCGATACTTGGGAAACTCCTTGATTATTATTATTGCATCTGATGCAGTGGCAATCAGTGTTGTGCATTTGAATAGAAAGAAACATAGTGTATGTATTTTGAATTATAAAAGAAAAAAGGAAACAAGAGTGCTACAAATATTTCATTTGATACGGTTTTATAGTAGACCAAAACGTATTTTTTATTTTATTTTTATTTTATTTTTATTTAAGCCAATAGAATACATCAAAACTACACCCCCCAACTTGATAAAAAAAAACTGCTGAGATGAAAAAAAATCCTGACATATTCACTATACTCTGACTATCTGGACAATATGTTAATTGTCCTTATTTTTCCAGTGATACCAATGAAAATAAAAGCAGTGAGGGAAACAGACTCGTTCTGAAGTCTGTTACAGATTACTTTTGGCGTCAAGAAGAGGAGTAAAATGTGGACTTGCCAACTCTTTGAACTAAGATTGTGCGGCACATTGGCAACAGAAAGTTGCAAGAAAAAAAACAGGAGAAAAGAAGCAGGAAGAGAATCGATGGGCCTGTCTTTGTCAGCAACATATAAAAGTAAGAAACATATGCACACAATATACTAAATGTGACATTAAATTAAAAAGATTATATAGGTGCTCATGAAGTGTCTAATCAATTAGAATTATTCTAATCAATTAGACCTTAAATTTCTTTTTAGTAATTCTTTAAATTACAAATTAGGTGCTATATACATACTAATATGTCGGTGTTATAATAAATACTATACTCAGTAGATAGAATTCTGCTTAAAATCATATTGAATGATTGTTTTTTGTTTTGGCTGTATTAATTAGAAAAAACATAAAACAAATCTATTTTAAATAAACTGTTAGTAAAATGAAGTATTATATGTATTATTTGAAATAAAAATATGTCATAATCTAAAGTAAACAAGAGGATAGAAAATGAGATATAGCTGTAAGATAAAATGTCTTTTGAAAGGGGTTTTGAGAGCAAAAAAAATTAAAATATAGAGCAATAAAAAATATTTTATACCTTGTAGACAGCAAGGATAAAATCCACGGACGTTAAAAATAAATTACCATACCTAATGGTGTAACATTCTAACTATGGAAGGTATGCTCTAGATATGGAAGATACATTCTAATCGATTAGACACTCCGTGAGCATTTTATATTTATATATAGTTGTGTGAAAGAAGACAATCTGCCTTGATAGCCAATTGGGCATACTTTGTAAACAGCTTTGGGGAGAATGTTGACAGTATTCTCCATGCTGATTACATGTCAAGCCTTGAGAGTGATGACAAAAGAGAAGAAGAGAAACAGGATTTGTCCTCAGAAAAGAGTTTTTTTTGGAGACTCCGTCTAAGCTGGAGAAGCAAAGAGATATAGTACAAAAAACTATTTTTTTGGATGGTTTGTAATAATACTTACATTGACATATAGGGAGATAGATTTGTTGATGAACTTGATGCAGATTATGAGGCAGCTCATGATAAGAAAAATAATACCCATCCGTTTGAGCATAAATTTAAAGGAATAAGAGATAAGCAGCTTAGCAAGACCAAGGCGAACAAGCTGCCATCATGGTCAAAGAAATAATGAGACAATAAATCAGATATTTTCTAATAAATTGATAAAAGAGTGCAAAGTGGTATTTTATTAATATTATGTAAGCTTCTATTTTTTGGGGTAAAGGGATTACTAAACGTTTAAATTCATTAGTTATAGTAAATCTATATTTAGCAATTGCGATTGGTAAATATAAACAATATACCAGAATAATACATTCATAGTTAAGTACAGGAGAAGGTTCTTTTCAGAGCTCAATGTCTTCATTTAACATTGGCCAGTAACTCCCAGAAGAATAACTAGAGTACCACTCAACAAATGCAAAAGTATGGGTGATGACAGTTTTGTTGATGGTTATCAAATGTTGAAATAAATACAGTATACGGCCAGGAAATGCTGCTTTATCTTCACTGTTATTCTCAAGATAATAGGCGCAGAAATAAGATCCAGAAGAGTATTCCTGTCCAAGACGAGATATCCATTTCATTTTTTCAATTCGGTTATTGACAAAAATCTGGTTAGACTCGCAGTTTGAATAATGGCCAAAAAGATTGTGACTGCCATACGCGTGTCTGTAAAACTCCAGTAAACATTCATAATGTCCCTTGCATATTGCAATCCTTTGGTCGAGTTTAATCGGAAACACTGAAGGGGGCAATGGCTCACAACCCAAAGCAGAATGATGAGGGTTTAACAAATATTCAACAAAGTCAGACAGAGAAAAGATACTGGCAGTAAAAGATGAATGTAATGCTGCTAATTGATCTGGACTATTTGAAATGCGATGCAGAAAGTCAATTGCGAACTGGAGAAAATGGTTGACAAAAGATTGTATGAAGCTGCCAATGTATGTTCTCACCAAAAATCTCTTCATCATTGTTGATTCGAAGCCGCCTTTTTGATTTGCTTCGATATTCTTCAACAAACCATTGTATCTCTCGAAACTGAATAACAAGAAAGTATAAATTGGCCCAAAGTCATGAACACACTCGCCAAGATGAAGATGTAGATGCATATTCGGTGTCATGGCCGATTTTCCGTACAGTGTCTGAAATCTTGTACAAAACAATTGGAGTTTACTGTGGGCTTTGTCTATTTCTTTGTCATTGATCGAAGGTTTTGTGAGTAAGTGGCATGCGTCAATAAACAAAATCCAGTTTTAGAGATTCTTGGCAGGGAATACATGCTTCAAAATAAATGGAGAGTATATGACGCACCACGACTTCCACTTGTCAGCTTTCATTAATGAAAAACCATCAGCAATCTTCTTTGTTATACGCACATATCCACAAGATACAACAATACCATTGGCAAGCTCTTGCATAGTTAACTGACTCTTTTCATTGATGTAGTTACACTTGTGCCATATCTGAATCATTTGCTTTGCAGTTCCAAGATAGAGGTTATGCATCAGGTTTATAACTGTAACGCAGACTGGGTCAAAGTAAGATAACAAATGAATCTCTGACCACCAAGTGCCATTTTCTTTTTTCAGATGTGTTTGCTCAGTATTGTTCAATGCATTTGCTCAGCTGACAGCATGTTCCAGATTCACTGTCTTCGTGTGTCTCACCCAATTGCTATACTTGAATCCAGAGTAGTCAAGCTTGCTGGTGTTCTTTATAGTCGTGAATTGTTATTGACATTTGTGACAGGCGCATGTGCTCATGTGGCCAGTAAATCCAGAGGCTTTGCAAGTGGCAGGGATATCACAGACAATACACATCAATTCAGCACAAACAACAATCTTTCTATTCTGTAAGTCTGTCATTTCTAAACCAATGTACATCTCCAACAATTTGTCAATGAGCGGCTTCAAGTAATGATTCATGCTGTCAGTGCTTGCTTCCTTTGGCCCAGGCATCATATCAACAAGAATGTCATTTTCAGACTTAAGGCGTTCACTCCGTGGGAGATTATTGATAGAGAGATATATTGCATCACTGGAATGTGTTCGTCTATCAAATGGCTGAAACCAATCGATATTCAGAGTCAACATTAAAGATCAGCTATCATCAACAAACCGTCTGCCATTGATGTCTTTAATATCACTCCAAACTGCACCATCGAAAATGTCAAGTTTGGTATTTTCAATTTTTTGGCGATTTCTCCACAAATTGATCTTGCACACAAAATCTGGCTTGGAGAATTTTTGTTGCAAGGCGTACTTCAGAGAGTTGAATGGATATATCATTGCTGGAAGAGAACAATTTCTGGTTGACACTTTAAAGAGATTGTTGTTGCAAATGGTGGATTGAGAGAATTTCTTAAATGTACAGACTCTTTGACTTGTTTCTGGAGGATAAATTGAATGCCATTGTGAGCATGCAATGTATACTGTCATTCTGTCTTTTGCCATGTTAAATCCTGTTTTATGCTTCAAGCTATTGATCGTCAGTGGAAGGGCGCCAGACATATCACAGAGAGACAGTAGAGTATTACAAAATTCAACGAGAATCAATCTACCACTTTCCACCAAAAAGATCGAGTGAAATATGACAATGAATACTGCAACAAAGCAAATATACAAGGGCATGTTATCAAAAGACGAAGGACGAGCTATGAAGACAAAGGTTAAGTTAGTTTAAATTAATATATTGATTAATTGTCTATACCGTATTAATTCATACCTGATTCTACTATTGAGGTCCCACTGGTCTCATCAAAGTTTTCTTCTTGTTCAAAATCAAAACCAGTATCGCCTTCTTCAATTTCATCGCCATCAACCACAAATGCTCCGGTAATTGTATCTTCGGCAGTAAAGATGGACTCTTCTTGGGACAAAGGTAAGTCAACGGGAAAGGAATAATTGTTGTAAAGATGTAGAAATAAAAATATAATTACAATTATAATCATATAAAAAATAAAAAATAAAAAAATATATATATCAGTTTCAATTATTATTTTGTTCATTTATTTTATTTAATTTTCTTACCTTCTTGATCAAATTCAATGTTTTGTTCTTCATTTTCGTCTTCATATTTGCCTTTGCCTTCGTTCTTGTAATCATAATCATTGTCATTGTCACTGTCAATACTATCTACTTCCATGTTGTCAAAATGTTCTTCAGGAACATCTATTTTATGAATTAATTTATATTAATTTTACATGTACAGCTTGAGTTATTCTTGTTATTTACCCATTGCATCGTCTTTGGCAACAGGCACTATATGTTTCTCATAGTATCGTTGTGCATTTTGTCTTTTCTGTTTCTTTTCACAGCTATCCAACTTTGTACAGTCTGGACATTTGCAGATAACATAACTTTCTTTCTTTTGATTATTGGACATGTCGATTGTTTTAAATAATAAAAAAATTATATAGATTTTAAGAGATCTTGATCAAGGTCTTTATATACCAAAAAAACAATTATAAATAGATAAAATACTGCTCTATGCCATGACTATAGTATGCCAAGTAATTCTTTGATATATCTACTGCACATATCATCATAATTATACTCATATATTGTTAAGTCATCAACCAACTCAAATACTGCATACATTACTAAAAGTGTACGCAATTTTTTTTAAAGTCTTTTTTTAAAATTATAATATTTGATATGACGATGATTCGACTATGACAAAAAATAATCCAAAAATGGATTATTCGCCTCTCACAACATGTGAAATAAAAAAATCTGATATTTTAGTTCCATATATCAAAGGGAAAAATCACGCAAAAATATTGCCACAGTAAAAATGAAATCACAACCTTTTGTCTTGTTCCCTTGAAATATATTGATTAAATATTTGTTCTAATATTCACATTTATAATACATAAAAATATTTAAATGATTTATTTTGAAAAAGAAAAAGTGAAACCTTAAGAATATATAAAATTTTTATTAAATATTATATTAACTTTTGTATAAGTGTTTTTTCAGTGTAATTTAGAATTATATCAAAGAAGTGTATAATATAAAAAAAAACCAAATTTTGTAATTTTATGGCCAAAAAAAATTACGGTAGTGTGATTTTACAGCTAAAAAAGAGCAATCTGAAATCACAACAGAAAAAATAGAAATTATTTGAAAAAATTAAAAATTAAAAATTGTAGTAAAATTTTTGCAGGTTTTCAGGAACTAAAATCAGCGGTCTTTTGCATTGTATATAAGTGGATCACACCTAATCTGATATATATATCAAAATACCACAGCCAATCTGATATATATATAAGCTGATGATAGTCAATCTGGTATATATATATATGCTGTTGACCACCAACTAGGTATATATATAAGCTGTTAACTACCAATTGGGTATATATATAAGCTGATGACAGGTGATCTGCACTATATATAAACATATGATATCCAATCTGATATATATATAAGTGGATAACAGTCAATCTCATACATATATAAGCTGAACACTGCCAATCTAGTATATATATAAATAAATGATATCTGATCTGATATATATGTTAATCAATAACAGTCAATCTGTACTTTATATATATATTTATCACATCTAATTTACTACTTATATAAGTTAATAAAATATAATATATAATTAATATTAGCCAATAACATTTGATTTATTACTAATATTAGTCTATAATATCTTATCTATCTCTGATATTAGTCAATACTATTGGATCTATCACATTATATATATTCACACTTGTCAATATCCAAGTCATATCCAATCATCTCATCAAATATAAGTTACATACTCTAATCATATTTAATCTTTAATTTTATATATATTCACAACTATTTTATAATCTTTATATATATATATATAGTATATAAATACATTAAAATTATAATAAATATTAATAAGTTGACTTGTTCATATATTTTTTTATTGATTTATATAATAATATTTTGATTTTTATAAGAAAATTAGTAAAAAAATATGAAAATTAATTTTTATTAATTCTGTACTTGCTCTTTACATATTTTGATACTTTTATATTATACTACTAAATTGTCTTTATATAGCAAAAAAAATTAAAAAATTATTACTTAGTAAGAATTTGAACTTTCATTAGAAGAGATATATTTAATTATTGTCGGAACGGCTTTTTGATAGTTTAAAGTTAAATGTTTTTCTATGCCAAGCTTTTACATAGTTGCTATTTATATAACCTATCTTCCCACATTAAAAATGCCAAGACTTCTCACGCTAGGTGCATTCAGACTAACCAAAAAAGGAAATTTTTGCAAAAAAAGCAATTTTTTGTCATTTTTTCCTACGAATTCAATAGTATTGTTTACGTAGATCATTTATGCAAGATTATGCATGATTATGCACGTTATATAACAAGTATAGCCAAAAGTTACCAATTTTTTTCAGCAATGCAATTGTATTGTTTACATTACGCGAATATGCATAATGACGTATGTCACACAAACTTTATTTTTTATATTTTTATATATGTTTAAATTCTCTTATATGTGCCTATATATAATTATGCAATATTATGCAAGATTATGTAAGCTGATAATAACTAATTGACACTATATATAAACTAATTATAGCTGATCTCATATATATATAAGCTATTGATAGTTGATCTAGGATAAATATAAGCTGTTGACCACTGATCTGGCATATATATAAGTTGTTGATCGCCGATCTAGCATATATATAAGCTGTTGACTACCGATCTGGCATATATATAAGCTGTTGATTGCCGATCTGGCATATATATAAGCTGTTGTTTACCGATCTGGCATATATATAAGTTGTTGATCGCCGATCTGACATATATATAAGCTATTGATTGCCAATCTGGCATATATATAAGCTGTTGACTGTCAATCTGACATATATATAAGCTGTTAACTGCTAATCTAGCATATATATAAGTAGATGATAGCCGGTCTGATATATATATAAGTAGATGATAGCCAGTCTGATATATATATAAGTGGATGACAGCCGGTCTGCTATATATATATAAGCTGATTATAGCTGATCTGCTATATATATATAAGCTGATTATAGCTGATCTGCTATATATATAAGTGGATGACAGCCGATCTGCTATATATATAAGTGGATGACAGCCAATCTGATATATATATATAAGCTGATTATAGCTGATCTGCTATATATATATGTGGATGACAGCTGATCTACTATATATATAAGTGGATGACAGCCGGTCTGATATATATATAAGTGGATGACAGCTGATCTGCTATATATATAAGTGGATAATAGCTGATCTGCTATATATATATGTGGATGACAGCCGGTTTGATATATATATAAGTCAATACTCATCAATCTGATATATATATAATATAATTACAGTTAATCTCATATATATACAAGTAGATAACAATCAATTTTATATATGTATAAGTGGATAACAGTCAATCTGGTATATATATATAAGTTGTTAACTACCAATCAGGTATATATATAAGCTGATGATAGTTGATCTGATATATATATAAGCTGTTGACCACCAATTGGGTATATATATAAGCTGATAACAGGTGATCCACACTATATATAAACATATGATACTCAATCTGATATATATATAAGCTGATGATAGCTGATCTGGTATATATATAAATTGTTGACCGCCAATCAGCTATATATATATAAACTATTAACAGTCTATCTCATACATATATAAGCTGATATTAGCTAATCTAGTATATATATAAGCTGTTGACTGCCAATTGGGTATATATATAAGTTGTTGACTACCAATTGGGTATATATATAAGCTAATAACAAATGATCTGCACTATATATAAACATATGATATCCAATCTGATATATATATAAGTAGATAACAGTCAATCTTATACATATATAAGCTGAACACTGCTGATCTAGTATATATATAAATAAATGATATCTGATCTGATATATATATAAATCAATAACAGTCAATTTATATTATATATATATATTTATCACATCCAATTTACTACTTATATAAGTTAATAAAATATAATATATAATCAATATTAGCCAATAACATTTGATTTATTACTAATATTAGCATATAACATCTTATCTATCTCTGATATTAGTCAATACCATTAGATCTATCACATTATATATATTCACACTTGTCAATATCCAAGTCATATCCAATCATCTCGTCAAATATAAGTTACATACTCTAATCATATTTAATCTTTAATTTTATATATATTCACAACTCTTTTATAATCTTTATATATATATATATAGTATATAAATACATTAAAATTATAATAAATATTAATAAGTTGACTTGTTCATATATTTTTTTATTGATTTATATAATAATATTTTGATTTTTATAAGAAAATTAGTAAAAAAATATGAAAATTAATTTTTATTAATTCTGTACTTGCTCTTTACATATTTTGATACTTTTATATTATACTACTAAATTTTCTTTATATAGCAAAAAAAATTAAAAAATTATTACTTAGTAAGAATTTGAACTTTCATTAGAAGAGATATATTTAATTATTGTCAGAACGGCTTTT